TTCATAATCTAATGCTTCAAATTTGCAGGAAATTGCAATCTTTGAAACAAATTTCAATGATAAAATCTTATCCTTAAATTGAATATCCACTGGGGGAAAGCAATGGTTTTGGTCGATTTCTTCCCTGTTACATCTTACTCAACATATTTGGCACAAAATTGGCACTGTTTGGGTCTTCAATATCAAATAAAGATATAATCTATGACCAATTTTAACCAATTTCCATAATAAAATGAATCTCTTGAAGGTTCAGATTTTAACTGACAAAATCTAAGCACCAATTCATTTTATGGCAGGAATCGGTAAATCCTGACATCAAGTATTTTCTTTGCAAAAGTGAATTGCCTCTTGAAATCATGATAAGTACTTTAGTCCAAGTAATTTATGTTGCTAAATGTTTAAGAATTACCTACAACTCAAGTTTGATTTTTCCAAAAATCACAAAAATGATTTTCCCGATTTTTCCTGCCCCCCAGTCATGACGCCCCTGCCTGGACACCTTCACAAAAAAATCACTGGTTTAAAGAAATTTCAGTTAAGTGACTGAATTTTGCAACACTTGCAACAGTTTTTTTGAAAGGAGCTTGAAAGGAATCCTTTAATCCATTTATGAGTGAATACAAAAAACGTAATTCACTTTGCAATATGGCAAAAAATCTCTATATTTTAGCTACAACAGGTGGAGTATTACACTTGGCATATCCAGGAACTTTCAGATTTTGAAAATCAGCACAAAAAAATAATATAGTTTTAATCAATGAAAAAGCCTTACTCTAGCTTTGAGGCTTCTGATCTTCCCTTTGCCATCTCCAACTTGAAGCTCTTTTATGTCACCACCCCTTATAAAGAAGAAAAAAATTGAAATCTTTAGTCTAAGTAGCATCCGGTTAAAAAATAGACATTCAATATCTGACAGAAAATGGATTGGGAAGACTTGATAAACTGCCTTATCATTCAATTTACTAAACTTAAAATATTGTTTATCACAGAAATGCGAAGTGACACTTCAGACTTAACAGATTACTGTTATATAAAAACAAATTAAATCAAAAGCAACAAACCTTGTATCAACATTTCTGAAGAAACTACTGATGGCCTCATCATATATACCTGTCTAGAGGAAATACATGAATTGTAAGCTAAAATAATAGAAAAGAATCATCCTCAATGTGACAATCTATTCAATTTTGTGTCTGAATCCATCAATCAGGGGATGCTAGGCATACAGCATATTGCACAGCCCTTAAAAGTTAGTTGGCAGATTAATAATTCCTAACACGAATAATAATAATTTCTCACAGAAAGAAAGTTTATGTTTTTATGCTGAAATTGGGAAGATTGGGAAAATTTGCTAACTGTACTAGGGGACCCAATGTGAACGTTTAGACTTTAACATTAATTAAATTGGTTTTATTAACAATAAAATTTAGCTTGGTATTTGTGGAAATCTGATAAAACCAAAACTAGTTCTTCTTAGAATAATGGTGACAGGTTTGGGCTAATAGCAGCTAAAACTATTTGCAGACCCCCAGCTGGATTAAACAAATGAACTTTCATTGTAGCAAGATAACGAACAATGTTGTTTTGTTTTTGAAGTTATAAGACTTTACCTTATTTGTATGAGCATGTTCCCTTAAAGCTAGATCCCAGAATCTGCATCCAATCTAAAAAGTGTTTTTGGTGCTGAATACTATGACATGAAAAATTTGTAAAGATGCAAATTCAATATACATAAAAAGCAAGAAAAACAAAGAATAGGGTTTATGTGAAAATAAAAAAAAGTATTCTTCTCCTGAGACAAACTTGTAAACCAAAACCTATTTTACAAGTACATCTTATTTGACTTTATATCACAGTGTATAAGACACACTACTGTTTACAGCCACATAAAATTTATACCCAAATAGCCAAAGCTATTCAATTTAGCTCTGTTTACAGTCATATTCTGCTTATGTTCAAAGCTTTTCAACTAACATTTTGTATTAATAGATATTATAGAGTCTACTGTATCCCCTATCAAGCCTGACTCTCAAGAATTACAGAAGCATCAATAACAATGCTAGTCACAGATCAGGACTGCTCAGACTGAAGTACAAAGAACAAAAAAAACAAAAAAATGGCTTTTAAATGTTTTCCCAAAGTCTGTGAGTACAAGCATGCATACTTCATGCTTTACTGTTGTTTGTTTCATGCACCTAGGCCTAAATATCTTTGGCCTGCAGTTACGATTCTTGTACAAAAAGGTATCTGAATCTGTATATATTTGCAATTAGATTCAATTGGATTATTGTTTCTACTTTATAACTGGGAAGTTGATATTATCAAGGATGCATAATTTTTGTCAGTTTAGAATAAAAAGCATATAAATACAAGTGTCTGAACAACCCTCTAAATTCTAAATATTCTTGGAGTAGAACTTGAAGATTAGGAGAAATGTTTAAAGAACAATATTTGTTTGAAAACAGTTTGTGTTACCTGGTTTCCACATTGGCCAACTGAAAGGAAAAAAGGGAAAGAAATTATTTTCTGACTCGTTCAAAGTTGAATAACAACGATTCTCTAATATTAAGAGTTCTCCTGCATTATTATCAAGTACAAAAGTATCATAAATCCCTAAATTTGCAAGCATTCAAGGTACAAAGTATCAGCCGGGGATGTTTCATATATATCGTAGCTGTTCTATGAGAGAAAGGTCTATTGATGGCATATAGCAACAAAGGAAATGGTGCCCGTCGTCTGTAGTTGTTTTAAAATGGATATGATATTATTAGCTAGTTATTACCTATTCGTTATAGGACCTCATATAAGCAAAAAGAAGAACCTACCTTGCACGATAATCGACTGCGTCATTTCTATTCTTCCTAGGCAGAAATCATTCAAAACATTTTCACCGCCATGATTCCAAATTTTGCGCGAAAACTTATCTGCGGTTTTCTGCGGGGGAATCCAAAGTTAGTTTCCAGTCCTCCTGACAAAGTCGTCAGCCCATGCCTCAATCGTTCTTTCAATCACACGAGGGTTGCCTGAGAGAGCAAATTGGTATGAAGCAAAATCCCGTAACTTATTGCTCGCGTTATAAAACTGTCTGATGAAAGGATGGCTTACAATCTTAAATATGTAAATGGATGATATCTCTGAACTCGTCTGTCGACTGATTTTTATTCATCAGTATACTTTCGAGCCACTAAGTAACTTAGGCCATCTTTATTGCACCTAGGCCCGCGTACAACAGATCCAATTTATATTTCGATCTGTATGTTTTTACGGGATTGAGCTATTTCTCACAAACAAAATGCTCAATTTAAAAAAGGCAGGGTACTTGCGAGCTATATTTATTGCCAAGAGAACAGCAATTAAGAAATGAACAGCTTTTATATACCGGTTTCAGTAAAGTTTCGATTTGTATTTACATATAAACCAAAAACCGCTACAAGTTTTGAGGTTTTGCAGCATTCACTTTTTTTGTCGTAAATGTACTCTGAAATTTTAAATGGGGTGCTAAGCCCTCTTTTCCACCTTACCAACCATAAACTACTTTTGCTCTGCATGCCATGGTTTCTAAACACTTGTCCCAACAAGAATGTAGTTTTAGTATAAGTTTCTAGAAAAACTTATTGTATTTTTAACTATAGGCTTCTTTTAGAGTTCAGAATTCACGTTCACAACGTTTTTTGTTGCATTTTAATTGCAAAAACATACAAAGGTACAATGTTACATTTTTGCTGTAAAACTATTTGTCTATATATATTTATCTTAAAGTATATATTTAACACCTCATACAACGTTTCAAAACAGTGTAATCCAAGCAAATGATTCGAGTTAATCTCCAAAATTCAGACACAAAAACAAGTTGTAACTAACAAACAATAGAAATCAAGGTAACACAGTCATATCTCCTTGTTCTCTCAGATTTATGCAAAAGCATAAACCTCAGAGAAACAAAAATATGCCCCTTTAATTGAAAAAAGCATCCAATGTTTCAGTCTCTATGTACCTCTGTGCATTGAACCCTTCTATGTTAGAATAGACAACCCATATATATTCAAGTCACATATACAAATTTAATAAATTTGTCATTTTTTTAACAGATTAATCTATTTGCTGGAGGCAAGGTTAAACTGTCATCATGGTTGCTTCAAAGAAACAAAAGAAGGCTATGGAGAGCATCAACACAAGGCTTGCCCTTGTCATGAAGAGTGGCAAGTACACCTTGGGATACAGGTCAACTCTGAAAACATTGAGACAAGGAAAAGCTAAACTTGTTATCATTGCATCAAACACCCCACAACTGAGGTGTGTAGAAATCATATTTTGATTTAGTTTCTTCATTGGAAAAAAACCTGCTATGGCAGAAATTTGCAGGTGGTGGTTGTTAGTATCATCCCCTGTGAAACACTGCCAGAAATTAAAGTGTGAGTTTTTCGTGAAAGAGAGAATAATTGTTTCTCTATTTCCCCGTGATTCACCAACAGCTTTTGTAGATTGAAAAATACACATATAACCAGAGCTCTTATTAAGCATGTTATTCATCCAATAGTTGCTTTAGCTCCCCCTCAAGTGATTTTGTCTCCTTGACATGAGATTCTTAAACTTTGTTTCTGTCTTACATAACATTGATTATTTCAAATACTTTTGGTAACAGTATTTTTTTTCATTGAACAGGAAAAGTGAAATAGAGTACTATGCCATGTTGGCTAAAACTGGAGTTCATCATTACACTGGTAACAACATTGAACTTGGAACAGCTTGTGGAAAATATTTCAGGGTTTCAGTGTTGAGCATAACTGACCCAGGAGACTCTGACATCATCAGGTCCATGCCATCAGGAGAACAAGCAGCTCAATAAATTTGATATCAAATGATTAAATGATATGAAGTTGTCTGTTTTATTTGTGTAATCTCAAAGTGACAATCAGATTTTGCATGAATCTCAGCTCACCATAGATGGTAAGGCTTGTGTTCCAAGGGAAAGTCTCTATGTATTGAAAGAGATCCCCATGTCCAAGAAAAACAACTAAAAAGTTATTCTGTACGTTTTTAGCAAAAACTGTTTCCATAAAAAACTTTTTAACCTCAATCCAGTATATGTGGTGAGAGATCAAAACATAGAACCTTTGCATGTTCAAAAACAAACTTAAAAGGTCGGCAAATGGTAAGGCTGTGTCCATTAGGAATGCAATTTTCAGTATCTGTGTGATTACTTTCCAGTGCCACAGGATGGATGGGAGGGTTCTATGTAGTTTATGGTGGTGCAAGTGATTGATGGCATTTTTACTAGATGTAACAAAGCAGATATATTGCATGTAGCTACTGATAAAAGTCGTAAGGTACTAGAAAGAAATGCACACCTTATTTGATGATAGGATCATTTGAAGACTTCCACTGCTGTGAGAATCAAATGTATTGTGGTTACCAGTAAGCCTTTATTATTACAGCAAATCATTGATTTAGCCAATGGGGACTTATTGTTTTGGGACTTAAGTAAAACTTTGGTTGCTTTAGATACTCTGTCAAAGAAGTCTTCACAAAGCTGCTTCTAATCTTCAGTAAAAAATACACAGTCAGGGCCCGGTGGTGGGCCCCAATGAGGGTTAAATCATTCCATGATAATCTTGTACACCTTGATGGAAATCCAGTTGTTTTTGTGGAAATTGAGAGAATGAAGTGCCCCTAGGGTGCCAAAAAACTACGGATTATAGTCCCAGTTGGGGGGTACTCACTACTTTTCTATATGGGGATCTATGTCAACTTTTTTGCTGACCCCTAAAAATTGAGTTACAGCTTTGAAGAGCCCCAAATATTGAGTCTCAAAATTTTGAGATCGTGAATATTGTTACATATTTTGAACTACCATTTTTGTAAAATTTTCTTGAATATCACAAAATTTTCAATCCCATTTCAATACCCTAAACAATAAATAATCAAGAAAGATGTCTCAAGATTCAAAATTCCCTTCTTTAAGGATTCTCCTTACTAATTGGTTCTCTTTTACTGCTTCGTTTTCACTTCTCAGACCCCAAATATTTAATTTTTCTTTACCTGTAATTCACAGAACCCAAATATATTTTTTTTCTAAAATCTCAGACCCCAAATATTGACAAGGACCTCCCCCCCCGTATAGAAAAGTAGGGAGTACCATCCCCTGGGATTGTAGTTTGTAATTTCCTATTTCAAGAGGGGATGGGCTTCAAGAATTTCAGGATAATGTGCCCTTAAATTCTGGGATGTAATCGATTGAACCTACATAGAGCTTATTGAAATGTAAAAATTGGCATGTAGGCATGTAGCATATTAACAAATGCTACGTCTAGAATGGGAAATATTTTTGTCAAGATACTTTATATTCACACACAATGATTGTTTACACACCGCTGGCATCGAAGAGAGGTTGGTATAATTTGATACAGGCCTCGTTACGGCTACAGCAAGAAATAGATAGAAGCAAAACAGGTGGAAATCTAATCGGACTGAAAAAAACATCGATAAGAAATTTTCTAAGAGTTGGTTATAAACATGGTTGAAAGTAGTCAGATTGGAAGTGAAGGAACAGCAGGTTCACTGGAACAAATCAAGACGCCACAAAGACAACAACACGGAAAGGACGGGGCAATAATCAGGCCACCATATCAACAACGAAGTTTTGATGGCACCCCACTTTCAAGTAAACTTAAAAGAAAGAGGTAATTCGAAATCACTAGTAGATCCTCTAGTTAATCATAAAGACTTTAGATTGAAAGATAATTTAACAGCCATGATTTATAGAATGCTTCTAGTTTAAAATGCATCTTTTTTACTATAACCCTGTGAACAAATTTTTTCTTTTGTATTTCAGAGAGTCCTTGTCCGACGGAAGACATGAGCCGGTAAAACTGGTAAAGTTTATTTTGAAGCTGCTTTATCAAAATTAAAGAAATCATAATTTTTTCAGCATTTAGTTTTAATGATATGTAAAATACTAAACCCATTAAAAAATTATATCGAATGAATATTAGGATTTACTAAATTATGTCTAGTTTAAAAACTTTATTTTCATTACAACATTTATGACAATACCGGACAAATGATATTCCAGGCATTTCATTCATTATTGTTATTCATTACCATCATCAATTTTACTTTAATAATCCCTTATTACAAATGGGTTTTCATATTAACAACAACACCATCCCAAGGGTTTCATTTGTACCACTGATCAGCTTTTTGTTTTAGCCACATGTTAGCTTTTTGTTTTTATGTAACTTTTTTCTTTTATAGCAAAATCTGTTTTTTGTTCATTGCAGGCCTCAAATCCATTCAACATGACCGCAAAAAATTTTCCTAAAAGAAGGTAACATGTCAAAGATTTGCACAGTGGTTAATTTCAGTTATTATCAATTTATGAACCCTATTTCATGGACCATACCAATAAATTAGAAAATATTGTTTCTTATTATTAGTTTTCAGTCCAGCTTCTTACATGCTAGCTTTCTTTTAGGCCTCTTGGCAAAACAGCAATTTTCATGAACAGAACAAGGTATATTTTGAAAATTTTAGTCAGTATCATTCAATCTCTAGGTTTTTACTTTGTTGTATTTCATTTTATGAAATTGTTTATCTCTGGTGTTTAAAGATTCATATCGTGAGCAAACATTCTAGAAAAGTCATAGGAACAATCAGGCACCGCAAAGTCATTGGGCTGGCAGGGGCTATAGCCCCTCCACTTTTTTGCAATAATAGGTTAGAAAACTTTTTGGAAAGTTTACTCTAACTATGCTCTAACGTAACACTGAATTGTATACTCCTAAGGAGTAGCAGTTTTTCTTGACTGGGAACCTTTTTTGTTCATTTTCTAGGTGTTTTTCTTGCTGTTTTGTTTTCCCCAATCTAATTTTATTTATCTTTATAGAGTCATATAATATATATATATTCTTTTGTTCAAAGACTGCCTTTTTAACCGCTGGCATTCAGATCTTTTGAAACAGTCATATTCTTATTCTTAAGAACAAGTACCGGATCAAACCCTGCTAAAGCCCTGGAGCTTGTTAGATCGGCCTTACAACCAAGTTTGAATGCTGACATTGAAAGGGTTCTTCAAAGTTACCAAGAGGTAAAATTTTCATTTTATACACAAAAACATTTTTTACTTATAAACAAATGTTAACATGTTTAATTTTTAACTTATAGTGAAGTTAAAAATTCTGACATGTTTTGTCAAAGAGCTTCACATGTGGTATTAATTGCAATATACATATTAGCAATTACCAGAGGTCTATGGAATTACAGTTGGTCGTCTCAAATCTGCAAGCAACCTTTTTCATGAGTCTCTTACGTTGTTTTGCATCCTATGAAAGTGGATTCTTAAAGAAGACAGAAGAAGAATTTTTGTTCTGATTATCAGGTTTAAGATAATATCTTGGAACACCAAAAATTAAAGAAAAAATTGTGTTTTATTGGTGATGGTATGTAATTTGTAGTATCAAGCTGTCTGGATGAATTATAGGTTCAAAATCAAATAGTCATTATCTTTTGTCCACTCTCCATAGTTCTTTGTCAAATGTTATCTACATTTATGTTGAATGAAATGAATCAAACAATGATAAGATATATACAACAAATTGGAACCTGTACTTTTAGTATAAAATGTTATGAGTGTTCATTTTCTGTTTTGTAGATGTTCCGAATGGCTGCATATAACATTTCAGATAACACAAAAGAACCACTCACTGAAGATCATGTGAAATACATTTTGAGAAGAGCTTTAGATGAGGTGAGTTAGAATATGATGATCAAGTTTAGGCATCATGAGCTATCAGAATTGTATATTTTGAATATACCAGGCTAATAAAATTCCAACAGATTTTTCACGGTACAGAACTTGAAAATGGTTTTGAAAAAAGCAAACATTTTACAACATATTAACTAAAAGCTTTTTTGTCTGACATTCCTCAGAGCATAAAACGTCAGAATGAAGGTGTGAAAGAACACAATGAAATATATATATACCCAGTTGTGGATAGAAATAGGCTAATCAGAAGAACACAAGCACAAGACCAGTATGTACCGGTCAGTGCTGCATGTCTAAAGAAAAATTACCACTTGAGTCCAAGAGAAAAAACAAACTCCTTCTGTCTACACAATGGCAGCTTTTTCGTTTGTATGTAGATAGATTCCAAAACTGCTAGATGGAAGGACGACCAGGCTCTGTCAATTATCTGAATCATGTCGTCATTATAGAGTTTAGCACAATCTGGGTTGTCTGAAAGATGTTGACCGATGGCAGAATCACTTGTTTTAACAGTAATTCTAGACCTACAAGATTGAGGTGGCTGTTCTTTTTGAGGGGCAGTTTTGTTTCCTATGTTCCAAGGAACATGCTGTTCTATCCTATCCCCAATCAATGGGTTGTGCGTCCTATGTAGCCAGAATCACACTGGCACGTAAATTCATAAATAACAATCTAATGTTGCATTATATATAGTATTTTGAAATAAATTATTATATCCTAGGCTAAGACACTGTTTCAAAGTGATAATAAGGAAGAGGAAAAAGATGATGAACCACAGGTAGATATATTGAAGTAAAGAATCCAAGTGTTGATGTCAGTAAAATGTCAATAAGATATATGGTATATGCTTTAACATATACTTGCATTTTTAGATATCAATTTCAAGTTTATTGTAGCTGTGCTAACCAAATTTTCAAAGAAATTAGACACAGCTGTAATAATATGGAAAAGATTATGCATTTTGTTCAAGCTTTGCTAATATCTGAGCATTTGTATAGCAAAATGCCATCACATACTTGTTAATTAATCAAAAAAGCTTGCTTTTTAGATGGCAGAGAAGAAACGACCAATGCCAATTAAACCAGTTATAATAAAAAAGGTATGAAGCAAATCATGAGGACATTATTTCAATTCTTTATGTAAACCATTCTGTTTTTATTGTAACATATTCAGGCATCTATCTTGTTGAAGAAGCCAGAATTTTTTTGTTATCCTGCCTGGCTAAGTGAACTTTCAGGCCCATCAACAAAACACCACATGCAAAATGGAAAATTCGAAAATTCAAATTGAAAATCTTGAGACCAAAGTTTCAGTAGGCACTGAATGAAAAAAACAAGGAACATCTTAAAGGGCTTAAACCACTATTTGTTTTACAGAACTATGGTTTTCATACTACTTTTTGATATCAGTAGCAATTAACCAACAATAAGGTTTACTTTTTTAACTGTTAACTCATTTTTATTTTGGTAATGTAACAATGATTTTATCTATTTTATATCAGAAAAAAATGAGGCGAGAAGATCACCGGTAGGTTATCTTATTTATTTCCTGCTTTGCTTATTTATCAAATATTTTCTATCAAACAACTGCAATTAATTTTTTTAACTGAGAAGATCTTTTTCCCTGGCACAAGCTGGAAAAAAGTTGCTAGTGAAAAATTTGATTTCAATATCAAGAGTTCAAAATCAGTTATAAAAGTACATTGTTTTTCATAAATGTTTTTGGTGAATAGACTAGAACCAATTTAGAATCATTCTGTTCTATGCATCAAAAGCTTCCAAGTTGAATTTATCACGAAACTGTTTTTTCTCATATACATGTATTTATTGATCAGCTTCATTTATAACAGCATGATGTTTTCATTTATAGACCAAGAGATGATTATGTTTACCCAGCAGTAAGTATAAGCTAGAGTCTTGCAGGTATCTTAACTTAAGCAAAGATACTAAACCATCTTTTGTTTTGGCTGTGAGGGAAATATGTCATATCTAATCTACTGTCCACCTTTATGATCTTATGCTCTTGGCAAAGGCTTTAAGCATCAAATTTCATTTTTTCTTCAGTGGGACGAGGCAAGACTGATAGATGGAACTGAATTCATCATGGGTGTTAAGGCAAATAAGTAAGTTAGCACTTCTGTTTTATTGCTACTTCAATGGCTGCTTTCTTGCTGTAAGAAAACTTTCAGAGTCAAGACTTGGACTGGCACCCTTACATAATTTGTTGCCTAAATTTTTATCATTTAATAAAGATTTTCAAAAAATAGTTTTCAATCTACATATTTTCGCTGATACAGCTTTCAGTAAACAGCATTAGATTGTCTTGCTTGCAAAACTAATGCAGTTTGTACCTTTCAATACAGAATTCTAGGCTTTGCTTCTGCAAGAGGAAGACTTTATACAAGGCATCCAGATTTATTCAAGGTATGTACGATAATTTTAAAGTAAGAACACCACAGAAACTTCAAATATTCAGCTGCACCTATTTTCCTGCTATTTCTGCTATGTTTGGTTATTCTGTGCCACGTTTGTTGCTTTAATTTCAAGAATAGCTGTAGGCAAGATTAAATCCCAAGTGTGTCCTGTTTAAATGGGTTGCCAGAAGCTAGCGTTTTGCTTGATACTACAGAAATATGATACTGGGAACACCTATCTGATATTGCCAATTGTAAATCATACTTTTTTATACGTTTATGCTCTAGGAATCTCATAGTAATTGTTTAAGAATGCATTACTTGAAATACATTTATATCTAAATGTAAATTAAAAACAGTGGTAAATTAGTAACCTTTCAAAATAGAATGATGTGGGTATAAATGTAACTGACATGAAAAATCCCAAATATCAATATTTTGATATATTCCAATACTCCATCGAGCATAAATTAAGGCCAAGCAAAGAAAATGCTTTGACTAGAAACATTATGTTTACTGTTGGTTAAGAATCAGTTCAAAAACATGAATCATTTCTTTAAAAAGGGTCAGAATGTAAAAAGAGCAGATGAAATATGAAGCAGTGTGACCGTAGTCTCACTAGTTCTATGATTGGCAACTAGTGTAGCCTTTAGTTCATTGTAATGGGTTTTGATTTATTTGTCAACAGTATATGGCTGATCAAGACGATAAGCAATGGCTCTATGATAACGGGCACATGCCAATTACTGGAGGGAAGGTAAGTTGTGTCAAACTTATGTCCCACCAAGATTGAGAACAAAAATTTACTGACAATGAGAACTCTGTGTCCAAAAATGCAGCCTCTCGTTAACTTCATGAATGATTACTTTGCCTTGTGAACAAAGAGCTGTTTTAAATTCCTATAAAAAGTTAATGCCTTGAATCTCACAAATTATTTAGCAAATGTAGACTTTAGCATATTGGATATTATAATTGGTTTACATTCATTTATGGAATCTATTCTGAATAATTCCGAATCATGGAATTTTATTATCATTTATCAATTCATGTAAGCATTTTAATAGATTTTCTTCATAATTTTACTGTTTCAGGCCTTTGTAATGATAGCTGATGATATAAGGACTTTAGCAACAACGCATCAAGATTACAAGTAAGTTTGCTGTTAACCCCAGCTTGCTAAATCTATTTGTACCCACTCCATATGAGCTCCATATTTGATATCCCATTTTTCATTAACCGACAAAGAACTAAAGAAATACAGACTTTTTATTTTGAAAAAATAAATGTTTCAGGCCACTCTAAGTCCAGGAAAATGGTGACCCTTCCTTAGGGCAATATGCTGATGTGTGAAAACATTCCGCTGCAAAGCGATGAAACTAGGTGTGGTTTAGGTGTGGTACTTCAGCTACTTCTGTTTTCATTGGTAACTGAAACTATTTTCATTGCCAGAACGGTATGTTGGGAGATGGAGATGAACAAATTGTATGTAAACACAAAGCGTAGCTTTTGAGATCAAGGCCAGATTGAATCATTGATAGCATGTATGTATAGACCAATATCTAAGACCCCTCCCCCCAGTATTGGGCTGTGTGTTTTTCAACACTTCTCATCTAAGAACCCCCAGTATTGGGCTGTGTGTTTTTCAACTTTTCTTATGGGACTTCTTATGCAAGGCCCACGCCACTAGGAGTGGGTTGCCATGCACCTTTCTCGCGTTTTTGCGAAGCAAGTAGTTTTAAAGCTGCAGTAAAGGGTCAGAATCCCTGGCCCTCTACTTTTTTAGCCTTGCCCCCCCTCCCCCTCACTTTAAAATTCGTGGCGCGGGCCCTGTTATGTCATCTTGAAGCCTTACAAATTCATGGCACTCTTTGCATCACCTTTTCCTGTAATCATCGTTAGCTGCCTCACATATTTTTCCATTTGATTTCATTAGGGATAATATTGGAATCAAAGCTGAAGATGTGAAGGGATTTGTTTTGCCACCTTTTCTCTTCCAAAAGATGAAAGCTGCGATAAGTCGTAAGTCAATACAATTATTGAGGGTGAATTCATCCAAGTATACGTTGTAAGAAAGGTCACAGTTTCATTGAATGATTGTAATTACAGACCCTGATAATCATGCATAGGTCGAATGAGTCGATGCAATCATCACATCTTCTACATTTGTTTTATTCATAAATCCAGTAAGTGGATCTTACGTAAAGGAACAAATCAGGACCCAAATTTTACTTGGTGTAATCAGTTTTTTCTTAAGCGGGCCTATTTCTTTACAGGAACCATATTAATATTATAGAACTATTAGTTGTTGAATACATGCATTAGTATTAAGCTCTTGGTGGTTACTAACAAGCCCAGAAGTAGCTCCAAATTGGCCGATAGAAAGCTGTTTCAGGGCACTTTGTGTGTTTTGCATGATTCTATTTGTCTGGGGATATCCGATGAATTGTCTTTGCTGCTGAAGTACCTCTAGGGTATCTTAGTTTTTGATGTTCTTTATTTTAAGGTGCTGCACTACTTCGTGATGTTAACAAACGACCGACTGGATCTTCTTTGGTCGCCCAGCAAACGCCGGAAAAATAGCAAAGACTTTGTAGTTAAAAATACGTTTTATTTTATTTCCGATTGTTATTTTAGAAAGTGTAGAGTTAATTAGTTTATTTATAAACAGCACATTGGGTTTCTCAGAAGTATTTAAAGGCTTAATTTTTGTGTAGCTCTATCGTTGAAGGCTGCCTTAGATTTATTGGCATTTTTTGTTTAACAAGGAGTTTATGGTACTTACTGCCTTAATCTCAAAAATTCAACATGAAAAAACAAGGAAGCTGCGCATCATTATATAGGAGCGGAACTGTCAAGCTGAAATGAGATCAAATCACTAGTAAAAATTTCCTCCCATTCGCTTCCAAAAGTTTAATCATCGCCATTCTTTCTCACTGTCAGAGTTCGCACGAATAGCATTACAAGCACCTTCCTATCTGAACACTTAAAACGCTCTATCTAAAAAGCGTCAGAATCGGCACCATTCTTTGGAAATGAACATTGCCTTAAATAATAGAATATTCGCATGGATACAATTTACCTTAAATAACACCAAAATTCTATCATAATCGAAAACTTACAATAGATATAAATTAAAAATTGTTAGATTTGATAGAAATCTTGACAGCATTGTACATTCGGAAAGTAAAAAAGAAGAGGGGAGTCGCATCTTATTGCAAATAATTTAATTTCGAAACTTTTGCACCTGTCTTGGCTTCAGCATTTGGTAGTTCCTCTCATAGGTCAGTAGTGATCTTGTCTCTAAAATAAATCAGCATTGAATGAAAAGGGATAGAAACAACTCTTTAGAGACAGAAAGCTTCGAGATGAACAATGACGTTACCAAAAGCAGCAGAAGATTTTTTACCATTGAAGTCGTATGGTGAACTTTTAACAATGAATCAACGAACTCGATGCTGAAACATCTGCTTGAAAGTTCATGGTAACTTCAAAACTATTGACCAATACCAACTACTATTTTAGTCTATTCTATATTTCTCCAACGAAAAAAGAATAGTGCACTTGATAGCAGTGCTGAAGCTCGACGCCTGATATGGTCCACTATCTCCTGTCTACCCAGAAGCAAATTTGTATTGGTAGTTGTGACTACCTATTTTTTGATGGTTTATAGGCCGTGGAGAAGCTATGTTTATCGAGCAGTTTTCTAATCCTCTCCCTCTCGATGTGACCAAATTTTCTTTTACTGGATATAACTGAATCTCTATAACAGATTCCTAAAACTGGAATTACAGATTGCTTGGGACTCCGCTCACTCTAAATGAAAATTTGGTCATGGCAGGGACTCGAACCCTAACCCCTTCTGTAGTCAGCGGTAACCACTAAGCCATCCTCACATCTAAATGGGTGCTCTTTGGCAAAACTAGAGACGAAACAAGCAGTGAGAAAACTGCCCCCCCCCCCGAACCGCATCATGTTGTTGGCTAAGATGTTTTCCCTTTTTACAGGCACTTACATTGCGTACAGAAAGTATATAGGACTCATAATTCTCACTTTATATGTCTCACTTTATTGACATACTAGCGAAAAAACTCATTTTCTCGTATTAACTCGACCAGAAATAGTAATAGAGGGCTAAACACTCTTACCTGGGCAAAGAATTCTTACCTGTCATAAACTTTGAAATATGCGAGTCTCTTTCCTTTTTCTTTACGTTGAAAATGACGAGTAGAAAAACTCGAACGTCGACTTTGATGATGTAGTAGGTGCTTCCGACTTTCTAAAATCATTGATAAAAATATAAAAACAGTTTAAAACAACTGTAAATTCCCAAATAAACTCCATGCAGATATAAAAAACTCCACAGTACATAGATTGTTGACATGGATATGATATCACTGAACAAGGAATCATAAGCTAGGGGGACCAATTTCCTTAAAGGAATTCAGCATAGGTAAAAGTTGCTTACAGCCACTTGTACCTGAGGGGTTGATCAACCAAATTACGCACAGAGAAAAACATGTGAACAGCTTCCGCCTTTCTGCGAATCGGCGAAACCCTAGAGTGGTTTCACGTGAATGGTTTCAAATTCTTTTCAAACGCGCGTGCTCTGATCGAGTTATTTTTGGATTCGCTGTATTTATGCATGTCAAATGCCTTTAATCAATATGATAATACTATAATAATAATAATCTTTCAAATTTACCCACGTTAATTTATTCTGTAAATTAAACTACTGATATGGAACACTTACATCATCAAAGTAGTACACGATTCTACCCGGATGAGCCAAATCAGCTGCTCGATCAATGAGTATCGAGATGACGTTGGGCCAGTGACTGGTCGGTTGTGGCTGAAAAATTACATACAACGTAAAGTATGAGGAATGCAAAACAAAATTCTTGGATAAGCATGAAAAATGGCTCGTTTTCCAGAAAACAGTTCATTAACGTAATTTTAGAAAAATGAATATAACTGTAAACAGGCTTGTTGCAGTCTGCATGATAAGGTATAGCCTGAGCTGTAAAAGCCTTGATTGGAATCGTCTAATAACGAGGAGAATTTGTGCCAATTCGTTTGGTCGCTGCAGCAAAAGTCTCTGGAACGATTTGTTGCTTTACTGTCATTTTGAAATATTTACTGCTTCTGGTAGAAAGACACCAAACCCCCACCCTAAATAAATTGGTTGTATAACTATACTATAACTATCTTACAGGAATCCACTGGACCACGACAAACCTTTAAAATCGCATAAAAAAACGTTGTTGAGAGAAGTGGAGATGTCATAAAAAAATTCAAAAATCCAGTGTGTTATACCTTGGTAAGACTTTTGGGAGGGAATTTTCGTAAAGACACTAAAGATGGATGGTCTAAAAGGATGATTACCTCTAAAAGACTGACTATAGCAGGATATGTATCTTTGCCAGTGCGTCGTTCATGCTCAATATTGGGAAGAAAGTAGCCATGGCCAGGTGCCACGTGATCCATTGTTGTTGTATCCAGTATTAAAGAAACGTTGAATGCTTCACTTTTTCGAATGAACGTGGTAATCCTGAGAACCAGGGACAGAAAATTGATAAAAGGAGACATTTAGGTAATATGCTTCTAGGTATAAGAAAAAGACAAAGCTAAAGAGAGTGATCTCTTGGTAGATGGGTTCATAAACAAGAGGATTTTATGAGAGAAGACCAAACCTAAGTTTAAGACTTGATGCCCCTTGGGCAGCTATTGCGGGGGATGAGTGTAGTGATTGCCACCAGGATTAAAAAAAGACCCCACATTACCTACTGGCAAGAAAAGCCTTCAAACTTTTGATGTTATAAAGTTATGACAGTGGATCACTATCATTCGGCTAGAAAAAGAAGCCAATTAATGTCATTGGACTGAAAGCAGGCAAAATCCAGATAAGAACATTAATTGTTTTCACCTATATAAATTTGCCATGTTTGGTTTATGCAAAACATATGTATGTAAGATGTATGTTGTATTGTTCACTGGTCTTTTTTGGTATATACAACGGATAGAAATTTCTTTGATATGTTGACAATTACAACACACAGAAGAAAATTTGAGTTAAACAGTCGCCAGGTTCGTATGTGCTAAAATGAAAGTATTTCTAGGAACTCAAAGGCAAAAAATGAAAGACATACTTTGCAAAATAGTCGACTGTTGTTTTTGCAGTCAGTAACTTCATTTCCGCTTGATTAGTTTGTGAGCTCAATGTAGAGTGAAAATACAGGCTGAACTGCATGTACAAAAATATATAACAGGTTATGGATAAAAAATGGTAGCCACACTGCTTCATATCTATATAAAAAAGTACGCAACATCTATATACAAAAAGGGATTTATTTCTTTCAACAATAAATATTGTCTGGGTTGTACTCAGTGTCTAATTTGTGTCTAATAGATATGTCTAACTTTCGACGTCTAGTCGCAGTTAAAACACGTATATTCAAAAGCAGCGTAGATTCTTTCTAACTAAAAGCGTTTAAAATTTCCACAAGATAGTGCAGTTCTAAAACATCACGTGGCATGAAAATTTAGAATTCTGCATTACTATTTAACTGTGTATTCGAAACTTTGATACGAAAACAGTTATTAGGTAGGTGATACTATTCTAGTGTAAGTTGAGGTTTGAGTTTACTAATAAGCTGAAGGTAACAAAAACAAGCCATGGGGTATCTAAATATATTTCCTGAAGGATTTGAATGGTGGAAAATGGGGTGATGGGTGAGATTGTCAGTGGATGAGCATTGCTTTTAACCAATTCTCAGTCGAGGGCTATGACTGGGCATTGTGAAGTAAAGCTTTTTAATACTTTTGAAATGGCTGCCAGTTGAACCTGGTATAACCATCTATATAGAGTTGGAGCATGCCAGCTCTTTCTAGATGCAATCATAGATGCCGGACTTTTAGCCGTTGTTTGAGCTGCTATCTGCAATGAAAAGAAGTCGCCTCAACCCGAGAAAAGTATGTACAATAAAATTACAACTTCCTATGGATCTCATTTCTTTTACTTTAGCCCCTGAATGAAATTGCTATTGAAACGTTTAGAATAACAAATAATAATGTGTTATTGCAATCAAACTACTATTATAAATTACAAATCACCAAGAGAGAAATATTTCAATCGACAACACTTTCACCCTCGTACATCGTGTCAAGGAAAATGTTCTCTAATGAGTTTGATCTGAAGTTTGCCTTTAAATTTCAAAATTTTTGTGTCGTTACAACCCGTTTCACAAAAAAGAATAAAGCAGCCCTTGTCCTCCCAAGCATTATCAAAAAGATCCTTCATCGCACAACTTTATTGTTAAAATTTGGTAACATTTCTCAAAGATCAATGTGCGCAAGTGCAGCTGCTTTTAAAAAGATCACTCCGCCCAGAGTACAAACAGAATCATTATAACATTTATATGCTGTAAATTTGTCCAGTTTTGGGAAAGCACGTCCTATCGATGAAACCAGCTTCAAAGTTAGACATTTCCCATCAAATTAAAATAACATCTATCATAAACTATTGTAAGTTTTGTTTATTGTAATTGACGTTATCATATCATACCTCTCTCACTGTTCCAGGAACAACTAGCTGTGTCCATGAATTCAAGTCTGTCTGACACTGATACAGAAGTAACAAAGACGAGAAAAAATCCCATTGCTGCATTTTCACTTCAGCTTTGCAGAGACACTGCACAATTTCCGCTTCAAAGCTGCAAAAAGTATTCCCGTAAAACACTTCATTTCTAATACATGTTAAATTATATACAGAGTTGTAGAGTACTACAATATTTTGAAAGATTCGGCGTTTCTGTTTGATAGAATGATGTATGAAGTAGACAATGGAGAGCAGTTCTGAAATGCATAATATGATACGCTTTCCTACTAGGAAGAGGTTGCCGTTTTCACATACAAAATTAAAAATAGTTACAATGACGTCACTCTGATAAACCAACGAAACTTGTATTGCCTAACACCCCAGCTTCGTTTATTTGCTCGACCTTCTACCAGAAGCAACATTCTAGAAAATTTTATTCAAAGGAAAATGTCACTTTTAGCTTGCTTTAGAATATCAGAATAACCTCTCTGTGTCTAGTCGCTAAATCCTCTCTCTAACTAAGTTCTTAGACAGTAAAAAATAAATTGAATAAAAAGCTTCTAGAGGAATAAAACTGACAAAGGCATATCATCATGGAAAAAACTTCCTGCTATCGATAAAGTAATGTTTTAGACATAGGTGGCCTAAACAGGCAGATCCCGGAGATGTACTTATAGCATACTTGTTTGCCCAGCTTCAGTAATAATAACAATTAATCGAACGCAAGCAAAACATCCTTAGATAGAAAAAGGTCTTGATCTAGCGTCCTTTGTTTGCTCAATACTATAGTAGAAGTTCAAAAGTTACTGTCTATTAAAGGATCTGCTAAAATTACATAATAATTATGGGAAATTTCTCGAACATTGAAAATAAAAAACTTTGAACAGATCACTTTGAAGTAAGTCTAGATATAGATATTTTCATTATTGGGAAGTGTTGGTTATTTGGTAGTGTGCCTTAATTGAGGCTTACTGCAGTGATTAGTGAAAATAAAATATTTACCTGAAGCCTGTTTTCAGTGAATCCAATATTGGATGGTGAAATTCGTTGTTGTGTCTGAAAGAAATGATTGAAGAGACTGTAAACCTGCTAAATTCTATTTTATTTTGGGATGTAGAAAAAACGGAAATAAAAGAGGATTGGTTCACATCAAATGTTGACCAAAAATATGTAATATGGGAAACTAAGTAGTTTTAATATTATTTTGACATTTGATCATTTCAGGTGTGAGCTCTCCCCTGTCTATTAACCAGCTATTTTTACACGGACTGCCAGACTGAAGGCAGACCATCGACTTTGGCAGTGTGTATAATGGTGCCTACCAGCATGAGTACAAATGATGAGCTCTAGCTTCTGAGTCGTCCATTGCCAATACCAAAGAAAAAATAACTAAGCTTAGAATAACGCTATATAGCGTCAAATATCATCTTTAAAAGGGTGTGACCATATTTTCTCAAAAATCATTCTGAATGTCATATAAGCAGAGATGTGCTCAGTGGACTTATAGAGCAAGATAGCTTTTAATATGCAACTCTAAACTTCAAGTTTTCACCCAAAATCTTGACACAAAGTGAAGAAACATGACACCCTTCCTCCATTCAAAACCCAATGATGAAAATGTTTCCAAGTGTTTTGGTAGAACATACTTTTTCCTAAGCTAGCATTAGCAGCTCAACTATTTCTCAACTGCTATCAAAATAAGCGGTTAAAGAGAAGTTATCAAAGACAAGAGAAGAGCTGGCCGAAGGATTGTTTAGATTTTGCATAAACGGTTCGATAAAGATCGCTGCTGCATATCACATCATCACAAACTATTGGAAATGTACAAAGGCTTAAAGCATAATGGATATCTAGGGTCAGCTAATGAATATCTAGGATCCCTAGGATAGCAACTTCCTAGTCACTAACGGCTAATCATATCTAACCAAGGCAGATATTGGCTAATGCCCATTGCCAAGCAATGATGTGATTCACATGTGAAGAGATTCCTTCGCATTGCTGATACCAAAGAATACCTTCGTATCGCTAAAAAGAGTTGCTTACCTTTCGATAATATTGTCTATAAGTTTAACCAACTGATCTTCGCTTTCTTTATTTTCCCACCTATTTTTTGCCATTTTAATGTAACTTTGATTTCGTTAATGGAACATTTAGCTATATTTTCTAAGAACTGGGAGAAGAGATTACTTCAGGAAAGATGTATGTCAATAATATTGTTTTTCAAAAATTGTCTTAGAAAATTTCAAAGTAAGAAATGTGTGTTAAATGCTGATGCTTATAAAAAAAGAATTTTTCATCACTTGTTGAATAGAGCAATATTCCAGCAACGATAAATAAAAAAGAAACAAACAAAAAATACAAAAAGGGAAATGATTGTAAAACATGGGGCAAAATTGGACAGTCAATTTCAAGTTCAAAAAGACTCAATTAGGTTTATGTACAACTGATGAGTTGATTGTTTTTCAAATTTAAACCCGAAAAATTCAAAGTTTACTGTCCAGAAAAATTAGAGAGTTGTTTCTAAACCTAAAGCAATAAGACAATAGAAAATTTTAGACAGGCTGAGGACTTTTCTCATGAAGAATGGTTGTTCAATGGAAATAATCAACAAGGGCAGCTGAAAAGGATACAAGTCTATCATTTCTTTTCTAGCAGATATAAATTGTGAGAGCTGTTTTGCTAGATCACTGGCCATTGCCTCTGTTATGTCACTATTCTCTTGTAAGGAGGCTTCACCTGTCAGTTCAAGTCTTTTTAGGTCTGTTTGAAGCTTGTCATAAAGTGGTCGAACCAGCTAAAAAAACAAAGAACTGAATAACCATAAAACACTGGCTTTCTTTGCTCTTTTTACTTTCTAGGTTCTTTCTATTTACAAACAAAACTCTATAAATATCATTTATACAGTACTTTATAAGCCTTGTTCCTACTCTGGGGACTGCAATGAATTTAAATGATAAAACTATCTAAAAAAGAAAGTAATAAAAGAGAAAAATTATAGTTTTATATTCATTTTCAGGGGCCTGGTGGACTCCTGGTAGGCCCTTAAAATTCTTCACGTGGGCCTGTTTGATCTTTCTTCCATCAAAGCTTTTATTATTAGTAACATCAGATTTTTTGAGAAAAAACAAGTGAAGTAAGATCTAACATATTATAAGTGATGACAACAAAAAACAATCAGCATCAAAATGTTGTGCCCCTAAAAACTTGATTTTCCTGGCCCATAAAAATTCCTACAATGTCCCTGTTCATTATCATTAACATGTTTGTACCATTTCAAACAAGAAAAGTTAATATAATCAATTATTAAGGGTATAACAATAACTAACATCTCTCCGTAACAGTCTTCTCTCTATGTATGTTAATGAGGAGTACAGCTTCTCTGCAGAGACCAGATCAGTAAGCACACTACATAATTGCAGCCAAATACTTGCAGGAAATTTTGTTGCCTCTTTCTCTTTATCCTAAGAAACAATGAAAATTTCTAACTGAACACAAACAGAATGATGATTCATAAACAAACCATCTTTAGCAAAAAGTATTGAATGATGTATAGGAATGAAACAAAGCCTATGTTTGATAAATAAACAATTGACTAGCTTGCTGTTTTTTGGAGAAATTTAAAAGAAGCCCCCAAATACCAATGAATCTGCAAAATTCTACACAATCAATTTTGCTTTTAGTCTCTTCATGCAAAGTTACTTTTACTAAAAGTTTCTATATACAGGTTACTGTCACTTAAAATCTAGACCCAAATACGCAAAAATATTCTAGCTTTATTTACAGTCACAGTTCCTGTCACAGCTTTTTAAGCAACTATTTATGGCTTGAAAATAGTTACAACGTTTGTACAAAGTTCAAATCCTACTATGTAGCAAGCTGTTGTTAACCATTTCGCACAAAATATTTTAAACATCAAATTTTCTTTTCAAATGTCATATTAGATATTGCAAACAAGATTATAAAGCTCTAAGTCCTTAATTTAAAAGTAAAGCAAAGAATATATATTTGCCACACCACAAGCTCTTTTGCTTGATCAAACATGAACTGTGAAACTCCATAAAAGAAAACTTCAAGAAAAGCCTCTCTACTTTTCCAAAGTTCTTGTGATGGTCCTAGAAAGAAATTAAAACATGAAATTATATAGAAAAAATAATTTGCAAGAAAAAAAGGAACATATTTTTGCATACATGCAGACATACATATAGTAAACACAGAAAGGCTGGAGGTTCTTTGTAGACATGATTTTTACAGTTTAGACCATGTATAGAATGGCTGGATGTTGTTGATCAGTTCCTATACTTTGCTTCTGTTAAGTGTGCTGCTGTTTATATGATATGATTTAACATGCAGAAAACCAGAGCCAGCAAGAGACGATATTATGGGACTGATGGGTCTGGGTGACTTTATTGACTGATTGGATACAGGGTGAATACACATAGAAGGAGGGGATACTATGAAAGTTTTGTTGGTTACATTACTGTGGATACAGAGAGAATAGAAAGTGTTAATGGAAGGTGTTAATGACTATGACACAGGGACGCTGGAGAAGGGGGTGCAGGGGGTCAACCACCCCTGCTGCTTTTTTATAGGAGGAGCAGGAGGGGCCAGAGTGCCTTTTCATTAAAGTGCCCTTAAAGCCAGCCAATTGTAATAAACAGTCATGAAATTCTGATTGCAGTGCTTAATTCATGGCAACATTTCTCAAAACTTGTAAAATAATCATGTTTTCGGCCACTGGCTTTTTGTGCCAAGGATTTTAAGAGATCCTGTGTGTTGTATGACAAATTATACCTAGGTAACTCAGTACATTCATAAACCATAATTAAAAAACAGGACCAGGACACTGCTCGATAAACATAGCTTTTCAGTGTCCTAAAAACTACCTTTGGATGCTAGGTAGCAACAAATACATATACAAATACAAAGAAAACACACATACATGATCAAAAAAATTTTTATTTTTAATCATGACTTATAAATGTACTGAGTTACCTAAGTATAATTTGTAAAATAATCCTTAAGTGGCATAAGAAAAATACTTTTATTTTGTAAGATATTGCTGTTTTTATAATTATTTATCAGGGCTGCCCCTCTCCCCCCAAAAACACGTTGTATCTTGGTCTTTGGCCGCAAGCGGTCACATTACAGTAAGCTATCGATTGCAAACAAACACACCAAGTGAACAAATAAAAGATTTAATAAAAGTTAGTAAGTTTATAAAAAATCAATGGAAATTAAATAACAGGTATCAAAGAACTAAAAAACCGATGTCGAATGATCTTGCACTATCAAATGAAACGTTGGTGCCCGTTGGAGACGAAATGGCTAAAATAGAATCACACAATAACCACAAAATCACAACCTTGCTCAGCCATCTTTTCACCAAATATATTGTCTATGTAATGGCTCAGTGAAATTCAGTCACAGCCATTTCGTAAACAAAAATAAAACATTTTCAAATCTTCTGTCTACTCAAGCTCTCCCTTTGTGTTATGATAACTGGTTATGATTTCCGCCATTGCAGTTTAAAATGTTTATTCCCTTCCTAAAAATCAAACTGAGCTGAATTATTTTGCCTCGTAACGAATTACTAGCTTCCCTTTTCCCCGTGACCTCGAATGTTTTCATAGCAGGTCATCCACGGGCCTAGTTATAGATGTGGGTAAGTTCAGAAAACATTTTGAATTACATCCAAAGGCTTAGATGATATGATCTGTTTCATCGTTCCCACTAACATATTTTCTTGATCATTTCTTCAAAGCAGGAATTTTCGTGGACAATAAGTGGCTTTCTCGTCCTGTAACTTTTTTAGAAAATTGAGGCGAAAAAAGATAATTCAATTCTGTTCTTTTTGTATTCGTTGAAATGCAGAATAACTAGCTAGCACAAGAGACAAACATATTTTAATGAACTTGATCAAAGTTTAATGGTGTATTTTATATATCAAAAATAACTTTCAAATGTTCACTTGATTATAGCTATGTAGGCCATACAGGGCGTAGTACCTATTTCCCTCTTTCTCTGCTGGAGCTCTGAGTCGAAATTCACTCAGTTTTTCTATTCATAGTTTTTCTATAGAGCTTATTAAATTGTTCATTTGCTTTCTCTTAAAGCAGTCTTGCAGTCTCATAAGACTTGCAATTATAGTGAAAAATAAGACATGTTGCCACAAAAATTGATTAAAATGCACATATAAAACACAATTCATTGGCACAATTCATATTCAGGATAGGCACCAATGATATTTTCAAGCTACCAGTTGCATGATCATACCATTTGATCAATCTGGCATGGGGCTTGACTTATACAACTTTAGCTAATTCTATTTGAAAGAAGTGAAAAGTATTCTTTTTTATTGTTTTTCTTTAAAAATGAATTGATTTTGCAAAGACAAAACAAATATAGCTGCTCTGAGAAGTAAATAAAATGTTTAATCATTTCTATTGATACTATGAAGTTGGTTGCCTTATTATCAAAAGTTAAAGTAACTCGATGTTTTAAATAGACCATCTTGGAGGGGTTATGACAAAACATGGTCTACACCACTATTGGCCTACCTTTTGGTGTAGAGTTGGCCTACCTGTTGCCACAGCAATGGTGTAAGTTTTTTGTTGCAGTGCAAGGGTTACATTATTGCTATGCCTTTGTTATTCTATGCCAAATTGATCTGTGTTTGGCCAAATATTAATGTCTATTGCTACACCAAATATATACAATTATCACGCCAACAGCAACAGGAAGGCCAACCCTGCAACAAAAGGTAAGCCAATGGTGTAGACCACATAACTCATTTTTGAGATTGTGACACCATGACATAAGTAGGGCAAAACATGTAATAAATGTAATACAACGATCGACTATATCATTGAGATTAGGAAATTCTTCTGTAGCTCAAACAAAGTCCATTGTTAATCAACAAGTTTCAGATTTTCATTCTAAAAGTATTTTTCTCTATCCTAAAGAAGTATAACAGCTAAAAAAGTAAAGGAGTGGCCTCTATCCACCATGAATTTTTTTTGCTGGTTTGCCCCACCTGAGAGATTGGACCTTGCTAGAGAACAATAGAATCCCATCATGATGTGGCAAACTCAGAGATAGTCTATTTTGATTCAGTTTTTGACTCATCTTTCTTACAGGATTTTGGCCAAATATAAAAAATGTCTGTGCAATATCCTGAACATATCATATCATACCCAGTTCACAGTGACACTGCCAGCTATGGTCAGTCTGGGACAGGTGAGGAAATTTTTACCTTACAGTTTGTTGCTTAGCTAATTTTCTAAAAGAAACCTTAGAATAAAAATGATGCATTCATACATTTGAAGTTAAAGTTGCATCTATTGTAGGAACTAAAGTGTCTAGACTTTGCAGTGGAACTTTAAGTTTCACGCAGTTATGGGCATATAATAATTTAGCAATTCTGGTGCAGGGTGGTCAAAGGAAATTGGTGACACAATATTACCGTTTTTGGCACATGACACTTTCTTCTTTTATCTTCCCATTCTTGCAGGAAATTTATGCATGATTCCAGTGAATTTAGAACTGTTCACAGGAAAATAATTATTTTTGTTATCTGTAGTGTGCAGTAGTTTGGTGAATTTGTAACCCTTGCAGTGCCTTTCTTTTATAAAGTAATCTTTTCATTTATAAGTTAGAGCTAGGGTGTCAACCTCATTTTATGTTATTCGCCAAATAATGTCAAATTTGATGTTGAGATAACCTGATCAGTAAAGTTGTTGCATAGTTGATTAAAAAAAAAAAAACATGTTTTCCTTATATTTCTCTGATTTGCTTTAGTGCTTTAGGAAAATCTTGATATGTAATGAACTGTCCATTTACTCTTATTTTGAACTGCCTCATATTTCTCTGATTTGCTTCAATTGGTCATTTGTTGGTTATAACTCCTTATCAGTTGTACATATATAGTAGCTTTAAGAAAATGAAAAATTTATTATTTCACTTTATGGTTTAATCATCTAAGAACTGTTTCAAATTATTTTTTCATGTGTTCATCATAATCCTCAAGACGTAAATTGTTTCCCCGCACCTTACAAATCAAGCTCCCATTTTTACTGCTTTGTATTTGTTCCTTTCCACTTTTGTTGGTGAATACCATGTCTGTGTATACTTATCTGTTTTCAATTCATTACACTATGAATACAGTACATGCTCACACTGCTCCCAAAAAGCTGTGGGTAACCTCATTTTTAAACAGAGGTCTTAATTTAAAAACCCCATCAAAGCTCATTATGATGTTATATAATTTTCATTTAAATAATTTTCAATAATAGCCACTGTCCATTGTGAATTTTCCATTTTATAATGTTTGAGATTTTGTGTGCCAGAAAGCCAACCCATTATTAACAGCCAACCCATTATTTAAGTGAGCACTCATTTCTATTTATTATTTCTTTGTGTAGCAAGCCATTAATCAACTGGACAGATATATGTTTAATCTGATGGAAATTTTAGAATTTTTTTATGCCAAATCAAACTGTTTGATTCCATCACAAATGATATTTTCTATTATTCAATTTCTCTAGATAATCCTTCTTTTAATGGACAATTACATTTTAGGGATTCCATTGAGCCATTTGGATTCAAAATTAGTGGAAGTCAGAGGGTATCAAATAAATTGGCAAACATTTCACCAAACAGGAGTGCTAAGTAAGGATGAATGGGACTTTATTGGTGACGTTGATGCAAAGAGTAGAAAGGAGAGGACTGAATTGATCTCAAAATATATTGAAAAGGTATAGAATTTCTGAATAGCTTAATATTAATTACCTTTTCAATTTTGGCAATACTGTGTTAATTGTTTATTTAATCATCAAGGTTTTTTCTTATCTCAGGACCTTATACCATGCTTCTCACATACCAACCTCTGGCACTCCATTTAAACCATATCTATTTTATTCTGTTTCTTTTTATCAAAGAATCATTTTTTTATCACAGAAACATTTTGAAAACGATGAGTATGAAACTACTTTTTATTAAATCTGTTTTGCTTTAGTGATATTTGAAGTTAAAATTAAAAATTTGCTTTATGAAAACACAAAAACTATGACAGGGTTGTACACACCCCTAATGCATACATGATCTTGCTTTGCAATGTTTTTGAATGCTTTTTGTTTTGAAAGGCTTTGACATTTTCAGTTGATTGATTTGTATTGAATTGTAGCTTTGTACCAAAGCATTGCATGATCCAATATAATATTTTTAAACAAATGAATTAATATCCCTTCATCATTTTTAGAGCATCAAAGCATTAATATCTATGTGGGGCAATTTCAAAAATGATCATCCTTTAGCATATATTTTGGTAATGACAGATGATACAATCACTGTGAGTACTCATTTTTAGCTCCTTAATATGTACATGTTGCCTGCAAAAATTTCCTTCAATGCATGAAAAGGTTGTTAATAATTTTATGCCCTTTAGCTTGACATTTCTTTTCCCTTTGCAATAGACTTAGAGCTAAAATCTAGTTAAAGGATGACATTTTTATTTTATTTAGACCATGATTAATTTTTCTTGCAGGATGATAGAAGCACAGTTAAGGAATTTCATGCAGCTGCAAAGAGGTAAAATGTACTTCAAACAGTTAAGCAGTCCTTGCAATATGAAAATTTGCAATTGGGACCATTTGGCTTATCTAAATTAATTTACCCATGCAATGGCATGCAACATTAAGTGAACAGATTTTTAATCTGTCCTTTCCGATTCCTGTTATCAAAAAATGTGTTGCTTTCAATGACATCTTTTGTCTTAAAAACTGAACTGAAATCAAAGAAATTGGCAGAGAAATCATTCTTGTTTTTCTATAAAGATGTTTTAATTTTTTGATTATTTAATGAATTTCCAAGAAGTAATTATAGAGCTGAAACTGTTCATTATTATGCACACCTATGTCAGATGATAAATGACAGTGTTTTATTTCCTTCAGGGACAATGTAAATCTATGGAAGCCATTGTTCAGCCTTTTAAACAGAGATAATCCAGTGATACTCCAAATGGTGAGCAACAAAGAGGGTTGATTATTGGGGGCTTGATAGAAAAATATGTCAGAAAATCTTAAATTGGATGAAAGTCTAATCTTTGTCTTAACGAGTTTCAAGTAAGATTACTTTAAAAAGAAGTGTCTTATTAAAGTAGCACCTTACAATAAAATTGAAATTTCTTTCTACTGATGAAGATTTCAATGGAACCATTGCTGGGGTTGGATAAATGTTTAGCAACATGATTCTTTCTCAAAGCAGCTATAAAAACAGCATAAAAATACATTTCCTTTGACCAAATAAAATATAATGTACTGGAAGTTAATAGTCATACTGTTTAGTGTGTATTTTTTCTTGTTTTTATGCCACAGAGGTGTTGTTGATTTTAGAAAATTCACTGACTTCGTTTTCTAGCATTTATGTTAAAAGATTCTTTTAAAATAGAATGCGAAAGAGACCAGATTTGAAAAAAGTCTACTTGAGGAATAACTCATACCTAGTCCTGTGTGCTCATACTTATAGACAAACTCATACCTAACAGCTCATAAGCAAGGCTGAGGACCACTTCAAGATATTAAATTTCATCTAAATATTTGAGCAATTTTACGGGCTTATTGGTTAAGTTGCTTTTTAGCAAAAACAAATTTTGTTGTTGCGTGGAATTACTTGGTATTAGCATTTTGTTTCCATTTTTCATAACATTTTGAATCATGGTGCAAAAAAAGAAAAAAACACTTTCTCGCAATTCTTTATTTATTTTATCATGTGCACAGGATCATGTAATCAACTAAAAAGATTACTCCTAAGGGAGGTTCTTCCTACTTTTCAATACATCAAGCCATTTCATGACCATAGGACTGTTATTTGGAGAGTTCTCAAGGATACATTATTTTGGTTCTTTTAACCATAGTTTAGATACAAGAATTAATAAATACCTTGCTGATTCAAAGTTACGATTCAAAGTTTTAGGGTTATGATTCAAAGTTTTTGATGAATTTAGAAAATAAGGGTGCTTCACAACATCATAATTATTTTTAGATTATTTCTTGCAGTGTTCCTGTTATGTATATTTCAATCTCAAAGCATTTATTTTAAAGCCATTTTTATTTTAGGCATCAAGAATCTTTGCCAAGCTTGCATGTTGGAGCAAATTTAAATGTCCAAATGATGACCTAAATCTGTATCTATCTTGGCTGAAGGGACAACTTGCTGTTCCAGTAAGCTTTAATCAGATTTGCAAACAATTTTTTGGTGAAAAAATTTCTGACCTTAGATTTTTCAATCCACGTTCTGGCATTGTATGCTCTGATTTTGGCAATTGTAAGATACCATAAAATTCCATAGTATGCAATAAGGGTTCAAAGGGCGTTTTTGGAGGGCTTACTTTGGGGGAGGGCCTAAATCTAGAAGAGACCATGATTGGAATTAAGTTTACGTCAAAGGGAAATGCAAAATTAGCTTTTTCAAGCAAAAAATTTAAAGATCAGTCATGCTCCCATGGCATTTGTAAACAACCTGCAACCATTGTGGACAGGTGGGTATACTTGAAAAAATTACTGGAAAGATAGCTGGTGAAGCTAGAAAGGCCCAAGAAGGCTAAAAAAAGAAAGCACTTAGATACCCAATATGTATAATGTTGGAGATAACAAGCTTTCGTTCAAAAGTATGAAATTCGATAAAAGTTTGAATTATAGAATCACAACCTGAAATAACAAATTTTACTTTAGATGATGCTGTTTATTTCTTGTCAACTGTTTTTCCCCCATTTTTACTTAAGATTGCAGTACTTATAGCACAATTTCGTTCTTTAATTTTATTTTTAGGGTAATGAGTATTTGCAGAATGTTGCTGAATGCTTACAATGGATGATGCGAGTTGAAGAATACCGAATGCCTTTTGTTAAAGTGAACGGAATCAATGGGTAATACATTTAACATGACCCTCTTTTTTCTGCTGAACATTTTTAATGTTGAATATAGCATTTTTGATCATTTCTGGGTTTGTAATAACTGAGAATAATATTTCCCATGAAAATATAATCGATCAGAATATTTACTAGATACATTTCATTGACTTCGAACTCTTGTATTGAAATCTGGAATTATTTTAAAGCAAATTATGATAAAATGTGCTTTAAAGTAACTCCATCTTTTCATACAATTCCAGCTGCTCAAAAGGTTTGTTTTGAAGTATTTGGTTATAGGTGTTTATGAGGGTTGGTCAGCAGGTTTATAACATTACTTTTTAGAGTTGGCGACGGAATTGCTACCTGATGTATTAAACCCCTTTGCATAAACACCTACACACAAATTTGTCGTGCACTCTAAGATTTTCAGTGACTAGGCTCAAATATTCACATTCTTGATTTTCTTTGCTGATTATATTTTAAGCTTTTTTCTAAAACATGTCATAATCAATATGTTTTATTCTCGTTTTTAGCATTGTTTCTGTTCTCCTAAGTAATGTTGGATTTCAGTTGCAATATCAACTGATATTTTCGCTCTGGATGCTAAGCTTCTGTGCTGAAGTTGCAGACCAAATCGTCGAGTGAGTTTTTTTAGCAAAAACTAGACAGTCGAGTTTTTTTTTGTCGTATGAAAGTTTTGCACACACTTTTTCTGTTGGTTTTCAAATTGGGCTAATATGCTGCATTTCTAGTAACACTTTGCAGGATATGTCGTTACTTTTTTATTTTCTTGGGAAAACAAGTTGCATTGGTGTTTGCTTTATAATCCCTGTGTTTGTATTTGTAAATTTAAAGGCATCGAGTCATGATAAAATGGATTGGGTATTCCCTAAGTGCCAAAACCCGCTGAGTCATGATTTTCATGACTGCGATGCTATTGGTTGACCTTGAACTAGTCACATGAACTCACCTCGTTTCATGAATAGCAAATTGTCAACAACGGATGCTAATATCACACGAAACAGCATCGTTCACGCCGAAACCAAATCACCCCCTATAGAGAAGGCCTATTTACCACGACTCAATGCCTTTAAAGATTCATGTCCCATTTTGGCTTCAGTGATATTTGTTTATTTGCTGGCTCAGAAGCATTTCATGCAGCATCGGCATCCAGTTTGCTATAAATACTAATATGTTGGGTCATGTAAAGTCCTATGAATTTTGTTGCTGAATACGAGGTATAAAACTAATTTCAATACTATAAGAGATTCTAATCGGTCCTTATGCTCCACCTGGGTAACGGAACTGAAAAACTATTTGATAAAAAGAAAGCTTCGTTATAAATAGGTTCCTCGCCGAATTCTCGGAATCTGAAAAATTGGATTCATAGATATCAAATGAGCAGGAACAAAGCAGATAATAACAGTTAATATTGAAATTGAATTTGATATTACCTCGACCTGCACGGCAGCAGGAATTTATCTTAGTATGCATGTTTTTTTATTTCCTCAGTGATTTCTTAGGGGTGTTTTCGATAAATCTCGATAGACAATTTCAGTAATGGAACTTACCTCTTAGCAACAACGTAATCCCTGTTCTGGCAGACATCTTACGGAATTCACAGAAAGAAAAAGTTACAAGGATTGTTCTGGCGACACTCAGGGTAGGATTTTTTGTTGATCTCATTCTTTCATGATTGTTTTGATTTTCAGCTTTAGTGGCTAGGAGAAGGATAACTGCACACTTCTAATTTATTTCATGGTCTATGATGGTCTAATGGGGTTCATGTGTGTTTGTGAGGATCTCTGAGGACATTTGAAGGGTCTTTCAGATCGTTGGGGTTTATGTGGATTCGGAGGGCCCCTAAGGAACAAGGTTTTTGCTTCAATAATACCCTTGTATGATTCGACAAATTGCTACCATTTGTACTTCTTTTAAAATCTTTTGTCGTAATGAAAGACACATTTTTTCAATTGCTTATGAAGCCATAACATTTTTAGGTATTTTCGATGGTAAAAAAGTAGAAAAAATTTCTACTGGGACGGTTTTACCAGTAAGATTACCAAGGAAAATTTGCCTAAGAAAATACAATATTTCTAAGATTGTGAAGTCTCTCTCATATAATCGGCGACTTTTATGATTGTTTTCAGAATAGGACGACGTGCCAGTTGATTGATTTCCGATTTATTGCTCTTATAAGAATTTTGAGCCTATAGAAAAGAAATTAACCAGATCCTTTCTTTGCTTTTTGTGGGCCTGGATCATATTTCAATGTCCATTGACATTATGATCTCGTATAACTAATTTTAGTGGTGTGTTTGCTACCGGTTACGTATAATAACTATGTATAATTGCACAGCTTTCCGTATTAAACATTTTCAGCCCATTAAAGGCGGCCCTAAGTCGTTTTGATCGCTTTGGATTAATATGAATACGATAACTATTAAATATTCACCTTCGTATCAAGTGCCCTGGCACAGTTGTCCTTCGTATCAAGATCCAGTATCGACAATATAATCACATGGTCTACCTTTACGGACTAACTTTACAATGGCGATAATTCATCATAGCTCAAGTTTCATTGTATTGCTATTTGATCACAGCGTATACAATTTTATAGCAGAAAGATCTATATTATCTCTCATGTCAACGATAGAAATCAGAATTAGTTGATTAGTTGATGTCAGTTTATCCCTACCAATTCCCATTTGGTGTTTCAGGATATCACTGAGCTTCTTAAGCAGTATAAAATTCCGGTATTTGTTTGCAAGAGGTGCCTACAGCTGTTCTGGTTTGTGTTTAAAGCTCGGCTACCTTTACCGCTAACAATAGTTTACTGTTCTGAAATCCTTTAAGAAACAAGAACTCCAAAAGATCCAAAAACGAGAAGAGAAAATATACATCAAAACAAAAATTCAGTTATAAGCTATCAATTATCAGTTATAAGTGATAAGCTCTTAGCAAATCACTGCTTTTAATTTTTTTTTGTAATAATCAAAGATTTTCAATATATCTTTATCGTTCATTAAGCGATCGTTTAGTTTCATTCTTTACTATTTTGATTGATCTCTTTTAAACAAAGGCAGGCCAATTGCAAATGCTCTGCAGACTGTAGTACAGTTCTAAGGTCTTCAGGTAACAGATATACTGGAAAATGGTAGATTAAAACATACTCTCAAAGCACATCCATTCTTGTCGAAAGATTACCCACGGTATATGACATATTATAATCCCAAATACATGCTTGCTTTCATTTTTTGTCTAGTTTTCCAGTAACTAGAAAACTTCACATAGGAAAAATGTGGGTTACGGAGTAGAGCCACACTGCCTATTTATCGCTTCAAGTGTTTGCGTCACTGATTCGCTGATGATTTTTACTTAATTATAGATGTATCCAATTATAACGATTGGCTTTTTTATCTATTTCCAGAATCTACTTCAAAAACCAGGGCAGCCAAAGTTGGCCTCTGTGTCAATGATTCATTGCAAATTGCTACCGGTAAGATTCTTAAACAAACTTCTGCAGAATGATACTGAATTTCTTCGAGAATAACATGCTCGCTAAACGCTAAACGTTCCATTAAAAACAAATTTATTTCTAGATACTCTAATCCTCAATCGCCTATGCTTTTAGTGCCACGAGCAGTGCGTAGCATTTTGACAACAGCACTGCTACCAATCTTGGTACTCTTAAAAAGACTGCTAAACTCGTAATTAGGCCGATTTATGCTTTCTTCTTAATGGTCCACTGAAGAGTGTTCCCATTTAAGAAACACTTATTTGAAAAACATTTGAGAACACCGATCTGTGTGAATCTTTTCTTAACTGTGTACTATACTACCATCATTGAGTAAGACAATGCTTTTTTACCATTAAAGGTATTTATTCGATAACTTTATCGTGTTTGCTTTGTTTACAAGTTGATCACGGTCATGAGTAGCAAGAACTGGGACGACGAGGATATCAAGGAAGATGTTGACTTTTTACTTGAAAAGCTGAATGATGGGGTACAAGATCTGAGGTTAATGAGTTCAATGTTTTTTAAATCTTCCATCTTTTTCTTATTGGTTTTACTTCTCCAATTGACTTTTAGCCTTTTTAATACACTGCACCACATATTACGATAATTGCAACTAGATTTACGGCTGCATCGATGAGGTTTTTAAGGTAGACATACGATAGATGACAGTCATCTTCGAGTCCAAAAACACCCTGCAACATGTACCAATCGTGGTACCGTTTTGTTGGATCCAACTGTTTAAAATTTCAAGGTATTTTGTTTTAAAAAAACTTTAGCACCTTCCCCCTTTCGAACAGTGATGCATAAAGCAGAAGCTTTAAAAGGCGTGCGTAGAATCTGGATGGTGAATAAAATTTTCCAATGTGTTTGCCTACAATCACTGCCAAAAGTTTTGGAACACTAACGTCAGTTTTTAAAGGCAAATTTAGCCACCCCCTCTACCCCTAAGAACTATGTTGATTTACTTTAAAAAAAAGGAAGTGATTATGAAGTACGCTTTTTTGTGTGCCTTGTATGATATCTTTCTATACTTTCAACATTGTTTTAGGGGGAAAGGGGGACGGAAGTCACAGCTCAAAGTGCTGGGTGTTCCAAGTAATTTTGGCAGTGATTGTATGTTGTCATGGATCAAAGCAAGGCCGTAGAAAACATCTTAAACTTTGGGAGGGGGACAAGACACTTCGAGGACACTTTTTTACTAGGAGGGCACTTGATGCAGATGGGATAAACAGCTGAAAAGGTCATTTTCAAAACTGGAATCGCCCAAAGGGAAGTGTTGACCTGAAAGACCATTATGCCTACAGTCTACTTGTACTCGTTATTTTAGAGAAAAATCAAACTAAGAGGGCACTTTCTGAAAAGGGCACCTTTTTGTCTACTGCAGAATTCTGGGAAAAGCACGTCCTCCAGTGCCCCTTCCACCCCGTTCCTATGTCTCTTGATCGAATTATGTTGGCAGTAAACATGGCATTATTTAAATTGCCCAGTTCTTGCCTTGTAATATCTGACATTGTTTTAAACACAATTTGAATATGCTCAGGCATGATACAAACAAAAACGTTTTTTTTTGGTAAATTGATTACTAGCTAATAAAGAATCAAGGGGTGGTGAACGATATCAATTATTGTTGGCGCTTTGTTAGACCAAAGATTACGAAATGTGGTATAATATGATACCTACCTGTGAATGATATGGTCCAATCTGTCTAAACTTTCCAGGGAGCTTTACTAATACTTAATTATTCTTTCAACATACGTTGTAGGTCACCATTCTAAGCGTCATAATCACGTCTAAGCCTTTTCTTATGATTACAATGAGCTATTTTTGCCAATATATTGGACAATGCTTTTTACCTTAAACACCCATCAATTTGTGTTTTCAATGAGAGCCATGAATGTTTTATGAATATTGACATAGAGTCTAGAAAATATTATGGTTCCACTGCTGTGAGCCGGAGGAAAATTATCCAAAGATACAGTAGTTTTGAGAAAGGCCAATGCATAACTACAAAACCATGGAAGATTTTACCTTAATTTCCATTTCTGTGAAACTACTGTTCAAAAAATATACAGAAATGGGCAATAGTCAGAAAAAATATACAGAAAAATTTTGACGAAGGTGAAGAGGGCAAAGTTTCAGCTGGAGAAAGGTTGAGGCGTTTTCGCATTCTGTTTGAAACATCTTTCTTTTTTTTATAACCCAATACAAATTTTACAAGTACATATCACAAAATACTTTACATACAAGAAATTACTCTACAACTCTACTACGGACGTTACCCCGGAGAGCAAAGTACTATGTCTATCCCGGGGCCATTAAACACAAGAAAGAAGATAAAGGTTTCATGAAACTTAAACATCTTTTTTCCACCCTCTTAACCCTTTTATTCAGAAGTCTATCTTTCTTAAGATGATAACATTAGAAAGATGAGCTTTGATTTGAATCCAAACTCTCTGAAGACGAACTTTGCGCCAATTTCTATTTCTGCGCAGTTTTTTGTATCCAACAAAGACCAGCTGCTGTTAGTTTGAAGTTTAGTGTGACAGTTGCTGGTGATCCAGAAACCACTACTCAACCCTATGTGTTGATATTCAGTTTGAAATTAACTTTGATAGAAATTTCATTTGGCAAAGGTATATTTCAATACCCCTCGGTTTCCATCGACAGAGGGAATACTGACATCATACAGCTCCTAAAACTTAAAAGCAATTGGCTGGACAGAACGGAGGCTTTTATGATTATGCAACTTTTCTGTTTTATAACTTGCGCTATGTGACATTCTATATGTTTTGAATGAACTTTTTTCGAACATATCATCATTGTGTAATAAGTGGGTGCCTGATCAAAATCTGTAAATCTTCTCATATTCGGTGCTTTATTAATTTTTATCTCTTCATTACTTCAAATCGATGTAAACAAATTTCGATTAGGTCTATATTGATATATCTGATCTCGATGAAAATTACATTAGTCACATGAAAATAGCTGATTTTTTTTCTCATAAAGTAAGTAGTTTCGCAGAAAAAACCAAACAATTGTGAAACATCGAGATTTGCAATTTTGTCCCTAGGAAAAGTTATTGGTCGAAGGATAAAGACGTCTTGTCTAGTGATTATTGAGGTCTTTCGTTTTTATTATTAGCTTGATATGAACCGCCCTTTTGCAGCATGGATCTTGAAGCAGGTATTAAACACGTTTCCAAAAGAGCATAACAAAGCCAAATTGATCTTATTACAGCGGCTTACACATATATTTTTGCATTTGAGTTGTTTATTGCACTTTGTTTATAGTTTTTAACAAATGTAACGATATATTTATTTTGCTTGCAGTACGTTTGACGAGTATGTCGCAGAGGTCAAATCTGGCCGGCTTGAATGGAGTCCTGTGCATAAGTCTGATAAATTCTGGGTATGATATTGTTTTTTTGTGTTTGAGCATTTTGCAGTAAATCATCCTAAATTAAGTAAAAGTTTTCATAAAAGTTTTTAGGAAAGAGGTTTATGTTGTGTTAGCTTCTCTATAGATTTTTTTCAGATAGATTCTCGCTTCCTTCTACCTGTCTCATTATTAAGCAGACTCTTTCATTTTTTCCACATTCAGAAAAACACATAACAAATTGTAGTTTTCCAGCTCGATCAGTTTTGAGTGTTTGTCTACCAACTTTTCATCTTCTTTAATCTAAATTGATTTCGGCTTATTGAAAAACCAATTAGTTACGTAACAGTTTAAGGTGTTCCTATGGTTGTACCATCGTTGAAGGACTTTTGATAAAAGACGAATCAATATGAAATGAATTAGGCCCACTATCCACGATTTCGCTTTTATTTTATTTGAAGTTATTCATTATTTTTTTCATCTGTGTAACCTGTGACTTAATTGCTGGGATAACTATGCAAAATTTAGAAATATAATTCAATTCCTCACTCCCTCTTATTACAATATTTCTTAATCTTAAGTCTTCATAGTTGCTTGTGAAAATCACGAGTGGCAAACACCTTTTCTCATCCATCATGATATAATCAACATTAAAGCAGAAAGGCAGGAATAGAAAACAGCGTTGTTATCATTTTAAGATTGTGAAAGCTGGGTATCATCAATGCGCCACCGCTCTCCCTCTCTCTTGCACTGCTTCGCAGCGGACTAGACCGACATAGAACTTGATTTTGAGACATGATTTAAAAATTGTTTTCGCTCGGGGTCACACCAAGCATTTGATTACCCCTGATGAAGCATATGCTTGGCCACTAAATTGCTATGGAAAGCTCTCGCTAATGGACTTAACTTCTTTACACTTAAGCAGTGAATACTCTGTTATGCTTGATTAATGTTTTTGAAGAAACTCCCTTCGTTTTAAAATTTTTCATGACTTGATTTATCATATTTTATGCTGACCTCTGCCCGACATTAACTTATTAAGTAGTCTTCTTCTGTCTTTTTAACACGCCCAAAATCCTAGACACAGCTGTTAAACAATCCCTTAAACGCATGATTGGTAGGATGCAAATGATGCACAACGAATGACCCTCGCTGATAATTGCAGGGGATGCAAAGTTTTATCCCTACCATTCAATATATAGAAATAATATCAAAATAGGAACACAAGCTAATTTGGTAAATAGTATTACTAATAGGCTTTGCCTTTATTAAATTCCTTGTATTATTACTATTACTAATTTATAAGCGAATTTGTAGGTTTTTTTCTCGTTAGTCTACAATAGTATGAATGAATGAAAGTTGGAAAGATATAAATGATGTTTATTTTTTTAATGATGTAGTATTTCTGTTTGCAGAGAGAAAATGCAATCCGATTAACGGACAACAATTATGAGTTACTTCGGTAGGTTATTTATGCTTGTTGCATCTCATATCGGATTATTGTTGTTTGCCCTAGACTCGCCCATCTTGCCATAGGATCCGATTACAATCATTTTAAGACAATTATCACAGATACGCACAGCTAACCCTCTTTTAATGCCACAGCGCACAGGGTTTAAGTTGCATCATGATTATGAAAGTGCTCAACAGTAGACACCGCATATATTCATTTCTTTTAAAATCATAATGCTGGTTACAGAAGCATAGCATTTTATCCCAAATATATAAAACTCATCATTTTAGCTGTTTTGAAAATCACACGCCACTTTAAGTCATAACTTTTCAAGAAACATTCTGTATGTTTATTAGCAGAGTCTACTGTACTAACTGTTCAAAGCTTTTTACTCCAAAAGAAGTGCACTGGTGCTAAAAAAATAGACAAAGCTGTAAAGTTGAATCTGTTTATACAGTTGTAAGATCCAGCAGCATATTTATAAAGTCTAGTCATAACTTTTCAAGGAAAAGGAAAATCCGAGGCCTGTTGCAAAGGATGCCTGCACTGTGGGGGCAGATGGGGCAGTTCCCACATGGCTTCACCAATTTTCATTTTTTTTGCTATTGTTTTGCTTGTTTTAAGGCACTTTGCCCCTTTTTCTCCTTGAGTGCAGGTTGGTGTTTTTGTGAGTGATATTTCTTGTAGCGTATGCCTTTTCTTGAATAACAGACAGTTTGATTGAGAAATTGCAACATTATCTTCCTATATGTGCTACAAGCTTAAGATGTGCCCCTCGGCACGAAATTAGAACGCTCTAAATCATGGGTATCAAGAAGATCAGCTGGAAATTAGGGTTAAATGCTTATCGAAAGCCGCTAAAGATCCCGAAAAACCTCTAGATTAGAGCAACGATATATGTTTGTACAGACCGTTTTCCGTTAATCCCTGGTAATTCTTTCTGAGTCTTTACAGATATCTCAGTCAACATTGAGAATAACTTCGCTAAGTCATTTGCACTTCAAAGGACTACTTTTATTATGATGCTTCTATCAACGCATCCCGCCTGATTTTTTTTTGGAAAATCGTAGATAAATGAAATCAATTACTTAATTACAAGAGTCTTTCGTTTTGATATTATTGTAACGTGCGGTCATTTTAGCCCTTTAAGATCCGGTAAGTATCTCTCTACAGTTTATTAAAACAGTTTATTTTTTCTTTCTGGACAGAATATTAGTCAGGCTGCTGGAGACGGCAAAAGATCCTGTTATTCTGGCAGTGGCCTGTCATGACTTGGGGGAATTTGTTCGACTTTATCCAAGGGGCAAACCGTAAGTAGGAACATCACCTAGAAAGTCTTATATGTTTTTTACTGTTCTGTTATATGCCTTTTGTCGGCTTGCGTTTCGTTATTTTTGAACAATTTAAATCAAGTAGGAGTCACGCACCAATTCGTCTTTTCTTTTGAATCTGTGGTATTGTAGACTTTTATAAGACCTGTACATACGGGATTGCTATAATGACAAGTATGTTTACGTGGCACATTGGGCGAAAAGCCCCCAAGGTTTTCTTCCTCTTCAGCGGAAAATGTTAATTGCAGTCAACGTGATTTTTTTCTGTTATATTGAAAGTTGCCTTACACCCATAGTCAGCATCTAAATATTGAACTGCTGTAATCGTAGGTAACGAGTTTAAAGACCGAACCACGCCCTTTATTGTGAATAAAACGCATATTAGCCGCCGTCAAAGATTCGTTATCCTCACATATACGTCCTCTGTAACACGAATTTTACGGGACTAGTAGGAGGGGTCCCGTCAATGGGTATATGTTCAAAGAAAAAGATGTCAATATCTTTTTTTTATCAATCATATCTTGCTGTCTGTTGCATAAACTTGGCTCATGACTCTGTAAATCAGTTTTCAGCTGGAAAATCTCGATTGCATTGTTTGTTGAAGAGATAAGCTCATTTTCTTATTATTAAGTCATCTTTAGACAATCCATGAAACATTATTAAAAGTTGTCCCAAGTAACCTCTCGATTTGTTTCTTGTACTTCATTCCCCAAGTCTGTGTGTTCTTAAAGTTATCTTCTAGATACTTGTGCATGTGCTATTCTCGCTCGATCTTGAAGATTATTCTACTGTTTCTATTAGCATGGCAATTTCTTTGTTAACGTATTTGGACAATTTGTCATTTAGTTCAAAGTGTTGCCAAAGCGGACCCGGCTCTGCTATTGTGCTTTTATCAGAGAAAACAGGAACTGTATTTAGTATAACAGTAAGATAATAATCTACTCACCTGGACTGAAAGATGTCAGACCGATTATAAATACATCATTTCTGCTTAAGATTATGATGATATCAACCTTCTGCCAACATCATTCATTCGTTGGCTGCATTATCTTTTCAAGATATGTCATTTGGGATTAATGAGACCTCCAAAGAAGATGTTCCTTTTGCAACGTAACACCAATAATTTTTTGCTCGACTTAAGGTGCCAATGATTAGGTAAAATTCTTGTTGGGAGGTCGTTAAAGCTTATTTAGTGTCTCTTGCCAAAAACTTTGTTCTTGAATCCACTCTGTTAAAGAATTGATCAGATAAAAAGTTGGTTTTTAAAATATGATCAGTTGTGGTTGATAAAATGAAAGATGAACTGTACGCTTGTTAATTATAGGAAGGACCCTCGAGGACGGTGGGGAGTTAATTCTGGGGTTAAATAATTAACAAGGATCATTTTTACAACATTTATAAAATAAAATATGAGACACAAATGTGATGATTGTAAAACTGAACAATGAACCAAAAGCAAAAAAATTGGAATAGAAAAAAAGCTGAGAGACTTCATTCTTCTTGTAAATTCCACTGACTTAATTTCTAGAGAAGGCATGGAGTGCTTGTAAATTCTTCTTAAATTCCTTGGGAGTGATTCTAATTCGTTAGGTCTGAGTTCGAAAAGATTGCTTATAGACAGTGGGCAATGATTGGCCTCTGAAGTGGGCGTGGAAAACAAAAGCTGCAACGGAGAATGTGTTGAACCTTTTCTTAAGGTTTCCCTCATTCTGGATTCCCGTATGCATCAGACTTTGAGCAATGAAGGGAAAAGGACTGTATTTGCTGTTAAAAGCAGTTTGTCTCCTTTTGTGCTCAATTTTATTTTCACTAGAATAAAATTCATGTTTAGTTTACATTGATGAGTAGTTAACTGTAGTATAGCCAGTCAGAGCCAAAAAGATTATCAAAATCTCATTCTTCATATCAGCAGTTTGCTAAGGGGACATGCTGCATTTAATGAATGATCAGCTTCGCTTTAACATCTCAAGCGTGTATGAAAATAGACAAGATTTTCGTTTTTAGATGCACCATGGAATAGCACAACTATAAGATTTAATTGCCTGTGCATTTGTTCCTCAGATACGTCATAGAATAGCATGACTGTAAGGTATAATGACCTGTTTGTTTGTTACTTTGCAGAGTCTTCGATGGCCTGGGAGGTAAGGAACTAATCATGCTAAGAATGACACATGAAGAACCTGCCGTCAGATACGAGGCACTTCTAGCTGTGCAGAAGCTGATGGTTCATAACTGGTAGGTTAAATGCAAAGAAATTGCTTTAGTTTTTTTTATCAATTATATTTGTGGATAGCAGTCAATTAAAGTTACATAGCAATGATAACATAGGTTTCTGGTGCATAACAATGGCTGAAAAATGCAATCATTGACGATTTTTTTATGTCTTGAACTTTTTTCCTATTTATCAAAGTGTTTCCAATCCCCTTTGCTGCTTGTTTCTCAATTCAATACAAGTCTTTTCTCAGTATTATTAATTGAAAATATCTATAGCCTAATTGAGTGATGATGGTTTTAACATGACTTTAATTGACATGACTTGATAAAAATGATTTGGTATCTCGATTTTAGGGAGTTTTTGGGGAAGCAATTGAAAGTGGACAAATAGCTGAATCATCAGTAGTTTGGACCAAGTCATGAGTATAATGAATGTAGTATTTATATTTTCAATTAATTTCAAATTCAATATCATAATTACATATATCGAATTAATTAGAGGATAAAGATTTTTGCAAGATAATTTTGTCGATTTGCGTTTTAGCTGCTACTTTCAAAAAATCATTTTCATCAGCCATAGCAACGGCCTAAAAATTATGTCAGCCTGATGTTTTTGTAAACTCAGCAAATTGTTACTCACTCATTTCTTTTTGTGGAAGGGGGATTCATAATCATCAACAAGTGTCCTGACATCAACAGCCGGGAGCAATTTTTGAGCATTCTGTGGTGTCACTTTAATGCATCGGCTTGATTCAAAATACCTTATTTCGAACAAAAACGATACACGTTATAGATGCTTTAGGACATTGTGTGTTTACATTTATCAATGTCAAATTTATGGCCTCTCAATGCTTTATGTCCGTCCAGCTTTCACCATCTGCATCTCTTGCATCAGATGAAACGCTGCAAATTGTCGTGTCATATGTCTGCAGAAGATACTAGCATGAAAATGAAAAGCTTTTTACTCTCTATTGCTGCCAGCAAACAAACTTCAAACATATAACATCTAATCTAGAAACTGTTATATTGCTGTTATTACCTCTATGTTGTTTTATACCGTTATTTCTGCCATGTTTTTGTATGACTTTGATAGCATTATTTCTTTACGGTCTTCCTCACTACTGCTCTCTACAACACAACTTGAACGCTTTTACATAACGGTTTCAAATCTGTAATTCCTGCTTCTTTTGAAATGAACTGCATTCATTAAAATAAATCTTGAATATAAACTATTAACACAAATGACAAACAACTTTTAGAAAAGTGTTGACATATTTCTTGCCAAAAGTACATTCAGTAGCGTATTAATGTCCTCTTAGTTTTTTCTTACCTATCTATGTTTTTCTGTTCTACTTTGTTTACCCTCAGTCTTATATCTTAAATTGGAAAATTCTTTATTAAGATGAAAGCTATTTGTAAAATGTTCTAAGACACGGCTATCTCTATTAATTGTCTTTTTATGTTTCTCCACGAACTATTCTTCTTTTTGTCTTTTATTGGAATACCATTGTACCAAGCCATTTTGAAGCCGTATCGTCCCGGTTTATAGTTACCATTCGGTTTCTTCTTGGGCAGCCATGGAAGAACCTGTTTTATCAAACTGTATCCTCGTGAATCATACAACATTAAGTCGGTCTTATTGCGAATATCCCAGAATCCTTTGCCTTCTTCAGAGCTTATCGGCGCTAGCCCAAGAATTGTTTTAATTAATTCGATAAGATATTCTCTTGCCATACACTGCATGTCACACGAAGTCTCGTTGTAGAAAACATGTCCAGTGCACTGAGGCCATTTCAACGTGCCATCAAATGCATAGCCGCAATCACCAACAATTATGTTCAAATTTTGTCGTAAGAACGATTGCCTCTGCGCTCCAAGTGTCCCTTGGTAGGCCGGAATGATTCCAAATATAGTCAAGTATCTCAGCATAGATGTCAATATAATTCGTTGGTTGTCTTGAGATTTACATTTTTTGATGACTATTTTGTGACTATCTGATTCATTTTTTGGTTCTTCTTTCACTGAAATGAAATAAATATTTTATAAATCTTTGACTTTATGGTGGATCTTAGGAACTGAACTTTTATCTATGTTTAATAAGCAACTCTGAAAGTTGTGTAGTGAGCTCTGTAAGATTCTATGTTCTAATTTTTGCTTCCTCTTTCTATCTTTTTTGAACGCCTTCTAAAGAGCCTAGCCGCCAAGCAGCGCCTATTTTCTTTTTATCACAAGCTAAACAATTTCATGTTGGTGAAAAATTGCTGAACAAAATATGTTGTATATTGTAGTGTAGTCAGGCAGTTGATGGCATGGTGTGGTGTGGTGTGGTGTGGTGTGGTGTGGTGTGGTGTGGTGTGGTGTGGTGTGGTGTGGTGTGGTGTGGTGTGGTGTGGTGTGGTATTGCGAAACTACAGGAAATTAAAATACAAAATAATGTAATTTTTGTACGATTCAATAGATAACTTTTGGTAGTTTAGGGATAGGGTCTTTTGTTCACTTATGATAATATTGATAATAATATTTATACAGGGTAACCTCTTCAACACAAAATGTGCCGCTACATGTTGCTTTTTCTGCCCGAGTAATCTTTTTACAGTTAACGTACGAGCCTGAATTCATAACGGTTTAAACTTGTTTAAAATGGTAGAAGGGGTGATCGATTTTAAGCGTATTCACTTTTATGATATCACTCTTTTCGTATACTTTGCCTTTAGGCATAACTTGGTATGGCGTGTAGTATAGTGCTTACTCGTGGACATGTACAATGATGTAGAAGCCCCACTATATCATTTAACAGGTATGCGACATGTTGGCCCTAAGGCAAACACTTTTACCAAATAAAGCAACCAAAAGCAACACTAAAGCATCTTTACCTCAAGACTTAACGAAGGTCGCCAAGGTATTTTCTTTCTTACAAAGCAATATTTATCCCTAGCAAATACATCACAGTCTTTTTTTTCACTACTAGACTAATCTTCTAGACTATTCCTATGTTTTTCAAGTTATCCGTTCCCTTCTTCTCTCTCTCTTACTGATCCACTTTTTCTCTAATATTGGTGTCACGCCAATTCCTTTTTAAGTCACGCCAATTACAACAGAGGTACAAAACGCACAATGTTGACCCACACTGATTATCGAAAAAAATTTCATGTCCATTGATGTTTATTCTTGTAGATTTGACGAGTGCCTTAGGACCTTTTCTGAATCTTAAGTAATGTTTATCAAGCGCGGAAGATACTTCTTGTAAAAATTAGTTTTTGGGAATCTCATATTCCATTTCAATCTGTTATCAAAGCATTGCATCTTTATCTTTCATTCACAAGCCTTGAAATTAGTTCTCTCTCGTGTTTGATACGCGCTTCTTGCCATATTTCTGCCACTTTGTAATTATTGCCAAATCTAAATATTTCATGTGTTGTTTCGCGTACCAAACGCTTTATCTATTTGTCTCATCGATGATTCTGGACAAAGAATTTTAGGCTACACTTAGGATATAAGCCCTAGTAAGATCTTGCCAGACAATGCTCTTTCCAGCAAGAAACTTCAAATCTGTTAGCCCACGTGGTATCGATGTTAAACTAATTCCTGAAATTTCGTCAAAAAGTAAAACAAATTTGACAAGAAGCTGAAAAATCTAAGCATGATTAGTAATCAAAACTCTGAAATTATCAATTTCCAAGAATCAGATCTCTGCGACGTAAAATCCTACTAAAAAGCCAGCTTTTTTTGTGCTAATGATCTTGAAGTATCGACATTGGGTATCCTAGTAAGTAATAAAGCTTTGAAAAAACTTATATCTACTTACCACCGTCTTGAGATAGAATAAGTGTTGCCTTTAGTTGTCTCAGGTTTGTTACAACGGTAGTATCGTCCGGTGCACCGTCTTCATCGCAATCGATCAATTGAGCCAGTATATTAGCTGCGTGTTGGAGGCTATTATCACAGACAGGTTGTCGCGAAACTATTTTGATTCCGAATATACCGATATACCTTTGAACGCCAGGGTACTGCATCGAGGGCAAGAGACTGCCAGATGGTAACCGCCTTATCTTGAATTTACGACAATCAGCCACAGTTAGTATTAAAATCATATTAAGGATGAAGAGTTTGGCACTCATCTTCATTTCGCGCGACGTTGTGCTTAAAGCGAAGATTATTGCGATTGACTACTAGCCGGCTCTGTGGCTTTTAATCAAAAGTTAGTGCACACAGAATTTATCTAAGATTCCAAGGTTCATCGCGTTTAACACTGAACAAAAGTCCGTGTGAAAACGACAATCTCTTGGTGATCCAGTGGTTTTTATTCATGTCAAGGGTCAGCCATTTTTTTAAGCATAGCAGTTGGTTTGATAGGGATAATGCGAAGTAACAAGCTGGGCCAGAAATGAATAGTACAGCAGTGTTCCTTCTTGAGATGAACGTATTTTGCAGTTTTATGTCATTCTTTAGTCCGTGAAAAAGCAGTGTCTTGGCATCATAACTTTGGTCAGTTATTGCATCATAACTTTTGAAACTCGAGCATCGATTCCTACAGGTCAACGTTTGAGTTAAAAATGAGATCAAGTAGGCTGGCCAGAATGATATTCAAATGGACGAGTGCTTAGTTCTTATCCAAGCCATAGGCCATCTGTTAAAAACTAACACGGCTAGCGAAAAGTTATCATTTTATGATTTTATCATGCATGTATATAAGTCATTGTTTTCGATATTATGTTTCAACGTCTATCAGACCTGTAAGTAAGAGGTTCAAATATTGCTTCTCTATGAAAATGATTCCTTAATTTGAGTAAGTTTTCATGGTGTGTTACATTCAAATGCAACGAAAACAAACATTTGGCAAGGATCAGTTACATAAATATATGTATACTTATATTTATATATAATGTATAAATGTATAATATGTATTTATGTAACGAGGATTAATTTGTGCAGTGTGCTACCTCCACTTACGTACTTCTTTTGACGCAAAATAGACATATTAAGCAAAGTCCAGAATATAGCAATAAAGATAACAAAGCTTTCGCCATGTACGAAGGGCACTAGTATACTTTGGTAAACTATAGTATACTGTGTTTAATTTTAGTAACCATTATGGGAACAAACAGTCCTTTTATAATTGAATCTAATTATACATTTTTTACTATACTTTGCGAGTTATAAAAGAGAATGACTTTTGGAGTGAGGAATATAATACATTTCCAAATTACCTTATAAGCGTCTATTCTGACACAGTATTCGTTAACTGACAACAATAATGGGCCTAAATTTGCTATTTCGATGTTTTCTTGTGTAAAATAATTGGAATTTAGGGAGAAACTGTCTAGCAAACTTCATGAAGACAGAGCTGCATCGTTTTCAAAAGTTTATCTGAATGTAAGTTTTGCACGATATGGAAATTAATTACATACAACACCAAAATTTAGAGCAAAATTCTGAAATCATATTCATGCTGTAGTCAGATCTATGAAGTGAATTGTAAAATTTTCTATTTAAATGAGCTATCAACATTATTCGCAGTTCAAGTAAGGAAGGGGGATGTGCTGTAGGAAATCCCTAGCCGCCACATCAAGTACCACACCCATGGTCACACCCTATGTACTTGCATTTGTGTTGAAAATTCTCCGTTGTGTATTTGGAAACATTCGAACTATTCAACAACTCTAAAAGGGTAAATGAAATTGCTCATTCATGGAAAATTAATACCATAATAAAGGGCTAATTCACATTGCCAAGTAAGGAATTCGCCCAACCAAGCATATACTGGCGTGTAAAGAGGGTGGGGGGGCTGAGCCTTCCTAGAATATTTTTTAGTTCTAGCATAAGTCCCCTTCCCTCCACGGCACCGCTGAAACAGCCCTATGTTATAGTTTTTCAATCTGTTCTCGTCCACACCGCCATCAACAAGGCTTTGAAGAAATTGCTTATCATAACCTTTCTTGATATCATACATTCTTTCTTTTGGCGCTTAAGGCAATATATTGTACATTTTAAGGTAATGTCTAGGGCCTCCAGGGCTTTTTATTTGTAAAAGAGGTCTTTTCCTTTGACAGACAATTGCATCCTACATACACCTCCATGATGTTGAAGTTAATCTTCAACGCAACAGTGCAGTGGCTAGATCAGGGGTGGGCAATCTGTTGAAAACTGTTTTGCGGAGGATCCCACAAGAACCTGAACTGTGTTAGTTGGCCGAACAAGCGATATTCTCGCAATATTTACTTTTTCCCAATTTGAAGCAATTGCACACCCACCATTTTCTGTTGTGGTTTGCATATTCCCTATAATATCGCAACTGATTTTCATACAGTCTTTGAAATAAAAATTGAAGTTTCTCCTAAAATTATTTGCATTTTCCAGAGAATCACGCCGGATTTTTCATAAAAATTATGTACTGTAACAGGACAGAAGTGGAATGGTTCAATCCAACAATTCAAGGTTCGTTGCTACTATGAATATAGAAAAGCTCTGTCCGGACTTTTTAATTGTCCAAAAACGTCGTCCGAGAATCTCGTCTTGAACCCGAGACATTTCGGCCTAGTAAAACGCGGCATAATAATGGAGTGCTACGAGAAAGTAGTGCAAGCAAAACAGGAATCTCGTAGTAGGCAGCCGTGGCAGGTTTTCATAAGCCAAGGATGTAAAATGCGTAGTGTCATACCATATTGTTTAAAGATGTTAGTAAACCATCAAAAGGTCGAGTTGGTTGGGCTAGGTTCACAAATAAGCAAAGCCATATCAATTGCCGAAATATTGAAGAGGAAAGACAGCGACCTTACCCAAACAACGAGCATCTCCTACACGGAATTCGAGGATAATTGGGAACCAAAGGATAAAAGTAAAGGACTTGATGCATTGTGTGTCACACGAAATGTTCCAACCATTAAAATTCAGCTGCTAAAAGTAAAGGGCCCTAACGATATCAGTGAAGAGAAACCAGCTCAGATGGAAGTAAATGAAACTGAGAATAATGACGTCATTAGCAAGGAAACATTGGCAAAATTTAAAAGAGAAATACGCTCTAGCTTGAGGGACCTTGCTGTAGAAAAGAATTCAGAGACAAGGGCACATGAACACCATAAAACAAAACTTACATATAAGCAGAAGGATACGTGATAATGGTAATATAAACAGTTTTTTGTAGTTTTTGTATATGGGTCATTTGTATATTTTTAACTTTATTCATTTCAGGTAGAGACATGTGAACCATTCTTGAGGCTGCTGTGCAATTTTCTTTGTGATCTTGCTGTGTAGTCATTTTATCATATACATCATCTAGACTGGAAACTTTGTTGTGCACCCACAATTACGGCCCTCGCACACATCTGCATGCTTTTACATATTGGTCACGCAAATCCCCAGATGATAACATTTAACATTATCAACCCTTAAAATAGCTAAGAATGTTTGGTTTCAGGCATACAGTCTCAAATTTTCAAAATAATCTTGTCCAGGCAGGAAACAAAGTTTCCAGTCTAGTACATTATCATATCCTAAAGACCTCCTTTACCAAGCATATCCTGCCCACAAACTGATTTTTCCATACACGCTTTTTCATAAGAATAAGTTTTAGAAAAGATTAACACTGGGAATTGGTGAAATTTAAGAATGAATATATTTTGACATTTTAACATGAATTTATTCGATACTTTGGCACTGCCTGGCATATGTTATAGGAATATGTCACCAAGCTCTTTGTAATAAAAATTTATTTGAAATTAATGCCTTTGTGTCCAGGAGAGCAGGAGAGAAAAAAGACAATAATATTAATGCAACAAGCAGCATAAAAAACTCAATTATAGGGTTGTATAGTTCAATAAAACAATTTGTTGTGTAAATTTCACTCTTATGAGTATTAAATGTCCTTTGTTTGTGTTTAGCTTCATTTTCTACATCTGTCATGTTAGTCAAATATTTAATGAATAAGGTCTTCTGGCTTCTTTTTGAAAATGATTTAATAATAGTTTTTTTGGCATTTCCATTTTGCAAAATGGAGCATCTGTAACTGATACGTGTCTGTCAGGTTCAAAATTTCCACTGCTTTTTTTTCATGGCTGGTCAGAGTTGTCAACTTGAACTCTCTGTGTGAGTTAATCATATCTTGACTGACTCAAGCATTTTTCTCAAACCTTTTTCTTTAATCTGTTGTTCAAAGGTGTCAATTTCAATTTTTATATCATTTGATGTGAGTGACAATGTTCCAATGATACTGTCAAGCTTTGTAAGGTCTGGTCTTTCTTCCATTAGTTCAAAGCACAAAGGCCTAATGCGTGGTGCTTCTTTTCGCAAACTGTTGATCATTTGCCGGCGACAATAGTGAGAAGAGATTGAAATGAAGACCAAATCAGCAGGATAAACTTCTTCGTAGTATCCTTTGAATAGCTGTGCAAAGCTTGATGAAAAATGGAAAGCAAATTAGTTTATATGTAGACTACAAATACGTTACAATGCTACTTTTCCGAAAAAGGATGATGAGTTGGTATTTTAAAATAACCCAAGGTATGATGGTTACCTTAATGGTCCCTCTTATTTTTTGTATATCTGAAAATCTCACTTGCTTTACTTGCTTGCCTAAACCTGGGATGCTATGGTACTAAACCTGATATCAAAGAAGTACTTGTGACCTTGTAAGGAAGAGAAGGTCAAAGGTATCATTAATCCTCCCTAAAAACCTCTTCACCTGGTTATACATCTTGTCTCACCTTTAGTCCATCAATGAACAAAAAAGAGCAACTACTTTCAATATATTGGTTAAGATTTCTGCAGACTTGAAATTTTAGCTATTAGTCAATATATTTTTTAAAGCTGTCTTTGGCGTTTTTAATATAATTCTCTGGCCAAACAACATTGCTGTGAAACAACATATGATATTGTACAGAAAGCATGCATTGCAACAGGAAGGTCTCTCTCATTTTGTTTAAGATCACAGAGAAATAGTTTCAGTGTGGATTTATCCCTGAAAATACTGATAGTACCAACAAAGAAAGCCATTAATCTTTTATCAAGCAAATAAGGATATAATAGAAATATGTCAAAACGAATATATACTTTTGGCTTTGACATTTTCTATTTTCTCCTTCATCAGTGACAATTATGAAAGTTTTTATGATCTTCCTGTTAAAATAATAAGGATAAAGTGATGCTGCAGGGTTGGTACAATCTTCAGCCTGAATAAGCCTTGACAGATTCATCACCTTTCAAAGAAATAATAATGTTTACAATATCATTATTGTTGTATATTGTGTTCTAATTTCAATAAAACAATGTTGAATGATTGCATTACAATAAGGACAATTATAGCAGTATTCACGGATAAGTCGCAGTTTTAGAAAGTGTGCACGCTGTTTTTTTTATTTAAAGTATTGACAGTCACAAGTGGTTTTTTGGAGCGTGAGTAGTATTAACATTGATTAAGTTTCAAAGAGCCTTCATTAGGTTACCTGTATAAGATGCTCTATAATCCTTCTAAATTAGATGCTCTATAATACTATAATTATGTAAGTTGCAGCCATATTGAAATGCAGCCATTACCAGACTATATTTCATTACTAGATCATCAACAAATATTAAGAGGCTCAAGGGCTGAGAAGTTTGTACCAAAAAAAAATAATTTTGCTAATATTTATAAAATGAGACACAGCATGATGCATATTTGCATTTTATGTTTGTTGGCAATGACTGCAAAGCACACAGCTATCAACACAACACAGTATGTGGTTATTTCATGCAGTGTAAAAACATCTTAGCATTATTGTTTTAATGATAAACCTTATTAAATTCTTGGTGTTTAAAATTTGATAGTCATAGTAAAGGGAAGGCTGGAATTTAACAACATGAGAAAATACTGCTGGTGTTGTGTTAGCATAAAGTAAATAAGCACCTCACCTGTTCAACAGTTGTCGGAATGAATGGTGGAATGACATTATAATCATCAAAAAACACCAGATCTGCACTTGCTACTTTCGACAAAAGGCTTGCAATAATGTTGCTTGTTCTTATTGCTGATTGCATTGAGCTAGATTTATCACCAATGACGACAACAGGAGACTTTATATTCAATCTAGAAAAGAAAACAACAGTTCTACACATTTGCCCATTTCGACCATCAATTACCATGTTATAGCCATGTCTGTGAAAATATAGTTAAAAGTCATTTTTTCAAGTTCCTGGCTGACATTATATACTTAGCATGCCTATCTTCAAAACTTGGTAGTTGACAATTTATTCTATTCCATGGATTGCAGTGCAGACCTGAGCCACACATTAAAAAAATACAATGATCACAACACAGAATTTAGAATTGGATTTGACAATTACACAAAAGAAAAACTTGGATTTGATGGCCAAAGACTAGCAAAAAAGTTTTCCAATATCAAATTTGCCTGTAGCAGTGAAAATAAACAAATCATGAAACTGTAGTGACATTCAATTTAACAGTCAAACTTTCCCAAAAATGGAACAACCCTTCTGTTGGCATACTTTCCATAGAAAAATGATAAGTATGCGTAGATAAAAAAAATTATAAAATTCCTACTTTAGCTTGCCAAGTTGTTCTTCAGCAATGGGAAACAAGTCGTCTATGAAAGGTAACAATTTTGGAATGGCTAGTGCTTCTGCATTGTGACATTCAGCATTGTTTTCTGTTGATGTTCTGCATTCCTTGGTGCTGAACCCCTGCTCTTCCTGCTCTTTTATTTCCATAAATGTTTGCAGTCTTTCCATAAGTTTCCCATAAGAAAGAGACAATTTTTCCCCACTTTCAAGTCGTCTTTTCAAAATTCCATCTATTTCTGTGCAGCGAAGCTCTTCAAAATACCTGTAACAAAAATTATAACTTTGTAGATAACTTTAAACCTACTAGTAATTAAATGGAATGGATACTAATTGATATTTCAATTACTACTTTAAACCTACTCTGTGGAAGTTTTATGCAAATGTTTAAATTTCTGCTAACTATGACTTAGCCACATGCTAGAAATTTACTTTACATTGTATTCTGGGCAAGCAATGCTAATCAAATTTGACTTAGAGAGAACAAATCACTTTGGAACTCAAAACTTACAACCAAACAACTCTTTGAAAAGGTATAAAATGCAATTTCATATGAAGTTCTTTTCCAATACAAATATATATTTATCTATTAATAAAAATTATCCATACATATCAATTCTTTGCAAACTGGTTATTGCCCAGCAAACTTTTACATCAAAAATAGAAAGGAAGTGGCAGTAGAGATTTAATCTACCATATGACTGTGTTCAATGGTGCATATGAACATATTTTAGCTTTTGCTTCATCTGTTAAGTGCTCTTTGAACTTTCTTGCTACACTGTAGTCAATCTCAAACTCTAAAACTTTGTTTGATATATTTTCAGAAGTAAGGTCATCTGACACAATTTCTGTAGGTGTATTTTCATCTTCTTTTGGAATTTCTTTTCCAAAGACAAAGTGCAAGAACCAAGGGCACTGTGGAATATCGTTTTCAGGATGAAGATGACAAATGTCAGCCAACTTTTTCCAAGGCTCTCTTGGGAAGTGTTGAGCAAAGAAGGAGAGTCTGTCAGTGGGTATCGTTTTAAACCAGAGCTTGATGTGACGAATAAGTGCACCACTTAATGAGCCAACCTGAAAACAAAATAAACCTACAAATAACAAAACTATAGAAGGGTCTCTTTCCTAGTTTGCAGATAGATCAATGAAGGAAAATTGATAAAAAGATGAAATGAAGACAAAAGTGAATCTAACAAAACAAGGAGACCTTACCGGCGGAATGTCTTGTGCCAAAGACGCAATAACTGATTTTAATTTAGCCATTTTCCCTTTTTTCCGGCAACCTTGGGCTTCCAGCCTTCTCAATATTTTTTCTTGCTGTCGTTTTTGTCGCCCGGCATCCAGTATAGAAACTGCTTTTAAAACCTCTTTCAAAGCAAACTGTTCCCCGGGGAAATCCAACATCGTTTGTGCCAACTGATAATCTCGTCTGGCCCAAGCAGCTGCCAGTGCTTTGCATTTTGAACCGTCGTGCAGTTCCACAGATTTTGATCTCACAACAAGCAAAATTGCAAGGTATCGCTCTCTATTTGAATTCTGTGCATCGAAGTGTTGCTTGAAACTCGACTGCTTCGTGAATATAGATATGACAGATTTATCGAAAGATCCAACAAAATCCAAATCTTCAAAGTCCGCCAGGCATTTTGAATCTTCAGATGCTTCAGAAGGATTTCTAGCATTTGAGGATAGCCCTCCTCGCCCTCGACCGTTTCTTCTTCCTCCTCTGGATTGCCGCCCTCCCCTGCCACGGCCTATTCTGCCTACTCTTGCTCTCACCATTATACTTCAAAAGCAGTTAGTTCCACAAGATGTTTTTCTAAGAATAGTGTAAAGTATTTTTGAATGTCGCTTTCCTGTGCTTTATATACCTGAGCTTTATTGCACCACAGTAAATCATCCACCTCGAAATTTCTATGGGTTTTTCATTGCACCATATTTCATCAGGAATCAAAACAACTTCATTGGTTGGCATCCGCTGCTATTGTTGAGGCTTTCTTCGAACATGCTTCGAACAATAACAACTAGCTGCTAGAGGAATCACCAATGGGTGCGTCCCCGTTTAGTCCAGCTACAACTAGCAGAAATAGAGTAACATACTGAAAATATTCACACTTAAATATGAATTTTCATTAAGCTTTCATGGCTAAACATTTCATGAATAAAGCAGTTCTAAAGATATTCTGCCAATTTGTTTGGTAACGCCGTGAAGTTTGTTACTCAAAACAAAATATGATCTACTTTCGAAAAGTATGAATTTTTTTCTGATACACTGTTTTTCTCAGATCCTCCTTTAATCAAGACGTAATTTATAACCATTGTAGTGGTTAAAATGATAAAAATTGGCCTTCTGGGCTTGACTCTAGCAACGTGATTAATGTGTTTCCTGGAGGATTCCCACGAAGGGGATCTCGCTAACAACCAATCAAGATTTGTCCGATTTGTGTCCGATTTTAGCCATCGCTGATGTGTGTGTTTGCTGTTGTTTATTCTCATCGCATTGCGGTGTTCCTTATATACTTCTATTCAATCAAGATTTGTCTGCTATAGTTTCTAATATAACCCCATTATAACCACACTATTCTGTGTTATAATCCTATAGTTTCTCACCTCGATTTGAAACTGAGGCACAGTTAGATTCATTTGGAAGAAGTTGAAGTTTATTTGGAATTCGTATGTGAAATCGTTTCATAAAAGCGAGATGAGCTGTACCTCAGAAAGATATTTGTTATTCTTAGCAGATGATTTACCAAAAGATGCCAAATGCTACCTCATAGACTGCATTAAAAATCATAGGCTTGTCGTGGAAGAGGAGCAATGTCCAGATCATTCTGTGCTTGTAGTTGGCGCTTCGTTCGGCCTGCTTGCGGAGGAGGTGTGGGCGTGGTTAAAACGTCTTCTTTGAAGAATCAATTTAATCATTTATTTTGATCAATATTTTTTCCAGGTTACTAAACAAAAACCATTAGCAAATAAGGGTAAGATGGTCCTCAGAACGTTTTACCATTGTCAATCATAAGACTGAAGTGGTGTTCGCCAATCGCAAAGACATCCATAAAGGCCCATAAATAAAACCCCAACCGTTTCTGAGGGGGTTGAGAAAAAGAACAATGGCCTTCTTCCGCCTACTAGCAGCACTTTGCTCATGCAAAAAGTCGCAAACCATACGGCCATTAACTAATGCACAAAAAAATAGAAAGTCAACATGCATGTAAATAAAAACCCCTAAAAATTTCTAGACATGGGTTGGGTGGGCAGGGTCGCAAAGGAAAAACGTTTCCTCTCCAAAGTCTAACTTCGAGTTGTCATGCAATGTGTGAGAATGAAACTGTGCTAAGACAAAGTTTATATACCCAAGGCCAATGCACACTTGCACGCTTGTTGCTTTAGCCGAATAAAAAACACAATGTGAAGCTTACTCGAGCACTGCTACAATAAACACAAACTCCACAATTGTGCAATCTGTGCCCAAAAAACAAAATCCCAAGGGGCACCTAAAAAGCGTACCCTGTCACATATTAAACGTGATTAAATTTCATTTAATCAAGCTTAACAGGACAGGACTGTAGCTAGAGGGGGCAGTGGGTGCAAATAAACCCCTCTTTTGGACTCCAACACCATGTATTCTATGTAAGGTGTTTTTGTTTTAACCCTAAATTGTTCTGATTTCCAGGGTTCTTTTAAGAAAATTTTTAAGGAGCATTTTACTCGGGAGCACTGTGTTGCAAAAATAATTATTGGTTCTTATAAGTATGAATAAATGTACATGATGCGCAGGTGGCTTGTGCTCCAGACCAGTGGAGTAGCCAGGCTTGGAAGATTGAAGGGGCAATGCAGTGGCGGTTTCAGTGCTGCATTTATGTGTGATTCAAAAACAGTAAAGCGGCTATGAAGTCTCGTAAAATTATAATTCCTCTTAATCGAATGTCTTACTATATATCTATAATTTCTTTATCCCAAAAGGTCTTTGTTTAGTTTGAGCGCTATCTTTATGATCTTTTTTGTGTTTCATCATTTAAACTTTTGTTATTTTTTTTCTTTAAATATTTTGTTCGTTAAATTAAAATTTTAGAACTGCATAGATTTTTCTTTAGAACTGCACAAAATACTTTTAGAACTGAACATTTTGTGTAGAGCTGCAGGTTAAAAAACCCTGCTGAAATCATTTATTCTATACTAGACATAAAAATCATAAAACCTGAGAATAAACTTGAATTTAAATGTAACAACATGATAGTTCTGAAACATTGCATGTCGAGTGAAAGTGCTCTTGTTACCTAGTCGGTCCTTTTTCAACAGGATCTCAATTGTGCACAGCCAAAATTGTGAGTGTGCAAATGGGCACTTGCTAGCTTGTGTGCACTTTCCAGACTGGAAAAAGTGTCAAGGATTCACTCAAGATCCTAAGCCTTGGCAGGGCTGCCAAAATGGGGCAAATTGCCACAAGACCTCAAGATCTAAGGGACCTCATAAAATAATGAATTCCATTTTAAGAATGGAGTTAATCAAACAGAACAAAAGAATGCTAAAATTATTTAAACCTTTTAAGAGATTGGAAAATAAGACTGCAAGGAATACTCTGAGATGTATTTTAGGCCTATATGAAAGGCGTGGATGCAAACAGAAATGTCAAAAACCTCCTTTTGATAGAGAAACTCAGCTGCTAAAAACTGTTTGTTTTGGCAGCTTTTAAATAAAGAAAATATACTTCCCTTTTTGCTTTTCAAAAGCAACTTCTGCAGTAAAATGATGCTAGGGGTGGCTTGACCCCCCATGCTTTTAGGTAGAATACACCTTTATTTCACACAATATTCACCCATGCTTTTAGGTAGAATACACCTTCCAATAACATGTTACTACTCTATTTCCCATGGGAAAACTTAACCTCTGATGCAAGAAAAAGTTTTTTAGAAAAACGTTTTGCCAGAAATATTATTTATAGCAATGGTGCGTGATATTTCGCCAAATTCTTTCCTCATGAATACATAAGCAGCTTAGATGATGAAAAAAATTTGATTTATTTTTAGGCAGAAAGTATTGAGTTAGAAAAGCAGCTTAAAGAGAGCAAAAGGGTAAGTTTTGTTGTTGATAATAGATTGAAACTCTTACTAGATAAGACTTTTTAATATCATCCCTTGCCTAGTTGTAAATTGTGCTTTCCTGTCACCTAACATTTTATGTTCACTGGATATTTCAAGATGTCTCTTATATTTTCTCCTTTGACATCTTTTAAAATAAATTTCTCTTAAATCCACAGTATCAAGAGTTTTATGTTGATGGTTTGAATGATTTCCAAGGAAGCTATGACGAGCAAACATTTTTTACACCTGCTGAGCAAGCATTGCTTTTACATAATGTTTTGAGCAAAGTTGCATTTCAAAGGGTAGGTATTTGTTTCTATTTTTCTTCACTGTATAAATACACAATTTTCCTTTGTATTTTATGATTCAGTTGCATGTGGCTTTATAATCGATGTCTTAACTTGTTCCAAAAAAATTGTCTCCATGCAACACATTATTTGTAGAATCTGCTGAAATCTATCTACTTGTGAAGAAGTATATCATTTTAGACTAGTAGCTAGTCAAGCTGCATTGCCTTTAGATATTCAGATGCTGGCACCATTTAGATATGCTGGTACCATTCCTTAAATAGAATGATGTTAGATATAAAGGCAAATGTCCTCATTCATAATGTCATACAAATGTTCTCAAAAAACGTTGCTAGCAGCTTCGAAAGTTCATTAAAATTAACCAATTATAATGTCCTCATCTTCATCAGAATAACCAGGATCAATTGATGACCCAGAGAAATCTTCTAAACAATTTCATCCACTGGGATTCCTTCAAAAGGATCAACATCAGTATCCCCTTGACATCTAACGCCCACAAGTAAATATTTACATAGGCTGCCTTTATTGCACATGATTCTATCATCATCACTCTTGTAAAGAGACCCACTCAAGGTCCATGTATTTTTTGTTGGACATCGGGAGCTAAAGAAAAGGGTGTAACAGAGAGGGGCTTAAAAGAGAGGGGGGCTCAATAGAGCTGTTACGGTATAAGGTCCAGCAACAAAGAATCCCCTTTTTCAAAAGTAAGATTGTTCATGGATTTTGGTTTTAGATACATAAAGTAGTTGCAGAATTTAAGGCACCCATTCCACTACTGCAGAGGGAGAGGGTAATGGATGTGACCAATAAGAACGGGGCTTTTTTCGTTTTAATGCTTTATACCAGGTGTATTTCTCTTAGGCAAATCTTACAAAAATACCCCAAACTAATACATTTCTGTCAGTTTTGGAAGAATTATGTAGACCTTATGTTGACAAAAGTGGAGAGTAATTACCCCCTCCCCATTCCACCCCTTGGCACCACCACTAGTAGAATCTGAGCAAAATAGCTACTAGTGTAAAAATGCCTTAAAGACTGTTTAATTGTTAGGTTAGTGGGTGAGTAATCCATTTACATTACCATATGAAAGTCTCAAGACAAAATCACTTGATTACGCTGACAGTTTTTTACTTTAGGAAACATTCCTAAAATGTGGAATAAAGAAATTCAAGCCTCAGGAAAGCATAATCAGTGGCTGTTTGCACTCAAAGCCAGCAATCCTAGAAGCAGTGTCCCCAATGCATTCTGCCAATCAGCGTGCCAAACTCTGGAGAGCTGCCCAAAGGAATCCCTTTGTTTTTCCACTTGATGATATCCAAGTTTACTATGGTGAGTAGGAGCCTTGAAATTATCTAGAGGATAAAAAGTTCTTCAGTGTGACTTGTAAATAATGTTTTTCTAAAATTCTTTACTTTTGACCACATAACCTGGAAAGCTTTCTTTGGAAGTTTGAAGTAAGTTGAACATGTTAGAAATTTAGTGAGGTATGTATGACCAATGGAGGATTTGAAGTTTGCTTACAGATTACTTTCATTTTGGCTTGGTTCATGAAGTTTAGAACCAAGACCAAATTACAGTGATTTGATGTGAGAAGGCCTGTGCTAATGTAACCATATTTCAGCTAATATGGTAACACATTTAACTGATTTTGCAAATTTAGAGATATTTTATAGAGGTAAAGCTTGAAAATATATTTTACATCATTTAAGAACTCTATAGCAATATGATAAAGCACTTGAAGATGATTTCCTTAAATGTTTAATGGCTACCTCCAGATAATGGCTTAGTTCAAAAACAACAATTTATCAGCAAATTGAAAGTATTTACAAGAAAATCGATTTTCTGGCCCTGGCATTTAGGAGTGTGACAGGGTGTTTTAATAAAATATTTTGAACGTAGCTAATATTTTCTGCCAAATTTATGCTATTCAAAAGAGCTTGTCATCCCTTGCATTTGATTGTCATTTACCGATGACCTATTATAAAAATCGAAGCAAACCTCATTTAAATCATTATTTTATTAATCCCTTTCATCACAGGTCTACCTGGTTTTTTTCTTTGGCCCTACTGTATCTGTCAAATCAAATCAAAACTTTTTTTTCAGCAACAAATCAATTGATTACCAGATACATCATGCTAGCTGTTAAGATACAATCATTAATAACAATAAAGATTACATTACAGGGAACAACATAAGATATTATATAAGATCAGCTGATGGACACATGGAAAAAACTCATGAAGGAGCTATCAGAGCCATGTGCCCAATTTGACATGAAATGATGATGATTTGATATTAGTTTTGTTTGAATAATAACAGTAAGAATAAAAAAATAACAATTTAAAAAAAAGAAAACCAGAAATCAAATAATAATGGTTTACAATATGCACAAATAGTTCAATTGTGTTAGAATGGGAATAAATAGGACTAAAGGCTCTCTAGAAGGTAATTTTTCATGTTTCTTTTGAAAGATTGCTTAGTGGCAGCATTTTTCAAGTCTAGAGTGCCAGTAAACATGTCAGTAAACTTGATATTGTGCATGGCAAGAAGTAGGCATATTGAAGGCTCATTAACGACCATTTCTTTGAAATAAAGAGATCACTTACTTTATTTTTCTGACATCTGAGTCATTTTTTATCATTTAGGTGAAGAAGTGGCCTACTATTTTGCTTGGATGAATTTCTTCACCTGGTCATTGGTACCGGTTGCTTTGTTTGGGGCCTTTCTTTTCTTCCACCGCCCTCGTGGTATCACTGTTGATGACAGCCCCTACTTACCAGCCTATGCTTTGTTGATGGCGTTGTGGACAATCTTCTTTTGCAAAGTAAGTCACCAAAGATTTTTGACAATCTAGAACGTAACTGTATTAAAGTAAGCTGATTTAACTATATTGCGTACTTCGAGATGTCTCTTAAACGGAATTCTATTCATATTTTTTCATATAACGAAATGCTGCAAAATATCAGACAGATTTAGAAAAGCTGACTCATTGCGCATTGAATCTTCACATCAATCTTAATAGCCTGAATTGGATCTACGATGCTAGCCATAGCTGTTGTGAAGAGCATGCAGTTAGGATCCAAAACTTCGAATGATGCATTTTCAACTGGAGTTGTAATGTGAGAAATTGTGCTTCACGCGATATAAGTAAGACAAGGCTTGACTACTGTTGGCCGACCAAAGTAAACTTGGATCCTTTTTAAAAATACTAAAATCTGGTTTTCATATATCGTAATTCGTTGGGAATGATCCCCGATGCAGAGCACCCCCGATGGTTGGGGATGATCCCCGATGCTGAAAACAATCTTTGAGCGCCAAAACTACAATTTTGAAAAAAGTTTGTTATATGGCTGCTGTTAAAGGCCAGTTAGAGATCCCAGGTCGATTTTTGATGCTAATTGCACTTTTGCGAAAGAACAAGTGGCTGCTTCAAGGCAAGAAATACAGGTTGAAGAGATTCTGGGTTAGAAAAATATTTTCTGCTCGCAAAGAGTTAGGACAGTTTGAAACGCCTGTGCAGGAATTAAGACTGTTGGGCAACGAATATTTTTTTCAGGTAATCAGATAGATAAATAGGATCATTTATATGAGCTTGAAGAAAGCAAAACGTTTTGACATGTTTTGACTTTCTGTGATTCTAAGCATAGAAAACAAAACTAAAAAATTGAATGGTGTATTGAATGGCATAGGGGGGATGATGTACGTACCCCCACACTTTTCAGAAACGGAGATGAGGTGCCTATTTGCATCTCACGTACGTGCCCCCTTTTGCCTGCATGTCCCCAGTTTTGCAATGCCACCCACATTTACGGCCTTCCAACTTTTTTGCTTCTTCCAACTTCCAACCTTTTTGCTTCAATCCTTAGTGATCCCCAATGGTTTTAATCCTTAGTAAGTCTTTTGATGCTCAATTGTAAACTGCAGGAAATTCACAAACGATATCCATGAAAACAGCGTCATCTTCCTTAGCTTGAACAGGATCAGGCAAGTGTTGCGAATCCATGATGCACAAGTTATAACAGTGTGATTTGTTTTGCTCTCAAGAGGCAGATAAAATGCAAACAGCCTTTTCCCACCAAACTACTGTCTAGATGAATGCGGCATTTCAAGCACCAATGCTATAAATCAACACATTGATGATTTCGGGATATTTTGCAAATGGAATTTCATTACAAAAGAAACGAGAAACTTTCACCCTGCACCCTTCAGAAAAAGATTGCTTCAGACGAAGTCATTATTGCAAAAAAATAAAAACAATTTCAAGAATTTGTTTGGAGGCAAATTCAAGTCTGAATTTTATTGGGAAAATTCATGGTATGATTGATGATTCACCCTGATTCACCATAAAAAACGATGCAAACTTAGACTGGGAAGTATTACACCACCCTTTATGGGCCTTTATGTTTCCTGTACTATCGAAAGCATTCCAGTTTTCCGCGAAACAGTTACCTTAGCTTTAGTGAAAATGACATCACTTTTGACATAACATTCCTGATCTATTGTTCTCTTTGCTATTGTTCGTCGGGAAGCGTAATGACTTTTCCGATGATTGGGGATGATCGCCGATGGTTCCCGATTGCCCGGTTTTCATTTGTCATAAGCCATCGCAGACTGTCATAGACCATCGTCGACGAATTACCATATATGAAAACCAGCCTTGCGAATGATTTTTAGATATCAGTGGATAAGGGACTCAGTATTTTTTTAATCGTAATTTTTTTGCTGCGAGACTTTGATTCATGTAATAGGTTCTTTTTCTTCCAGAGTTGGAGGAGGCAGGAAAGCGAGCTGGCTTTACGGTGGAACTCGACACAGGTTGAAAGAAAGGAGATTGTGCGTCCGGAGTTCTACGGAGAGATTCGACAAAGTCCGGTTACTGGCAAGCCGGAACGCTACTACCCTCTTGGAAAAGAGTGCTTATGTACCTTCTAAGCTTTGTGATCACGCTTCCATTTCTTGGGATGGCCGTGGGTGCAATGATATTGTCACTAAATTTCAACGGATATGTCAAAGACAAGCACAGCCCAATTTATCTTGCAGCTCTAGCGAAATACTCTGAACCCGTTCGTATTTTGCTTATTTTTGTTGATTCTTGCTTTGCTCCTTTTTTGCACTTTTGTTGAACTGCTATTTTTTGCACTTTTTTGCACATTTTTTGTGTTTTCTTTCCTCAAGCTCTTAATGTATTAGAAAAATATTCTTATTGATATTCTTCATCCCTTATTGTAACCGAAGGCCTTTTCTTACATTACTTTGAAGTTTTTCCATTTTCTTTTGTTGTTTAGTTTTTTCTCAGCTTCTCTATGCGAGTTGATCTTGAGTTTTTCAAATACAGTGTAATTATGAGATGCTATTCAAAAAGAATCTGCTTCAGAAAGATCACACCTTTAAATTCCTTTGTTTTGTTTGCGTTTCCATTGCCAATTCTAAATCATATGCCCTAATTGATGTAACTGAGCATGGAATATCTTATGTTTTAAGTTAAGCATTTCGTTACTTCAACAGGGACAATTATTTGCCGCGGACAGTCCGTATTATGGTGGATGGTACCCACCCTTTCGCATTCTGTAGTTATAAACATACTGAATCGATTGTACAGATTCATCGCAACTTTTTGCACGGATTTAGAAAATCACAGGTGGGTGAATCTTTGTGTTAATAGTGTTTTATTTATACGGCCCTTGCTAGGAATTCAGCTTCAAGAGCCAGTAATTTTATTTAATACACCAATTCCACTTACGGCCTCACTTTGAAGAATTCTTCAAATTCTTTTGTACAAAATTTTTGTCCTCAGATTCGGATTGAAAGCAATGATTTTAGTGTACTTGGAAGTTTACATTATGGTGTTGGTCACGATATTGATTTTATTGGTGTATAAAGTAAGAACCCGCCTTAAAGTTGCAAAAACAGATATGATTCAAGGATTTCGATTCTCAAGTAGCTTATCAAGAACTCTTTTGCCAATGCCTTTTAATACACTGGCCTAAAAAGCTGACAATAGTGAGGTGTCTGAACCATTATTTTATCAACCGTTCGCAAAGTATCTCTTGAAATTTTGCAATATTTCTGCAATGAATTCACTATCGATCCGCACGTTTCATCTATACATTGCACATTTAGTATCTTAATAATATTTTCCATATTTGTCACATATATTATTGTGTTAAGAAATCATGTTTTGCAATCACTGAACCAGTGTGAGCTAACCAGACGGCTCTTCTTTGGATGTACTGAGCTCTCTTGTATGATTAAGTGTTGCATTAAGTACCAAAAATTCCGGTGCCAAAAGTTTCGGTGGATTTATTTTCGGTTGAAAAAATTTCGGAAATATATTTGAATTTTCAATTTAAATTTCGGTGAGAATTGTAAAAGTTTCGGTGCGAAGAAATAATTTTTGTGAGTATAGAAATTGAACACTTTCTGTAAATTTTATCTATCTTCAGCATAGAATTATCTGGAATGCAATTGTAAAAGTTACAAAAATCAAATATTTTCTTGTCAACCCAATAAATAGCACTGTCATCATTTCCTATTTAGTGGAGGTCTGTTTCATTTTTTATAAACCACGGAGGAAAATAAATTGGAAGCTTTTACTGCTGGATTGAGAAATTCTAATGGATTGAGAGTTAGAAATTGAGGCCTCCAAATTAAAATTGCTGGAACATTAAAAATAAGTAATTGAGAGATATATTCATTCATTCCAGGTAGCATCTAGGTGATCCGTAGGTTGCTAACCATGGTCCACCAACAAACCCTGTCACTACACCTACTTTTCAGAATACCATAGTTCTGGGTGTTAACCCACTCTCTAATATCGTCCATCCAAGTCCTTCTTTGCCTACCGCTAGATCTTTTTCCTTCAATGTACCCCTCCACGATGTTACAAAAAACTGCCCACTTGATCCTCTTGCCACATGCCCAAAGAGTGCAGCTTTTCTCTTTGCTATGATGGTAAGAAGCATAGAGGTTACATTCATTCTTCGTAGCACTTCTTCGTTGGAAACCCTATCTGTCCACCTGATCTTCAACAATCTTCTATAACACCACATCTCGAATGCCCGAGAGATATGATAAAGGGCAAAAGGAAGCACCATTTCAGCCCATAGAGAACTCAAACTTCTTGGAAGTTGAGGGCGAAATAGAAGAAAATGAAGATGAGCTGGATATCTTATTTTTTATGACGAAAGAGAACCAAAAACTTAAAAGGGATATGTATCGGATGTATAGTAATACGCAAAGAAAATCGAGGAATTTTTTGTTTTGAGAATCCATAGGTGTAAAACGAGATTTTTCTAGAGTTTCTAGAGCAAATTTCGGTCACAAAAAATTCGATGGGATTAATTTTCGGTTGCCCTGCTTCACCGAAAATAAATCCCACCGAAATTTTTCGGCACTAAATGTGTTTTCTCTACAATCCTTGCATGTTTTCCTTTTCTTCTGTTGATTAATCATTCCCACTATAGGCACTTTGGAAGCACAAATTTTCTTGTCATTGTACGAATGATTGATAAGACGTAAGTCAATTTTTTCCCATACTTTCATTGTGATTTTCTATTTCCATTTAGAACCGAGAACCGTTGGAACAGTTCACTGATAATCAAGAGAGTGCTGTTTGAACTCTTTGACTGTTACTTGCCTCTTTTCTACATCGCCTTTTATCAACTGGATATCATTTCGCTCAGAAGGGAGTTAGTCGGTCTATTCTGGGGTGAGTTTTAGGATCTACATCTAGTTTAAAATGAAGTCACATGGCAGTGATCTCGTTTAAAAACCGTACAGACAACCTCGCTTAAATGGAAGCCCCTGCAATCGAAAATCCGATTCACTTTCCGACATTTTTTATCTTATTTCAGTACCATCCTTACTGGTAAGTCTCCCTGTCCCAAAACAGTTTAGATCCCACTCCGATGGCTACAAGAATATTTAATCGTATAAGTCAAATTTCTTACCATTCTTTGTATTGCAAGGACTTTTTATTCCTAATGGGTTTGAAATGACTAGAATATTTGCTGACAGTCAAAATCGGAGACAATTAAGTACCTAGAAAGTTAGAAGTATAATAGTCTTTAGACAACAGTGAGAACAACACTACTCCACGGATCAGGCACTCTGACACTAGCCAGAAAGAAGGATAGAATGGTAGAAAAATAGCAAGAGTGAGAATTATAGGAAGGATGAGGGTGACCATTTGAAAAGAATCACAAGTAGAAAGTGTAATGAATAAAGTGCTGTAAAAGAGACTTAGTGGACGGTTATAGTTATGACTTTACCAGGAATAGGAGGGAGACCGAGAACGATATGGAATATAATGTGAACAGAGGTCTGCAACAGTGGTGGCCTGGCAGGGGGCGGGGGCCAGGGCCCCCAGCTGACTTTTTTATAGGGGCACCAAAGCTTGTATAGTGCGCCGAAAACTCAAAAACTTTTGATACGACCGACTTGTCTGCTTATTAGGTCTCTAGAAAGTCAGCAGCGACAAGAAGACACCTTAAAATTCAAAACTTTCTTGGGATGCATGCCCCCATACCCCCTAGAACAGTCTCACGTCAGGGGATGTCTTTGTGCCCCTTTAGTACTGTACTATCCAGACAAAATATTTGTACTGTTCGCATGGGCGCAGAAAATTAATCAATTTTTTAGAGGAGTGTCAGGAAACTTACTGTTTAATTATTTTGTGCGGAGGGCACAGCACTCATGGGGCACACAGATAACTCCGAAGACAGTCTGTATTTAGGGTGTCCGGACTCATGCCCCACCCCCTTCTAGGAAAAATTTTGAATTTTAACAAATCTCTTTGGCTCTGCTAGCCTTCAGAGACCTAATTAACAGACAATCCGGTTGCTATCTGCTTATCCTAGATTAATCCGTCTGCTATCTCAAGTCACTTCCACGAACGTGCAGTTTTTGGTGCACAAGATAACAAGAAATAGCGCTAAAAAGTGCATTTAAAGCTAAAAAATAATGAAGCCAGCTCTTATTATGTTTCTTCAAAAAGGATAATTTAAACAGATTACTTTTAACTCGAAACATTGACTTCATGTTTCTCAGGGACGCCGGGGAAGAGGGCGCAGGTGTTAAACTTCCCCAGTTGTCTTTTCATAGGATGGGCAAGGGGGCCAGAGTGCTCTTTTCATTTTTTTAAGTGCCCTTGAAACCAGCCATAAGATCATAAGATCAGATAGATTTTTATTAAATTTTGTTTTGTTAAATTCATGACGGCATTTCTCTAAACTTGTAAATGGATTCCTTATGCCAAAAGATAGCCAATGTTCAAGATACCAACAGAAGATCGAAATAAAATGGCAGATAGAAAGGAGTTAGTAGAAGCTGAGAATTATCTTTCGAACGCTCTTTTACTCAAGCCTGCCCCCTTGCCCTTGGTTGTTCCGTCGTCGCTGATTTTTCTAGTAGATTCTTAAGGTTTTCTTTTTCAAAAGCCATTAATTGATTTTGACAAGAAAGTTGGGTCGGACCTAATTTACTTAACGGTTGCGTTTTGTTTGGTTCTTTAATGATATTTCTTTAAAGTTTGATTAAATAAATTCTTCATTTTGTATCAAATGACATGGTCTTATAATCATTTCTAGCACCTTTCACTTGTATCATAGTGAATTCAAAGATGTGTTAGAAATCGCATTTTCTAGCCTTATGAGTAACGGGAATCTTCCACTTATTGGCTAGGACCGACTCTTTCCATTATTTGTTACCCCGACACCTCCCTAATTTTCCCCTGACTGTAAGCTGTGTTATATGTATGTTTTGAGCTTGTTTAGTTGTCCCAAAGTACAAGTTTAGCAAAACAAAGGTAAATATTTTATAGCGTAGCAAATAAGAAACACCGCAATACGCCGAGAATAAACAACAATAAATACACGTAAATCAGTGAAGGCTAATAATTCGCCCCGGCATACGGGGCTTCATCAGAGCAAAAGTTAACGGGCTAAAAATGTACACATTCAAAAGAGGCGATGGCAATGGCGGCGCCAGCCACTAAGCTCTGGAGGGGGGGGGGGCAAATAAAAATAAATTAAGCCACGCCCTAAACCTTAACCAACTTAACCACCAGAAAATGCCCTTTTACCAACAAGGAATGCCAATTTTATCCGAAGGGAACGCCTATGACTAACTTTGGTTTGAAAATTGACAGTTTGAAAATCATAGGATTACATCACAAAAAGTACGGTGTCAAAATATTACCCCTCCCCCAACATTTTATCATCCAATTTAGACGAAATAAAAAATCGATTCTGCTGAGAACTGGGGGGACGTGTCCTCCCAATCCCTCCCCGTGGCGCCGCTACTGGGCGATGGTGGTGTCGGATTGGCTGATGTGGAATGGTGTGAATGCAGCGCAGTGGTGGAGGAGGGAAGGGTGGTGAATGAGAGAGGGTGGATGGTGGTGGTGGAATGAAAATGTAATGGAGATGGAGTACTATAATATGAAATTATGATAATGTTGCTGTAAGGTTAACGGTCAGTGGTTCTGTTCATGCCGTTCGGTGTGAGAGTCTTTGCTAGGCCAATGAAGTATTGCTCTTTGGCTCGTCGGACACTCTCTCGTTTGTCGTTGAGTTTCAGTAATGGTGTTACAGTAAGGTCATTGATGGCATGTTCTGGGCTACAGAAGTGTTCTGCAACACTAGATTTGTCTACTTTTTTGTTGATTATGTCTCGTCTGTGTTCGTTAATTCTGTCTTTCAGTCGTCTTAAATATTTAATCTTTTTCAGTCTTCATTCACACATAAATATTTTATCTGGCGCTTTGGATTCCCCTCCAAGGTGCCAAATGAACACAACAGTTACAAAAAGAACAAAACCCTCATTTTACCACATCGTAAGGCTTACTCTTGGAATTTCCCCAAACATGTTCTTGACACATTTTTATTTAGTTATCTGCTTGCATTGGCTTCAAAGAGACAGTTAATTTCGTATGTGAGTCGGTCCAACTTGTCCTGACACCCCCATGAAAAATTATTATATTTGGGACCCCCTGCCCACGTGGGGGTCAGTTTATCCTTGACACACAAGATTAAAAAATACAAGAGCATTACCAGACTGCCAATCTTTTTAGGAAAAGACAATAATGTTAGTTATAAAGGGCGCCATTTCGTTGCTGGCCCCTCCAGACGAAAAAGGCCAGGCCGCCACTGGTCTGCTACCCTGGGTACCAGACTCACTATATATCAAATAAAATAGTATTAAAATAATATCTCTATTATTTTATATAGTGAGTCTGGTACCCAGGGTACTGGTCTGCAAGAGATATTGACAGTTAATATTGACATTGTGGAAGACAGAAAAGTCTGAGGTAGATGACACAAGCAGCCGATCTAGACTGAGTCTGGTAAAGGCAAATCAGAAAGTAATTATGTTTACCAAAAACTAGGAGTATCATCAAAATCATTTTAGAAACCCCACAAAAAGTGATTTGTTTTGAAAGAAAAAGACGTGTTTGGTTTTATTATTAAAATCATAGGCTATTCTTGATGTGATAAATAGCAAATATAGGCAACTTAGCACACGAAGTAAGTAAATATGACGAATTCTCGAATAGGCCGGGTATAGCTAGATGATTTGCAAATTTCTATTGACTTTGAAAACACGTTTCCAAAACTTTTATCTGTTGGTTTCTTCCTTTCTTGCACAGTATTACTTCTTTTCTATTTCAATCTTTAAGTTTTCATTTATCTACCAACTCGAACGGATTAAACGCTTGTCATTTATTCATTAATTTTCTTGTTAGGTGACGAAATTCGTCGTTTGGTAACGGAGACTGTGATCCCCTTTGTGACAGAAAAGGCAAAACATTACAGAATTAAGGACCATGTCAACGAAATCAAAGCAAAAACAGGAGAACGGCCAACCAGCTTGCAGGTAACTTTCATAATTATTATTGTTAATTCTTTAAAGTCAGATTTTACATAATTTTCAAATACGAAACTAATTCAGACCAACTACGGGTGAATCTCGTTAAGTCGTACCCCGGATAATTCAGACTTTCACTAAGTCCAAATGATTTTCAATATCCATATTGAATGGTCCTACCTTACTCAAGTCAAAATTCGTAATCTGGATACGTTGGACATTCGATAAGTCGAAACATTTCCTTAACACCAGCCTCCCCCCCCCCACGGCCTGACCTAACGGGATACAACGTTATTTGCATCCATAGGAGCCCCCCTACTCTACGCAAACACGGGTATCTTATACATTTATGTGAAATACGATTGACATAGAAAATTTGGTATTACATGATACATTTTTATTCGTAATCCATTGTATCTCTCTTTTTCGAGTCAGCTGTTTTTTATTCACGTTATTGCTTTCTCTTTGTCAAATAGCATTTATACCGTTCATTATTATCCAGTATTTCACAGATATTTTAATCAATATCATAAATTATTATTAAATTATTATTATAATATCTACTAAGGTGTATACAACTGTCAATACTATGATGGCTAGGACAATTCTGCAGAATTGTGAGGATATGTTTGGTCAGTAAGGGTGAATCTAGTTATTGTAGCTTTCATCTTTGTGGATATAAGGACCATTGATCCTTTTGGTACAGGTTGTGGAAGACACGGTTCTAGAGGAGTACGAGCAGTTTGATGACTATCTTGAAATGGTTGTACAGTTTGGCGTGAGTAATATTTTGATACTTTTCTACCAAAATAGAAATTGGCGCTAGTATAAGGCATTTCTTTAACGGTACAAAACTCTCGATTTGCTTTCTGACGTCTTATGATTTTATGGCTTTAAGTTTGCTTCTATCAATCATCTTCTACAATTTTCGGTTTTCTTTTGATTTTATTGATTCATTGGCACGTGTACTTTGTCATGTGTCTAGCAGTCACTTCTAGTGGCGTCGCCACGGGGTGGAATGGGGTGGACATGTCCACCCCAGTTTTCAAAGAAGTCGATTTTCTATTTTCTCGCAATCTGTTGAAAAACCTTTGGGGAGAGGGGGGGTTGGGCTGATCAGATAGATTTCAATTTTCGCACTGGCAAAAAAGCCACCTTTACGAAAAATTTGTTTTGTCCACCCCTGTTTTTCGAGCTGGCGACGCCACTGGTCACTTCATGTTACAGAATAGACTTTTTAGATATGTGTACTAGCAAAGAGTACTAGCTTGCGTGCACTATGTACATATCTTCAACGATGTGATCATCAATTCAGTCCAAATTAATGAAAGATCTTACAAATTCCAAATCTTTCAAAATTTGTAACTAAAGTAAGAACTTGATAGTTTCGAGAGACCATTCTCAAACCAAAGTCCATGATTATGTTGCTTAAATTTTCGGCCTTGCTATTCTCACAACGAAAAATGTATTGAGAATAGCTCGATATGAATCTAAGCTTTGCTTAATTACTTCAGCGCGCTCTGTTTTTTATAAGAACACACTTTAAAAGGACACTGAGGCTCCATTTCATCAAACTGTAAGAACATCCTAAGCACGTGCCAACCCTCTGATGAAAAATTAGAAGGAAAAAACAATGTTTTTTATGTTTTCGGTCACTGGTATTTTGAGCCAATGATTTCATGAAATCCCGTGTATTAATGATTAATTATATCTAGGTAACTTGGAAACTTTTTCAGTTTATGAACCATTATTAAAGCAACACACACACGATCAAAATTGCTCTTAGAATTTTCGCTGCCCTTCGGCAGCATCTTTGCGTTCTTCTGATGCTCGTTAGGGTTAGGCTCGATAGATTCAAGTCCGAAGTGCAGCGAAAATTCTAATAAAATATTATGGTCGTGTATGTGTGTTGTTTTAATTATCGATTTTAAACTCAATAAAGGTACCAAATTACCTGAATATAATGTTTTTTAGTATGGTGAATAGATTGGTTTTTTGAAAACTTTCTCTGATTTTAACAAGACAGAAAAACATTATGGGCAAATCAACCATGCTACTAAAAATGTCAAGCAAAGCTTACATTAATTGGAGTTTGAAGCAATTGATAGCACGTAGCTGTAGAAAGTCAATACTGAATTTTTTAAGAACATCCAAGACAGAAATTACCGGAAAAATAAGAACATAGAGCTTAGAAACAGAAAGAATATAGTACATAATACGTCTACTTGTGAAATAGACAAAAATCTGTTCCTTTTTTGTTCTTTTTCTTGACGCTTCTATCTTGGAAACTTAGGCTAGCCAATTCAAAAATTAGCTTTGAAACAGTGACATTTGTATATGTAGCTTGAGTTTCCATCGTGATTTTTATAATATTACTTTAGCCGTACATCTGCCATAGCTCAGTTCTTAAAGCACTCGACTCGGCATTGAGCAGAGCTGTTGCCCTTTCTCTTACTGAGCCAGCGGTCAGTTGTGTGTGAGAGGGGGGGGGGGGTTGTGGCAATACAGCAGATGTTTAGTGGTAGAAGGGGGTCTGTAAGTGTATTTTATACTCGTCTAATTTTTATTCTGTTTTTTACCATAGTATGTCACTCTATTCGCCTCCGCATTTCCGCTCTGCTCCGTTATCACCATCGGGTTTTTATTCATCGAGGCAAGATCTGATATGTTCAAGCTTATGTTCCTGTGCCGGAAACCAATTGTACGAAGGTGAAGTCATTGTTTCAATTATTTGACTTTTTGACCAATTGCTTCGTAACGTTTTTCAGCTCATTTTGTAAATTCGTCTTGTATATCAAATTACCCTTTAGCTGTGACAAAACTCTGCCCATCCGAGGGATGCATAACGTTATCCTTGAGTTAGCCTTTAAGGGGCTTTAAAATTTGGGACGTTTTTAGATTGGGGCTAATTCGAGAGGAGGTCCTTCACGGAGTTAAGGGCATATCTAATTTATCTTAAATTATCTTAAAGTATTTTCACCGTTTAAGTCTTTTTGCTGAACATGAACTTGATGTTGAGAGCAAGAACATTTTTTTCATTTTTTCATTTTCCGTTGAGTGTTATATTTAAGTCATGGACTAAAACCATGCTTTTTAAAAATCGGTATGCAAAATTTTGAGCTTATTCTAGCGTAAGGTTTATTAAAGTTTTTGTTTTCAGTGGGGGTAGGGGGATGAATTCAATAAAGGCGAGGCTTTATCATTTGGATAATTCAGGAATTTACCGCTTCAAAAAGCGAGTTGGCGTTCTCTCTACAACCTTGCACATTGCTGTTGATAGGTGGCCAGGTTTTATGAAAACCTGAATGTCAGTCATCTTTTCTAGTAACATTTATACTACACAATAACCACGGAACAAATTTCCGGAATGAGAGGCTAAAAGTTTTTCGTGGACTTCACATTTTGGGAGGCTAACCATGCTGAAAACCAATATCAAGGCGATTTTTTGTATGGTTTTCAGTACATGCTGAACAACCATTTGAGGCTGAGCCCCCTCAGTCCCCCCTCCGCTAACGTGGCTCCTTATATTTAAACGTGTCATCGTTTTCCGGGGGTTTCGCTTTGGGTTAATGCAGCTGCTACAATATTTTCTCAATGCTAACATTCAAGGACTGCAGAGCATATTACAGATTGAGGGGGTTGAGGCGGTTTGGGGGGCTAAGCATGCTAAAAGCCAAGAGCAAGGCAATTTTTGTATGGTTTTATTTACATTTTGGAAATTATTTAGGGGGCTAAAGCCCCCTCAGCCCCCCTCCCTTCCGTGGTCTGGTCCCTGGCATTTATGTGTACCAGAAACATTTTATATTCCAAAGATTTTTTGAAATTTTGTCGATGCTGTTAGTGATGTATGGATGTAATTAAATTTTAATGCAGATGTTACTTCTTTCTCCTTGCAGAGCCAACAGCATAGGGGTCTGGTTCAAAGTTCTCACTATAATGATGGTTTTGTCCATGGCAACGAATTGCTTTCTGATTGGTTTTTCAAGTGAACAGCTGGCCACGTGGGTTCCAGATATGTATTATCTTGATGACACGGGGGATCAATGGATAAAGCCTGGATATGGAAGGTATTGCGAAATAATAAGCTTCCCGCGTACGGTTCAATGCTTTCTTGGTCGACTTGGTCTCTTCTTGGGCCATCTCTATATGTTTCGAATGAAGGAAAGGGGTGTATGGCTCGAATTTCCCCACGATATAAATGTGAACTCTTAAAAAGACAAAAAGGATACCAGCATGGGATATGCATTTAATGAAATTTTTAAATTCGATTTATCCATCTGAAAGACGAAAAATACCTATTTCCAGAAAATACATTCACCTGTCGATGTACTTTGTGCCGGTCATTTTCGTTTGTATTTCCTTTCGTCTAATATTTTCAACCCCAGCCCCTCCCCCTAAACAGAAATTGCAAAATTATAATAATATTAAGAAAACTAAATCTCTATTCTGGAGAAGTTAATCTTGAACTGGGTACCACAAGCTTAGTGCTACGCATAGGAAAACCATTAGTTTGAGTTAAATCTAATAAATCCTTGGTTTCAGAAATTTGTGTTAGGTTTTTTTATTATTTTCAGAGCTTTGGCCTTGTTTGTAGCTAAACAACTCTTTTGCAACTCTGTCAGCCTTGGAGTTGCAAAGTAAGATCGTGGACCTTCAACATAGTATATAGCAAAGGAAACATTTTACCCACAAATATTCTTTAGAAATTCTTTGAGAAGGTCATGCAAATTGATATTGGATGCAAGATGATGACGTCTTATTTGCTGGACAATAAAGCGGTTAAGTTTGTAACACTACGGAGACAGAAGAGAAACTCAAATTGAATGTTCAAGATGAATTTGCAAAAAGAAACTGTTGTTAAACAAGACAGCATATTCGATAATATTCAAAATTTGCAAATGTAATAGAGCAGTAGGAACTGGTGCTGAATGTAAACTGTACGATCTGCATAGAAAAAATTAACTACATTCTTTGTGGTTTATCACAGGGCACTGCGCGGTCGAGTCATATGCAGGCCATGTATCTACTAAACGGGGATAAATGAAAACGGAGCATGGTCAACGAACCCTTGTTCAAACATAACACGTGAAATTCAAATGGTTTCACAAATGTTTGATTTCCGTGGTAAAATTTCTATCCAATGTACATACATCATGTCAGCTTTTAGGCATCAGATTAAATGGATGTGTGTTAAGACACTGATTCACATTTAGTTTTGCGGCAGATTAAAAAAGAAGCTGACCTCAGTTTGCTTTAGGCTGACATACTTGACTTTCTATCGAAGGCAGGGCAGAGTTTCTATTCCAACATTTCATCACATCAACTCTGTTTTTCTGTTAGAACCTGGCAACAAGTAAATACAACAGTCATATCGCTTTGTTACTACAGAAACAAGATTCCGTTAAGCGTCCAAAAGTTTTCGAAACGTTGAAACACGAGTTGTATCTTTGGCTTGCTGCAAGTCTTATAAGTTGAGAGTTCTTCCAAGGGTTAGGGCTGCGTGCCCGAACGACTTCTGTGAAGGAGCAGAAATCGCTTTGACTACAGTAATTTAAAAAAATACCGGATGTTTGAAATACTTTTTGAAAAGAGATATTTATACATAGATTTGTTATCTAGTTCTTTTTTGTTAACGTATTGCAGTCAATCCCTTCTCAAAGAGTTTGTTTTGACTCAAACCGGCCAGTCTTAAAATTTTCAAAAGAGTATTTTAGTAAGGATGACAACCAACCACCTAATATTCAGCAGCTATGGAAACCGCTGTTTTTTGTGTCCCTTGTAATAATAATTTTCATTGTATTAAGATGTGGCTATTGATTATAGATAGATTATTTGCGAAGAAAGCGACTTCGACCGCACCCAACAAATGACCTGCTGAAGCATATGTGTTTTCTTTCTAAAAAATAGTTCGGCATTTTTCTAGCCTGTGTCCCAGCAAACTCCTAGGGGTCTGTGAAACAGGCTACATTTTTCAAACCAAACAGTGAGAAGTTAGGTCGAATGGCAAAAAGAAATAAGAAATATTGATAATATCAATGCCTTATCAATAATTCAATAATTGTTCTTGGTTTTATATCCGAATTTACAATAAATAATGAATCTGGGTCTCTGCACTGTTTACAGTGAGCTTATTAGCAAATCTACGTGAGAGGTCTGGGACGCGAACATGTCAGGGCTAGGAAGAGCCGCTCCAAAATTAATAATAACCCAGACAGATTCGTGTCGTCTTATATTTTATTAACTTCCGTCGATATACACATTGCATATTTTTCAAATCCAACTTTAACTGACAAATAGTTCTGTTTTTCAATATGACTGGTGAACGTTTGACTACTGTCCCAACAGTTGGACTACTGTTTCTGACTCTTTCCAACAGCGGTTTCTTTAAGGATAGCATTGCCCCCGGTTCTTAGAAATGACCCCTTTTCAACCTTAGAATACCATTCTGTGATTTTACTTCTTCATGAAATATTCACTGCATGGCCTACAGGTACCTGTAACATTATCCTATTGTAAATAAGTTAGGGTGATTAGTAGCAGGTTGCAATATTACAACTTGTAAACCATACCTTTTAGCCTCCTTTCCGTGCTTGCGATTCGCTATCAATGACACTAATCTGAAGAAAAGACTAGCACGATGAAGCTGATCGAGCCTCTCTATCTTGCGCCTAAAGCTTTGGGCTGCCATTTGTTAAAACGGTGCACACACAGTGCTGCGCCTAACATTGTGCATTAACAATTAAATTATAAACTATTCTAAGATACAACAGGCCTAGGAAAATAAGTGAACAGTGAATTCTTTGTTACAAAAGCTTATGTACCATGGCAAAAATGTTTAACATCACTTACGAATGATGCAAGTTTTTGTTTCAACGGATACTTTGAATTTTGCTATGAAAAAGCAAGTTGAACTGAAACCAACATGATTGCTCTCTAGTCTCATACAACTCAGCGAGCAAGATGGACGCTGCAATGAGGAATCAACGCTGGGCTGGAGAAGCTCGATTCAGTCTTTTTTTAGATCAGTGATCAATGATTCTTCGCTATTATCAAACACACCAAACCGAGACGACATCAGGGAAGGCAACCGACGATCATCAATACCTTTTTATGCCACTAGCCAGAGTCGGAAATTAGGTGCGGTCGATCCCCGCCCCTTTGGACTAAGGGATTACGATAAAATATTTACGTCAACAAGTGCCCTTTTTGCAAAGTTGATGACGCCTTACCAAACCTTACCCCCACCCTCCCCCCTCCCCCTTTGAGGAAATCTTGTTACTTGCCTCCTTATTTGGTATTTGTTAGTTTTCACTCCTGTCTAAAATGTCTTGAAAGAAAAAACTACATTCGTTATAGATACGTCGTTGGAATCGTTTTTGGTGCGGAGCATTTTCTTATTCTATGTGTTGTGCTGGCGCATTATCTCATTTCGGATGTTCCATCGCATGTTCAAACAGAGCTGGAGAAAAAAGAATACGAGAAGAAAATTATATTGGAGCGAATACAACACGCAAAGGCTGGTCTAGGCAAAGCAGTAGATCCTGTAGGATAGAACAGCATTGACGAAACTTTAAATGTACACCACTTTTCCAATTGAATAAAATCATCTTTGTAGGTCAATTTGCATTTATACGTTCCGTAACCATTCCTTACTGACTTAACTTTTTTACAGCCGTTTTCATTTTGCCTGCATGTTATCAGTACGTCTCCTCATTTGATAAATGTCCTTATTAAAAGATCCTCTGAAAAATTTAGAATTGAATGGGATTCGTGAAAGGTGACCAGGAAGCGGTATCTCAAATCTATCTCACTTGAGGCTTACCGGAACAGCAGTGAAACCTAGTATGCCTAATGTTATTACGGTTGCTTGTCGCATATGATGAAAGCACGTTCGGGTCTTCTCGACCAAACTAATATTTCAAACGTTTTCTGTTGATCAGCTACGGTCTAGAAACTTGTCAAAACTGCAACCACTTCCTCGTCCTCGAGTAAGCCCCTGCCTTCGAATAAACCCCCACCCTATTGTATTTGCTTGTAAAATAAGCCCCACCCTCGAACAAGCCCCCATGGGTTGAGATATTGCCTCGTAAGCAATAAGTATACCCCCAATATATCTGCATTTTTAAGCATTCTCCATCAAATAGAACAAGTAAATAAGCCCTCACCTTTGAATACCCCCCCCCCCCCTCCACCTTCGAATAAGTCTCTAGCCTTGCGAAATAAGCCTGCCGGGGCTTATTCGAGGACTTTGAGGACGGTATTTGTTATTGCTGCTTAGAGATATAGGACCTAATCCTCTTCTTTGAACTTTAATGGACGGCTTGGTATTACTGCTTGGTATGGCGAAAAAGCAGCTTCTTTTTTCATGTGTCCATGGAGCTCGATATGTTTGGGTGGAGACCTTGCTACACTATGCGTAAGAAATGTATACTGTTTATGTAAAACATGTCTCAAAATTGATATAAAGAGCCCGAGAACGTTAGACAATGCTAATCTAACATTTAGGAAAGAAATCGTAGCGATTGGTATGGATTAATTTGATTAGTATATGCTTTTGGGTTTCTTTACCGATAAGTCTTAGGTCAACCAAGCAATTATATTTATTGATGTTCGATTATATTTAACAAATCTTTTAATTCTGATTTTCGATGTTTTGGGGAATAATATATTTCGGTTATTTGGAATTTAATGGTATGTGGATTTTCATAATTTGTTGAATTCCGTGGTATTTGATAGGGATTTGATATAAGATGGAATGTATTTTTTCCGGTTATAAGTGAGTTTAGTAGATATTTATCGATTTTATACCTAGAAAAGTCCTCACGATTATGTGTCTAGTAAAGCACAATTTTATACTACTACTCCGAGTTTCACTTTAAGGCAGCTACAATTCTTCTGCATTGGATCCAAGGAAGCCACAACTTGGATAATCTAGACTCCAATAGCTGTAAAGGACAAAACCTATCGAGGGCGATCCGACCTCTTCTCGCTTAATAAACCGAGAACAATCTTTGTGTTTAGCATCAATTATATTACTCGAAAATTTTCATATCAACTAACGAGCATTGGTTAATTGTTCTTGTAATTCATGGTATTTCTGAAAAAAATGCGACATATTTGTGCTACTTTTTGACGTTCCTCTGGCCCCCTATGCAGTTCTTGCGAATACTTCACACCAGGTACAAAACAAGCTTCTATGTAAGATCGAAATAAGCACATGACATTGTTTGCGCCAGGATAGCGGCTAGGACCTGTGTGTACCACTACATCGTATGTATCAAACAGTCAAGTGAAGTATTTTTTTACCTCAGATATGGCAACGGCCTAATGACAGTAGCGAGGCGACGAATAACTGGGCAGCTCCACTGGGGAAGTAGTTACACAGCTTACTATTACACCTTGTGTTTGTAACGATGTTACGATGAATGTTTACGAGTCAGTATAGTTTTCATATCCTGAATAAGGCCCGACATTTGTCTGCTCATAATATACGCTTATGGTGTCGCTGCCTTTCTGTTTATCTATTCTCAAAACTATAAAGAGAGGCTCCTCAATTATTGGCTGTCTGATCTAAGATGATACCCCTTAAAGATGAAGAACAAAGTTATGGTATTGGTGACTTGCGTGAGTATGCTTTTACAGATTCCATTGTAGCATTGTCGTCCTGTTAGACAAAGGCATGGGATGCTGGGATGGGCTTGGGGGGAAGGGGCTTGCCCCTCTTTTAGTTAGCCAATTTTACGTTAATTATTGCGTTTAGCTTGTTTTTATGACAGGTAGTACCAAATAGGGTAAAGGTGATGCTCTATTTGGTTCTTCAATAAAGATTCACAAAGATGCCATCAATTTTTAAAACATTTCCTTGCAACTTCGACCAAAACAAAGCCTAACACACGTCAACATGAGCACCAGGTTGAAAAGCTGTTCTGAAAAGTGATAATGATAATTTTGGTTTCGGACATAAATACTGCGAAATGACGTATGACATATAAATATATAGCGCTAAGACAAAGAGCACGCAAAGATAAAACTAGCTGAAGCGAGGATGGCTCAGTTGTTAGAGGCACTGACTACAAACCCAAGGATCCGTGATTCGAGTCCCGGCATAACTAAACTTTCACTCAGAGAGGGCAAGCTCTCTGTAATTCCAGGCGCAGGAATCACGAGGTGTGGTCACATCGAGAGGAAGGACCTGGAAACTGCTCGATAAGCATAGCTTCTCAGTGTCCTAAAAAACTACCTTCGGATGCTAGGTAGCAACAAATACAAATAGCTGAAGCTAAACTTAGTAGCTGGTTATTTCTTCGGATACATACGCTGGCTGACTATTAATAAATACTACATATTGACTTCGTACATTCTGATGACTACATTGTTTCCAATTCGTTTGGCAAACAGCAAGTTTGACTGAAATGTTTAGGGTGACCAATATCGACCTCACGAGTACGTCTTTCTTGGCTTTTCATTTCATAATATTTCAATCTAACGATATATGTTTATACAACCCTTTCTAGTACAGTTGTTTTGCATCAAACAAAAGTCAAAGATATTTAAAAAATAATACGTAAGGATGGCTACGTTGGTGACTTTCCTAATAGTTTTGTCAAATCTCTATATCACGACAGGCAAAGGATATAGGAGAAAATTTTTGAATTTTGATGCTTCTAGTTCCCTGGAAAATGCACTCTTTTAAGCAACTTTCACTAAAGCCATCCTCCTAATCCTATTGAAAATTACTATTTTTTTGCAAAATAATTTACAACAAATAATAACAACAATTTTGCCGTGGTCTTGAAAAATACCAGGTAATCAGTTATTTCTAATGCTAGGTAAGAAGCAGCACTGGTTGTCAATTTAGATCCCTCATTCCATCTTAGCATACCTTTTGAATGTTAAAAAAAATCTGGAGCTCATAGTGAATTGCAGTTGATGCTTCTACTGAGAAGCTTTAGGAGAAATGGACACAAGGCACAATTTTACCTAAAGAGGGCCTGGATTTTTAGATTTATTGCCAACAAGCAATCTTCAAATCTTCAAATCATTAGTTTGTTTACCAAGGAATATCATATTTAACCAACGAAGCAACTGCCTTTGCTTGATCCTTTATTGATTTTATGATGACATGAAGGTCTCTTCCACCGAGCGGATTTTACCTGAAATTTCCTATTGAGATACTATTGGGGGGTACGACAACCCCCACACCTCCCGGTCGCGACGCCCCTGGTAAAATGTTTGCTTTTTTCAAAGCCATTTTCAAGTTCTCTACCGCTAAAAAACTGTAGTATATTTCCTTTATAGCAGTGTGCTAAATGAGAAGGAGTACAAAGGACAATCCCCCCCCCCAAACCCCAATATGAATTTAGTTCCGACGGCACTGTATTGTGTTTTGCAATAATTTAGAGGCGTCCGGAAGTTCTGGTGAGGCCATGGGTGCGGCAAATGTCTTCTTTGATACACCCAGCTTAAATTACAATGCTTTGGCAACAAGGGAGGGACACCCGTCTGTGATCTGCTTCACAGGAAAGGAACAACGGAATTAAAAAAATTCGTTGATGAAATAAGTACAATACTGCTTCACGATAGCAACAAAGTAAACATAGATTCAAAGGAATGAGAATGACCAATGGTTAGATGCTGCCTTCCAAAGAAACAGGGAAAACCCCCGGTTTGTGCTCGCATGGTCTTTATTGTTTTTCCCATGGCAATCAGCGGCTTTTAATCACAATAGCCACACGTTGAGCTTCAACTCACTGTACAGCCGAGTACATTACTAGCAGCTCTTTCGTCCAACATATCGACAGGAAACACAGACCATTTTCTCTCTGGTAAGGAGTTTTAGAGTTTATTTCGCCTAACTTCCGTTTTGCCCTTGTTCCCGCAAGTTTAAATGGCTACACAATACCTTTAAGGTTCAAGTTTTGCATGGCCTTTTGCAGTCGAAGGGAAACGCCTTTTTTTGTCTTGTTTCGGAAGATATGATTTCACCGGAAATTTAGACAACTATTTGCTGGAAATTTGTCAGCATTCATAAACTTAGTTGTCTTTGATGATACATTGGCTGTTGCTTATCTTGATCACGTCTTACCGTACAACAAAAGAGCAACCTTCGTGATCACTTCGTGAACTTAAGACCCAGCAGCTGTTTCTTCATCCATTTAGCCAAGGGAAAATTGGATAAAAATGTTTTGAATAGAGTTTGGTAGCCTATTTATTTTTGAATTTTTGTCGCTGTATCTGTTTACACTAAGTAATGTTAAAGCTATGCGCGTCATACGAGCAACGAGTTTCCTGCAAACAATACTGATTTATTTCATAATGATATTTGTTTCATCAATCAAGTAAGCCTGCTTTGGAAACTTTGCTGGACGGGCTGAATAACTTTCAATCTTTAACGGAACGCCGAGACTTCGAGGAAACCGCCACTCGAAAAACGAGTCAGTTTGTTTCTTTTGTTATCTGTGACCAAACCACCCAAACACGCTATGTTCAAGGGGAAAATACCTGTTATTTACTCTAGTAAACGAAAACAAAGCCTTTAAGAACAAAAGGGCGTGAAACTTAACCGAGTTTGTTCAATTTCTTCTGCAGGTAGTTTGCTGGTCAAAGTCTAAAGCACTATGAATGTTCTGTGGGCTATAATTTGGTTCATCGTCCTCATCTTCTTGGCCTGGCCTGTAGGTGGATTTTGTGCCAGCTGGTATGTTTGCTGTCTTCCTTTCGAGGTTTGCATCGACCCAGTCAAACAACTAAACGAGTTTCTATTCAAAGGTGTGAAGCTACCGTATGAAGTTGCAGTCCGCATGAAAGACGGCAAAAATGGATGGTAAAAAACCGAAATTCGACACGCCTACTTCAAGGAAAGCAAAGGCGCATTCAATGCTTTGCAACTTTTACACTATACGTACAGTTAAAATACAATTCTTATACAAAGATCTGTGTTGAATGTTGTTGGACAGAAACAAAATATTTCAGCGAAGCATTTAGATGGTTTGCCACGAAAATAAAGATTAATAATGTCCTTTTATACCCCAACTATATTTTGTTATAAGAGTTCTTAACCCTTCACATCTCTAGTAGTATTCAAACATAACTTTGTCACAATAATAACACAAGGATTTTTGATCTTATAAGGTTTTTGTTTTTCTTGTAGAAATGTTTAAACAATCATAACACTATAAATCTTTATAGTCGCTGTCTTGTCGGATCTTTCATTTATCACTATGTTTAGCAGCCGAGCACCCGGTTATTGATTTCCACACCCGTCATCGTTGCCAACGGGAGTTTCCTGTAATTGGCCCGGCCAAACGAATAAAACATCGGCATAAAACATAATCCAACATTGTTGCATAAACCATGTTTATTCGTTTGGCCACCATGTTTTACGATGTTTTATGAGGGTGTTTAGCAGGGTGTGACAAATTGATGTTGTAGTGGGAACGTTTCTGAAATATAATGGGCGTGACCTCAAAATATTTTCGCTCACCGCAACGTGGGCCTGAGGTCTTGCACCGATGTACATTCGTACTTTTTTCTCGGTTTTACCTTAACGATTATCATAACCACAACGAAGAATGTGAACTGTGGCGGATTAAAGGGGGCAGTTGTCCCCCTCACCGAGTTGAAGCAAGTCTGGTGCCCCTTTTTGTGACTTAACTTCAAGGACTAATTAGCCTGTGCTCTAGAACCCTAACTTGAAAGTCGAGGACCCCTAACTCTACTTTCAAGTTAGGGGTCTGGGACACAGGCTACTTCATCTGATTTCAAAGGCAATCTGTCTCGTTGTGGATTGGTCAACGAGAACAATAGCTGGAACAATAGCCTAAACACGATTCCAGCGCTCCGCCATATATTTTTTACAATGCGATAAATTAAAGGGGGACTGGAAACAATAAAAATCCCTTTGTTCTTATAATCAATCAACGTCGTGACAGATTGTCTTTAAAGGTAAATCACATCAAGGATCACCTTAAAGCTAACTTTTTTTACAAGACAGATAAACTTTTGATAAGTCATGCTTTGGAAGACAACAGATGCTATCTATAAACTTGCGTTCTTCAATTCCTGCCTTCATCTAAGCCGTGTTCAAACTCTATCTACACGTCTACTGAAACCAAATTGAACTATAGAGCATAATTATGATAGAATTTTTGTCTGTTGTGCCTAGGACCCCTGGCTCTTAATCGATATTTTTGAATATCCCGACTATCCCTAGAATTTCATAATATAGTTGTAAATATTCTTTGCGTCGCTAACAAAGATGGCGGCCTTCACCGTGACCTGTCTAATTATACACCCATACACAAACTGAAAATTAAACCAAAACGCCAAAGGCAAACTTTCAGGGCCGCCAAGGTTTTATTTCCTGGCGGAATAGTTAAATCTTCGTTGCAACCACCGCTAAGGAAAGAGCATTCGAGTCACTATGGCGGAGCAGCGAATTTTCACCCGGCAAATTCATATAAAAAGAGAAAAACTTTAATTATAGACCTTCAGTCCTGTTCAGACTATCTATCATTGCTTTGGCACAATTATTAATCCGTTTTTTAAAAACTTGAATAAAGATTCTTCTGCCAGTAGGATCGGAAATTCATGCATACAGTGTACTCTCGTCACATATTTCTGAAAAAGTTTTCGTCGCCCAAACATTCAACGGCCCCCCCCCCCCCTTCATATTGCTCTGGATCCGCCCATAAATGAAAACAATTTGATATAAACTACATTGAGTGCAACAATTTTCGGCGTAACAAGCTTTCGAACAGATCTTTTTCCGAAAATGTGTTTGTATTGTACATATGGTGGTTGATTAGAAAATAAATTTCAAGTTAAAAAGCCTAGTTCACAATAAAAGCAAGCCATGGAAAATTAATGAAAGCCACGGCAAGTCAAAGGAAGCAACGGCAAAAAAAGAAATTGGGGATCACTTTAGTCTTTTTCGGCAACTCAAATTATGTAGCATTACCAAGTTTCTCTGTTATATGCCTACTGAAAAGAATTTGCCATAGTGAGGCTTTTGAGTACTTGGCACAAGTACCCTGATCTACAAAAAGGGGGCATTTTCCAGTAAGGGTCTATATCTTGTTAGATATATCGTTACACAAATTGTGTATTTTCACCAATTGCATGCTTTAATCACAATTTGCGTGATTTTTCAACTTATCAACCTCACAGCCTTCGATAAATGACTGATCAGTTATCATTTCATCAAGAAGCAGGCTCGAGGCTAGAAGTGGGCTGGGGGGGGGGGGGGGCTAAAACCTCAAAGATGGCGAAAGATTCTGTTGTTAAGTTTTTTTATGATGATTAAATGAAATTTAATCAGAGTTAATTTCACGAGGGGCTTTCGAGCGTTAACTAAATCTCATGAGATTGTTGTTAATACTATTTCGTTATGTTTTCTTGTGCCACGCTTCCTCGTGGTTTTCTTGTATCTGCTCTACTAGTTTATGGGCAATGCGGGGAGTCTTTCGGCCTCCTGTGAATTTGATTGTATAACTAGGGTAAGATGTGTGTTTCGTGGCGTTTTCATTCCCTTGGTTAATCTAGGGGTATTTAAGGTTTTGGCATAGCGTGGGTCTCATCTTGCTTGGTGAAGCCACAATTCAACTAGGCTGTTTTATTGTATTTTCCCAGCCCTCCCTCCCTCAATTTGTTTCTTTATGTTTAATGCCTTTTCAGTATAACTTTGCGTGTTGAGTTTCTTTTATGGCATCGTTAAAACCTCTCATACCTTTAGGCATCTTTTATGCTTCTTTGAGTTTTCTGATGCTATTAGGTAGGACTGGTGCATCGGCTATTAGTGGGGAAAAGAGGCTTTTCCTGTCCATTCCCTCCCAATTATCAATCGGGGGTTATTGTGTAACTTCCCTTAGTAACCCCTATATGGTAGGTTGAGCGATTGGCGCCGATGCACCAACGGCCCAACTCGCTCTCGATGATGTGGGAACGTAGCCTCATGACTGACCTTTCTGATGTCAATGGCAGTTTTTCTGAGGGAGCTTTATGCCCTTCATGTTGCATTGGTATTTCATTCCCGAGTAAGTAAATTAAATTATGTTAGCCTACGGCTTTAGCATCGCCAGAATGTTTCTGGCCTCGGGCTTGGCAAGACGGCGCACATCTAAAACAAGTGACAAAAATATAAGCGTAATTTTCCTTGAAGCTTTTTTCTACAACCCGCATCCTCGGCGATGACAAATGATGTGAGTTATATCGTCATCAAAACTTATTTTCATAAATTTTGAATTTAGACCAAATAACCTAATAGGATAATGAAACACATCCATCAACAAATACATTACATATCAGTAAAGGTATTTCAAAGGCTTTTTCCCGATCAAATAAATTCCCCATTCTTCAAATTCATCACTGCCCATATCTCCTCTAATTTTTAACATACTTAGCTGATTTTGCACTTCTGTGGTATTTTCTATTTATTTTTACATAAGGTGGTAACAAAATTTTAAAGATTAGTTTTTATGAAGCCACAATTAAAACTATCCCCTGTGTGTGTAGGGATCTCCGCGTAAACGCTACGCAGTTTTCCCACGCCAATCAAATGGATTTTATTTGCAAAAACATTTCGTTTATCAGTTACAATACCAATGACATGAGCACTTGAATTTAATATGATTTTGCAATTAATCTCTTCAACATTACGTATTTAACTAAAAAAAAACACTAATAAGGTGCGGTTTATGTATGTTTCAAAATTATTGCTTTATTCGAAACCTTTTTCAATTTCTTTTCGTAGTAGGTATTCTGTAATGCCTTCTTGTGGTTACAGATAAAGGAAATTAAATCAAATCTTGATAAGTGCACGGGTTGTTTCTTAAACAGAAAATAAACTAATTACAGCTGAAAATTACAAGCAGAGAAATTTGATTTTTTATTAAAGTTCATTTGTTTATATTTGGCAGCCATGGCCATCCGTAACTGTTAGCTCTTTCTTCCCTAAGCACTGGACAATCTTCTGAACTTCATTTCGCTGTTTCCAAATCCTTCCATTCGCAATTTCTTATAATTTCTTAGCCTGTTTAGCTGGTCTTCGTTTCCGTTTGTTATTTAGAAACATCAAAACGAGGCTACACAATCGTCTTGTTGGAGAGGCCTAATTTGACCACTGCAGAGTTGGAGAAAGATGATATCATCAAACTGTGCGAGGATTGGCAGGAAATGGACCTTACCTTTAAAAAGAGTATGGTGATACATATTAGTTTTGCAATAAAGCTATGAAAGTTCAGAGTCAGTAGTTATTGGGCATTTTTTTGCTCTGTCGCGTGGCACATCCACCTGTATTGAATGTACACTAGTTGAGCAAAAGTATTGCACGACACCCCCCCCCCAAAATGGCTGCACCGCCGCAAACGTTTTATAGCAAACCAAATATCAACTAGCTATATCAAGATGAATAAAAACTTTAGGATGACTGTTAGGGTGGATAATAATGGAGAATTTTTCAATGTATAGTAATGGAACTGAAAAAGGCAAAAATATTATTTTTTCTTTTTATTTTAAAGCTATATCGACCACAGCAAAAATATGAAAACCTAGCTATAATGATAAGATTACCTGTACTTTATTTGCAATAAAAAAATTTTCTTTCCACAAACCGTTAAGATTTCTAGGCAAACTCATAGATACTAACTTTCTGCTTGGCTGCTGGAAACTGTTAATTTTCGTGACTGTTATAAAAGTATTTGTCAGAAGTCTTGGTCACATTTTCTTTGTACTGCAAAGGGCCTATTTTTGTACACCATTTCATAACGTGTTGCAACAGAATTCCATTGATAAAACATTTAGGAAATCTTTAACTTCATCTATTCCAGCAAATTGTGATGTTGTTTAGGGAGCAAATAATGCTGTAAATTGCTCAAAACAGCATTCCATATCTGCTTTGAATGAAAATAAAAAAAACTTTCTGGGATAAACAGTTGAAAGCAGTGACACACAAGTGCCTGAAAAGTCGTCATTAAAGACAGCTGTAAAAGTGTAACTCTTCGCTAAATTCAAGGCCAATAATGATCTTCTCGTATCACAAATTTATCATATGGCATTTCAAAGTAACCTGCTGCAAAAGTTTCTCATTGGATTTAACAAGTTTTACAAGGGTTCCAAAGGTCCTAAACTGTCCAATGAAAAATTTACTTCTCTGATGCTTTAAAAAGATATTTTTATCAAAATTAAGAAAAAAAGTGTTGCCAATGGTTTGAGGTTTAATGGTTTCACAAAAGTGGTTTGAAGTTCTAAGGACATGTTGTTTACAAAGCTGATGCCGATATTCAATCATCGAAGTGGTGCAATACTTTTGCTCACCTAGTGTACATATTCAACATATACAAAATTAATTTTGATTGAAAGACAGGGAAGCTACAAGATAGATATTGGAAAACCAATAAACTGGTCAAATGTTTCATTCATAATATCATAATACTTGTATGATTGTCTTCGTAGGTTAGGCAATCCTTTTCTTTAAGTTACAACCCAATAATAAATCATTTTGGCCCTTTAAAACAGTGTTTTTAGCACGCTGATGATTTGAAATCTAACAAGCCTAAAAAGAATGAAATATTGTCTATTTTTATAAATTGATTGTAAAATGGTCATTGCAAGGGAGAGGGAACCCATTCCCTGAGCAATAATTTTTCAACATTCATTCTGCCTGTGCATTATGATAAATTATCTTTGGAGCCCGTGCAACACATTTGCTTGTTTGTTCATGTTTCTAGGGATCTTCTATCATTTAATTCTGATTTCTAATTATCAGAATAAACAAAGAATACACAATCTCTTTGAAGGCCTTTGCTTCAAATCCTGTGCATGATTTCTCTTATGACCTTTCTTATCTGCAAATTTGAATTTTATTGCTATGGGGTTCACCATTCAGAAAAAGTACTTTACAGTTTGGGCTGCATGGATGATTATTTAAGATAAACAAATATCCAATAGATTGCCTACAAATCCAAAGCCAGTGAGCAGTGACATAACATTTATCAAAGGGCAGGAATGTCTTTCTAGGCAAGAAAGGAAGACAAAGACAATATTGTCCTTCATTTACTGCTGTGTAAATTTCTAGAGCAATTTTCTGTCAGCCTAGTGAAAGGATGTTGGTGATGTCATGCCCCCAACAATACCCTTCCATCAGATACACCCATGCAAATAAGAAAAAGCTCAGAGCTGAAGATTTATCATTACTTTTCACTCATAATATACTTGCTACCAAACAGCTCTACAATGATGAAGCAACTTATAAATTACAATTGATTCTTGTGTCTTAGTTAATTTGAACATTAATTTTTTTGAAGTTGTAAGAACTAATTTATAAGTAATTAATGGGCATTAGATTGAGGTTGACAGAGCTTTTTGTTTTCCACACAGTTATGCAGATATTTAAAGTATCAATATTCTTCAATGCCTGATCAGGCAAATTTGACTAAAGTTTCACAAAATGATGGGATTTGTAATATAGTACTCCATGATTCAAGAAAGAGGTAAGATAATTCTGAATTAAATTTGCTGGAAAAGTCTCAGAAGAGTATTATTTGATGTAACCATTTGTTAACTCAACAGATTTAGTTGAGTTAGTATATGTAGTAAATGATTCTTTGCATCTCTCTGCCCTGGTATACCACTTTGCCTCTTTCCCTCAATGTCCAGGTTTTGAATTTTATTTAGCCATAATATGTTGCATTTTCTTTTCAATTATTCCACCTTTGATTTATTAGCATATTTATTCCAATAACTTGTATTGTAACCTCTTGATTATAATTGTTTCATGGTAGAAATTACATATAATGGTATTTACACATAAGGCAATTAGGGAAGTTGTTTGAATCTTGATACAGATATTGCCTAAGGAGAGTCTTAACTTTTTTTTATATCATTTTCTCTGATTTTTAGAAATTCACTTTCTGCTGGAATGCTGGATGAATTAAAAAGAAACTTGTATGAAGCTTCAGAAGACAAAAACACAAAAGTCATAATTTTGTCAGCAAACGGACCAGTATTTTCAGCTGGGCACAATTTGAAAGAGTTGGTTTGTATCATTTTACTTTATATGCTGATGAGAGGCACTCTTCAATGCTTCAGAAAATCATGTCATTTTTGGTACTTAGCAACTGAAGTCTCATTGATTTTTTTGCTTTTAAAACAAAATCGTTAATTGCAGAGATGGTGCTATAGGGTGTCATGGGGGGAAGCTGCCCAAAAATTCCCAATGACACCCCCATTGGCAGCCAATACAAGAAAAGAAAAAGAACTGTCTGAAATTTGAAGTCAAATGAGGGATTTACTTTTTTGTAAGAAGAAGAAGGCTTAATTGGTCTTTTAACTTTCAGTAAAACCGTTAAAATCATTAAAACTATGGGGCTGGATTGTTCTTAAATTATAAGGGTTTAAGAAATGGAATTGTTAAATATTGTGCTTAAGGGGAGTGTTCAGGCCCCATTTGCAAACAAAGTTTGACAATTCAGCGTCAAAGCACCCCTAGATGGGAAAAAATTCTCCTTTGAAAGGAATGTTTTTAGGAGGTTTAATGTTTAATGTTGTTCAGAATTACATTCTAAAGTACATCTGTCTCAACTTGGCCTTAAATTGTTCTTAATTAAAATTAACTAATTTGGAGGGTCGTGTTGTTAAAAAATTGTTCTTACGAGAAAATATTTTATCAAAAACTGTCGCCGAACTTCATCATTTTTTAGGGGTCGAAGAGAGGGGGCAAAGGGGCAAATTTTTCCACGGTTTCCCAAAAGAAATGATCTAAGAATGATCTAAGATTGTTAGCACATCATGGTTTGGTGTCTAGTGCCACCTTTGGTTAATTGCTTCCTATTTTCTGCAATTCATTAAATCGCCAGGGATCTTGCATTTTAGTTTTTATCATTATTATTTCCCAATTGAAATGCAGTAATATCTTAAAACTATGTTATTCGTAAGTCCTGTTGTTAAAATTCTGATTAAAGCAGCATTTTAGCTTGCAGAGGAGGGAAAAGAATTCCATGAACAGCTTTTTCAGCGATGCTCAGAGGTCATGTGTCTTGTACAGGTATTCTTCTTGCGCTTACTTTGTAATTGAAATTTTTTGATGATAGTTTAAGAATTTGTTCATAACAGAAGTTCTTGTCTTGACTGCAGAAGTTTGGGGCAGAGGGTTATAACCTTGATAAAGCCTTAGGGGCAGAGGGTTATAACCTTGGAAATTTTGCTTCGGAAGTTTTGCTTCTTTGTGCAAATATCTTATTTTAGATTAGTTCCACCCTAATTTTAAAATTCATCTCACCCTTCTTTTAGATGAAAATATTTGCTTGCCGACAGTTGAATCATCAAAGGCAACCGACAGATACTAAAGTGGCTTAAACTATCTATCAATCAAAATTAGCCAACCAATGAGCTTTACATACTACACACGTGTTTATTTATTGGCCAATAGTTAATTGACAAATAGCTTCAGCCACTTTGGTATCTATTGATTGCCTTGAATCTTTACCCAGATACAGGTAAAAATAGTACCTTGCCATTGTTCTAATTATTGTTAGTACCGCCAGTTTTTGTCAGCAAAGTCATCGTTGCTAATGATCTTATCCCATTTAATTTGGATATTCTCTGTTTTAACTTAGGATGTCGAGGTTCCCGTCATTGCGCAAGTCAGAGGTTAGTATTTACTTTTACATTTTCTGTTTTAACCCGATTTATTTAGGCTAAACCAAGACTTGAACGCTTTTTGTCTATGCGTAAGAAAGTTTTAAATTTATTCTCGTTTACTTCTGCTAGCTTTTGCGCCAGATGTAAATGTGGGGTCTGGAACATAGGCTGGCTATCGCAGGCTATGTTGGTTGATTGAAAATTGTCAGTAAATTATGTGGTTTCCTCTCGTAGCATATTGTGCTTCGAAAGATTAAAAGTAACAAATCGCATTGACACGACATCTCTTACTTTTGACCGCTTTCCATTGCCTATAACCACTTACCATTGCCTATAACCACTTACCATTGCCTATAACCACTTACCATTGCCTTTTAACTGCTTTCCATTGCCTATAACCACTTACCATTGCCTATAACCACTTACCATTGCCTATAACCACTGGCTTTCCGATTGACCTATAACCACCTTACCATGGCCGTATAACTGCTTACCATTGCCTATAACTGCTTTCATTGCCTACAATCCACTTACCATTGCCTATAACGCTTCTGACCCTTATAAATTCCATTGCCTATAACTGCTTTCCATTGCCTCACCACACGCATGCCCTATACCATTGCCTATATACTGCTTTCCCATTGCCTACAACCACTTACCATTGCTATAACTGCTTACCATTGCCTACTAACTGCTTTCCATTGCTATAACATTCCATTGCCTATAACTGCTTACCATTGCCTATAACTGCTTTCCATTGCCTACAACCACTTACCATTGCCTATACTGCTACTTGCCATACTGCTTCCATTGCCACACCACTTACCATTGCCTATAACTGCTTTCTCTGCCTACCATTGCCTACCACCACTTACCATTGCCTAAACTACTTACCATTGCCTATAACTGCTTTACCATTGCCTATAACTGCTTTCCATTGCCTACATAACCACTTACCATTGCCTATAACTGCTTACCATTGCCGTATAACTGCTTCCCATTGCCATAACCACTTACCATTGCTAAACTGCTTACCATTGCCTATAACTGCTTTCCAGTTGCCTACAACACTTACATTGCCTATAACTGCTTTCCTTGCCTATACCACTTACCATTGCCTTAACTGCTTTCCATTGCCTATACACTTACCATGCCTATACTGCTTACCATTGCCTATAACTGCTTTCCATTGCCTAAACCACTTACCATTGCCTATAAATGCTATTCCATTGCCTATAACCACTACATTGCCTAAACACTTACCATTGCCTTATAACTCTTTCCATTTGCCTATAACCACTTACCATGCCTATTAACTGCTATACCATTTCCTAATACTGCTTCTCCATTGCCTACAACCACTTCCTGCCTAAACTGTCTTCACATTGCCTATAACTGCTTTCCATTGCCTACAACCACTCTTACCAATTGCCTATAACTGCTTTCCATTGCCTACAACCATTACCATTGCCTAAACTGCTTACCATCTGCCTATAACTGCTTTCCATTGCCTACAAACCACTTACCATTGCCTATAACTGTCCATTCTACACCATTGCTCTTCACTAACCACTTACCATTGCCTATAACTGCTTACCAGTTGCCGTATAAACTGCTTTCCATTTGCCTACTAACACTTACCATTGCCTATAACTGCTTTCCATTGCCTATAACCACTTACCATTGCCATAACCTACGATCTATAACTGCTTTCCATTGCCTACAACCACTTACCATTGCCTATAACTGCTTTCATTGCCTATAACCATTACCATTGGCTACAACCACTTACCATTGCCTATAACTCTTTCCATTGCCTATAACCACTTACCATTGCCTATAACTGCATACCATTGCCTATAACTGCTTTCCATTTGCCTTACAACCACTATAACCATTGCTATAACTCCTACCATTGCCTATAAACTGCTTTCCATTGCCACAACGATACCATTGCCTATAACTGCTTTCCATTGCCTACAACCACTTACCATTGCCTATAACTGCTTTCCATTGCCTATAACCACTTACCATTGCCTATAACTGCTTTCCATTGCCTATAACAACTTACCATTGCCTATAACTGCTTTCCATTCCCTACAATAACAAGCAACATGATAACAAGGTCCCGTTGCTATAGGGCCGCCGCAGGTACGGTTTAGATCTGCGGAGGCAGACAGAGGCAGATATTTGCCTGTGTATCATCCTTACCCTTATGTTAGCGATGGTGGCGATTTCTATGCGGGTTAGTGGCTATGTTGAAACAAATCTTATTTTTAAATGTGTTATTCCCTTACCAGGTTTAGCAACTGCAGCAGGATGCCAACTTGTTGCAAGTTGTGACCTTGCCGTCGCCTCCGAAAACGCAAAATTTGCTACTCCTGGGTGAGTCTCTCATACCTTTTTTTGGGTATACATACCTTTTCTTAAAAGGGAGCTCTGTGCCAATATATTTTCCAAGAAACTTGTGGACAGTACAAAAAGCTGCTTTTTGAGCAATCGGGTAAAAGGAATTGCTATCGAGCATCTTGAAAAATAAATATAGTGTGAATTTGCTCACAAATTATACACATGGTTTATTATTCCTTTAAAAAAGCATTCTACACCCAAATATGTTTTTGACTTTTATAGCTCTTTCCGCTTCTTTGTTGTACCGAAAAACGGTGGGTGAAAATGTTTTTGCATCTGTGTTGCATACTCTTGCAAAAATGTGCGAGATTTACTCTAATGCGATAGGATTTCTGGTGATGTTTCAAACAAAGCAGTATTAACCACTGGGAAACTAAAATACCACTAAAACTTTAATGGTATGGATAATAAATGTGTTCAAACAACCCGAATGGAGATTTTAGTTTCAGCTCGGACCTAACATTCACTTTGAATAAGGAAAACCGCCAGCCCAGCTTTTTGATATCTTAAACTGAAGGAGCTTTCAGCTCAGGCCTAGACCTTTGTTTTTGTGGCTTGCCAAAATTGATCATATTCTGTTGGCTGGATAAGGATATTCCTGATGTTTGAAGTGATTAGTTCCTATGACTCACAACCCCCTTTTCCACCCCAACCACATTTCAATCTAATTGTCGTTAGTTTGATCTAGGACAGTTTTCAGTATTATCATTTGATAAGGTCTGATAGCTCAAAGAGGTAATATTTTATCATAACGATGAATGGAACTTGCTTCTATTGCTATGTCGTTTTATTTTCTGTATTCCTCTATGTTCATTTACTTTTTCATTTTCTGTCTCCCTCCTTACGTTTGATTAATCGGTTGCAGAGACCCCAATGAATCTTATGAAAATAGTTTTAGCCAAGGTAGTTTTGCAAGAAATCTTTTTGCGCAATTCAGGGGGTAAACGTAGATCTTCGCTTCTTTCAAGTGGTTGTTTTACTGCCGTAGACAAACACTGAAGATTTAGAATAAGTTACATGCCAGCCTCTAAAAGCAGATTAGACATTTTAGCAAAGTTATTAAAATGCCTGATCTACTTCTTTAACAACAAAACCGTATTCTTATGAATGATACTGAACGAAAGCTTGTATTATTCAAAGTAAGTAGAAGATTATGCTTAGAGGAACTACAATAAGTATAACTGGATGATATGATAAAACCGTCTAAAAAGTTTGCCCTAATCCAGTTTGGGACGAAAAGCTATCTTTTTTTGTTCTCTTTCCATCTGCATTGAGCATTCAAAATTAACTAGCATATATTTCCACTTTTCACTAGAGCCACGACGGGACTTTCGTCGCTCAGTAGCGACGAGCCATACCATATGACTTGACACAAGAAAATATTGTCATTTTATATGCTAGGAAGACCTATTGTGTTATTATTTTGTTGTTACCTAACAGTGCCTTCCCCACCTACAAAACCAGTAGATTTTGCTTTTTTCAAGTAAGCTGATGCTGTTTTAATGTAATTTTCAGGGTGAGCATTGGCCTCTTTTGCTCGACTCCTGCAGTGGCTATTGCAAGGGCTCTACCAAGGAAGGTAGCAATGCAGATGCTTCTTACTGCCAAACCAATAACTGCACACGGTCAGACTTTCTTTTTCAAACTTATCGCTAAGCTAGTTTAAAAATAGTGTGTCGTAAAACAGTAGACAAATCCACTAAATAACAGCGCACACCTCCAAGCAACAGAAACATAGCCTTTTCCTAACACTTATTTTCGGCTGTCAAAGTCTTGAGCGAGCAAAATCCAGACAAAGGACACCTCCCAGCAATGGAAGGCACCTCTTTTCGCACTTAATTCTGGTCTACGTCGGATTCACTGTATGAAATGAAAGTATTATGAAGTCATCATTTAGTTTAATCCTTCTGAACCTATCTTCCAAACTTAAATTTTGTTTGAACCCAGCGTAGTTATTTATCCTGAAGCAACCATCCTTGATAAAACACTCTCAGGAGCGGTTTCAGGGGGGTCCATGGCCCCAGGCCCCGCATTCCCAAAAACCGCCACTGAGCACCCAGGATGAATTGCTCGTGATTCATTAGCGTATGAATAATTAACCCGATTTCTGAATCCGAACACATCGGGCAGAGCTTTCAGAGAGCTGACAGGCAACATAAACACAGTTTTAGAGAACGCTGAAAAGGTTTTTTTGGGGGGTTGTTGGTTGAATTTTTGTGTCACATCATTCAAGGCCTAGAAAGTGCTGGAAACGTCCATTTTTACATTTCAATTTTTACCTATAAGAAAAGGAAAATAAGAAGATAAAAAGGTACATTTTTGGAGTCATTTGATTTCTAATGAATACTAAAAAAGTTGTTTTACTGAATCGAAGCAATATTCAGCGAATGTCTCAAAAATGGTGTCACATCCCTTTAGCAGTGAAGCAACTTACTTATTGCAGTGACGTAACCAACGGGGATGCGTGTGTGTGGAAACTCCTTCAAGAATTCCTGCCTTTCCAGTCAAACAATGTTTATTTACTGTGCAATTATAAAAAAGTCTTACTTGAATGAAAAAGAGGCCACTTAAACTGCATCAATCTTCAATTCTGCACTCCTGAGAAAGTATTTTTGGTATACCATACAAGTTACTTTCTTATAGCAAATATAGCAAATATTTGAAAGAGTCTCCCCTCTCTATTTAGCCCACCTTGGTTTACGGTTAGACATATTACTTGACCCTGGTGACTTTAATGACGATGAGGATATTTTCATGGACTAACTCTCCATTATAAACATGATATAAAATCATTTTATTCGACTTTACACACTACTAGTATCAGTTTATCTTTAAAGATTTATCGCAGAATAAACACGCAAAACACATTTCCCTAGTTTTTAACCTTGCATTTTTTAATCAGCCCACCCTCCCTTATAAGTTTCCTTTTCTTTTAAGCCCTCTTTTCCTTGAAGCCCCCTCTGAAACCTCGAAAATCAAATAAATAAAACCCTCTTTTAGAGCTACAGGAATCCTAGTCTAATCGTAGAGAAAATATGATTTTTGTTTCTGCATTCTGTCGTCTTACATCTTATTTTTTGGGAAAAAGTTTTTGGCCCATTCACCTTTTGCGTCATAATCGCATCACATATTTGAAAAAACAAAAATGTTTACTTTTCAGACGCACTGAATCATGGACTTGTTAATAAAGTTGTGAAAGACGAGGACCTAGAAGAAACGGTAAGGGCTATTTCTGATTTGCCTTAGTACATTTGACAACCACGATTCAAACTTGTGAACAGCATGAGTATGGATTTGACTCAGGCTCGGAGCATGTTTGACTTCAGGTTCTCCCTTTGGAAAATAGTGAAAGTGTTTGCAAACCCTTCTAGCCACCAGAAAGTGACAGTAGGCCAGCAATGTAGCAAGTCACATGAAACCGTTGAGTTATATGATTTTACCCTACAAGTCCTCTTTGCTAAAAACTTTTATAGAATTATCAATAATTGTCTGCTCTGATACTGAAGTGTGGTTCTAGGACTTTTACAGACCTGGCCTTTTTTGACCATTTGTGTTGCCCTGCATTTACGTTGTACTGTGTTTTATTGTATTACATTGTTTAATATTGTATTCTATTCATATATACATGTTAAGTTTATGTATATCATTCTATTCTGTATTCATGCAAGCCATACTTACTTCAATTCCAATCTACCTTGCGACACTCCAGCAAGTATAAATTCGATATGAGTCGGGGCCTATTTCGACACCTTTGTAATGAATAACGGCCATAGCAAATTGATGAAAGTACAATTGATTGGTCTGGTTACATTTTATTTTGAAGATTTTTAAAAGAACAAGAAATTACCCAAAGATTTCACTAATTTACAAATGTTTTTAGGTCAAAGTGTGTCGCTAAGACTAAAAACATTGTGTTTCGTCAATGCTATTCATTTTTGTATTTTTTTTAGATAAATTGATTTATTTAAGGATATCTTTTGCAGACGCTTGAGGTTGCCAGAGGAATTGCCTCGTTTAGCCGTCCGGTGATGGCACTTGGAAAGAAATGTTTTTACAATCAAATATCAAAACCACGAGATGAAGCATATAGGTAACAACCATGGTTATAAATTACAGTGAAACCAACCATTGACGGACACATTTTGGACCATTCATACTTTTCATTTAAGAGAAATGACCACTGTTTAGAGATCACTTGTGCAATTCAATAACGGCAAGAAAGACACCTATACCTATTGGGTCCTATTTTCAAGAAAGACACCTATACAAACAAAACCTATTTTCCTATTTTTGAAAGTTGTTTGTTATAGATATGTCTGTCAATGAAGGTTTCATTATAACAATATGATTTACTGTTTATTGATTTTCTTAGAAACTTACTGTTTGTACTGTAAGTTACTGTTTGTCATATAGCGTTTGCTTTGGTGTACAGAAGAGAAAGTTCTAAGTTGCAACTCTGAAATTCACGCGATATCTGATCATCAGACAACTTTCTTAGAAACTTTGATTTATATCTACTATATGTTCTGCCTGTAGCCTAAATATAAAAGTGACTCATTTACTGATAGCCTCTAATTGAACTCACCGGACTACCAGAAATGCCATTCGAAAATTTTCAGTCATGTATTTTTCGTGTGGGTTATCAAGTATATCCGTTGAACTTTCTCATATCTTCTCATTTTTGTTTCTTTTTAGAATTGCAGAGTCTGCTATGGTACACAACCTCACGTTCACTGATGCACAAGAAGGGATCAACGCCTTTTTGCAGAAAAGAAAACCTAACTGGACTGACAGCTAGTTTTCGTATCTTTGAATGACTGCTGATATGTAGGCCATTGATCTCCCTGCCACTGTTGTTCTCTGTTACTTCGTAGGACAAAAAAACAGTACCCGCCACTCTCTTTATACTGAGTGCAAATGATATATATTTTCCTTGTAAAATTTGGACAGAAGGAGGACAGCTTACACAATCAGTATCAGGTCATGGTATCACAATATTGAAACATCCTTCTGTACAACATAGAGCATTCAAATGTACAGCTCCAGTTGGTTATGCCACTAATAAGATTTTCATACCTCTCGAATTAACCTCTTTTTAAACAAAGGGTTTCTCCGTTACGTTCTTATAGGTGGTTTTTGCTTTCCAAAGAGACAGAGACCTTTCGCTACATCGGTGTTAATTTGAATTTCCGGCTCCAATTTTTTATCAGATAAGAGCTGGTGCAATATCTTTCTCAGTATGAACTTTAAATTCTCTATATGAGCATCAAAAAATCATGCCGTAATATACTTCAATTTTAAAGAAATAGTATTTTTGGATAATATTGGTAGATAAATATTTGGATAATGCGGAAGAAAATGAAGAAATGAAGAAAGATCGTATAGACATTCTTTGCTTGTTTACTTTTTTGTTAGAAAAAGCATTGCTATGAAAGTTTTATGCATACGAGGTATTTTTGCCTCTATACACAATTTCATTCGATAAAACCACATATCAAAACAGTGGGTCTAACTTTGTTCCGCCATTTTTTTCACTGAGGGAAAGAGAAAGATACCACAAGGTGCCAAATCAGGTGAATATCCAGTTGGGTCACCAACTGGATTGAATTCTTCGACAGAAGCTGACCTTAGTGTATCAACTCTTCTAGCTGCATCAACATGCTATGCATACCACGCAAAGAAAGTCCTTTCCTTTGGAGGAAGCAACACAGAACTACCTTCCCCCACATTGCCAAGCTAGCCCAACAATAATTGCCAATTCTAGAATATAGTGTTCATTCAGAGCGGCTTTTTTCTGAGGTTGGAAACATCTTCGAAGACAAACGTTCAAGGCTTCTTCTAAGTAATTGCGTGAAGTTTCTTATCTTGCTTCATAACCTAACCGTGGAAGACTGTAAATTTTGAAAAACTGCTGTTTGGGACGCTTTCAGCTCTTAGAATTACTTAATCTTTTTATAACTGGTTTCTCTGGAAGTTTTTTTCGTTCCAATTAAAGGGCATATGTCGCATTAACCGTTGGCTAATAAACAAAAGGGTTTGGAGTGGAATTCCATTGTTTTGTGACTTTACTGCCGTAAAAATTCACCCTCGATTTCATGCTTTGTACAAGATAATTGTATTGCATTAGCCACCGGATTTGCAAAAATCAGGGATCTGGCGCCGGATTATCTGGCCTACCGGATATCCGGTACACCCCTAATTTAGTTCATCCGACGTATCCTTAACCTTTTGTCAAAACTCTTCCCAACAGCTCTCTTGTTCTACTGGATATGAGTTTCTGAATTTGTCCATGTTTGCGTTTCAAGGGGGAGTGATCATAAAAGTCTTTCAATATTCATTGCATAATAAAGAGTCTTCCATAAATTTGGTATAGGTATCGCAACATAAGTCTATAATTATACACAATTTTATGCTATGCACGATATTTGCTAAATCTTAGGAAGACAGACTAAGCTTAGAGTGAAGGTGGCTCATAAGAGTGGAAGTTTCAAACAAAGTTTTGATAGGAAGATTGTACATCAACATTGAAAATTTTATATCGTCCAGCTTATAGAATTGTAGCCTTAGGAATTAAACTTTATATCTAAATTTCATCAACAATTTTGCAAAAGTTTTTTGGAAGTAATGTCTTTGTTCTGCTTTGCTTCAAATGTATAAACGATAATTTACATTAACATTACCAAGCAAATTTTTAACGTAATTTTACGTTTCCATGACTTTCTTTGCGACCTCGTTTTGATGTCCCAAAAATAATACCGCTGTCCAAAAAGGACTGGATGCTTGCTTTCGTGGCCACTTTGAATAATGGCGGAAGAGTTTCTTGTAAAACAGAGTCTTCTAAAACGAAGGATTTAGCTTATTTTCTATTAACTAGTTTTAATTTTAGGCCATCTAAATAACGGAAGATGCAGACTAAAGATATTTTTTCAAGGTTCAAGCAATTTGACGCTTACCCAAAGACACTGGATGATTTTAGAGTGAAGACTGTTACGGGAGCAGGAGGTTAGGCCCGGTCCAAATTTGTTATTGTGACTATCCATAATGTTGAAACATAGTTTTTACAATATGGTTAATTACTGAACGGTTGATAAATTAATGTTCACCCATTACCAAAGTAATTTTTCGGGTAAAGGTCTTGAAGTTGCCACTTTACTGGTCTCATTTAGATCAGAGAGAGGTCCTTCCACTGACAGAATGCAAAAAATGCCAACAATAAAGAACCCAATACAATACGCTGTATATAAATTTAGATTTAACAGGAATTTGAAGCGAAAATTTCCTGTTTTTATGTCATGTCTTAACGTTCTAGATAAAACTAACATACGGATGAAAATCTTACTCGACTCTCAGAACGTGAAACAAAATGCTTTAGCAATAAGTAGTTATTCCTTGACCGTTATTAGGTAACCATTTCGAATATTGCTTCACTTCAAACCAACATTTTCTGCCATAGATTGATTGATAATTTTTGTTAATAGTCCAACTGATTGAAGACCAATTAGGTAATCAAATTTCTGCTTTCTGCTGGCATTTTTTAAATAAAATAGTTAGCTTACTGCTATTTTTCTTGACCGATTTTTTAAGATAGTATGGGAGCAAACTTATTACATACTGTAAAAATTACCAAATGATACAATAACATTTAAACCAGCTGATAATTTCTTCATTTTAGTGACAATAATCAGTGGATTAATCATGTTCACACTTTTTATATCAGAGCTGAATTACTTTATGACTACTGAGGTAAGGACAATCTCTTTGCCATAACATATTGAGTTGATAAGTTGTAATGTTTCCCATATTGTAAGCAAGATCAATCTTCATTGTTTGAAAAACCCAATAACACCTTGGTATTTTTATATCCGTTTAGAAGGCCAGAATTATTGTCTTGAATGCTGCTAAGCTCCATCATAATTTGTACTTTGTGTGAAAAGCAGAAATAATGTATGCATGGGTTTGAATTTTATAGGCATTAATATTTTTTGCTAGGTTCTTTATGTTCTTGTTGAAAAATAATGTATGCAGAAACTTGAATGCTTTACTGCCTTTAAAACCTAACTGCTGGTAATAGATTTATTATTTCAGGAAAATTATCAGTTTATCAAATTATCACTTGGTACCAGCATTTTTTTACAGATGGACTTGTGTTATTCTAAAGATTTTTTTGTTTGGAATCCTTTTTTGTGTTGCAGGTTAGCCCGGAATTGTTTGTTGACACAACTAGACATCAAAAATTGAAAATTAATATAGATATTATCTTACCGAAATTACCATGCGTGTGTGAGTAAAAATCAATTTTTATATTATGATATTTGCTTTAATAGTACTCCCTTCTATAAACTCACATTTCCAAAATATTTGCTAGTTAATACATCATATATTTCATCATTAGTTATTTACAAACATAAAGTACTTGTGCTCATGGCCACCAAGTGGTTCTGGAGGGCCTGGGACAAAAATGAAAATTAAGGGCCTCTGTGAGGGAAATGAGCAGAAAATTGTTTCGACAACATCCTTAGGATAAGCTTGAAATAATTCTTAAATAATGCTTAAAAATATTTCTTGCAGTCATTTTCTTGTAATTCCATATTCCCTGCATATGCTGTGTCTTTTTTGCTACAACTGAAGAAAATTGGAATAGATTTCTGCTGTTTTTTTATGCAAATCCTGGCCTTTGTCCATGTCAGTAATTTACAAAAACCATTTTTTACCTAATTTTCTTACCTAATAACTTTCATGCAAAAAGTGTTGCTACACCAATTTGATTGTTAAATAAGATTCCAAGGTTGAAATTGTGTAAGATTTTCCTTGTGAAATTTTCAAGGTTCACATATGCATATGTGCTCAAATTATGCCACTTATAGATGTTTTTAAAATATCTGAACAAAATTGATTTTAGATTTAAGTATTGATGCAATGGATGTTTCTGGTGAACAGCAGGTTAGTTTCTTTCCAATATTTTTATTTAAATTTGGTGGTGAAATTGAGGTTGTGTATGATTTTAAACAGCAGCAGTGAGGATGTACAATAATTTTCTATTTGCCGCTTTCAAAGCTTCTGCAAGATCATAGAAATGTATAAATTTTTGCTGGCATCATTGCATATCTTCATTCTACAAGTCATAAGTAAGAAAAATGTATACAACTTATTGATTTACAAAATAGGATTCACAAAAGGCACAATGGCTACCAGTGGTGGATTTAATGGGGGGGGGCAACTAGGAGCAGTTGCCCCCCTCATCAAGTTGAAGCAAGTCTGGTGCCCCTTTTTTGAAATTTTGTGTCCCTTTTCAAGAATGAGAATCAGGTGAAAAAGTTTCTGAGACTTAGAGGTTAATTTACTTCAAGGATTACCTCAAAGTATGCAACAATTATTGTGAAAATTCTCTTGTTAAGTGAATGGAGAGCCTTCTGTCAGTAATTAGGAACTGAAATTGTTGTATACAGCGTACACTTGTCACCAATTTCTGAAAATTTTTCAGTGCCCCCACTACCAATTTCCCCTCCTTCAAATTTGCTCTGGATCTGCCCCTGATGGCTGCAATATTCCCTGTGTAGTATTAAAGGTGCTGTTTTTTGGAGTTAGGGCTTTGCTAAAACTTTCTGGCATTCTAGAAACCATTACTTCATGAAAGCCTGGCATTATAGAGACTTGGCCAAAAGAATTTTAGCAAAGGCTCACCAGGAATTACTAGGAGAGCTGTTTGAAGATAGATAAGGATAGAAGCAAGGAAAATTGATTTCAAAGAGATCAATTTGCTTTTTAGAGCAATTTAGGAGAGCAATCTGTAGCTCCCCTCCAGCATTTGAGAAGAGCCTGGAGTGGAGAAAGAGTATCCCTCCTCCAAATGGCCAGGCCTGATTAGAGCCAGTCATAGATTGGCTAGGGTTTGATTGTGTTTGAAAAATTGTTACCAAATCACTGATATTCGTCTCTTTTTCAGTCTGATATAGATCACAATATTTTTAAGCAAAGACTTGATGTAAATGGCAATGCTATTCAAGATGCAGCTGTTAGAGAAAGTAAGATGGACGTTTAGACCTACAAATCTTATTGCATGTCATTGGTTACATGAATTCACATTATGTTATAAACTGTCTTCCATTATCCAGAAATCAGGCATTGTTTATACCCATGTAAGGGGCACATCTTAAGTTGTACAAGATCTCATGTTATGTCAAGGGGTTATGACAGAAAATACTTCTCATTGAACAAAACATTTCTTTGTCCAAAATTTGAATACTTCCAGAGTATACCTTTGGTACTATTACTTGCTGATATTCTTTTATTGCTTTGTAGCAATTTTTTCTAAATTGTCTCTCTATGAGCTATATTGGCCCTTTTTGTTTTCCCTCTCCTCTTTTAATCATGTAAGACTATATTTGCTTCAATTATTCGAAATTAAACAGAAAATACCTACGTTATTTAGGCACAAATAAAGCCTCCATCTACTTCTTTATTCTTTTTAATTTTTTGCACAGATCTTGGCGATGGAAGTGAGCATGCACTGAAGGTAAGTAAGAGATTCTCCATTTGCTTTGGTCCATCAAAGTTGAAGCTTGTTTCTATTTGCGTTGTTCTTACATTTGTTTGCAAAAGACTTGATGATTCAAATATGATTTATTATATGGTAATAAACATTTTAAAATCCCATTAACATCACAAATCTCTTTTTGCTTAATGCAAGGGGTCTCCCTCGCCCATGAATTCACCAAATTATTGGCTTGGCAATGGGCCTCCCTTGCAAATACATGTTTTGCCCGACACCTTTCAGACCAGTAGATTTTTCCATTGTATAGAGGTGTCCACTATAAAGAGTTTTAAAAGCGTCCATTGTTGAGCGGTGTCCGTTAATAGAGGTTCTGCTGTTTTAGAGACCCAAAAGCAAGTGCAATCTCCTTACTGTAATTCATTTTTTTTAATTTTAAGGGATATCACCTGATTGTTTGTTTGTGTCAACAGTTTTCTCTGCAACATTATTCTTGCAACAAATTTTATTTTTGCTTATTCATGGATTGCCAACGAGTTTCAATAGACTGGTAATTGTCAATTCATTAACCTAAGCTTAAAGGACCAATCTTCTTTTGCAGTCAGTGAAGACTACGCTAGATCCAAACAGATGTGAGAGTTGCTATGGTGCAGAGACAGCAGAACTACCGTAAGCTGGTGTTTTGAACACTTAGATGTTGTGATACCTATCCCATTCCCATTTTCTTGTAGTTTTGATCCACAAGAAGTTTATTCAGATAAATAAATTGACGCAAGATAATTTAAATAGGATCAATGCATATTTTTGCTCGCTTCTGAATATCAATTTTTGTTAATAGTGGACAATCATGTACATAAATTAAGTCAATATTTTCTTATTTATCAGACTTTCTTTCAAAAATTTACATTAGAATGAAAATAATCAAAATAGGTATTCAGAATGGACCTCAATTCTAATTGTTGCGATTAGACCCCAGCAGTCCCATTGCTTTTGACTCCTTGAAAAGAAGCTGCTTGTAGAGCACAGCAAAAACATTCTTTTTAGAAAATTCTGATTTTCATATCAAAATGCTATGTGCCTGTTACCTGTCCACAGCAGGGTTGGATTTCAAACACATTGAAGCTAGTAGATGTGAAATTTGCTAGATGAACTAGTTTTTCAACTTTTTCAATATCATTAAACAAATGAAACATCCCTTGAATAAATATATACAGAAAAATGATGCTTAAGACCAAAAGTTGTAACAGAATTTTGTTCTTTGATTTTTCAAATAAATTGTAGTATTATAATACAGCGAATTTTGCTTTCATGTCTCTTGTCCCTTTCGCATGTAAATTCGCAATATGCAACATGCAACATTCTTATTATTACCATCTACATAGATAATGTTAAGAGCTAATGACAGTATATATACATATATAAAACAGTTCTAAATAAGCAAATCCCTAAACTGAAGTCGCATGGATTGTATTGAATGATCGAAAGACCTTGTTTACATAATGGTCCCCTTAAGGTATTCATATAAGGTTTGGGCCCCGGCATATAAACACATTTTTGCTTTATTAAAATTTGCAGGTGCTGTAACTCCTGTGAAGATGTCCGTAATGCATACAGAGGGCGTGGTTGGGCCTTCACAGACCCAGAAAGCATAGAACAGGTTAGAACAGAATTTCCTGCTTATCTAATCATATATTTAATATTTTATCTATTCTTTATCTTTTTTATCAACTTTACAAAATTTATTGCTTGCCCAACATAGCATGTGCGCATTTTAAAAATCATATATAACCTTTTCATAATCATTTTATTTATAGTTATCTATTTTATGACGAAGGAGGCATACTGTAAATCCGCGAATTAACCCCCTGGGGTAGCAGTGGGGGCTTATTGGAGGGGGGGGCTTATTGACAATTTGTAGTTCTAGGGTGGGGGCTTTTTCAAGGGGGGCCAATTCGAGGATTTACGGTATACTCCGTTACAAAAATGATATTTTCCACTAAGTCACACAGTGCTACCTAGTTTAGAGATGGTAGCGAAAAGGGAGAGTAGATAAGCGTTTTGTTGGTACAGATGATATGTCTATGAATCGGTTATCAATGGTATGTTAAATCTTGTATGTCTAATCTGTTTTAAATCCAAAGAAAACTGTTTTCTGATTGGTGTTGATGATGAATAATTCTTTTTCAGTGCAAAAGGGAGGGATGGAAGGACAAGTTTCAAGAGCAGAAAAATGAAGGATGTAGAGTTTTCGGTTACGTCGAAGTTAGCAAGGTTTGTGCAAGAGTATTTTCTGTCTTAAGGTTTTGATGCCATGTTAACAGTGTACAGATTTCACTAGGAATGACAGGAAAATATTATATTGCTCACAAAGCGAACGAGATTCTTAATTGAATGCAACAAGAAAATGGTTTTCGAAATTTCATGTTAAGTAAACGACTTCGCGTCTAATTGCGTGTTGAAATGAACTGCCTGTCGTTTAGAGAAGGTTGCTTATGAATCAGAGAAATTTCGAGAAATAACTTATCGGTTCATATGTTGTCAGTATGAAATTGGTCGTCAGATAAATCATGACAAAAGCATTTTGGTCACTCTTGTTTAATTTGGGAGTTGATTTATCTAGAAGTTTGCAGAAGAGGGTTTTCATATAAAAGAATTGTTTTATTTGTTATCGGAAATCATTATTTTCACTTGATACCCTATAGATCGTAATTGAAAAGATTTCTATTATTTTTCTGATTGATTTTGTCGAGTAAATGATGATAACTCTTGACAGTCTTTTTTGCTAAAAATTATTCTATAGGTTGCTGGCAACTTCCACATTGCACCGGGCAAGAGCTTTCAACAGCATCATGTCCACGGTATGTAAATTTTTGCAGAATTTTGAATGAATATCTCTTTTCTTGTCTTTCTGCTTTTGATCGATTTGACCTTCAAATTAATCATTAATTGTTAATCTTGGCACCCCTAAAATCAACGGCTTTGTTTTTCATAGATATTATTATTCCAATTCCAGGTTGCCTTTATATAAAGTTTTTTACATAAGCTCTAACCTAATATTGCAAACTATAAACCGTGTGGGTTGAGAAGAGAAACTACTACATCGTTATCAGGAACATTTTTTCATCATCACTCATGCTTCATCAACAAAACTAACTAACCAACTAACAAAAACTACAAAATCACACCTCATCGAACGTGCGATATAGAAAGCCTGGGGAGAGCGCAGAATAAACCTTCGCAGAGGCTGTATTTGCGAAGTTACTTTACAACAACTAATGAAATATAATTCAAATAAACTGACTAACTTTTTATTTGATTGAGAAACTGCTTATATACGTGCTTATATTAGATTCCATTAAAACTAAACACAATTGTTGAAGACTTCCCATATCTAGAATAAATGTACTGTTGAAAACTGTAAGGTTATAGCTCTCTTCTTGCATTTGTTACAATCAAGAAAATACTCGTTCATGTCATCCTACATTAAGGGTCATGTTGTTTGTTTAGCTTCTAATTGCTTGCAATCTGTAACCTATAACATTTCTGCCGTTGACAAATGCCGAAGATTCTTGGAGAACGTGTAATCTAGCCTCACATTTTCAGCCAGTTTTTTATTTATCGACTTCCTAAGGTGAAAACTCAGCATACATTCTCATCTAATGCGCGGCGTAAGAATAATAAAGTAGTTATTCAAAATTGACGGTGTGTACCCCGTTTTATACTAAAAGAGGCCACAAAGAATGTTGCTAAACGAGGCTAAAGGGAAAGTCGAATAATCGTTTGCTTCGTTTTGTGAAAGACCACCATTTCCAAGCCAGAAAGATCTTCTTTGCCATTAGTCACCTCAATATTGTTCTTGCAATTCCTTTTTCAATCGCAACGGAAACGTTCTCGTCTTTCAACATCACTTTGACTGAAGTTAAAAGTATGTGTACTGCTATTAACAAACTCAATGCCTTCCACAGTGACCTGACGGGATTGCAGCGTGTTTCGGAATAAATTAAATACCATTATAGTTCTTGGTTGAGCTAGTAATCACATAAACAAATAATCACCTATAATTACACACACTAGTGAAAACGATGATGACGTATTTGCCAATACCACTAGCTTATTACTGCCTGCCAATAGACGCTACTTAACAAACAAGACTGCCCATCAGCACATCAAAGCCATGCATTAGATACATCAATCACATCATCACAAACCTAAATAAAATAAACCAAGAACACTTGGAATTAACTCGTAATTTTATCTTTATAGTGAACATGGTGAATATGGGCAAGGGTGCCAAAGTTTTTTCAATTAATTGTGAGTAGATGGTTTAATAACTAAGAACCATAAACAATCCTTAAACATGAACAGTAAAACCACCCACATTTCTTGGATGCAATAAACGAATAACGTCTTTATGTAAACTAAATGTTCTTAATGTAGACCTTTTTTCAAAAGTTTAAAGTTGCAGTTAATAAAATGCTAAAAGTGGTTTTGTTAAAAACATTAAAAGTAATCATAATTTTGAGATCATTGAGAATTTGGTTAATTTCGTCAGGTTTGTTGTTGTTGTTGGCACTGAGTTTGTTTTTTTTGCAAATTCTTACCATAAAATGGATGCACAATATTTTTATCATATTATATTTCTTTTATGCCCTTCATATTTTTCTTCCCTCAAAAATCTTTTATCCTTTGATTTTTCCTTGTGTTCTTATACCTTTGTTAAAGCTTGCTAAAGAGTTAATCAGTGATTTATGAATGAGTGATGTTTTCTTCTAACTGGTTTTCTCGTAATTTCATTGAAAAGTTAAAAATGTTTTTTTGAAAACTCCTTTTTCAATTACGAAACACTTGTTACACTGTAGCATTGAAAACTGATAAAAAATCTCTACTTTGAAAAAGTTGAGTATTTGTTGATATAACAGAGAATGAATTTACGATATGGCAATAGAGTTTCAGCAAGTAGACATTTTCGTAACTGAATATATGACTGTTCAATCTTATTCCTCCCAATCAATGTCCTTTTGTTATGAACTTGATTTTGCAAATAATTTCTTGACCAGTCTGCGAGCTGTTGTCATTGCTTCATTGTTTAGCACCTGCGTTTTTGCTTTTTGATGTTCACTTTCCAAAACAATTTGAACATTTCAAATCTTCTTCAAACCCTGTTAAAGAAAATCTACTTTGCTTTCTGTAGTTCATGATTTGCAGCCATTTGGAGGTATGCAAGTGAGTAGCAATTTCGTATTTTTCTGCGTCATGTTTTGAAACTCAAAATTTTTTGGTATCTTATTTTACACAATAACTCTATTTCTATTATTTGTTTTATGAATTTTACAGACTTGATTTATATTGAACTATCTTATACAATGACCCAATTATGACGCTGTTTCTAAGTGTTCGTTTAAATGTCACATGTCAGCAGATCTCAGCTTTCTTCCCCCTTTCTACTCAACTTTTAACCAAAGTGTCATTTCTTTTTTGGAAGTTTTTGCTGTTGTCTTTTATGAGTTGTATATTTGAGTTGTATATTTTGCTGTTGTCTTAAATTTAATCATTGTTGACAGCAAATTTTTATTTCAAGTTTGATATTCATATTTTTTGTTCACAAAAACTACTTTTTCAGTTGTATCATTGAATGATCTTGTATTTCGTCGGGTCATAGCCTATTGGCATTGTTTAACACGGGATAAACATTGATAACAGCAATTTCAAAATTGTTGAAGTTTCTACTCTGTTAAATTCCATATTCCATTTTCATTAAATTCCATTTTCATTATTTTTAGTTCAACCTAACGCACCACATCAAACATTTATCTTTCGGAGAGCCGTACCCTGGTGTTCACAACCCATTAGACGACACGCTCATAGATGCTGTCGAATGTGAGTTGATTTTAGCACTTTCCCCATTTGAGCCAACCTTACATGCAGGAATCCAGACATGTGAATTTAAATAACAGTAACTTGAGAGATAATCAGTAAGAAGTTAGCACCTTTTCAGTTGCTTTACATTTTTTTATTTTTATCAACTTCGATGAAATCATCAACCTTACTTATTTTTGTAAACCAATCTAAAAGCACTTACCTTTATAAATATTTATGTAATTATTATCAATTTCTTGTAACCCTTTTGCCATTTACCTTAACCTTAATCATTTCTAAGTAGAAACCATATTGCGATTGTTAGTTTTCAATTTCTTAGTAGCTTTACGATTATTTTGAAAAATGATTTTCTATTTATTAGTAGCTTCATGATTATTTTCGTTATAACTTTTCCTCGCTTTCTAGATGTGCTGTTTATATGTTTTTGTTACACATGGATTTTCCTTATTGGAAAGTGTGTATATACATTCGCCGTAGGTGACATACTTGTTTTTTTGTGTTGTAGCATCAACTATGTACCAATATTTTGTCAAAGTTGTTCCAACTGTTTACAAGAAATTAGGTGGTGGGGTATGTATTTTTCAAAATCTGTTTTTGCAAATACATCACAATGGCGAAAATAATCCAAAAATAATCAATTAAACACGATATTAACGATACTATCTATAGAATCAGGTAGTATTGCAGCTATCTGCTATTTAGAATCTAACCTTTAGATACCAATGTTTAACTGTTTAACTTTAAGTTATTTCTTTTAGATCACTTACATTGTAATAGAACTCTTAATATATATATATATATAATATATAATAGGCTGATGATTCCTCGTTGAAAGGATGAAACGCGTTCCGGAAAAATAATAAATTGTCTTTTTTCATTGTTTTTCTAAAACATTTTTCTTTATAACACTACTGCTTTTTGTGAAACAAAAGTTTGGTTATATATATATAACTAAGTTATAAAAGTTTAGTTGTCTAAAGATCGCATGAAACCCGGAGTAGTAACTAAAATTTATCACGCTCTTCACGCCAAAACAGCTCTGCGTGTTAAGCATCGAATACTTAATGACAGACAGTCAAACATTAATGTTCATTGGTCTAATTATCATATTTCTTCACATCCGTAATCATTGATCGAGTTCTTAACATATATTTTATCAAATAATGTCCAATCTCTCAGCTGATCTAGCTAGCCTGCCTGACAGTATTAATTGAAACTTAATGACTGACTGTCTAGCTTGTCAATATACTGGTAAATTTTTGCGACTATTTCTTGTCTCTTAAATTTTATATTTTAAATTTTTTCTTCGCTTTGTGTCATCCTGCAGGAAGTCTGGACTAACCAATATTCTTATACCAAACACAAACGAAGTGTCCGGCAGTTGACTGGAGAGCACGGACTACCTGGTACAGTATCAATACTTCTTCGACTGTCGATATTAGGTTGATGATCTGCGATTTTTGTGTGATCTGATTAGGTTGATGATCTGCATATAATTTTTATCATAATCTGATATAGATTTATTATAATAGAATATAAAATATGAGATTATATACTGAAACACGATTTTACACAAATTATAGGATCAGATATTGTTGATATTAATTATTTAGTATGATATAAATTCTTGTGATATTATATGATTTAATGTTATATTACGTATATGATATTATATGATATGACTATAAAATATTATATTATTTATATAATTATATATATTATATTATATTATATTATATTAATATATATTATATTATATTAATTATATTATATTATATTATATTATATTATATTATATTATATTATTTTATATTATACTGTATTTTATTATATTTTATCCATATTTTCGCACACAAATATTCAGACAGGATAACCTATCAGCATAATAACAATGCTGTTACCTTCATTTATTTTTTGTTGCAGGAGTATTTGTGTTATATGAACTGTCACCAATGCTAGTTCAATACACTGAAAAAAGAAGGTGAGTCAATGGTTTGAAATTTCTGAAACTTTTCTTAGCTTTTATAATCTTTGCCTCAGTAAGTCCTTATATTCAAGAAGCCGAGCCTTGTATGGGGAATCATAAATTATTTCAAAGCCTAGTGATCTTGCTCATTCAATTGTTACCATCGACACTCAATTGAGTATTATCATTCGCTTTAGTGACACCTGATCTGTCCATTTGCAGGTCATTCATGCATTTCCTGACTGGTGTGTGTGCAATTGTTGGTGGCGTCTTTACAGGTAAGGCGTTTGTTTGTTACAAAGAAAAATGTTAGATAATCAATGATGGGCAAGAAATTCATGCTTCTTTCAAAGCAATTACCGTTTAAATGATGTTTGAAATGATTTCTGTTGAGAAAATCTTCGCAAGGGATATAGGCGCTATTCGTTACGAGAAAAGATTAGAAATAGTAGTATAAACAAGACTGAATGATTTTAATGGTGCCATCATTACTTTGACAGTTTCTTGGTATTGTAGTGATGTAGAAAACGTGATGGGAAATGTCTTACATAAATGCTTTACCTGGTTGTTTTCAGCCAGATGACACATTTCGAAAATAACACATTGGAAACCAAATTTTTACTACTAATGACTTACTACTACTACTACTAATTACTAGTTTTTCAATATTGCATACTATATGCTTAAATGTTATATATTTTAGATTTTTAATTTTTAGTTATTGTTTTGAACAATTTTGGACTTCGTATCTCATAGAGTTTTCAAGTTTTTTATAAATTAGAGCTTAGTTTAGATAAGAATGTCTCCAATCAAGACATTGCATTGAGTTTCACTTCAACGAGACAACTATCCGATAATATAAGGCGTGGTGATCAGAAATTGTCTGCTGTTTGGTAGTTATAGCTCTACTATTGTCATTTTATTGTTTAAATTGTAGCTTTTGCCTTGTTTAGAAAATTCGTTCTTTAAAATTCTATTTAGAATATCTACGCGTGGCCCACGACTACTTTCAAGGGGCTTCATAATTTCTTCACTATGAAACAATTGCTTAATAATATCGTTTGAGTTTTGTCTTCTTTAACCATTAGGGTTTTTTATGGTGAAAACAACGTTTGATCATGATCAATCAGTTATCACGCGATCACTAATCAATCAATGTTTTTCATACCTTTCATTCACTGTTAAATTTGTTATTTTAGTTGCTGGCCTCATTGATTCGATGATATACCATTCCGCGCGTGCATTGCAGAAGAAGATTGATCTTGGAAAAGCAAGTTAGGACTTGAATTGAAATAACTCGTAAATATTGTTATGTAAAACTAGCTATGTTCATAAAAGGTGTATTGTTAATTGACGCATGTGTAAGCAAGATTATGAGCTCTCACTTCGAAAAGATGTAGAATATAGAATTGCAGCTTATCAGAACACGCGTTGGAACGAAATGGAGAGGGCTATCATTCAGAATGTTCCACCCCAACATTGTCAGTTGCAAAAAGAAACATTCCAGTCTATTTTTAGAGAATTTTATAGAAATATCAACAGTAAACGGATTTCCAATGGTAATGTCAATAAGTTCAACGCTGTTTTTTACATATCAATGACATTTCTGCACGAAATACTTTCTTTAGGTTTTTAACGATTTGTGGTCCAATTCTGTTACCCAAAGCCTCAAGTTTATCTCCTGAATTTATCTTGGTTTTCTGAGAATATCTGTTATTGACCAAATATAAACCCGAAGGCTCTGGCAAGAGTTTCTATATTCAAACATATGTTACAAAATACGTTGCGGATAGTGAACGGTCAGAGAATGTTGTGCCCCAAAAAACTTGAGCAAGTGAACTTAGTGGAGTATTTTAGAGTATAATTTATTCTTTGCATACATTTGAAGCTCTCAATTTGTTTCTCTGATTGCTTTTTTCTGCCCTTTGTTCTATAGTTGCATGTCCTACAATTGAATGTGCCATAACTAATCGGCCTCTCCAAATTCAACCGGTTTTGTATTTTGAGAAATGTTTGCGAGGCCCCCCTTGTTCCTTTTTGTAGCATCACATTTCTGGTGTTAACAGTCAAAATCGCCAGTGTTTGATACAAGGAATGCGATTTTTTCACTCTTAATTATCAATTCTAAGAATATTAGGATTGGCCTTTCTCAGTCCCTTGACATTTGTATTTAGACAGGTCACGAAATCAGTAGAGTTCGAAATCACTGTGACTTGACCCGAAAGGATGGACATTTTTCACGCTTTTCAGTGGGATGTATTTTGTGAGTTATTTCCAGTGAGTTAAATGTTTTATACAATGGCCATGCTACAGGGGTGTTGGTGTGTGTACGGTGGGGTGGGGGTATACCCTGAGGACATATTCATTAATTGGCTTTTTCTCCGCAGATTTGACAGTTAATACTGCTTGATCGGTTAACTTTGTGGTCGACCTAAATAGAGAATCAACTTGGTATCGGACAGCCCCAATAATATTTTCTAGCGCCGCCCCTTGTTTTCGTGTCCTTCCCCTCTCGTTGGGTATTAAGGGTGCAGCCCCTAGAAAAGGCTGCTAAAGCTAATCCTACGGAATTGAATGTAGGGGCAGGAATTTTGAAGCAGGGGGCTGGGTGGCTTTAACCCCCCCCCCCCCCCTCCCAAATTTTTTGCGAAAAATGTAAAATATTAAGAAGTGAACCACCAGTAAAGTCTCTTTTATTCGGTTTTAGCCCCCGCACTTTTTTAGACCCATCCCATTTTCTCAACGCTGCTCCGCGGTGTCTGAGGGGCACTAGGCGTTTCGGTAAGCTTGCCCACAGAATTATTCTTATTCTGTGGCTTGCCCTTAAACTCGATGCCGAGGTTGCAATCTTTCTTGCTTACCAGCCTCGAAATCGAATGATTGAACGTGGTCTTTTGTGATGACTGTTGTTGTTTTGACATGCGATGATTTTGGCGACAAGACGGAATTCCGTTGTGGAACTTTAGATTTCTGAATGTTCAAGCTGCAGCCTGCTTCACGGATGTACTGGCCATTTCGTAGAAAAGGAGTTTTCTTCAAATTTACTTGAAATAAAGGGAAATCACCCCAGCTCCCCTGCTGCGATTGGCAAAAAGGCTGATATTTAATTTTCGTTCGACCAAGGAAGTTGGAGCAATGAAGGGTTCCAAGCAAAATGGAGACATAGAGTTGGTTGGATTCGACAAGAAGCCTTCACCCGCCATCTCTGAAAGGCCACAGAATCCCTGGGACAACAATGGAGAGTATGTTTATCACCTTCACCACCCAAACCACGAGAAACCAGGACTTAAACGTTACAGGGACATGCAGATTTTGGTCTACAATTTCTTGGAACGACCAAGAAGCTGGCCAAGCATCATTTATCACAGCTGTGTGTAAGTAAAATTTTAATCACTCTTGTTAATCAGCTACCCTATCATCTCGTTTGTTTATTTGTTTTCAAGGTCGACTTCAGCCATTTCCCAGGGAAAAATACTGGTTAACAATAAGACGGCATAGGAGAGAAGGAGATAATACCTTATTTTACATTACTTGTATTATATTTGTCTAAACCGTCAAATTTTGAGGGAGGGGGGCAAAGTTTTTTTGGAAAAGGAATGTAAAAGTATAAAAAACGCTCATTGCTTGGTGTTTAGTATTTTGACAGGCACTTGACTTTTTATTAAGGTGCTTAACTATTTTCTTTGTGAAGAATCAAAGTTTCTGGGTGTATCCAAATGAAACATGTACAATGTGAATAAGACTTTGGAGTATATAAGATATTTGCATCAACATGAAAAGATTCCACTTTCAGAATTTCAAAACTACCACAACCCTGATTTGTTTTGAAGGCAGGGTACCCTTTTAATTTCTTTCCCAGCCTCCTCTGGGAGTTTATTTCTTTTCTAGTTTTAGGAGCCATTCATTGTCCTTTCAGGAAGTCATAATGCTTAAATCTCAATAAAATTTACCAAATATTTAGATTTGTCTAGGGAAACACTGCTTGTGAATAGATTTTGTTTTGCTTTCCAGACAATTTATAGATTGATAGTAGCTCTGTTGGTCAATGGCTGTGGCTCTGTTGGTCAATGGCATGACTAAGAATCAAGTGACTTATAGAGCCGTCTCTAAGCCTGAGTCAACAGTAGGAGTCAGGCATGGTAGCTGACTTTCGAATGCTCAACTGTTTCTGCTAAAAAACCTAAATGTAGCACATCTAAGCCAGCTCCTGCTGCAAAAATAGACATAGAATTAAAAAAATCAAACATCTGGTCCAAGAAGATATCTGGTCATCTCAAATCACTTAATTGATGTCATGTTTGAATTATTGTTATTTCTAAAGCCTTGAGTCAATGGTCAGTACTTTAATAGTAAAAATTCTGAACTCTTTAACACATTTTTGCCAAGGTAATACAGAATGGAGTTTACCAAATAGATTGTATGTTGCCCTCAGCTTTACATGCAAGCTAACACCTAGTTTTGATTGAAAAGAAAATACCCCTATGATTGCTAAGGAAACACATGTAAAATGAAAAATATGTCTACCGCAATAATTTGATCGAGATTGGAAATGCTTATTACATAAAGAGAAGATGAAATTTTCCCTATGCACTGTGGGAAGATGTAATCATATGCAGGTGCAGCAGCTGTTGAACTCATGTCAAGATACAGCTTATTGACTTATGAATATACTTTGTATCATAATATTTTGGATTATGTGTCTTTGTATGCCACACCTGTGATTCAAGTGAACCTTTAGTTTGGTTGAAATGAGAAAAATATGAAATCTATTCTTGAAATCCTTTTTTCTGTGGATATCATAATATCCTGAACTCCAACAATAACTTATTGGTTGTATGTAGTGACTCATACTCTTTACCATGCTATTGAATTTAATCATCACCTTAACTCGCCCTTCTGATCATTGGTTTTTTCTCATTTTCATTTTCATTTTAAATTATTTCTACAAAAATACCCCTTCAGCTAGTTCTAACAATACAAACTGTTAATAAGTTAATAATGAAGGTCTATTAATTGATAGTTTGAATGCAGCTTATAGATAAAATACAAGTTATGAAAAATTGGATTGCGGCTGGTCTTGTGTAAAAAGCGTTTAAATGATATCCACTAATTTTCTTCCAATAATTTTTCTTATTTCCTTTTTTATTCTTGCAGGATTTCTTTGTTGCAAAATTCTTATCTCTGTTCTTCTTCCTTTTCAGATTTCTGCTCATATTACTGAGTTTGGTGCTAAGTGTTGTTACCACAATAGACCAGTTTGCCAAGAATGATGTTGTTGAGAAAACAGTATTTTACTTGGTAAGCCTACAACCCTTGATAGCTAAACTGTTGATAGAATTCCTTAAACTGACTTCCTTGTTAAGTGATACCATTTAAATTAAAGAGTTGTTTTGTAGTTGGTTTTATGAGCATTGCCATAAATAGCTGTTTGTGATGTAGAAAAATGGCCAGGCCAAAAATTTGTAATTGTGAAACAGCTAACAATAGACATACATTGTCAGTTATAGAATGTTTTTAGGAGGCTGGCGCAAGCCCCCTTTTCCTCCAGAAGTAACAGGCCTGATAAATTTAAGAAATATTTGGGAAACAGCATATTTGATCTTAAAACATAGTTTGTCTTTAGGCAGGGCTGATCTCATCAACCGCCTACAGACAAAGTCCCTCTTACACGATCAGACTTCTTCGAATTCAATTATTCTTTGACTTCAAACTTTGTCAAATCGAAAACCTCTTGACACAGCAAGATTTAGAACCCGTTAACGCTACAGAAAAAACGGAACTCTTTGGTTCCGTTTTTGTTTGGGCACGATACCTCTTTTTCGTCGCTTTTACACTGAAACAAAAAAGAACGGATCTATATTTGAGGCCGTCTACACTTGAGTAAAAAGAGCGGAACGTTCTTCTTGTGAAACCTGCGCAATAGCGTGGCATTGACGTCTGACATTTTCAGAAAGCCTCGCCCCAACCCTAGATTAAGCCCCAACATCAATCGTTACCAAAAAATTCCGTTCCTGACCGTTTACACTAGAGAAGAGAAGAATGATTTGGGAACGGAACCAAAAAAATTCGCCTTTTAGCGAAACCAAAAAAGAACGAAACCGTTCCTAAACTAGCACGGAGCCAGAATGCCTAATGTAAACACAAGACCTATCGTCGCTTTTTTCAGCCATGCAACCAAAAAGTTCCGTTCTTTTTTCTGCAGTGTAAACGGGATCTAAATCATTTTAGTCAAATTCGATTAGTTGTATTAAACAAAGTCCCATCGTGTTAGAGGGACTTCAACCTTTACATGTTGGGAGAAAGGCTTACTTGATCGTATTATTAAATTGATGGTATATCTGTCACCGGCTTTACCATAACTAATCTACTTTCACTGTCCGCCTCGTATTTCTGAGCCATAGAAATGAACAGAGATCCTGGTTATCTAAAGTCCTCTATTAGACCTTTCTCCTAATTACGTCATGGCGCAATGCATTCTGGTACTTGTAGTTAAACCCGTGAGCATTTGTTTATGTTTTGTACGGCGATCAGACGAAGTTCTGTTATTATCCAATGCTCTTTGCTCGAATAATCAAACAAATCATGAAAAATACGGCAGAATCCAGCTATCATTAATTTTCACCTTATCTTATCCATACGCTTTTCACCCCCTCACATATTTCCACCTCGTCTTACATTCTGCGTTACGTCGTATTCCTACTACGTTCCATATAGTTAATCTTTCGATTCTACTGTTCCTTTCTCTTCTTAACCGTTTCTCCTTCTACTCTTTTTTGCCTGATAAAGAGTTACGCTCGAAACTTCGTACCAATTATTCGAATTCTGTATCAAATTATTGTATCAAATTTTGTTCATTTTCGACGTACAACACGCACAACTTCTTTGATTATCAATTTACCTCTTTTACTGACCCTGAATACAAGCAAACCCAAACAAAAATTAGTGGGTGTCTATAATTCTTGCTTTCGTGTTTAAAATATTGCACATTCAAGAGATCCCACCTTGAAAGAATTAAAGTATTTATGGAAAAGTGTTGTAACATTCCCACCCCAAAGTTAAGATAAACTATACAACTTCTACAAAATCAGGTTTTATTTTGGCGTCATAAACATGGAAAAAAGAGCAAAAAAATTTTAGCCCATTTTTACTTAGCTACATGAATAAGATGCTGCAGTGTTTTGAACCCGTAAATACGACAAGTTTGGTGATTTCAAAAAAGTCTAGCCACCTTTTCTTCGTGTAGCCGGACTTGAACAAACATAAGATATGAACAGATATTAAAACAGGTGTAGCCATGACAGGTTCTTACCTGACTAGAGAAACAGGGCAGCTTTCTTGCCCCTTTTCAGAAGATTTTCAGGAAGGTTTTCAGAAGAAAAAAAATAAAGTATCTATTCAAGGTCGTCATTTTCTCAAAGGACTTCAGCACATAGGCTAAACTGATTTTGTCCCTTCACCCTCTTGAATTGTCTATCGCAGCTTTTTGCTCTGTCGATTATTGAGTACTTTCAATAATTTCTTCCCTTTTCCTGATTGGCTAAACATTTCATAACAATTCTAGTCACATTTTTTGGTTCATCTAATCTGCAATAATTTACGTCTTAATAATAATAATAAGACCATATTTATATAGGTAAACTTGTTCAGCAAAAATGAGTTTGCTGCTATCAATCAAGGACCTGTGAAACCAATGTACCTACGATATAAATGTTACAACAATATAGTTTAAAAAAGTTTTTACAATAATTAAATCTAGAGAAAATGTTAAAAATCAAAGTCGATATCCTTGCAGTAACTCTTGAACTTCAGTATAGATGTTTCACTTTGTAGTTTGTAGTCTTCTTTTGCTCAGGTAACTATTTATGAGGAATACTCTAATTTGTAAATATTAATGAAAAAACTGATCTCTCGAAGAAATTAAAAGAATACAGTTTGCAAGTAAGATTAAAGTTACCAGAAGGCCAGGAACTACCTCCAAAAAAAAGTAATTTGGGTGATAGCAATGAATGATACCAGGTTTAAGCTGAGACAAAAACTTGTTTCTACTGGGTCTGATAATGAAGCTAGGTCACGGCACCACCAAAAAAGCGTATGATTAATGATGGCGGTGTTTTTTGATCGAATTTCTGATAGCCAAGAATCGGAAAAAATCGTGCCACCAATGATACAAGGGTTGATTCTCGCGTCATTGATTACAATGAAAATTTCATTGAAAACTATATGGAAGCATATTTTTGTCATAATCTACTGCCCCTTGAGTGAGTAACTCTTTAGAACTTAATTACTAGGGAGACGAGTCTAGATTCCTGTTGCCCAGGGCTATTATTCTATCCATTTGTCTGAACCAATGTGAAAGTGCATTATATGCACATGCGCATTAGGGCGAAGGCATATGGACAAAATTTACACCTGGTGGCGCTTCACAGCATTAATCAAAACTATTATATATCATAGTTGTATCGTATAAACCAGAGTTTCATTCTCGCTCTTCTCATGAAACCCTTTTCTCTATATTGTCTTCGTCTTTTGATTCGAAACTGAAAGCGAAATTCGTGTCATTAATGTTCCTACCATCAGTCGCTACCTACGAATGTTCCCACAGACCACAATATCCGATGTGAAAATAACATTATCGATTTTAGCTGCGCATGTGCCTATGATGCAAAATTTTAAAATCCTAGACCTTCAGACGAATTCTGGATCATCTCCCTCTATAATTAAAAACATTGCTGTTGGAATATTTGATTAAGTGGGCATGCAGATGGTTTGATCTGGAGATGTTTGGCATGTCTGTCGCTTAACAATTAACCATTTGTTTCATTTTTCTATTGATTGCCATCATAACATCCATCACAATCATTATTTTCGGTAGATTTCGGGTTGGTAACGAGAATCAAAGGGAGATCTTAGACAGTTAAAAGAAATTCGAACCCTGAACCCATTCATTTTTTGACACGCAGTTGTTTGACACACAGTTTTTCTTTCATAATCATATCCTAGATCTATGATCTGTTGTAGTTTGTCTTTAAACCATGCAATAACAGTGCATAAAAAGTGATTTCAAAACCGTACAGAAATAACAGTACATAAAAGTTTGATTTTGCCTTTGGCTTGTTTGTATGTTTTAAAGTCTTGTTTTTATAGTTTGATTGCCAAATTGAAGATAGACACAACTCAAGTGCCCTCTAACCAAAGCTAAATGAATGAATATTTCCTTTCAATGAATTTTTAATTGCAAACTTCGAAATTTTCTCTGAAGATGTGGGCGATCTCCTTCCTATTCTGCGGCGATGACTTTGCAATGTGTTTCATCCCAGCTGTATCCAACTGGTCGTGTTATGTTTTTCCCAAATATAGAGTTTATAATCACTTCAGGTTTCCGAAGAAATTTTAAATCCCTGTTTTAGCTGAACTATTTATGAATTAATGGAGAGAAAATATTGACGAATAATCGCAGCTGATCCAAAAACAACAGCTACTAAAGACCTCCCAACTAAGCTGTTTTTTTAAGATTGTGTTTCGATCCATTTATTTCGGATATGATAACCGTACTTCTGTGTTAAAACAACGCTCTGAAGAGCATGGTGTTTTCTATGTTAACAGCGCCTATTTTTCATTCTTTATTTTTCATCTCTGCGAATACTAATTCCGTATAATCTCGTTGCCAATTATAGCAAAATCATTATTCGGGATTAGTGTTTTCATTCGTCCCTCTTGAATTTTCCTAGGAAATCATATTGATAGCAGTGTTTACAATTGAATATGGCTTACGTGTTTGGGCCTGTTCGTCGCATGGAACGTACAGCGGCTGCGGTGGAAAATTCAAGTTTATTAGGAAACCGTACATGGTTATTGGTAAGTAGACAGTTTGTTCAGAACCCCAATGACCATTCATATTGGAGTCGATTTCAGTGCAGGGCCCTTTAGCCTATTTTCCTCAAGAATAAATTTTTTGCGGAAAAGAAAATTTTTTCGTAATTCTTATTCACAATAATAATTTTTTAACTAAAAAATTTAAGCTGTAACGCGTTATATTTTGACTGGGTTTACTTAAATCTGTTTCATGCCATTTTAATTTTCTTCTGAAAAGGCGTTTTTCAGCCTAGTTTTTAAAACGGTGTCGCCGTTGTTTATTTCATTTCAGTCAATATTTTTATAGCTAACTGTATATACAATATATATACACTCATTTTTTTATAAGAAACTGGCTATAAGAAACGAATACTGGACAGTCAGAAAAAATTAAGAAACTTCAGTACTCGAAGCAAAAAAATTAAGAAACTATTAAATCGTGATAAAACTGAGAACAACGAAATTTTGTAAAATCCAAGAACAAGATTGCCCTGTTGGCCTAGAACTTAAGACACAAGGGATAAAAATATACTTCCCACATCTAAATACAGCATCGGAACGGAAGCGAATCTCTTGACGTGATAAAAAAGGTCACAAACATTTCATAACATCATTCATGACATCATAATTAAGAAGTACTTAAGAAACAATGAGTATTGAAATTTCCAGAACATTAAGAAACTGGAGTACCCAACATCGACCTTTGTTTCTAATAAAAAAAATGAGTGTAAACAAATTAGCTAATATCAATCGAATCAAGTTTTAATATATACAAAACCTATTATTGAAAAAATTAAAATTACTGCAGGCTTTACATTTAAGTTCAGAACCATTACATTGCTTCATAAGTTGTATGCCATCTCATATCTCTTCCTCAATACAACCACTCCTCTAATGCTCCTACTAGTTACAAACTTTGGGAACATTTTGTCTATTCCAATCAGAATGAATATTTTGTCTTTGCCAGGCAACTTGCGGGAACTCTTTTCACTTTGTCTCTGGAAACTTTTTTCCAGCTGCCGTGAAATTTTCTTTTATCTTTTCTTTCATTATCCCATTAGAATTTCCCATAAACAAAGCTAGAATTTTTTTTGGACAGGCATTTTAGTGTCTTTCCTTGCTTATAAATAATGAGTGCGCGTAAAAAGTGGTCATTCAGGAAAATTGTCCAAATTAAAATTGTTGTTCTGTTCCTTTTCATAATAAAATTTCTTCTAGAAGTATATTACTGCTATCTTTAAGTAGAATAGCGCAATGACTAGAGTGTATTGATTGGCGTAACAAATCAAATCTAAGATTACAGTAGTTGTTTGTATTTTTAGACATTGAACTGAATTTTGGTCACACGTAGACGACATTGTGTGTGGATCGCTAAACGTGTATTTTTTAGGAGAACGAGACATTTTAAAGATTAGCATGTCATTTATTTGGTCTTCTGATTTTGTCTGTGTTGTACTGCAATATGCCGTCAAGGTACATTGTCGGTCTTTATGTATGTTTCAGCTTAGTATTAGAATCTTGTCTAAAATGGTATTATCTCAAACCTCAAAAATTCTTGATTCCATTGCATAATATCTGGAATGAAAACTGTGCCTTATACATAAGGTATCTATAATTTGACACCGTATCTATAAAAGCGTAAAAGATACATAAAGATTTTACTATAAAGGCTCTTTCATTTGACAGCTATCAATCCCTATCTTTGGACTTCCACTAGTTCGCAAAACTTTGCGGAATAACAAATATATTTTTTTCGTAAACCGTTTTGTCAGAAAATGCCAACATTTCAACAAGTAGAAATTAAAGTAAAAATACTTTTTTTGGAAAATATTCTACTCGAGCAAGGCTTTCTGTCTTAATATTCTGGCAACAATTGGCTGTATCCAAGGGGACGATTGTATGGAATACAGGGTAACAAAGTTCCATTATGGTTGGTTGCCTCTATAGTTATGTAGTTGAGTTATTATCATTGACTAAGTTTAAGACATAAGTATACAGTACTGTCTCTTGAATTAGCATTTGCACACACTTTACTACCGTTAACGCTGAGACTTTCTCTTTCTGTCTAGATATCATCGTGATCATTGCCACGTTGGTTCTCATCATAGAACATAAGAAGGCTGAGTTTTTAAATATATCTATTCTCCGGTAAGTCGCATCTAAACATTTCAATGTTATTATGTAAGAGTCATTGAACTTATTAAGATTAAATTGTACGAATTCACCTCAGAGCTGCTGGGAGGGGGCAGGGGCTACAAATTTCCCCAGAGCCTCGGGGTCTAGGGGGCCTTGTAAAGTAACGAATTCAATTTTAAGAAAGGGATTAATCAGACGTAACAAAAGAATGACTGAAAACAGTAAAACGGTTTAAATGATTTCAAGGAAATGACTGCCAAAAGTTTTCTGACTAGAACTGTATCATCTATTTATCACCAAATTTGTTTTGAAGTCCAGTTAAGGAATGGGATTGGGCTTCTTCTTTCAAAATATTAATGGGCTCTAAGGCCCTACATCGAATGGTTTTATTGCCCATTATCAACTTGTACCAGGTATATCATATATTCATGTCGGATTACTTGACCTAGGAAATTTTATCTCGAGCTACCTCAAGCAAATCTTTTTAGAGAATTAGTCTATTTCTTCGCTCTTCGGTAATTCTTAGCTTTCACAATCTATCTATGCTCCTCAGATGTTGTTGTAAGATTAGGTAGTTATTGCTTATTCACTTTCTCCTCATTTTGATAACAGGAGTTTCCAAATCACCCTGAGAGTTGCAGGAAACCAAATCCAACGATAAAGAAGCCAAAAAGCGAGACTTTTTTAAGGACCCCGTAGAGAGCCTGCTTGGACCCGGGCTGAAGCTTAAAATAGCAAGCAATGTTTTGGGCGGTAAAATTTAAAATGACTTCACACTTTTCAGAGTATGAATCATCAGGACATTAATAAAGATCTCTAAGCTAGGAAATATGTGGCCAATCAAAAACACGAGCACATGACTGTAAAGGTTGCCTAATCAGTGCCGCTTGCCAATTGAAAATATTGCCAATGGAGGCCAAGGGAGAAATCGAGCTTATTTCTACACAATAGCAATTTTTGTATAGATAGATTCTAACACTGCTAAATGGAACAGTAACTGGGCTCTGTAAAAGACCCTGAGGGCTCAAAAGAAAGGATGGTGTATGTGGACCCCAATGAAAAAGGAAAAAAAGCATTTCTACTTAAACAATGTGTTGGTAATATATCAATATTTCTTCTAGGTTTCTGAGATTTCTTCAAGTTCTGCGGATTTTGAGACTAGACCGACAAAGAGGCGCATTTAAGATGGTCAGCCAGGTTGTGTACGACCATAGACAAGTAGGTGTTGCTTGTTCATTACAGACTTGTTTGAGTACACATGTAATACTGAATAGAGCATGCCTGACGTTGCTTATCTTGATTTGTAGGCTATTCCACGACCTTATTGAATTGAGGCACATTTGTTGATTCATTAACTGTGATGTTTAGAAGCACTGCAAGTCTTCTATAAATCAGTGCATAGTGGGTATATTTTGCAATGTATCTGGACTATGGCTTCAGTTTCCACGCATTGACTGCCAGCGATTTTCTTGACAATGATCTGTCAGAAATTCTGTCATTCTAAATGCCTGAAGGCCTACGGTTTTGATAAATAGACTTCTGGAGAATGCTGAAATCTGGCTTATAAATATTTAAGGCTGAAAGCTGATAAAGGTCGATGTACTTAGACTTCTTTTTGTCAATGGACTAAAACATCATCTTAAAGATTTATTTCCAAGAATCATTGAACCAAAACTCTGACAGAGAAACTGTCCGGTATTTATGGATTTTGTCCGTTGTGAATACCTTTTAGAGACTCAGTTATTCAGAGATTGAATGGTTCGCAGAAATTGGTTGTGTAAATATTTCTAACTCGTTTTTTCTTTATTGCAGGAGCTGCTGACGTGTTGGTACATGAGTTTCATAATTCTAATTACATGTTCATTTCTTGTTTATTTGGCTGAGAGGTCATCAGCAACAGTAGGAGACAATGGAATGGAAAACTTGGCAGATGGTCTGTACTGGGGAATCGTAAGTATTGCCTGGTTTTGCATACGTGTATAAAACATGGAAAATCACAGCGTTTCGTGGACGCAAAGACATCTTTGAGGTTTGATAAAATCTTCAATGCAATGTCGACGATAATAAGAAAAAACATCTGTTGTCCATGAAGAATTATGCGCAGCCTGAGATGTCTACTTCGTGGGGTTTTGAATAAGCTTGGGGTTTTATTTAAAGAATTAGTAGTAACGAGGAACTGCAACGTTATTGCTTAGAAAAGGATTCCTTCGCAGTTTTGTCACATACCCCACCCTCTTGACAGGTATTTAAAGACCGTTCCCTAAAAAGAAAAATATAAAAAGCAAGTTGGAAGGACTGAAGGAATTTTGAACAGGAAGTGAACTGTTCAGCTCAAATGTTGTTATCACACAATCTAACATGCATAGCAACATAAGCACAGTTTTATATTAGCCTTTTTTCCTCATATAACAGCTCCCAGCTTTAGCAATGTACTGGCTTATTAGGCGTTCCGTCTGAACGGTTGCGTGTTGAAACTGTGGTCTCAATCTTCATGTTATAGGCAGATTATGTTCTCCTTGCCCAATATACACCCCATCTTAACCATGTTTCTTTCAAGATACACTGAATGTTGCGAAAATTTTTCAGATAAGTGTTCATAAAATTGCAAGGGTATTCAAACAGTTAATGTGTGATGCTCTACAATTGAGAAAAATTGCCACAAATATGCGAGAAAAATACTGGAGACTGGCCCTGCTTTTCCATTCATTGTGAAGATATTGAATTTCTACTTCATTGTTCCTATCTCTAACATCGATCTTTGCTGTTTGCAGATTTCTCTTTTAACTATTGGCTACGGTGACATTTCTCCGCAAACGTGGGTTGCTAAGCTGATAACATGCTGTTTTTCCCTGGTTGGAACTGCATTTTTCGCCTTACCAGCTGTAAGTTAACTTAATTAATATTTATAAAACTCTCCATTTAACCTTCTCATCGGCTTCTAACAAAAGATATACAATGTTAAATGAATTTCTTGCGAAATTCAATCATATTGCCTTTGACTTCTCGCCAAAAAATGTTCAATTAGTCTTTTTCTACAAGCTATATCTTATTTGTAATAATGGTAAATACTGTCGAGTAGATTTATTGTCTACTGAGATATATACTTTAATACAACTTTACTTTACTATAAACTTACTGAGATATAAGCTTTACTACAACATTTTAAGGCCGACTTTCTTCTAAAATTTGCGGGCAATACTATAGTACTTCATTTTGAATCAAATGCCATTTTCTTGTTTGCATCTTGAAATTTTGTGACGTTTCTGCCTCAACTTATTTCACACAACTCAATGGAAGAGCTCTTACGAGAAACCGACAACATACTACTGGCTTCTTCCTCTTTGGGCAAACAATTTCACGTTTTTAGGTTTTAGAATTATTTTTCCTCCCGTGAACGAAACAAATCAATTTTTGAGATATGAAATATGAACGGTTTTTTGAGTAATTTTTCTCAACGATCCCCAGGGTATACTTGGCTCAGGATTCGCTCTTCAAGTTGCACAACACCAACGTGAAAAGCATTTCAATAACAGAAGAATACCAGCCGCCATTTTGATCCAGGTAAGCAGAGTCGTTCGTATTTTTAAAGCTCTTTGAATGAGTGTTCGGTAGTATTTGAAAAACAAGAAAAAGAACCGATGAATCACCTAAAAATGAGGTTGAAGGAGCCAGGATAAAGAGGCCACACGGCTCCTCTGATAAAGCTAACGGGCAGCTGCTTCTAGAAAAGTAATTTGAAGTTGTTATGAAATATAGCGTAGTTCGCCAACGGGGGCTCCCTGTTGACTGCATGAAAATAATGTCTTAATAGATTAATTTGACTTCAATTCTTGCGTTGACCACAGGCCCCAGCTACGTGGGAGCTTGAGTTCCCATTGATGATTTTTAGAGTGGGTAAAACCACTCCTAGGAGCGTTTTAATTGGTCAAAAAAACAGTATATTTTCTTAATCTTAGAAGTGACAAATAAAAAAGAACGGCTTTCTTGGAAAATTTCAACAAATATAACCCCTTTTAAACTATTGTCTCAATTTGTAAATAGTTTGATTGTAGATAAATGAACGATCTGACTTTTGACTGGGGCAATGGCTGCGGCAAGTGTATTTCTTCCCTTGTGCATTAATTGTAGTTGTCATTTCACCGTTTGTTGCGTCATAGCAGTTGTGACGTCATTGTGCATGTCATAAACCTCTTATACTTTTATGTAAATTTCGAGGTTTCAATCTTTTCGTGAAAATCTCTGCAACTTTTCGTGTGGAATATTTGCAGTACTTTTAGTTGGCAAAACATAAATTTTTCCGAAAATGACCAATTCGTGTTGTATTTTTACAAGTTATTTGTTTTAGAAAATTCTAAAAGTTGAAAGATATAAAAACCTTGAACACTGAAGTAAAATAAATAGATATTTAAAAGTTTAGTTGATTTCCAACCCCCCAAGAAGAGTTTTAGGCGCCCATCCCATTATGATGCTTAACTCGTACAATGAGCGTCGTTACGAAAATGATTCTTTACAATTCAAAATTTATCTTTCTAAGAAAGCATTTTCTAATTTACATATCCTTTTCTACTAGATGTTTCGCTTCATTTAAGAAACTCATGTTTTTTAACGGTTTAAATATCTTTCAGAATAATCAGTTTTTTTATAAGAATGATTTAGATTAAAAACACAAATGTTACCGCTGTATCAGTCGAAATGATAGGATTTTTCTCGAAATGAAAGCCTACTCAATCATGTTTACTTTATGAAAGGTTTATCTTTTTGCTGTAGAGCTGTTGGCGAAGGTACGCAACTGACCCAATAAATGGCCTCCATGCCACTTGGATAAGATATCTACGTATGATCGACAAGCGTAAACTTCCTCGAAACGACACAAAGAGCCCTGGTGCTTCACCGTCAGTCGCCTCTGATAATCGGCGATCTATTATTAAAAAGCTGCAGCTTGTGCGAACGTCATCGTTAGCCGAAAAGTTTCGAAATCGTTCTAATGACTCTGAATCACGAGAGGACGAAAATCAGCTATCGGTGACCGGAATGGAGCTGCGAACGCAGAGAACTAGGTCGGATGGCGATCTCACGTTCATCGACCAACTTCCGACTGATGACGAAAATCAGTCAACGATCACTAGCTTGCCTTCCATTGTCTATGTCACCAATCAAGGTAAAGATTTTATATTTGATAAGGGTGTTTACAGCGAGGGACAAATCACTCCATGAAAATCTCGTACACTTTTGGTGGAAATCCTGTTGTTTTTTTCTGAAAATCATTTTGTTTTAAGGGAAATTTCGTACGTCATATGCAAGAGTGAATCGCGCCTCTGTTTCCTGTGCATATATATCAGAACTGTAGTAGCTATCTATTCTTTACCTGTTCTCACTTGGAATATGAAAAGAAAAGAAAAGCAGTCACCACATTCTCCCCTTTTTTGAATCTTATATCCATCCTTTTCTGTGATACTTAACTTTAGTGTTTCACTTTCATGTATGATAGATGAACAACCCTTAATAACTTATGTTGTTTTATTTTTTGACGTAAGCAACACAAGTATTTTTCAACCTGGTCAACATCGCTTTACCGACATTGTGACAAAATTTGTCAAGGCTGCCAACGATTCTCATTTTCATTGGACTAAGAATTTTATGCCTTGATCGATCTTAATCCTCGCTCATTTTCCAGCCCTCGCTATCTATTATTGTACGTTAAATTTAGACCAGCTTAAAAGCCAAGTGCTGCTTCCCTGTTGTTCGTTCTAGAGAAAGCTGCTCTCTTAATCTGTTATTTGCTCTAGTAAGAAAAGCCGTAAAGTTGGAATTTTCTTGAAATATTAATAACTCTTCGTGTGCGCTACCTGAAACCACCTACGCAAGAAGCAACTTTGATTTCAAATGATTGATTGTCTCTTCAAAACAGAGGATTTATTCGAATTTGGTCTTGAACTAAACCTCTGCTTTTCTACTTGATTTTATGCTATTGCGAAAAAACGGGGTCTTTGAAGACAGCTACATTCATTTAATGATAACATCCTTGCCATCACTGACGGTTTTTGTAAAGATAGCTGTTTCCTTAAACCAGCTTTTCAGTTCTTAGTGTCATCTTTTAAAAAAATTTTTACTGATATTCTTAGGGATTTACCTGCTTCTATGTGTTTAATCACTGATGGATCTAGGGGAAACGATGCTGAAGTGTTCACCCTTTTTGATAAATAATTGCTTAAACACAACACCCCTCCCCACCATCGCAGCTCTAGGATAATGGCTTTCACGTTTAAAAATTGTGCATGATCATAGTAGGGCAACCAAACCATATTGATTTGATAACGCAAAACATAAAAAAATTTTAAATGAAAAACTGATCTCAACAAAACTTTTGATATGAACAAAATGCTAGATTGTCTAGTCATGTTCAAGTACCTCCTTCAATGAGGCCCAGTTGCTCGATCCGCATTCTGATTTAGCTGAAACTCTTCTATGCTATGTTTGTTGATATGGAACTCACCTGAAATTCTTGGCTCAGTGCACGTATTTTTTATAAGAAACTAAGGTCCGGGGCTGGTAGGCAGTCTCATAATCGTGAATTCTGCTTACATGTTTTCTTAGATTTTTATAATAAATATCAAGCAATTATACTCTCTTTAGAAACTGAAGTCATGTTTAAATGAAACTAGTTTGAGTGAATGGGAAAATGAAATCTATAAATTACAAAAGTTTCTTAGCTTTTTAAATTTAAGTAGAGTTTCTTCTTAACTTATTTTGGTAAACTTGATCTTTTTTCATTCAGGAACGAAAAAGGCCGCAAGAGGAATGTGTGACTTGTTGTCTTTGCGCAAAGAGTGAGTTTTATTTACTCAAAAGTAAATTTTATGATTTCAAATACTTGTGCCACTATTGTCATCAGCATCATCATAATCATCTTTGTCACCATGTCTACCAGCGCAAACAGCAACCTTCTTACCCTAAATCTTTTGCAAGAAGGCCGATTTATCCACTTTGTGTCTTCGAAAAACCAGTGTAAGGCAATATTATCGCTGTTTTTGGTGCCCTTTATCTTATTAGTTGACCACTTCAAATTCAAAAGGCCTCCAAGGAAAGAAATTTGATACGAATGGTCGTTTAAAAAGATGGCAGAAAGGAACCCCATTGCGCTATGTTGCAAGAGACAATTACCCGCTTAGAGTCTTGTTTTCTGTGTGGGTTTCATATTTTGATCTTCATTTAGCCTCTAAAGCCTCCTTTTGCCAAACAAAAGGCATGTGACAGAGGTCAAAAGTTAAGAGCGTACGCCAGCACGAGATCGTAATTGACGATTGGAACGATAAACATTCCAGCCACATAGAACAAGTTTGACCAGAGTACCAGCTAAGCCAGGATCTAAAGAAACTGAAACACTTGCTCCCACAATTCAGATTGAATTGGTTGCCTTAAGATTCAAGAGCTACGCATTAGCAACATGATACCCCAGTGAGCTCCCCCAAATGTTTACTCGCACACTTTCAATTTTGAATTTGATCTAAGTTATATCCATTTTGCATTGTCTGGTTTTTTCGTAAACAAAAGGCCTTCTTCTTTGCCTATGACCGAAATTCGCAGTTTGTCTGGCCTCCGCACTAATCGCGAAAGGCAAGCTTAAGAAGACCTTTTCGGGTCTATTCTTCGCAAGATCAATTATTATCCTATATAAAAGTTTCTTAATCCAGGCTAATGAAGGCTGTTTGATCTAAGTTTAAGGGACCTGCAAGCCAAGTCTTTTCTGTTTGCGCAGCCGCAATTGTCTTAACACAGCTACGCTTGCGCACTATTTCACGATATTCTGTCAAAACAATGTCCTTCGATCTTGATTAATTTGTACTGCCTTAATAGGAAGATTTGGTGATATTCTGTTGGCTGCTCGTGTAAGTCATGTCTGTAATTTTAATTTGTTTAACACGTATGCACCAAAACTGTTGGGATATGGTAAAATTCTGCAACCTAGTTGTGCTCAGAAAGACACCTTACATCTAGTAAGGCAATGCATCGAATGAACAGGGATGCAGGTGAATATTAACGTGTCAACGTGCTCGTGTTTCGAAATATAGCTGCAGACTGGGTTTTCCAGACATATATCTATCCTTAATGCGAAGTACAGGAACATCCTGAGGTATGATACTTAACCGGTCTGTATCAGGTATTTTTCTATATGATATATCTTGTAAGTTTTAAGAAAGCTCTGGATAAAATGACCGTTTACGTTATGTGTTGGATTTTTCTTTTCCCACTGGTGTTTCGCAGGCCTGCAGTTAGGACAGAAAATTATAGGGATTTGGTACACCCATCCCAGTCACAGCTATTAAATTACGTAGGCTCCAGTTATGAACTAGTGAGGGATGACATGTTTCTAATTTATGCATAATACTTGGGATTTGTGGAGGTGTGAATTTTATAATCTTTTAGTTTTGGCATTGTCCTTAATAATGTTCTGACATCATGTCAAAATTTCAAATCACAAATGATTCAAATTATGAAGTTGAATATGTCAAATGCGTTGCAGAATCTTCTTATTTGAAGCTTGAACTTAAATCTTACAAACCATTTACTGCCAGCCTGTTTCATACTTCACATGAACCTATTACAGTGAAATTTACGTAAGCGGACACTCACTGTAGCGGACGTCACCAAAAAGCGGACAGTCAATTTCGTCGCAAAAAAGCGTATAATATATGTCGTCGTCCTCTAAGGTCTTTATCGAACATGCAGAAGTAATAACCGGACAACGGACATTTGAGAACACAAAAGACGGTTTGCTGGTCATATTGGGATACAAGTTTCAAAAGTACTTTTGGATAGCCAAAGGAGGCATTTGGTTTTTTTAAGAAAGTGAATGTTTTGTCTGACTAGAGTGAGACTGAGCTCACTTTCTCTATTTCGGTATCTTCTACATGATTTCCATCCAGCAATATGCATTTGTAATTGGAGTTACTTGGTGTTACCTTGGCATGGGTACATAAGGAGTTTGGACAGAATTTTCCAAATTTTGTTTTCTGGTTAGTTGAGCCAGGAGATGCATGGCTTATAGATAGTTTGCGCGCCAAATTTCCGCAAGGCTGTTTACTTTTCGTCAAAAGAATTGTAGGCGGTGCAAAATGACCAAAGTGTACATGCTAGAAGTGCGATCGATTTCAAAAAGACTGGATTCCAGAGACCAGCCACTCTGAAACAAAAAATTCCTTGACCAGCTGATAGCAATTGTAGTTCTTAGGTTGATATGTTCTTTCCGCAAATGCGAGAGGTTGTTTCGTTACACTTTTGAAATTATCGCCATTTAAAATGGCGCATCATCTTTTGAAATCTGAAATACTTTTTTTTAAATAAATTAACTCCCAAACGGTACGATTTTGTATTTTTTAAAAGTTCTCGCAGAAATCACTGGTCTCGCAGAAATCACTGGTCTCGCAGAAAACGTTGGTCTCACAGAATTTTGTCTTTTGTATCTTTTGTCATCACGGTATAGCAGAAATTACTATCGATCGAGCAGCGGTATCCAAAGTGAGGCTCTACAATTACATCTTTGCAACGTTAGGTGCAGACATGTATCCCGTCAGCCAACCGTTCAGAGTTGACAATTCAGTGCGTTTATGATCAAGAAAACATTGAGAATTAGCCGATTGGATACGTAACAATAGGTCTATTGTGTAGTCCAACCAATGGGAAATTTAAATGGCCAGTGAAATGTGTCGGGACATAGTGCCTTTAAATAGTTTCGCAATGTGCCAATCTGGAAATGTTACTTGTTAGAGAAGCAAGTTGGGAAGTTATTTCCATCACTAATAACGATCAGGTGAATAGAATTAGAATCCAGATAACCTCTTTTAAGTAAACGTTGCCTAGATGTGGTACACGTTTTCTCACTGAACCGCATTCAGTCTAGTGTGGAACTTGATTCATTTGTGTTGCGAGTGGAGCAGCTTGGCCCAAGTATGCAACCCTCTTCTAATTGCTATACCATGAGTGACATATGCATGATGATCGATGGGAAGAAGAATACAAGGAGAAAGAAAGGAAGGAAAAAACGAAGGAGGCAATAAAGGAGGAAAGAAAACGGATAGAAGAGAAGAGAAAACAAATAAGAAAAGAGGAAAGTGTAGATGAGCTGAAACGACAAAGGAATTAAAGAGAAAGATGCGAGAAAAGGAAATTAGATAAATTTAGGTAGAGACATTAATGGCACAGGGCTGCAGCAGGAAAAGATTTTTTATTAGGGATAAAGACAATATTTTCTCTAAAAGCAATTACGATGAAAATTTCCTAGCAATTACGATGAAAATAGGTTGTGACGCTTGCATTAACGTGTACTGGAGTTGCAAGCACATCCAATCAGTTTGTTAATTTGTAGTGCTGCTGTAATCGCAAGCCCCAGTGCCTCACTCGCCCCCTGTGGGCATAGTTGCTTTACCGACCAATTTTTCTTTTCTTAAAATATAGTTTGTAACATACATTGTGTGGAGGGGATACGAGGGATCGCCATCAATGATTCAATCTGATAATCGGACAATTCTGTGAATCTTGCAATGATTAGAAATACGAAAGAGAGTCAGGAACAAAGCAATACGACGACAGGAATCCAGTGTAATAAGCTAGAATTCTAAAATAAATTAAATTTAACGAGTACTAATATTTAGCCCAAAGCCGTCCATTTCCAGATTTTCATTTTACCACAGAGATTTCATATCGTTTTAATGAAGAGGGGAAGTCCTGTAACTCTCGGAATATAGCTTCGTTTATTTGCGGAAATGTGTGGGTTGTTAAGAAGAGCATTTTTGTCGGGATAAGCGAACATTTTTCAATAAAGTTTTGTTTTCTTTCTTCCAAGAGTGAATGCTAATATGGATATTTGATTGCGGAGGACTTTTAATCAAAGATAAATATGTTAAGAATAGAAAAACTGTTGTTGAGCTTGTTATTGTACGTTTGTAAATAATCAAATTTCAATCATAGTACGCCTTTCCTATCTTAAACATTGCATTGAGCCTTATCCCAGCCATTCGTCCGCTTTGCACAATCAGGCAACGCTAAAGCTAGGAAGTTGCAAGAAATAAGGGTTAGTGCCAAAAGTGATAGAATAGCAACGTCAGTTTTTAAGGCCAAATTCAGCTATCCGTCTCTCTCCATCAGAACAATATTGGTTTACTGTAAAAACGACTTAAGAGAAATATTAGAAAGTAAGTTTTTGCGTGTGCCTTGTTGTGTAGGTTGGATCAAGGCCACAAAGTGATTTGTATGTGAAGCTTGGGATGTGTTCATATGTGGAATGGGGTGACTCAGTTAGAAGGAATAGAGCTCACTGTTATGAATACGATTCAGCGAAACAGCCCAGGTTGCAGGGTCCAAATATGAGCCAAGTTGTGAATCATGCTACCAGAGTTGGGTATCTCACCTCATTTAAACAGGTCCTTATTCGAGCAAGGACTCGTCGAAATGTTACACGTTTAAGTTCAAATAATATTGAAAATAATTTCGTTTAAAGGTGGCCCTGTAACTTATTTGTTGGATTCATGTGCCCCTTTCCAACCTCAACAGCAAAACAACCTCTCTCTGCCTTAATTGTTTTTCTGTTTAATGCAATTATTGTTAACCGAGAAGGAAAAATATTACTATCCTATCACGGCAATTTTTAGTTGGCTAACTTGGTTGCCATGAAACACATGACTCAATATTCGTAAGAACCTTTATTTTAACGACCCGCTTATAATTGGTGTATTTTTTCCCATGCGAATGTTTGCTTGTGTTTATTGGCGGCCTTTTATGTGAGAGCGACCACCAAAGGAAAGATAGATTGACCAATAACAAGAAAAAGAGTTGACTTGGATCAAATAAGGATATCTAGAAACAAAACAATAATTCCAGTATTCATTATTCCGACATTTTTCCAACAGAAAACTTTTTTATTGCATCACTGTTATGTAAGAATTAGAAAACCATCTCTTTGAGCGGTGAATTTGAAAAAACGAACCAGTCAGTTTCTCGATATTTCGTTGTTATTTTTAATCACGTTTCCGAAAATTGCTTGAATGAAACTTTATCAAAGTACTGGCAGAACTGAAAAATGTTTGTGTTCAGGCCTAATTTACTCGTTTTTGACTGCTTAGGGGTCTGGACTCTAAAAAACCAGTCACCGATCCGTCAAACAGTAATGTCCGTATTGCCACTTTTATGTAACGCGTCTCGCTCTTCACATTTCAGTGTTCAATACAATCGCTGTGATAATGTCGAGATTTCTTTGTATGTTCTATCATTGATTTCAATGTAAATATTTACGACCAAAGACGTATTTTACATGCCTTATGTCAATGTATCTTTGTAAGTGTGATTATAAAGTATGAAGTATGTTAGCAATCTTATTATGACCATGTAGTTATTTTCATGGGTATTTGTTCCGTCTTTTAGACTGACATCAACGGAAAGAGTTGCAATTAGATTCATCGCTGAAGTTCAATTCATTCTTTCTATAAAGAAATTTAAGGTGAGACGCCAGACTTGCATGCTGCAGTAAGTAGCTATATCTTGGTTTAAGTATTTACCTGAACCTTCTTCCAGCAGCTAACGAGGTTAGCTTTTTACACGGGAAAGATAGTGCCTCTTCACGCTTTCAACACGCTGACATTTCGCACTCTGCCAAACTGCAATCAATACAAACATAGACATTTTTCCAAAGTACTCTGTCACAACCAGTGTACGATTTCGTTGAATAACTAATTGGGTTTTATCTAAGGAATAACGCCTTCTTCTAGACATAAAAAGACTGACTGAAGGGTAAAATGAATTTTGATAGATTCATGTTATTCTAGGCCATATTAATTTACTAATATCGGGCATGGTTAGCAGGCACATCGTGCTGTCGATACAAGCATCAAGCATCATTGCTGGAATACTTGCGCAAAGCTAAAGCTTTTTTAAAGCCCCCTTCCCCCATGCCCCCGTTACATTAATGTTCAATTTCTCCGTGATGATGCTAAAGATAAAGATTTTGTTACTGAAAGCCCTACGAAGATATTGAGAAAATAGATCAATGTTGTACAGGGGGAGGGGCTCGAAATTTTGGAAGCAACAGTGATATATGGAGAGAGAGGGTAGACTTAGATTTGCTTTGCCTGTTTTCAAGCAGACAGGGGAAGCGTTGCAAAATGTTGAATAAAAGGATGCATCAATTTTCTCTATTTGCTTGTTTCACCAGTTTTCTTTGATATTTTGGTTGCCTTTCAATACACTGCTAGACTATATGGCACCCAACGAAGATATCTCATATCAATGTCATAGTTCACCGAGTGTCTTGCTTGTAGCATGAATCACATTAAACAAGGACACTTAGGTTTGCAATGCACGTAAAAGACCCTGCCTTTGAGTCGGAAAACTACCGGGGAGAATCATAGCAACGTTTATTAAAATGGTAGCTTTTAACCAAAGTATTCTCGGTTTGTTTCCCTGTGATATATTTGCTCCTGGCAAATATAATTTTACTTCCTGCTAGTTCATCGAGGCTCCTCCTGTTTTGCTCATTAAAAATGCTGAAGTTGCCGTCATGATTAAAAACAGGGCTCGGAACTTAGCTGTATCAACTCACACGGTACTAAAGGCAGTAAACTTCTATGCTCGTCTAAGCGAGCGATCATGATCAACGCCTCTTTTTAAATTTTTTTGCTTATCCTTTCTGTCCTTAAGTATTTTCTGCAATCTTTGTTTAAAAATGGCCAGGTAGATGCAGTAAACTTGGGGCTTCTTTTCAACGATATAAGGTATTCAACTGACAACGACGTATGTTTTACACGCAGGAGGCGCGAAGGCCGTATGACGTAAAAGACGTTATCGAGCAGTACACAGCTGGACAAATGGAGATGTTTAGCTATATCAAAAAGCTTCAATCAAGGTAAGCATTATTTATTCATGATTTATTTGCGTGTTTGCCTATTTACATATTTCCTTCTTGTTACGGAAAAGATGACATGACACAAAAGGTGCTAGCAACAAGCTAAGGCGCTATCAGATTGGACTGTTTATCATTTGCCTCTTACGTTCTTTCCCTGAATATCATAAAGAAGGTTTTGCTGAGAGAAAAGCATTGAAGTGACGTCACTAGAAAAAGTTCTCCTCCAACAGCAGGTGAACGTGTGTGCGGGGCAGGAGAGATATTTTTCATTGTTATACAACGTGAGAGAAAGATTACAAGAAAGCCTGTACAATCTTTCCGTTGTTCTCTACTAATGATTCACACTGCCTTGGTTAACTGTTGCCAGTTCGTATTTATTTCCAATCAAAGACCAGTTTGATGTGTTTCTTGTTTCTTTTGATAATGTGTAATGAGCACAGGCCCTGTCCCTGTAATTTTGTTCCAAAATTCATGGATCAAGCCAAAGCATAAGTAACTTGTTAACGGACTTACATAGTCGTAAATTTTCTGGACTTTCTATGACAGTATCTAGGCCATTTTGCAACACATTTAGCTGCTTTTATTTTATCAAGAATCAAGTAAAAATTTGTTGAAGCAACATACTTTTTAAGCCAGCTAGAAATGGTTTTGTAGTTGTTTGAACTTCAATGCAGTTACACACTTTTTCTTGTATTTTCTTAGGATAGAAGTTGCCCTTGGCCTAAACGGTAGGTTTTGGTCGAATTTGTTATTTTTGCATTAAACATACCTTTTTGCCAAAGTTCAACAGTTGCCTTGAAATGTTTGTAACGTGTACAAGCCTAGATTGCCTTGTAAATGAATCTTTTTTACATGTTTTTTTGTATTTGCTACCAAGCATCCGAAGGTAAATTTAAGGATACTAAGAAGCTGTGCTCACCAAGCAATGCCCTGGTCCTTCGTCACAATGTGACCACAACTCGTGATTCCTACGCCAGCAAATACAGAGAGCTGGCGACTCTCCTCACTTTAGGTGAAAGGTTCGTCCTGTTAGGGGCTCAAGCCATAGACTCTTTGATCTGTAGTCAGTGCATCCAGCCATTGAGCCATCCGTGCAGCATTGATGTCATTAAGTGTTGAAGAAGTTCCACACGTGAGCTTTTTTATCCACTGCAGTCAAACCAATATTAAAGTTATGACGTGTATCTTCCAACATTTTTCTTTCTTTAGAATAGGAGCATTGTTACTCGTTGCTGTGTGTAAAGAGCATGGATTTCAAGATCTCTTTTATTTATCTTTAAACTTACTTCATTGCAAAATAAATATAATCTGTGAATTGTGATGTCCTACGAGGCAGATTGATAGGAACAAAAAATTAGTCATTACAGCGAAACCATTCATCATTTTAATCGTGGGGAGGGGGAGGGGTATTTCTTGTGAACCTTTGCTAGGATATGCTGCCAGACCGCTTGAAAATTCCCTAGTCAAAACAGCACTGTATTTAAATAAAACTTTTTCCAAAACCTGTTTTTTCTTATATCTTATTCCAGTGTAAAAACCTGGACGTAGAAAAGTTTTCCCAGCCTTCAGTGTTTAAGATCTAGCCAGTTTTATAACCTTCTGGGCGAAGCGGACAAGCCTTTGCTGTTTTGGCCTAAAACAGGGATATATGTTTGCTGCATGCTGTAGTGTGTCCGGAAGCGGAAAAGTGCCTCTGGAAATTTCAATCATCTTTTGATGAACGTTCTCAGGTTATGGAGCTTAAAACTAGGAAGTCTGGACGATATGTAAGACTCGGGTTATGTGTCTTTTCAATATTTAAGGCAAACTTCCGTACACTGGGTAATGTAACGTTATCAGATTTGTCCATTCAACCATGCGTCCACGTGCGCTGTTGCGAGCATTTTGAGCTGCAAAGCCAGATGATCGATCAACAGGAAAACTTGTTTTCCTATTCAATTCTCCGCGATCGCTCGCTTTATACAAATTACGCATGGTTTTGTAGCACAAGGCAAACAATTGTTGCTGGAGTTACGGGTAGACTGAAGTGCAGGACACATGTTTTAGACGATTTCGAAAAGTAAGATTCACCTGCGTTGACCCAGTCAACTATCCAATGTTAAGAATATACAACTGCCTAATGTTTATAAGCTCTAGTTGTTTTTTTCTGACAAGCTGGCATATAATAGACCTGAAACACTATTATGAAGAATCTGATCCCTGAATTGTTTTTTATTTAATGATAATCAGAATATTTTTATGTTATTTTTAGTTGAGGTGAAGCACTGGACATATACAGTTTATTATATCTTCTGTCTTTTTATTTGTGGCACTAATTTTTTTTTGGCTGTTGAGCAGCTCACCTTTTCACTTAGCATTACTTAAGAACAAGCTAGTAAATAGACAGCCTTAGGATTACTTCTGTGCAGTTCCTCGAAAGAAGATCTTGCATCTAACGTCGGCAATCGCCGTTCTGCTGAGCTCAACACGTTTCAGCATATTTGGTGGAGCTAGATAAGTTTTGTTCTCTACAACAATAACCCGAAGCTTAGGAAACTTTACCCTAAAGGCACAGAAAACAAGGCAGGATTGGAGTTTTGAAACCTTTTGCATAGATCACAAAGCATAGTCAAGTTCTAACAACTTAATATAGGTTGTTTATTTTTCTCTGAAAATCATAAGATGTTTGTTTTGCACTGAACAACTTGAATACACGGACGCTACGTCACTTGTCTCAAGCAATAACCATATTCCAAAATTTATGACACTGAAGTATGTCCAGTCCTATTTTGTGACGATAGCAAACAAAATCGATCATGATTAATGATCACAAAACAATCAAGAACTAACAATTTTATATAGGTTGTTTATTTTTCTCTAAAAATCTTAGGATATTCACTGAACAACTTGAATACCGAGATGCTACGTCACTGGCAATTGTGGTCAACATAATGTATTGTCCACCATGGTCTTATTGTGGGCGTGATATTCTCCGCAACCTCGTATATCGTATGCTGACACTGCTTGAACGTATGAGGAGACCTTTGAATGTGTTCTTGTCGCGTGATGATGGTTGCTAGCCAGATATGTGTTTGCTTATTTCAGTGTTTTTGCATCCGTGGCAACAGTGAATCGCCATTGTGTATAAGGAGATTGAACGCAGTTGAGGTTTTTTGCTGCTTTTAGCAAAACCGCTTTGATTTGGCATTCATAAATTTGTTTTGCGGTAAACATTAATATTAGCTATTCAATAAATTGTTTTTTATTTGAAGTCTTTTATCAACTTTCTGGAAGGATTTAAGATGCAGTGATAGGCCTTAACACAAAGTTTTGTATTTCTCTGAAGTGTCAACATTTTGTTTGAGTGGTTAATAACAATTTTCTTCCCAACTTTACGATAATACAGATGCTATATTATAAACTGAAGGTTACTGGTTTTACACTCTGGTAATAATCGCGATTGACCAGTAGAGAAAATGATCGAATTTGATTGGTTTTGACTTGGCCAATGAGCGTCCTTTATCCAGGTTCAATTGTGAAAGTACCTTGTTCACAGATTAGGTGGTTTGTCCCGATTTCAATAGATTCCAAGTCATGATTTATACGATACTTACAACTGCATAGACACAATTGTATTTTACAATGCACTACTGTTGCTATTTTGCGATTGGTTGGCAAAGCCCTAAACATCAAAGAAACTTTCTAAAGGGCCCTGAACGGCTCAATTATGCTTGCTACCTGCGTAGAAGGAAGCTTAGAAATTGTTCAGTTTGATTGCGATAGAAAAGGGCCTTTCCACAGTACTCATTTTTTATGAAAAGCGGTTTCACAACAATACTAATCTCAGAATTTTTTTCAGGTGATGAAGGGAAGGATTCTACAAAAATGAATGTTCTTGGCCGGCTCAGTACGCTGGAAAGAAGAGTAGGTATTTGTTTCCTTGGCGAGTAATTGGCTTCACAGAAAGCTCCTTAGGTCACATAAATGAAAGAATTCACTGTCCACAATCTACTCACGCAGGGCACCACTGTTAAGAGTTGGTTGGAAGTTTATCATAATTGGCCTGTCAATAACAGTGTTTCATTACATATGTATACTGCTTTGGCAAAAATATAATGGTGTTAATTTTGTTTCTCCCTTTTTACCTACTCAAGTAAGTTAATTCTCCCTATTAATTCTGAAGATAAGTGCGCAAATTTGATGAATGTTTGCTTTCCCTTCAAGGTTGAAAGCATTGACAGGAAGCTTGATTTGGTAATTAAAATGCTACACGATAGCAACAAAGTTAGAACAGATCGAGCATCCTCCTTCACGAATACGAGACTGAATGTTGATCCAAGGCATTCACACGAGACTTTAGAACAAAAGCCGCCCAGAAGTCCAAGCTTATCACGACTAAAGACCAGGAAGAAAAACCATCGTTTTAAAGTTACAATCATTGACGCAAAAGATTATCAGGATGAACAACTGTGACTGGCGTGTATCGGGGAAAAATCCGCTGCTCCTAGTTGGAATCCGTTCTGAAAAAAGTGCTGTTTATAATAATTCATTGAATTTTATAGCGGTGAATCACAACTTGGTTTGTCGCAATTTGCTTATATTGACGATTACTTACAACGGTTGTTTGTAGTTTACCAAAATTTACACCAGTTTAGAGTCTTGATGACAGTTTATAGCAGTTGAATGCAGTTTTGTGCAGTTATTGGCAGTTTGCCACTATTTTATACTGCTTGTTGCAGTTTTTTGTAGTTGACTGCTTTATATTGCTGTTTTCAATACCTGGCTAAAGTTTATTGCAGTTTTTGTATGTTCACTGCAGTTTATTGTACAGTTAAAAGAAGATGCCATCTTCTCATTCTGTTCCATTTACATCATTCCAAAGAGTTGGTAGGATAGGATGGTATTGTCTGCAATCCTGGATTTAGTTTGTCTCTAGTATGCTACAGTATTATTTTTGTCGATTTTTTCTCAAGAAGAGGAATTTTATTCGACAGAGGAGTCTCGAGAAGAGGAGTCTAGTTAATCTTTGAAGTAATATATACTTTAGTCCTATATTAGACGTAGCTGCATTTTGTAAGCCTAAACATAGACTTTGGCCTAAACCAGCTCACTGTTGCAAATACCTAAATTATTAATCATTCACTCTTCTTCTGAATGTTGGTTGATTTCATTTCTTGGGTCCTACCAATATAGTAAATTCAGAAACTTTACATGCCCCTTATCTTTCCAATGTATGACCATTTAAATCATAGAAAATGGATTCTGCCACTATTGATCGAGCATCTCTAGGTCGAGCATCGAAATATTTGAGGGATAAATGGCATCAAGAACATTATCAAAACAAGCGTTTTATCAACAAACACCAGTGTTTTAATTGTAAAGTACTAGATCGCTATATTCATCATTAGAGAATTTGCGGGTCATTTTTCTTTGGCTGGTGCAAGACCGATAACAGTGCAAGACCAACCTGCTTACTCAATTGCACCTTTTCGTTCCTAGACAATAACTATGCTGTTTAGCAAGTGGCTAGTTTCCCTCATTAAATCACACATAATCAAATCAAGGTTTGCTAGACAGCGTCCTTGCAATGAGTGGCGATTTGCTTTTATTTCCAGTCAACAAGTACCGTACCTCCCGTATTGTATCTCCTATTGCAAGGCAGTGCGGGTAATTTGAAATATTGCACATTAATTTTGCAGTGCGTTAATTAGCATTGATGCTATGTTCATGTGTCTTGTTTAGGAAGAAACAGAGACAAATAATTTGGCGCTTCTTTCACATCGCTTGCTTTGCCTATAAACAGAACCTCGAACTATTTTGTCTCTTCCAATGGCCAGTTCTAGAGTTCTAATTGTTTGTGAATTTTCAAAAAAAGTTGTTTTGAATAGATATCGAGCTCCAAATACATGTAAATAGAATGTGGACTAGAAGAGCTTTGCCAGTCATGTAAATGATTTGTACTTCTTTTATGTAACACAATCATTTAGTTCAGGGTTTGGACACAACGCATTATAGATTTTTTGAAATATTGTAATTTTTGTGTAGAAAGAGAATTTTTATGTAGCGTTTGAAGTAAATTTTATGTAAAATTGCTTTCGGTACAAGATATGCTGTTAATATAAAACATTTTTCGTTAGATTTTACGGTTGACATCAACAAGTGTCCTTTGCATTTTGTATGTTTTTAGAAATGCATTTGAATTCTGTTTATTGGCTAGGTTTATGTAATCTTAAGTTTGGCAGTTGATCACTTTTCCTTAGAGTTTTGTGCACATTTGCTATTTTATCGCATTTATTCTTCTAGCCTTTATGGCTTATATTTATCATAATTTTATTGTCTTTGCTTTTCAATCACAAATCGGCCATTGACGTCATCCCCGTCTTTTATCATCTTGTCGTCGTTTTCTGTCCTCTTCGTTTTCGTCTTCATATTCGTTGTATTCATGAGGGATTCTTTAATCCTACACCCAAGCATTCACATAACAAATTGAAGAACAGACTCCAACTGACTTAACCTCCTCCCAGCTAGGAAAATTATTTATTCTCCTCTGTTTTGCTCGGCCATTTCCCCTACACGTAATAGAATGTCATTTTTTTATTTTTCCTTCCATTTTCGTAGAAAATGAAAGCCTTTTCTCATTGTCGCACTGGCGTCAGATTTCTCATCTAGCACTTTCGCGGGCCCCCTTTTTAAAATGCGTGTGAATTTTTTGTTTGTTTTAAATTAATTTCAATACTCAGTTTTATGACAATGCATTAGAATTGTTTCGAGAGAAAAAGGATACCCAGTAGGTCGGAGTGAGTAATTAAGGGTCTTTTTTAATCTGTTCTGTACTGCTGTGAGACTATGATGTAGACCTCAGCGATCAGAACTTCACGATTTGAAGAATATTGCCCTTAAATGCAGCTTTGGGGAAGGCATCATGAAAAATGCTCATATTGGGGAAGGTTTTCTCAATAAAACTATCACTTGAAAACTGTTGGCACTTTTCTCGTATTTCTGATCTGTTTTTCTTTATTTTTGAGAAGCATCCTGTTTTTCTAAAAGTCTCGAATTTTCTCTCTGTCTTACAAATTTACCGGTCCCTTTCTAGTACGAAATTAAGAGAGTTGAGTTGACTGTTATTCCCTGCCTTAGATAAGAGGTAGCTAAAATATTTCTCTATCGTGATTTCTCTATTATGTTCCAAAGAGGAAGCTTAGATAATTTCCGAACCGGAGGGAACGAGTGCGCAATTTTTTAAATTATTCATGCAATAAAGATGTGGCTATGATTCTTAATGTAAGCGCCTATTCATCCAATGTCTAATTAAATATCAATAAATGCGTCATTATAAGTAAACCCAGCGCTATTTCTCATTAAAAAGATTCTAAGCAGGTGTCCAAATTGTTAATATTCCATTAATATTTTCACAAATGAAACGCCCGCCACAAAACTTTACCTACCGAAATTTTATTGCTGTAGCAAAAATTAACACTGGGCGACTTTTCTCGAACTAAAGGTTGTGACTAATTCATCATCTAAGTAATTTTATCTACACACTGTCTTTCTTGCTTCTTGAAACGCACTATAACTCTTAATATTGCTTCCTGGAAGAAAGCCTGCTTTCGCTCATGACATTAGTTTACCACAGCTTTCTAGCTAACAGAAGTTCTTTGAATCTTAAATAGTCACGATGTTTATCATTGAATATTTTCACATTTTAAACTTTTCTGTTGATACAAGCAGGATTAGAGAAATGGTATTGGCGGTGTGACTGTCATATGTCTTTTTATTTTAACTCTCTGTGCCATTAAGGGATGGGGGTTGGGGGTCTTTTACACACCACACCATAGCTGTAGTAGAAAGCAACATAAAGTTTAATAGGAAGTAGTAGAGTATTTCTACATTTAATAGAACAAACTCGTAGATGTCCGCTCGAATCTACTCATGAAATGTCCGCTCGAATCTACTCATGAAGATGTCCGCTCGAATCTACTCATGAAGATGTCCGCTCGAATCCACTCATGAAGATGTCCGCTCGAATCCACTCATGAAGATGTCCGCTCGAATCCACACATGAAGATGTCCGCTCGAATCTACTCATAAAGACATCACTTAGTAGAGCCAAACAGGGCCTTTAACTCTCGTACCATAATGTGTCAAAAATGTTCGTTTTGGTGTTCTTTTACGCTTTGCCGTTACGTGCTGCTGGCATTTCGAATGCGCTTTTAGTTTATTGAAATTTTCCAAGACAGGAATTTAAAGGAATTGTGCATCTTGTTCACCCAAGAGAAAGGGTGAAGGGTGAAAAATTCGTTTTGGGAATAGGATGGGGAATAGAATGGAGTTTACTGTTGGAGGTAGGCAATTCAAACTTTGAACTTTGAAACGGGAAGAAGACAGTTTACAATGAGATACCTGAGAAATTATTGGTTTAGCGACGATGTTGCAATTTGAAAATGATGGTATGTTGTAGGATATTTTCGTTTTCTCATCAATATTTTGAAATCATTAAGATGGAATATTGCAGGTAGAGGCGAGAAGTTTGTTTGTCTTGCAAAATGTCCATTTAAAAAATGTTATCGAATAATTTCTAATTTGTTTCTTGCGTATAGTGTTCAGTGGGTGCTGCTTAGGCCCTATTTATATGAGCAAATTCATCCCACCTCTCAGCTTATCATCTGGCAGGTGGGGTGAAATCATCGAATGTTTACATGCAGATTCTATCCCACCTTCCAGCTGTAAACAGAGAAAATCATTCCACCTTCCAGCTTTTCACCCCACCTCCCAGCCATTCCAAAACCACACATGGAGGAGCCGGTACGAGGCTTGTTTTGGCGCCTACCGAAGACAGTTCATGGTTTTGGAGTGTTGCTGGCCAGGCAGCGTTCATGATGCCAAAGTATTTGCACGAGGGGCAAATCACTCTAAGAAAATCTCGTACATCTTTTGTGAAAAACCTCAAAAACCCTTTCTTTTCTAAAAAATCCATAGAAACCTTTTTGTTTTAGACAAAATCTCGTACGCTATTTGCAAGATTGAATCGCCCCTCGACCCTGCCCCACTGAATGTGCTTTTGGTCGCTTAAAGGCAAGATGGCGAGTTTTGACAAAATAATTGATTTTGAAATCACATTAGTTCCCACAGTAGTTCATGCATATTTTGTCCTTCATAACTTTTGTGAGAGAAACAGGCCTGGTTCATGAGCAAACAGGATCAGTAATGATCAATTTTGATGACAGATGAAGCCTCATATCTTGTTTATTCCATTGACAGTTGGGAGGGAGTAGTTGTTTGCGATTTGCTTACAAAGTATGTAAGACTCAATTTGCCAGACCACATATTCTTTTAAATTCTCCTTATATTGCTTAAAGTTCTGTTAACCATTAACAAGAATGAGATATTGACATTCTGCTTAAAGTTCTGTTAACCAGTTGTGGTAAAAAAACATATTCATGAAAAAGCACAAATGCAGTAACTTCAATAAAGATTAACATCTACTGTACTAACATGGTAAACGAACAAATTAATTATTTCACAAGTAAGACATTTACTTCAATCTTTGAAGAACAACAACCTTCAACAACATAATATATTTGTATTTAATAGAAAAATTAAACGCCCCCACCCAGCAGACACACCCACACAGGCAGCTGCATTCTTTGGTATGTAGAATCTGAAAAACATAGGAATTTCTCTAAATATTTTAGAAATTCTTCCATTCTATAAGCCAAAATGTCTTCAATCAACTAAATTTCATAAAAATAAGGGATTGTGATTGTGTCACAACCCTCTGGATTTCATCCAGAAAGGTATTCAAAAGACAAGTTATCTTCAAATTTCAGGAGTGTTTTTTTAAGCATTTTTTACCACTACATATCTGTAATTGTTGATATTTCTGTTTCCCATTTTCTTAGATCTACAGTAGCTATAAATGCATTATCGCTACATCATTTTCCAATCAAGAAAAATCAAGAACAAAGGAAAAATTGAAATCTTTATATCAAAGTATGTTTTTCTTGCTGAAAACTTATAACATTCAAAGCAAATGTCTAAATTTAAGGAGTTTCTATCATTTCACATTAATGGATGGATTCCTCAAAAATTGATGGATTTTTACATCTGTTTGAATAATACCAAACCTCTGGCAATTTTTATTGAAGTCCGCTGGACTGTTTCTTTCTTCACAAAAAAGGGGAGCCCACGGCCTAGCCTCCATTTTGAGCTTATTTCAAGATCGGCAAAATTAATTCTGATAAAGGCCTAACTTTTATGCTTCATTTCAAGATAAACCTTGCCTATCACAACAACAAAAATTCAGCACCGTTGAATTGAATTAATTGGGGCTAATTTCAACTAGCCCCAAAGGGATGCAGATACGAGCGGAGTCGACCTGCTGGATTTTTTCTCACTACGTCAGCCATTTCGAACGCGTGCATAAAGAGCGTGTGCTTTTGCACAACTAACGATTTAATCCCACCTTCCAGCTTCATCCCACCTTCCAGCGTTTATATGGAGAAAATTCAGCCCACCTCAGTGAGATCCCACCTATCATGCAGTGGGCTGGATTATTTTCCTAACCGGGCTGGGTTATTTTCGATATAAATGCAAAACGAAAAATACTTTCCAAACAAATGCAAAACGAAAGAATTCTGTAGAAGAGTGGGATCTCACCTACCAGCTCACAGGCTGGAAGGTGAGATGATTTCTCCATATCAACAGGCCCTTAGTGTATAACGATATTCGTTCGTTTGCTACGATTTTAACCTTAATATGAAACTCGACAAAAACTTCTCAAAGTTGATAGATCCACTCACAACTTATAAAATACAGAAAAATAAGTAGTTTTGAACATACTCATTATAAATTTATGGGATGTTTGTTGCTAGAAGGTCACAGAATATCTTGTTAGCTTGCATTCATCCAATAACACTAGGCCCACGCGCGTAGCAGCCAGGCCACTTCTGATGACGCAAGAGAATGCTCTGAAACTGATTGAAAAACTGCTTACTGAATGAAGTGAAATGGCGGGTAACCGTTCTGCCCCGGGTGATTGCAGACAAGGTCTAATTTCCTTGTCGCTGTTTAGCTTACAGTGACCAAGATACAATAAGTTTTGTCTTGCATTGACCTAATCTTAATTCTGATCCCACTGAAAACACCCTCAATGTTTTTATTTCATAAAGCAGAACTGATTATGATCCAAGTTCCCACTTCTTTTTAATACGTTGTTCCAATATAAACCTCAAAGAGCTGTGGCGACTTTGTGAAGGTGGTTTTCGGGGTGTATCGGATCACGGAAAACTCAATTTGGTTTACTCGTTTGAAAAAACAGAAACAATTTCCTGCATTTCCAAAAAACCTTCTTGAGTATCAGGATAAAATTTTGAATGCAGCAGGTAGGGTAAATATGCATAAAGCATATTTGCTCTGACATACTGGGTAAACATCTGATTTTCAGACTCGTTTTTAGAATGCGTTGCCCAGTAGTCTTGAAGCACCAACCCCAAGTCTTAACCCCACCACGTCACTGGTTCTGTATCTTTTTCAATAATTTATTCTTCCGCGGAAAGTTTCCCTTTGAATTTTACATGATTTGGAGTTTTTTCTCTTCCTACGCGGAGCTGCCATGCCAGTAACGACTTTTGTTCGTTTGTATCTTTGGTTTTCTAATTTTAATGATTCCAAACGTTCAGTGTCAATTGTGAAAACACCAGGGTTGAAAAAACTTAAAATGATATGAAGAGCCATAAAGAGACTGGTAATCCCTCCCTTGCTCTTACTGAATTGCAAAGGGTTTCATACAAGCAGATTATACCGACCTTTACAAGCCCCTTAAAGTACTGCTTTTAAGGAGGCTCACGAAAGTTGAGTAGCAGCCATTTTTGAGCTTTATCCATCCGGCTTGCGAGAAAGCTTTACAGGCCTCAAATCAAGTCGATATAGGCGACAACGCACATCATCTATAGCCTGTTTTACCCAAAAGCTCCTTTATTCCTTATCTTTATAGAATTTCCTGAGGTGGTAAGAACAATATGTAGATAGATAGGTAGAATTAACCTGATATATTCAATAGCCTATTCTGCTTTCATTTAGAAAAGGAAGTAGAATTAAGAGTTGGCATACCTCATCTTGGAAGTATTAAATCTTGAATCTAACCATTCTAAAAAAAGAAAGAAAATTTAATCCCTTGTGCTTTTTCTTTCCTCTATGTATCCTAAGATATATTTTAACTTCCTAAGAGAGATTATTAAAATCGTATCATTGTTAAATGGGTAATTGGACAAAGAAAAAAGAAAAGAAAGATTATTTGTTATTTCAAATACTTTTGATTTTCAAATCGCAAACACTATGCTATGATCTCCAGATGGTTATTAGAAATTCTTGGCCATAACATGGGCTCCGATCCAGATTGGAAAGTGGGAGGGGGGGGGGGCAAGAGAGATTTTAACAATCATTACAAAAGATTTTTCAAAATGTTTTGCAAGAAAGTAGGGGTCATGCCCCCGGCTCCCCTTTCGTCGGAGGCCCCGCAGTACATAGAATCTTTATAGCATTTGGCTAAAAAGTTTATCATCATGTGAACCAAGGATTATAGGAGCTATTTCTTCAAAGAACAGCAAAAAATTATTTCATACTTATTAATTGTCCCTTGACGGCTATTTGTTTTTGATTACTCATTAGAAATAAAAAGTAATATTCACTGATCGTTCCCAAGACAGATCTCAGATTAGTGAAGGTTCATGAATATGAACCAAATAAATAGATAAACAATTGTCAACTCTAATCACTGTATCACAATTACTCGATGCAGCAGACTGGCGTGAGGGGGATGCTGGGCTGTAGCCCTCCCCAAAACACTTGTTGCTCAAGTATGACATCAAGCTGTAGTATCAAAGAAAATGGTGGCAAACTAACATAGGAGTTTGCCAACTCGTCTGGCGGCCCAGTTCATCTTTGCAAAGAAGAAGCAAAGTAATCTGAAATATTCAGTTCCTCTAGGTCCTCTTAATGGATTGTCCCTTGCAGCCTCCTCTCCTCTTCTCCAAAGATATATGTTGAGACGTTGATGAATCTCACACGATGTTACACGCCTTTTTATAAGGCACCACTTTCCAGGGCACTACTTTTGTTCTGCAATATATTGGCAAACTCTCCACCTCGTGGAAACCATTAGGAAAAATTGTCTGCTATGTACAGACAGACACAGGCTTGATGCCTGGAATGACCTTTAAACAATTGTACAAAGGCTATATATTATTTAATCTATGTTATTAATCTTAACCCCATTTCTGTTCTTTTTAAACAGATCTCATCCTTCATTTACTTAATTAGTCAGTCGATAATCTCAATATGAAATGCACGCGAATTTTGCTCTTTCAATTATGAGAACTTTGAAATACAATAAAAGAGGTGAGAAGGGGCACCCTCAAAGCAACGAGATAAGACGAAGGTACCTTCTTAGAAAAGTGAGGAAGGAGGGCTGTGCTGTAGGCAAATTCAAATGCCACACGCATGACTACACTCTTACCACATCCAATATACTTGCATTCAAATTATTCCATGACACAAGCAGACTCATTAGTTTGATAAGAAATCGCTCATTGATGAGAAATCTATAGTAAAATAAAGGGTTGCCAGCACAGAATTCGTCCAACTAAATATGGACTCATTTGTTGGACAGGGCTGAGCCCTCTTGAATCGCTCTGAATTTTAGCAAAAGAGACTGATATTGAATCCCTTATTTGAAAAAATAGCATACAAAATTGAATTGAGCGATTTTCAGGTAAAGGGAACTATCACGATAAAAAATCAGCCCCAAGAGAATTTCATCCAAGGATGTGTTTTGTTATGAAAAGTTATTGGGGAACATCGCGAAAAGTTCCTCCAAAAACAATAGCAAAAGTAGGAAATACTACATTTTGGATTTTACAAATGAGGGTGAGCCTCCTCCTCCCAGCTTCATTCCCCTTTCCATGAATACGTTGACGTCAAAGCAGGGATTACTTGGGCGTGAGAAACGCTCTGTCGCTGTGGAGGCGTGGAAGACGCTCGCAGCTAATGAAACCGCACTTGGCGAAAATCCCACACCAATTTCGCCTTTTAATTATGTTTCATGGAGTATCCGACGACTATTGAATTATTTATGAGAATAACGCCTTCACATTCTCAAGCTTTTTCGGGATATTTCTATATTACCCAATCTTCATGCTATTATTGTCGAATTAATGACAATGCTGCTAAAATTCTTGGGTTTACAACATCTGCAAAATAGGTAAGAAAAAGATTCCTGCAAATGGGGCTCCACACTTTCAATAGAATCAAATATTAAGAACCACAAAATGCTCTCATTAAAACGGTATATTGACGTTTGTCTGATGTCGACTGCCTCCACGTATTGCCTCCACGTTGTTTACAGGTTGTGCCATCCAGTAACTGACTGCATCTAGGCAGAACTGCATTTAGGCTTTAACTGAAATATACGGAAAGGGTCCTTTTCCTCTAGCTAGCAGCCCTGAGAATTCCCCAGTTAAAATAGTGCATCGAGTTCAATTTTCCATTAGCATGGGCTCCGGCGCAGGTTGGAAAGTGGGGGAGTGGGCAAGAGAAAATTTAACCACCATAACAAAACATTTTGAAAAGCAAATGCATGTGCCTATTATATAATTTCCGAACACAATAAAGCAACCGAGAAACTTTCTCCTTCGATGATAACTGATAACTGGTTTAAACTGTGTCTATATCGAAGGAAGGAATGCTCGAAATTTCTGCTGAAAAGGTCAAAATAGCCAAATTTAAGTAGTAGTAGTGGTAGGGCAAAGACATATTTTCCTGGTAATTAATCTCTGAAAAAGGCCGATCCATATCGACCATCCCTCAGAAAAATGCAGGCTTTTGATGTCATAATGGCAGGACATATTAGGTTCCGCCTCCAAAACGAACCCAATGCACTCCGTACTTGTAGGATGTAAAACAAAGAAATTGAAGTTTTATTTTTATCATACAACTTGATAACTCATCGCCCACTCACAGATTCCTTCTTTTTCGGCAAGGATTTCAAATGATGTTCTTGCCTAGTTATTGTAAAACTCTTCCTGTCAGGGCGGCTGACGCTTGGCAACCGAAACAAAACAGCGAAGGAGTTATAAAACACGAGGGTGATCTAATTTTAACTCCTACGGCGATACACGCAATGTAATATTTCGCAACCGGCTGGATGTTTCAGTGCACGCAGATAAAGGAGCTCTTCCTTCTTTTGGTTTCTACTGCCGCAGAATGCACGAAGGGTCGAGAGTGTTCTTTAATTAACGCAATGTACTATTTGGGCCATAGGTCCATAGGGCGACCTTGGGTTTGCATTGAACAGCCCAAAGGCAATGTACTATTTGGGCAGCTATTAGCTAAGCTTTTGAAGGCAACATAAAGGAAGTGGGTCTGGAGCAAAGGCTAGGAAAACACCTACAGCACAAATTTGTCAACGGGGCTTTTCGATATTCAATCTAGCGACTTCCCTTCTTTGACCTACAAAACCAAATTCTTCCAGAATGCATAAAAACGACAGAAACACTGTAGAGGTGGTTCTGGGGGCCCATCTCTACTATTAGCCACTTAGTTTTATCTATGACCATGACAACAAACCAAAACTCAGATTTTGGGATAGTTGGAGGTTCATGGTAGCCAACCTTCTGATAGAAGATGGTACCTGGTGATGATGAAAAACGACAGAAAGACATCATGTAAATGAGATGTGCATACTTTTTCTTTACTACACATCAGACTAGTTTTTAAACATCAACACACAACAGATAAAAACCACCCAGTGGTGTTATTTATAATATTAACATTAACGTTATTAACAAATTATGAATAAAGTTTGAATATTGGTCCCCACGAAAGCAAACACTTTGAATGACACTCTAGACTAACTGCTAGAAAAGGGAGGTTGAATGGGAGGATCATTAATATTCGTAACTATCGTTAATAACTGTTTTTAAGAACTTTATGTAAAAGGAAACTCACAAAGTACCAGCCTCCCCCTAAAATTCAAAGTAAATTTTAAACCTATCCAAGGCAAAGTGCATGCAACTAGAAACGTCTCCTTTCATGAGGACCATTCAAGAATTCCCCTCAAGTGTTTGTCTTTCTTAAAAATAAAAAATTACCATATTTTGCGATGACACGAAGATGCAAAACTGAGACCTTAGCTGAATGGAAATTCCCAGACTTTTTACAATATATATAACAACTTTGTTACAATTGATTTCAAAATATAATTTAGGTATTCTACTAGTGCAAAATAGAATAAGCTAATTATTCTAGCTAAAGACCTTTGAGGGTTGTGCAGAGCTCAGGCAACAATTTGCCTGTCTACCAAGTCAGAAAATCTACCCTATAGTTGGAATGGCTTAGTTAATTGTAGTAAGACCTCATATTTCATATATGAATGAAAATAACGGGCATAAACAGAATTTCATTAATCAGCATTCTATTTTACTGAGAGGTGTCTAGAGGCTAGCTATAAATGGAATGTTGTTTACTGTGATAATTTTCAATATGTTAGTCTACTCTAAATCATAGATTGACAAAGCAGCCAAAAACCTTCACGGTCAAAACGATTAAAAACCTAATTTTTTAAGTTTTAAAGGAAGTACTATGATGTGATTTTACTGTCTTCTAAATCTGGAACACATTGGTCAACATATCTTCTTTCAAATCTACTGGAAGTTGTGGACGTGACTGGAGATCTAAACCAAGGGTGTTCTAGAATTTCTTGTGCTGACAGTCTTTCTGATGGTTCTCTTCTTAAAATTGATCTGAGCAGACACTTTGCTTTTGATGATATGCAGTCAGGTAGGACAAAATGACCGCTTCGAATTTTCGAAAACAAAGCAGATGGCTCATTGTCATGAAAGGGGTATCTTCCAAACAACATGGTGTACAGCATCACGCCTAAGCTCCATATATCTGCAGCTCTTCCTGAGTAGCCATTAGTGGATTCAAGTATTTCTGGGCTCACATAAGCTGGACAACCGTGCTTATCTGTCAAGACATCTTCGTGGGTGTGTGAAATATAGGCGTCATCTAATGTTTCTAGTTTCAAACGAGTCCTGTAGAGACAAAAATCATATTTAGGTGAGCAATATATAATGCATTTAGATTTACGTTTAAGAAGGCTACAAACATTGCTCAAGTACCAGCGGCACTCAAGAAATTCTAGGAAGAGATATTTTTCTGGCAGACTGGGAAAAGAGGGGGGTAGGAGGAGAGCAGGCTAGGCCCCTTTCAATTGCCATATAACAACTGTTGTTTTGGGCATATCTTAGCGAAATCCCTTTGGGGAGATCCCCTTTTTTATCTTTTAATGGCCCTTCAACCCTTCCCAAGATTGATGGTTATTTTTTCTTGGTCAATATGTTAGATGGCGAGATTGTTTACTTGTCTGAAGCAAGCTGGGGCCTGGAGGATACAGTTTCTCGCCCAAAGAAGGTCGGTACTGAAGCTACGGTGTCACTGATACGTTAATATTTGAACTTTGAAACTGCTTAAAGTGATGGAAGCATTTTGTAGAGCGACTCGATAGGAAAGCCATCTGTTCTATGGGTTTCTATTTTCTGGAGCTACGAATCGCTAACGAAATTGGGACGTTGGTTCATTATCCGATGCGCAACAACTTGACTATAAATCAGGGACAAATGGATCATATTAACCCACTGGATTTCTCTGAAAGAAATCTATGGATACCCGGCCTAATCCACTTGGCTGCGCCTCAAATGAATGAATCTGGCAATTGCGTGAATGTTTCGCAACCGGAGGTGAATAATATGCGAGTGATTAAAGTTTTGCGCTTTGTATCGTTTCCGACAAACAAAAGGTTAATCGAAGAGCTTTTTCTTTGTTTTCCTGATAACTATTACAACACACCCACGTTATGTTTAAATTTTTTTCTAAAGAAACTCTTCACAGCAGAAGAAACATGCTACAACCCCAACCTCTGCGTCCGTTTTTATACAAAGAAAACAATTTATTTTCTGTTGGAAGTATCAATGATTACAGGTGAAATTCGGTAAACAGAAAATTCTATTTGAGCCAAAATATTCTTAAAAACAAAAAAATCTTAGTTTAAAATATAGGAAGAACAAAAAGATTGTGTTACAAAGGGACAAATTTGGCTTTATCTGTGTTTATTGTCCCCGGCAAAGTTTAACAAGCTGCGCTTCGCACGTTCTTCGAACGCTTATTCGGGGCACGTGTCAACACGGCTGCAGATGATCTGCCACGTGTGGGGCAGAGGGGGTACCAAAGAAAGAAATATGAAATTATGAAGTTACACAAACAAAAATCCATGTCCTTGTGAAAAGATGGAAAAAAATTAAAAAGTGCCCCCAAATTCCAAACTCGGTGTTGCGGTATAGCAAGAATTTCAAGAATGAATCCCAAATCATGAAAATTTAAAACATCTGCAAAATTTCCATTGTTTAGATCGCGCTTTACGAAGAATGTATGGAAAACAACGCTTTAATTGAATAAAAGCTGGTTCTGCTATTCACAATTTGAATAGAATGCAAATGTTAGGATTCATTAGAGATTACTGTGGGTTTGATCATGTCAATTTTGTTAGCTGATTCAAAAATTTGCTTGGATCAAACAGATCAGCTAATCAAAATATGTGAAATAAAACAAGTCTTAACTATCACCCCCTCCCCATTTTTCTCTAAAATATCCATAACATCATTTTACGCCAACATGGTTCACACACATATTATATATTTAAATTCCGCAAGTTTTTAGTTTTTTCTGGCCCAATGATTAATTTGGTGGTAAATGAGAAAATATAATGCCAATATTAAACTGCCTAAAATCTATATCGCTAATTTTTTTTCAAAAATTTGCAAGTTTTGGCCAAGCAAGGCGTTCTTGTGACCCTGTGCAGAACAAGCAGGGGTTCCCCTTCCTGCCTTGGCTGTATGGTTCTGATAGTGTTATCAGCAGAAAGGAAGAAACTTGGCAGGTCAAAAATACGTTTGATTCCGTTTTCAAACTGTTTTGAAAGCGAAACGGAATTAGCAACTTGAAAGTTGCGAAAGAAAATATCTGAAATTCTTTGACGGGGCAGATGTGATTACGCAAGACCACCAATGAATGAGGCATCCTCGCAATTAGGTTATCGCTTACTTGCAACTTAGGGAGAAAACATAACAATAAGCGTGCAAGAATATTCACTTACCTTTCCATATTTTGGAAACAAAATTTTCTAAGCTTCAAGTCTCGAAGTATAACTCCATTTTCGTGGCAATGTGCAACAATCTCGACGATTTGTTTAAAAAGTTTGCAACATTCTACTTCTTTCAGTCTCCGTTTTGCTCTAACATGCGAATGTAGATCGCCAAACGACGGTTCAAAAAATACGTATGCCTGATCTTCTCCAAGTAAAACCTCTACTATTTTATTCACATTTTCATGTTCCTCTATCTCGAAATACGGAGTGACAAATTCTCTATATTTATTTATCCCCGTAACACGACACGAATACTCTTTACGGGTTTCCACGTCCACAGCACGATGCAATGAAGAATTCCATATATTCCTTGCGAATATAAGGTATTTTCCGATTTGCAAAACTTGAGATGAGTCCTTCGTAGATTTTGTGTCAGTGTTCTGTTGACTAGGTATGTTGCTTGGAGGATTTTCAGGCTTTCGATGTTCTGTTGTCGTTTCTGTGTTTGGCTGTCTGGATTTGATCTCAGAAGCATACGGATGAAAACGATTATTGCAGTAGAAGGTGCTCCCCATAATTATGTTCAGCTTTCGAAGTGCGGATAACCGATCTATTCAGTAGCTTAAACTTCCGTTGAAAGTATGATAAATCAAACGAACGCAATTCGTTGTTACTACGCAATCGATGACTCAAAAGCGAAAGATGGTTGCGTTGTTAGGAGTCGAACCGCGTAGTGCCTAACGCTTTATAAACCAACCAGATACTTCACTCTCCTGTTTTAAAGAAGTAATATCCTTCTCTGAGAGCAGCGGCCCTTTAACATCCAGTTGGCTTTGCGTTGCGCAACTACAAATTGGATCGCCCTAGAAATGATGGTCATAGCCACAAAACAATATAGTACACCCACATTGCAACATATGACATCCTTGTAATCGGTAAAACAATCAAGCGACAGAGCTTCGTTGACACATCACGATCCAAATTTGGGTATCACCTATTGTTCTCATGTGGACTCCCCATTCTTTTTGTTTTATCAAAACGATTGAGTATTCTTCTCGCATCGCAGAGATATCTTCCGGGATTCCTCCTGATATTCAGACCAAACAGTCGGGGAATCAGCTTGTTTTTCTGGCCAATCATAACCGGCCAACTTGACCGCTATTGTTCGCGCAAAGCCATTCCGCCACGGCTGATTCAAGCCACCGGCAATGAGAAATGAATTCCTCATGAGGAAATAATGCTATACCACAATGGCAAAATTGCGAAATTAACACATTTCGATCACCAGCTCTTCTAAAGATTTTAAAATAGTTTGAAGATTCAGTTGTTCTTGGCAAGAATTTCTTGCAATATCGAGGAATGTTTTAGTGCTGATGTTATCTGCAAAGAAAGGCTGTGTGTATCGTCCTAAATTTATTAAAATTGAGCAAATAAGTGCTTTAAGTAAACGTTTCTGCAAAATTTCTGACTCTAACCTTTTAAGCCACTTCGTTTGCATTATTTTTAAGCAGCGATGCAAATTATATAATTGCCGAATCGGCCATTTTTTCGCTTTGTAATGCATTTTACACAGTTGTTGAAATAGCTGCGTAATCAGCAAAAAGGCATAAACTAAGTTGGATATAAAAATTTTTTCAGAAGTATAACATTTAATCTGTGAGATTTTTATATTTGCCTAGATGCAAGTCTTGTCGTGAATCTAAACAATTTTTTAACCCGAAACGACAATAGTCTCTCTTGGCTACCATTATTCTAATCTTTTCGCGAGGGAGAAGCGTGGTGATTCCCCAGCCGAGCGACAGTTGGCAGCCACGCCGACAGCTATTGTTGGGACTCGCGATGTGAACTGGCGAACCTGTGATCCACGTGGGTACCCAAAACAGCTTAAACAAAGCTATTGTTCTGTTGAGAGGCATACAATAAAAGAAGTTGATTAGGAAACAAAAACCTCACCAACTGGAGCATGCAAACCAAGCCTGCTACATAGCGTCGATAAATGTGCTTGTTTTATTTACACACTCGACCTTCCAACGGAACGTTATTTGAAAATTGCTTGAAATCGAAAAAAGTTTTTTCTAAAACGCACGTGAAAGACATAAGACATCGATTGTTAGGAGGTACAGGTCGGGGTTTGGGGTAGCCTCTGACGTAACAGTGTGGATCAAAAGATTGCTTTAACATGAATTATACATGCATGTTATATTATATCATAAAAGCAGCCTAGAATTTTTCACCTTATAAAGAGAATGAATTGTTTTAACTGCAAAGTCTGGATTGTTTTTTATGTAGCTCTTGTTTATATCCTAAAGTAAAAAACTTGAGCAATGGGAAATACAGGGTTTAAAATCGATTTAACACTTTAGGGCTCGGGCATCTAGCCCTATGAAGAGAACAAAGGGCTTTCACGCTGAATGTCATTAAGTTACTGGAAGTAAAATTGGCTACCTTTTGGCACGAAAGTGTGGCTCAGCCCCCCCCCCTGCCCCCTAAGCCTCACACCTGTTTGAAAATCACTTACACGAGCTGATGTTTATCGAGTCTCTTTTTGACTACTTGGGATGACGTCATGATGGCAGATAGTGACGTTCAAAATACTTTTTCATCATTCTCACTTTCAGTAAGCGTACCAGCTCCCTCGCCACGTTCCATGGATATCAAACCAGTTAGCATGGAAAGAAAATACTTTCCATTTTTGAATTTTCAAATAGGCCCACTGTAAGGCTTGTAAGTCCATGCCCAAAGGAGTTAATTATGTTTTTATATTGCACTCTTCGCTTGATTAAATACTATTTACAACAATCAGAGTACATTACTCCAAGCACCACTAATTCACCTACCAATTCTTACATAGGCTGTTTTCATTTTCATTGAAGCTCGTTCCATGTTACACGGGTTTCGTTTCAAGTCCTACCATCATCAACTGATGTATCTTATCATACAACCAAACAGAAGCGTAAATAGGATTGGTTTTGGTTGAGCCTTCTGTCCTGTCTAGAAACTCTCAGAGCATTTTTAACATTGCTACTACAAAGGATTTGGCTCCGCATACCCAACCCTTTCTCACGTTGTGAAGGGAAACTACCAACCCCCCCCCCCCCCCCCATCCCCTAGCAGAGGGCCTATATAACCTTTCGATCCAGTTTCAAGAGAACAGACAATTTCGAACCAAGAAATGCACAATTTACACAGTAATTTTTGAAGAAGTTTACATTTTTTTATAGATCTTGTACTATTTGATAGCCCTTCTTTCTTCGTCATCCATTCATTTTGAAATTGGGACAATTTCACGATTTTATTTTGAATTGAAAATACCTTTAAAAATGCTTTGGAAATTCTTAAAGAAATTTTCTAACGACGTCTGAATTGAGATCTCCAGGCAATTTTTGACGTTTAAGGCAAAAGCAGTCTACTTAAAAGAATGCCTTTCGACCTTTCTTTTTTGCGTAATTTCGCGAGTCAAGCAATGTATAAAAGGAAGCCATAGCTAACCTTTTGGTGGACATGAGGACTTGCAAACCTCAAGAAAAGTCATTGAGTAGTACTGTGGTACACCAAACCTATCAAAGACAAACATTGATCTTAAAATGAAACCATCCAAAAAGAGTACCAAATTAACTTTGCAGGTATATATTACTTTTTCAGTGCCCGAAAATACTTTGTAAATAGTCTAAATATTCAGTATACAGTCTCTTTAATCAAATCAAGGGTTTCTTTTCTCACGTTTTAGGGGTAGATCAATGAAAACCTTTTTGTACTTCAAATGTCCACTATGTAAGCTGCAGCCTCCTGTTACAGCATATTTCCCCCAATTTGCAGTTTAACTTTACCGGTTTTATCACGACAATCTTTCCAACATAGCTTTTAAAGTTACTGCAAACGTACTCCTTTGTCTTCATGTCTTAATAAAAAATTATTTCTTTTGAAGAGCGACTAGTTTTATGAAAAATGCAAACTCTTCTAATCGTTGAGGTTTCTAGATTCTCTTTGGTTTTAGTGAACAAACATAAAAATTTCAGTATTCAATGCAAGAATTCAACCATGTTTCGTTGTATTTTCAAAAACGGCTTATTAAAATGACTCATGACATCAGTCTTTTCCAAAAGATAGATGCATAATGTTCTTTATTGGATTTCAAAATCTATTGGAATACGCACAAGGATTCTTTCATTTTGCACAGGAAAACACCTGTTTTTTACAAAAATTCAAACTGTGAGTTTAGCCAGACTTATGTATTAAGTCGAAAACGGAGCATGTTGACACGAGTAAAAAATGTGGCATTATGGAGAGTCTAGGGTGATGGTTGTTCCCTATAGATACATCGGGTAGAGCTTTCCAAAGGTTGATAGGGAGTAAGGTTTTCTGCCAGTTGTTCATAAAAAATAATTCGCATGAAATATGAAATAATTAATTTAGTAATGCCTGCATTCTCCCCTTTTCATCATTTTTGCTAGCTTCAGTTAACAAATGTATGGTTATCCTGTGTTCATTGCAAATACGATGCTCTCTCTCATGTTTTTTTGCCATGATATCATAGGACATAGCTTATATCATATTGTAAGGATATCATGTAAGTTAGAACAAGAGACGGAGTGAGTGTTTGCTCATTTTAAAGGAACGAGTTTGTTCGTTCATAGAAATGTTGCTGTTGCTCTTCGAGCGCGCTTATCTACACGTGGAATCAGAGAATTTCAAAAAAATTTCTTTTTCAAAAATGTTATCTTACGACATGGTTAAAAAAAGAATATTCTACTTACTATAATTTCCGCAGACAGAAAAGATAGATCGACATAAGCCCAGCCCAATGCATAAGTGCACCCAGTGGCGAAGTTTGATCTGCCAGACTTAGGGGCGGAGGGTCATTGAAGACATAGATGAAGAGAAATTTAGGTGCTATATAGCCTACCGACCAACCTTAACTTTTGTGGACCAACTTAAGATTTATTGACTAACTTATGAAGGATTTTGGGGTGTCACACCCCTCTTACCTCCTCATAAAACAGCAGATCCATTACACAGAGTTTTGTTCCTAATTGTTTTTAACAGTTGCTTTATTTTTAGTTGTAAAGCAGAATGCGTGGTACTTTAATAAAGCGTGGGAAAGCGCGTGATACGTAAACCAAACGCTTAACTCTGCACTCAACATTTGGCAACTATGCCCCCACAAAGCCTTTACGCTGCTTGCCTCCCAGATCGAAATTTCTTCGGGTAAACAAGCTCAACATCGATCCCCATGTTGTGCACTTCTTCCTGAAGCCTCTGCAGAGGAACTGGACAACATTCTAAAGTAAGATAACGTCATATTTATACTCATTCGTTAAGGAATGGTTGGATGTTGTTTCCAACAAAGTATACGTAATCATACAATTCATACTAAACTACAATTACAATATAGATTAAATATGGCATTCACAGCAGAAAAAGAAACAGGGTCATCTACAATCCTGGCCACAAGGCTAGTAGACTGGAGAAAGAAACCACTAAAACTGCAACTTTACCCCAATAATCAGGGCATTTTTTAACATATAAAGTGGTGGGGAAATTCCCCACCAGCCCCTTTCATTGCCCCAACAGTGGAACATGTTTGCCTCACCACTTAAGTGCCCTTATTATTTGAGATATTGGTAGATGAAATCTTCATTGAACAGGTTTCAAATCTCAATTCATTTTTCCCTGGAACTGCTGCTTCTATAGGCGAATCCCCTAGAATATTTTTGAAAGCCTGTTTATCTGTAAATTCTACCTTTATCTATATGCCCTTTTCTCAAATGCTCCACCAGTGGAAAATTCTTAAAAACTGCCCTGCCAATAATATTATCAAAACTCCACACCACTGCGGCAATGTTGGTTTTCTGGAAAATACTCAGGTAACAGCAGTTGAAATGAGTAGAAATAAGCGTATCAACATTGACTGTGGGGGTGGGGAGCGTATTTTTTCAAAGAGACTACTATTTGCCAGCCAGTCCAATAACTTTTGGCCAGGATTGTAATTCCCACTGTCAATGGCATTTACATTACTCTAATAATTTACAGATTGAAAACAAGATGAAAAAAGAGTATAAAATTGGGAAGTTGGAGTAGCTGCGTCGGTATTATCATGCGCACGAAGAAACGTACAGCCCACCCACCAGAAGCAACAAAGTATCATAATTCTTGTGCAGCAATTACGGCTGGCAACGTTTTGTATGCCTTGACATCCTTCAGTCTCATTAACTGGGTAGGTTTGTAGTATATCTCCTTCCCTAATAGGTGGCTACGTCAGACGGTTAGAGATAGAGACAGGGTCAATCCAATGCGTTTAAACTCACTTTAAACTTAGATGCACATCTTTAGACAGAAATTACAAATTAGAAATTCTTAGTAACTTAGCAAAAACTTAGCAAAACAGCAACAAACAACCATTATGAAATGTCTCAAGTAAGCCTTTAAACCAAGGGTTGGGATGAGTAACCGTGGTGATTTAATCGAGTTTGAATCATTATTTATCATCTTCAAAGCCCTCAATAAGAAGAATCATCGTTGTTTCATCTACGCCATTATCAAAATGTATTTAAGTATCAGCTCTGATCTTTCCAATACAGACACATGTCTCAGGTTACATCAAAAGGAAGGTTGGTTTATGCTTTCGAAACTGCACCAACATTTAAAAGCCTCTATCCTGTGTACCAGAGTCTTCATTATCTAGTCTCAGAAACATAGCTAGAAACTAGTCACAGAAAAATTGTTGACTCACTATTTGCCAGGGTCTGGTATCCAGGGTCAGAAGCCTTCAAACAGAGGTTTTCATGATGCATTGTTGGAAAATTGAGAAACTCGAAAGAGACTTGGGCCAAGTAGGATCTAAGAACTTTTAATTTGTCGCTTGAAAATGTAATTTAATTAATTTTTCCAGTGATACGAGCAAATCACTCTTCCAGACAAAGTCCCCTTATTTACAGAAACTTCCTCGTTTGTTTTTCATGGATTGCTGAAAATATTCTGTGTGGAGGTACAATACTCAATAAATCACGTTTGCTTTAATGCTGAGCTCAAGCTTGAGAAAAATCACCTACATGTTTATAAATATTTAAGGTATCTACCACAATCACTCGCAAAATAGAATAAAAAAATACATCACAAGCATTTTTTCATTTCTGTATAAAATTTGTTTGTCTAGCCGGTTGTATATACTTTGATTGGTTTTAGGTACAGGTCAGTTGGAAAAGTTCTAATTGTAAATTTGGTATAAGGCAATGGTATAATGTTCAAAAATAATGCTCGAAATATCGAAATATTTTCCAATGAAAGTTTTTACAACGTTTTCCAAGTTAGTCATGCATTTGTCGAGGCGTTGAATTGCTCATATAATCAGTGGTGGCGCCAGGGGAGGGCTAGGTGGGGCTAGAGCCCCTCAATCGGAAGCATGTAGCCCCCCCCCCCCATCGGAGGAAATTTTAGGTTATTGTCGGAGCAAATTTAACAAAATAACGTACGAAAACTGCTTATTTTAGTCATTTTAGCCCTCCTGTCGGAAGCTCCAGCCCCTCTGTCGGAAGATTTCTGGCGCCACCTCTGCATATAATTATAATGTAAAATTGACAGTAAGGAGTAACCTTCTTTTAACACCAAATTAAGTGCGTGATAAAAACTTCTTCTTGTCCAGTTCCTACTCAACTCTTTTTTATCCATCTGTAAACACAAACATGAAAATTTATCCTAAAATGCCGAAACAATATTTTCATAACGATAGTGACGATCAATAATTGTTTAACATTGATTTGCTGTTCAGGGCTTTTAATTTTCATTCTTGCTTTTAGAACCTATCTTATAAAATATGATTTCTTTGTACACTAATGAATGCTTTGTTTCTTAATAGAAAATGCAAGCAGAACTGCGACTCAATGAAAAAAATCTGAATTTTAGTTAGACGTTAAAAAATGGATGTTACTAGTTCACGAAATAAAGTGGCTTTTTTGTGAGCAAGTCAAGAAATAGCCTGAGCCCCAGACTCCAATACTTTTAGCTTGGGGTCTGGAACTCAGGCTAGTCAAGAAAAAGCTTTCTACCAGCTTTTTTTATTTGACTGTAGATATGTAAAGCAATTTGTGATATTTATAATAGATCTTTAAATAACTTTTGTCAATCACTGTAATCTTTGTTTAATTGAATAAGATTATACTAATCAAATAAAATGCGAAGCATCTGCGGAGTTATATCAAAACATTGAAAAAGTGTTTATATTATTTTCTGACGATAACTTTGTTTCTACTACATGTATTTGGTAAATCGTCTTTGTACACTCGTAGAGAGAGGATACTATGAATTAGGTTGCTATGATACAACAAGAATTTTTTTGTCATAAACTGCTCAAAGTTAGCTTGTGCTCCAGTAGCCTAATTTGAACGCGGAGGTCTGGAGTAGAGAGTATATACTTTTCCGTGCTCAATTGTTGGGGAGGGGGTGAAATTGCATATTTTGAAATCGTTCACCCTCAAAACATTCTATAATTACCCCCTCAGTTTAAGAAAATTATGAAGAAACCACCCCCGTTTTGACTATCACCCTCCCAGGGGCGGCGCCAACTAAGTCAAACTGGGGGGCTGGAATTGACAGCATTATTAGACTAAAAACAGTTTTTGAGAACGGCACTAAAATGATTCACGATAATTCATGCCTATGATTTTATGGGACACTCGTTTTGCGGTACATTGGAAGGGCCGACGAGAGGTTGTCGGAGGCCATAGGTACACCACAAAGAAAAGGATTCCTTGCAAGCGAAGCGAGCTAAAATTTTTTAGCAACCACGCCCTTTAGATTAGCTTAAAGTGCATTTCAGAAAATTTCTTGCAGTCATTTTTTTGCAATCGTTCAAAACATTTTGCTATTTTTAAGGCATGCTTATATTGCGACTTATTAATTCCAGTCTTAAAATGGAATTCATAGCTTTATGAGGCACTATAGACCTCGCCTTTTTGAGAAATTAAGCAATAAAAGGATTTATCGCACTATTCTTTTCTTCCATCTCTTTTCTTTTATTATTTTGTTTTTATAAAAACTGTTTTTGCAAAAAGTGGGGAGGGCTAAAGCCCCCATCCCCCCTCTTGCGCCGCTCATGCCTCCCATATTAGTGAATCGAACTTCAAAAATAGAAAATCAACCAGGAGCAAACTGCAATGGTAAGCTGAAAAACACAGTAACTTTTTTATCAACTATAAAAATGCAAATGAGCGCTCTTGGGCTGCCATTCTCATATTCTGCTATCCAATAAATCTTCCCACTGTGTCATTTTATTTTGAACCCCCCATTTTCGCAAAATTTATGAAAAATACCCACCCCATGCTTATTCCAACCCTCTGCAATTAAGCACCGAAGAGTAATGAACATTTTGAGCTTCTAAGAGGCTCTTTTAGCAATGAAAATGTTTGGTTGCAGGCTAGAAGTGGCAGAACCATCTTAGATTATTTCTGTTGCCTAAATCTTTTTACAAATATCTTTAATCATCTTCACCTTCTCGAATTTGAAAAAAACACGAATGTTTTGCTTCGTTTTATCTTGTTGATATTTCTTATCATTATAATCTATTAGAGTTTATTGAAGTTTTCGTTTGCCAAAAAATAGCTCTGATCTTCGGCAAGGGGCTACGATTTTTGTGTTCCCAGCAGTGGCGGACACTTGGGGGGCGAGGGGGGGCTTTTGTTCTAAAACGATGGGAAATGTGACTCATCTTATTAAAACAATAGGCTTGCCCCCTCAATATTTGACCAAGTGTCCGCCACTGGTTCCCAGATCAGAAAGGGGAAAACAGCCCTTCATTCACATTTCAACAATGAAACCATAGAATATATGTCATTTCCATTCTGTGATGAAACTGTCACATAACTGGTGGGTTTCAAATATGATATGTAGACATCCTGTCCTGAAAAGAAAAATTCTATACCTTGTCCTGTTGACCTGAATACCTCTGCGATGGAAAGTTGGTTTAGAGTATGCTTTTTTAACACAATTCTGTTTAGAGTTAAAATTGGGCCTGGTTTCTTGTCTCTAATTTCAGAGCTCCAGGGTAGCAGCTTCCATCTGAAAAAGTTTTGTTATTTGATGAAGTTGAAACAGCACATCGCATTTATTTTAATGCGGAGAATAACTTTAAGGAAGAAGAATTAAAATGGCTGCTGCCACTGTAATGCAGTTTGTGGAAGATGCAAAGCAGGATATCAATTCTCCTAGCACATCCGTGTTTCCGTCTAAAATGGCGGCTTATAAAAACATGGTGTCCAATTTGGACGAGGTTTGTAGATGTTGCTGTTTTAGAAACGAGAATTATTCGTAAAACCTCTCAGCATGAGTAAAGGGCCAGGTGCTCTTAGAAGTGTTTTACTATGTATCATAGATAAATAGTCCCGTTCGACTTCCAAGTTCAGACTTGCATGAAAACGAAACCGAACAAGAGGAAATCAGAAAGCGCTTTTAGAGGTTATTGGATCCTATACGACCCTAGGCAGATGATTCCTTCGAAATTAGACAGGATTTAGGCTGAGTAATTTATTTTATCTCCGGAAACGCTGGACCAGTTTTTCAGTTCTTTGCTTGTTCATTACTGGTTACGAGAAAGGGCGTTTAAGAGCTATATCCTATATTTATTTTGAAATATAATCATGTTATATTACAAACGTAGAAAAATTCAAATATTTACAGGTAAAGATTATTTTCTTCTATTTCTTCTTTTAGCTTTTAAAGGCGTAGCTAAATTAATCCAATATGAATGATTTATTGATATTTTAATTTGTATATAGTCTGAGCCTTGTAAACATATTTTTTGATAGTGGTCATCAATAGTAGTTTGATTCAAAAAGAGGATTTTTCAAAAATATCTTATGTGAATTATTGGTATGCAAACTAATGATCTGAATCTACCAAACAAGATAGGTAAAGAAATTTTTATCACAATTATAAGTATTTCCCTTTCAAGATAAGTAAATAAAACCGAAAAGTCTCCTCATAAAGAATTTTTTCTTACTTGGTTATGTTAGAAGAGGCCAAGTTGCCTTTAGAAGGTACCTCAGGCAGGGGGGTTAGCCCCCCCACTTTTTGCCCAAGATGCACCAAATAAAGAAATTGACCACCAGTCAAGCCGCTTCTTATTCGGTTTTAGTCCCCTACTTCTCTCAATGCTCTGTGGTGTCTGGCCTAAAGCAGTGCTCTAACAATAGCAAAGGGCTCGAGAAGGAAAGATGAGAGGGAGTTTGGATGATGTCTATTGACTTTGGTTTTGAATAAAATATTGGTTAGAAGAGTCTGTAAGAGGTGGGGAGGAGGTGGGGGATAAAGCATTCTAAAATTTGTTGTTGTCAATTTGGTAAGGTGAGAACTGGAAGAATTTCTGGTGTTTTTAACATCTCAGGAGATCCAGGATAATATTCCTGATCTCCTGGAATCAAATGTCCTTTGAATCTTTCTGTAAGATATAGAGAGGTCAACAACACAGAATATCAATGTAAAAGTGGCCTGGGAGAGACCGAAAAATTAAAATTGTTCAAGAGGTGAATCGCTTTGACTGGATTTTCAGTTAAGATTGGGTATCGAAAAAGGCTAATTGTGAAAAACTCAGCTGTATATTATCAAATAAAACCTCTGCTAGGTATATTATGCAAATTTTGGAAAAAGTAAATAACAAAGAGAAGAATAGACTAGTTCAAGAAGATGTTTTCTGATTAAAGTATACCCATGGTAAACAGTTATTGACCCATCCATTTTGCTCAGCAGAATGCTGCAGAAATAGATTACAGAAATTGGAATTAATTAGAATTCAATTATTTCCTTTTTATTAAAAATTATAGAAAGACAAACCACGTATGAATGTCCTAATTTGGTAAAGGCTTTGAAACTCGTTCTAAAAAATTTGCAGCCAATTGCTTGTTTAATAATAGAAAAATTCAGCTTTGTTTTATACATTAACTTGAGGCCAATTTTAGCTTATCTTGTGTTATACAAAAGTGTCTTCAATTTTTCATTTTAAACTAAATTCAGTGCTTACAAGCAGACTTAGCATTGCACAGTCCAGTGAGATTGGCATGTCATTCCCTTACCTCAGGGGTGGACAATTGCAGTTAAAAAATAGAAGACCAATAGCTCTTTCTGTCCCTTCCCACATACTACCTTTGGACTCTAGCAGGGAACTCTGGTGACATGAGTAGACATTTCTAGAAAAATTTAGTCACCCTATGTATCAATATACAGTCTTCTGCAAGTAAATACTGGTGGTCTTGCTTGCGTAGAAGACCGAATTGTCCACCCCTGTACCTATGTACTCTTTTTGGTGTTCTTCCATGAAAAAATTCTTATTCACAAATATGAGCCTATGTCACAGACAAGATGTTTTCCAAAGGAGCATCAAGTTTCAGTATGCTGAACAAGTACATTACTGAAATAAGACAGTTTGTTAGATACTGATACTTTTCCAAAGAAATGTCTAGCCCTGTGTGCAAGGATGGAATATTTTATTTACTTATATTTTAGTTTTTTTGTGTCTTCAGATTTCAAATTCATCTTGCAATCCTACATTCTTTGTTGTTATTGTGTTGGTCTTTCTCATTGATCAAATATTAGATTTGTTTTGATCTTTGGGTAAAAAGTGAACAATCTAATGAATGAGTGGAACTTTGCTGTTGATAAAATAACATTTTGTATTCATTGTTGTTTTTTGATAAGGCCTTTAAGAACCAGTGTTGTGCTGTTTCTTTATCAAAATGAATGTGAGGAAATAACCAAGCAACTGGATAGCAATAATACCTTTCATTTTCTATTTCTTTTGCATTGTTTATCAAAATTGGCCCCATATGACGTGAGTCCATTCTGCTACAAGGCCTTTATTTTAAAAAGGTTTGCTTTGTCTTAGGCTCAATCTGTTTCTCTTTAACTCTAATTCAAGTCCTTCTCCTTAAAAAAATTTGTTTTTGCCATGTTACCATAGCTTGTTGCTTAGCTTCACTTTTTTACACTGTTTTGTATTTCTTCTTATCTAATCTGTTATCAAAGTAAGAATCCATTTAATTGATTAAAATTGAAATGTAAAAGTTGGATTTTATTGTTTGAGTCCATGTCAGGTTTTTCTTTTGTTCCTAACCTGCGATACTGTATTTTCTAATTGCTTCTTCTGAAGCTGATTTAGAAAGTTGGAATCGGGAGGTTTGGCTCTGACACCTATGTATTTTAATTTGTAGTATTTTGTCCATTAAGTAGAATCTTCAACCAAGCTGCGGGCTCAGCACCGAATAAGCTGCAGGTTCAGGAAGCCAAGCCCTACAATCACTCTTAAACCATGTTTCCATTTTTGTCTTTCTCAGGTTCTTGATGCAGATCGAAATACCACTCATAGATTCAAAAAATGTGTGAAGACTATGCATGCTTCTGCCCAAGGTATTATATTTCCTTTTTTCTCCTGTTCCATGGAAAATAATCTTGATGGGTTCTCAAAAATTTTGATATCTAGATGCAGAAAAGAGGCTGTCTATATCAGAATGCAGGCACCTGCTGCAATGGGGTTTACAGCACCAAACAGTGGTACTTAAACACCAGAAGGGCTGAAGGGCAGGGTGGGCCAAACACAAAGAAAAAGGGTAAAGCAATAGCAAGGTCAAAAAAAATTGCATAAGGTTGCAAGAGCAAGGGGGTCTGCTTCCCCATTCACCCCATTGCACAAGTATCACTGCAAAGGTATAAGAAGAAAGGTCAAAATCTTAACCATACCCAGGATTTATAAAGGGATCCAATCAATAAAAATCCATTTTAGGGGTAAAAGTCATTTTTTACAAGCTAAAATTACCGTAAGAGTTGCTAGGTAAGGTGCCTTTTGAGCTGATTTGAATTTCAACCTGTTTTAATTTCAGCTTTTGTTGCCAATGAACTAACTTATGCAGAAAACATGGAAAAACTTGGCTCGGGTGCCCTGTCAAGAGAAGCTGAAACTGGCATTGGTAAGAACAACATTTGTTTTCTAAAAGGTCTTAATCATTCAAAAAGTCCTAAAGTTCTAGTATAAAGTAAATGTGAATTTCCACTTCATGTTATGAACAGAAAACAGAAAACGGTATATGGTACAAGCATTCACAAAATATATTTTGCCATTCATGAAAAATGGTTTGCTTACAGAACCGCTTTCCATTTGTGAATGTTGAAATCAAAGCAACCTTTTCCCACAGAATTCGTCCCATTTGATTTTCAACCAGTCACATTTGAGACATTACGCCATAATTTCAACGACAAGCTACAAATGTGTTTCATGCAGATTAACAATCATTCTGAAATATTTGAAATAGTATTCCCGGTCAAAAATTATCATATCTTAGAGATCAACCTTTTGCTTCCTTTCTTTCCTGAATTTTTTTACCTTTGTTCTTTTCTATTATTTCTTTCTTCTTTCACACTATAACCCTTCTTAAAATTAAAAAGCTCCATCAATGTTTCTTATTAACATACCTTTTCTCCTTCCTAGGCCATCTTTCTATGCAAAAAAGGCGTCATAAGAATTAAAAAGTTATAGGCCGTACTCTCCTTACCGTTTACCAGTTTCCTTTTTCAGTTTTACTTTTTCTGACCATATTGTCAAGTTTAGAAATCAAACGAGAGCAGTTCTAAAGTTTGAACTTTTGTTTAGTGTGATTATAAATTTTTTGGTAATTATTTGATTGTATATAAATATAGAAATCTATGAAAATACATAGTATTTTTCCATTCTGCAAGTGAGATTTTTATTCTTTATGTCTGTATTAAACATATTTGTAGATAGGAAATCGTGAGATTTTATGTTTATTTCATCGTAGGTACAGCCTTTCTGAAATTCTCTGTGATAACAAAGGTAAGATTTAATAGATAGATCATAAATTTCCAAAATAGTTAATTTGATGTACAGTCAGAGTATCTTTGTTTTCAAGCAAACGATTTAGCTGAAGGTTTTATATTTTGTATAAAGTTATAACAGGGTAGACATATTCACAGAATCTTTGCATAATGTTGTTAAAAGAAATTCTTTAATTTCTTCACTCTTTATGTTTTTGTCATGAATATGGGGACGTGTGAGCTAGGTGCTTACTTTAAGTTTTTACTATGGTAGCTCAAGATTTTCGATAGAAATATCATCAAAAGAAGAGGTTCAAATCATTTGCAGGATGTGTTAGATTTGACAACTGTTAACAATCAAACGCATAGAAAAGGTCATGTTGATAGACAACCCTACCCTAACTCCTTTCTGATTTATTATTTTTCAATCGTGAAATGATACTGTATTTGCTGTTTTCCAAAAAACCTGTCCTGCATCGAAAGGCTGCCAGAATTTGCTGAGCCACTAGAATTCCAGGGTTTGCCGTACATCTTGTTTAATTTCATAGGTGGGCTTGAGCAACGTAGTGGGTATCTGTGAGCCTGGGGCCAAATCTATACTTCCAGTGATTTTTTCTCCTTGCTACAATTTTCCTATGAAAATTTATGTTAATTTCATGAGATTATTGACAATCTTCCTTTTTTATTGTAGGAGCTTTCACAGATGACAAAAACCTTGGTGAGTTACCATGTCTTGAAATTTTAGACGGTCAAAAGATAAGCTGATCTTTTACAGAAAATCGTTTACTGTTTCTTCAAAATTTTTTTTTCTCAAAAGCAATTTAGTATTGGAATAATGAAGGGAAATGGAGTTGTCTATATGTTTACTGTATATATAGTACTTTCGGAAGGAGTTTCGCTTTCACCAGCAAGACGTTTCACTTATGCTTTCGACATTAGTGAACGTTTTTACAAAAGTGTACTCTTTATCTTATACGCTGCCTTTGAAAGTTTTTTATATACAAATGAATTGATTGACAAATATGTATATAAATATATGTGGGTCGTTGTAGATTGCACTTGAAATGTGACATTCTTAGTTGTATTGCACACAGACATTGTTTGAATGGTATCTTCGCTTATAAATATTAAAAGCATAGACATCACATTGAAGCAATTATGTCCTTAGCGACAGTAAATATTGTGTTGTCTTGCAGCATGCTAATTTCAGCAATATGGTTCTTTTCCCACTGGAATCCCTTCTACGAGGCGACATGAAGACGCTGAATGTAAGTTTTTATCTGGTTTTGGTCGGGCCTGGCCGTTTGAGGAGAGCCATAGCTCTTGCTCCTTTCCAGGCTCTCTACAGATTGCTCTCCTAAATTTATCTAAAAGCGAATTGTTTGCCTTAAAATCTTTGTTTCTATTCATATTCATGTACAAAACACTCGTCTGGAAATTACTAGGAGAGCTGTTTACTGCTTCCCTCGTGGAAATCTTATGGCCAGCCCTGTTTTTGTGCCAAAGTAGTTTATTACTGTGGAAGTCAAAACTTCCAGACGCGTTTGTCTGTTTGTTAGGCGTATTAAAGATTAGTGGCTCTTTTTACCAGAAGGTTGACGTATATATTGGAAAATGGTTCTCCCAAAAAATCAGCTGCATTGCTGAAAAAATACTTGGAGGAAATTTTTACATGATACGTTTCGGTTTTAAAGAGAGTGATAGGAGTTTCTAAGGATTTATTTAAAAATAAGCTTGTGCAAGGTGGGTAACAGCAGTTTGAAAAGCCGTGTGAACCATTTAATCGTTGATCGTTTTGAAGGATGTTTTATGAAAGCAATTTTTGTACTGAGTAATTGTGCAATAACATTAATTTCTAGGCCTGAATCTCCCTTCGTTGACTGTCGAAGCAAAAATGATTCGTTAGAACTGAATAAATTTTATCAAGATTTTTCTTGAGAGCTTTGGATAAATTGGTTTAGCTGTTAGCCGATAGGTTTTCGTCTTCTCAAATCGGCTATCCTCAAGAAGGATCTGCAAATTTCTTTATGATGCTCCTTTAAGATTTACTAATATGCAAGCTTGTTTTCAATGCTAAAAGTGATTCTATTGTTTCCAAATAGGAGGCATTTTATGAAAATAACGTTGAAGCACTTCAAACCAGGGACCGCGGAAGCGGGGAGGGGGGCTACTGGGGCTTTAGCCCCCAACAATTTCCAAAATGTACTTAAAACCATACATAAATCGCCCTACTTATGGTTGTTGCATGTTTAGCCCCCCCCCCCGAAACGTTGTAGCCCCCTCAATCTGTAATATGCTCCGCTTTCCTTGGTTCAAACTAGAGGTTTATTTTTGCTTTCGTTCAAGTTGTTTTTGTTCAGTTTTGTATCCTTACAAAGCCATCCTAAGCCTGGCTGGGAAACGATTTGGTGAAAGAAAGTTCCACGTAAAATCGTTGTTTGAATTTCTAAAATGATAAGAATCTAAATCAAGGTGGGATTTTGGTGAGAAAGATACAAGCCCTAATAGAGTCTATAAATGTTTAATGATATTGAATGATGAAGAGCGTTTGAAATAGCGCAATCACCCATAGCTACATTGCGAAATCAGTGTCCACCAGTCTTCGATATCTGGAGACACTGATCCGTTTGTTGTCGAGAAGCGCCCTTGTATTGAGCCAATCAGTGCTGCGCGCAGCTTTTTCATCATATACAGCATATGCTATTGCGAAATTTCTAAGCTTGTTTTTGAAAACACGCGCCGATCAAACGAAATGTTGTGAAGAAATGCCTGAAAATTGAGCGTTATGGCGTCACTGTTATTAGTCCTGTTTTGGTTTGTGATTTGCAAAGTCGTCGAAACTTGCTTTAACATTCGTCGAGACTGTTATATGCTCCCTAAAACAGAAAAAGATATAACCATGAGTAGTCGAAGAGAACACTAAATTCACACCATAGATATCATGGTGACCTTCAGGTTAAAAACGGTATTTAACTGCAGTTAAAGTGAAGTAATTGAAACCGCTACATCAAAACCTTCGCTCTGTTTCCATTCCTTTTGGCAATATTTCAATGAATAGGGTTATTATTCGAATGGGGGGGGGGGGGGGGGGGGCGAAGTCTTAATAATTTTGTTGAATCTTTAACTTAACCTAAATGTGTAATATTTTTATTAAAATTAGATCATTTCGTTGGAAATACTGATTATATGTCAAACATTTCTATGTACAGTAATTTTAAAGTACATAGCACATGAAAATTGTTTGCCAATGTGTCCAAAATTATCATGTTCAAATTAGTAAGAGTCGATTTAAATTCATGTAAAGTATAAGTTGATGAGCTGCCAAGGAATATTCGAATGAGCTGCCAAGGAAAAATATTCGTTTCGACAGGCCCTGGGCGCACTGAACAAGATTTCAGGAAATACTTTTGACAAACGTAAATCTTATTGTTCATAGACGACAGGGATTAAGCTTGTTAGTAGACAAACGCTTTTTTTCAGTGCCCCCACCAAAATTGCCACTGAACCAAATTCACTAATCCCTCAAAGGTTCCGTCGTCCTGCCCCAGAGGAGGACGAACTCTGGAAAACGGAACTGATTAGCAATTAACGCATTTTTTCGCGCAAGACAGTGCCTAAAGTCAAATCGTTCTTTGTTTTGAACCATTCTGATTTAACCAAACCCTTAGGCTCTGGCACCAAACACCAAACGACCATTTCACACACGAACTGCACTCCGTCTGAATTTTCCAGCGGAGATCGGATTATCTTTGTCAAACTTGAAAAAGTATTCTCGATTTTCCACTTTGACAAAAATAATGAGTTTTATGTCAGAAATCAATGCGCCCAGAGCTAAAGAGGAGATTATTGTCATTAAGTGTTGCTTCGTTAGCAATCATTTTTTCAAACTTGTCCGCAAATAAAGGATGACTCGTTAACTTTGTCGGCAAATGGGACCTGGAACAACCTCCTCCCCCTTTCCCCTTTGAGCTAAATAGCCAGCGAAAGCCCTAAGGAGATTTTAGATTTTCATGTATACATTGAACAAAACGATGAATTCGTTTCGATTCAATGATCTATGTGGATATAGAACGTAAATATAACACGTTTTTATTTGATTTTTTAATCTGTTTATCATAGTTAATAAGTATTTATACGCTTCAGGAACTTAAGAAACCTTTCGACGACTCATGGAGAGAACTGAAGGCGAAAGGGTATGTTTGTCTGTTTACTTATCTAATTCCGTCTTTGTCAGAATCATTCAAAATTAGGTGAAGTGTTGGTAACATTTCATGTCAATAAAAGTTCATGCTCAATGTTGAGAACAGTAATACCCCTTCAGTCATAGGCATTATGGAAAGAAATGATAAAAGTATCTTGATGCTGTGGAGCTAATGAACCAGCGTTGTTTATAGGTGATCCAGTTTGCAATTCTTTCCATTCCTTTTAGTTTTTTTAATAATTTCATCAGTGTTCTCTGTAGTGAAATAGTTGTAAATTTAGTCGGTCAGCTTGTAAAACAGTATTTTATCTACTCTACTGTTTGCTTATGCTCATGGATAAATGTTATTGAATGACGTTAGAAATTAAATGAAATTAAATTTGGGATGACATAATTGTAAACAACGACGAGCAACATTTCATTGAGTTGAGATATTTCCGTTTATGGTAGGCAGACAAAGCCATTTAGTGCCAACTCAGTTAACGACGTACTATGGAATAACTGAGGTTGGCACAAATGCTTTCCTTGTGAGTTTCTTAGAAACATAAACACAATAACAAAAGTAAACATTATACTGAAACGCAAAAGATCTGATACGAAGGAAACGTCTTCTTAACCTACTGGAAACTACCCACCGTGTTTTCTGAGTACACTCGATCTTGAAAAAATACTTTTAATGAGCTTTTCAAATAATCACGTGTGAGCCATTCATCAAACTTAACTGTACTTCATATGATAAACCGCCCATAAAGAGGATGGGAGTTGATATGTTCAACGCCATATTCTTATTAGTAAGATTACAAGAATATCAAGTTTTCTATGAAGCAAAAAATTTATATTTTGATAAAAAATTGACAAAAAGCACTGTATGATAAGTACGAGATTTTTTGCGTCGTATCTTGTGGAATCATCTGATATTATTTCTGACGTTCTCCAAAACTTGTTGAGCTATGTGGCAGTTTTTCTACTTGTTGCAAGTGACGGATTTTAGAGGAAAGGGTTCGGGTAGGTGGGGGAGGGGGCTGGGGTTGTTAGATTACGATTCTGATTTGATGTCACATTCAGGTTCCTAGAAAATGATATTTTTTTTAAAAAACTAAGAGCTTTTTGCTAATTACGGCGCATTCATTCTGAATCCAGTCGAATTACCATTGTTATTACTCAAAGGACGTTTCGATGAACGTTCAAATTCAGTTTAACACTGCTAAGCTCGGCCATCTCATTGCAAGACATGCTTATCGCTATATGCAATACATAAATCTTGGCCAACAACGTCTGCCATGTTACCATGTATATCTTTCAACTTAACTGTAAAGACCCTCAAAATTTCTTATAAATTTTCAACCCATGACGCAACGGAAAGGTGGGTGTTGGATGTCGTGCCGAGGTCTTGACCTTATCATTTGATTATTTTATTTTAATAAAAGTTTTGATCACGCCTAGGCCATCTTTCGTTATGATATCTTGAGCTGAAAGGATTTGCATGACCAAAATGAGTCACGCTATTGACCTTGCCCTCTATTTACGTAAAGATAAAGCTGATTAAGTCTTGATTAAACTGATGAAGCACACAACACTTTCAAGCATTATGTTTCTCTGCACTTGGTCTTACTTGTCTCTACCACCCAGACCTACGGATGTCTTCTTTCATAGCTTCAAGATTTGATCTTTGAATTTGAAATTCAAATCTTTGATCTCACTAAAACACACACACGCAACGCTTTTTGCATCAACATTTTCTCACATTTTTCAAAATTATCCTTCGACAATGTTTCTTGTCAAAATGAAAACCAAGCTCTTTGAAATTGAGCTTTGAAATCAAACTGCTATTTAATTCATTGTCTGATTTTACCTTTCAGAAATTTATTGTTCCATATTCCATTCAAGCATTGAAATTAGCCATATATGTTCTTGCTAACATTGCGTTTTTGTAGCATGTGATATTTAGAACTGCAGCCCTTTAATGTAGTTATTTGTTGTGTAGTTTATGTGGTTGAAGTCGTTGTCAGTCTTAATTAATTTCATTTTTAAGGGGATTATCACATCCTGTTCAGTGTATCGGCCTACATTTAAAGGATTCTTGTTAAGGACTCTTGCGCAACCGACATGCTTAGCGGCAGCTGTCTCGAGATAGTGACTGTGTTTTGTATTTTCATGCTGTACGATATCAGGCCGGTTTTATAATTATAGTCGCAAAGCATGCCGGTTGCGCGAGAGCCTTTAAGCTCACCGTTGAAGATGATGATATGTCACCGAGAACGTATTCATTCACATTGCGTCATACTTTACAGTGGAACCGACAGTTTGAGCCACTGTGCAATGTGCTTTGAAACCAAAAAGCTTTATTCTAGCACAGGTTCTAGAACTCTCTTGCTTTTTGAAACCCTTATATCTATGTTAGTATTGTAAACCACATGAAACCTCTGTTTCAAAAATCTCCACTGCCTCATATTCATGTTCTCAGTGTTTCTTAGCACTGCTGAAGCAATTATGTTAAACTGAGGGGCGCACTTTTTCCCTTCCATATCATTGACAAGAGAATTTGATACATCCTTGGAGAGTGTTTCAGTTGCCTTTGCATTAGAGATATTTCAAGAGATTCTTTCTCTATATTTCTTAAATTTAACAGGGGTTGGAGTTGTGTCAATGGGTAATAGAAATCCTATTGTTTATATAAAGTAATGACACCATATGCTTGGACTTTTTAATATCATCGTCAACTGTCTCAGCTCAGCAGGCAGGCCCGTCACTATAGGGGGCCCGTGGGGCGTGACGCTCCCCTTGAAAAATAATTTCATTGCAAAAACGAGAGTTTTTGCCAGCTTTGAGTAACTTGTCGGCTAATTTCCAAACTTGTCGGCAAATGCAGGATGGCTCTCCCAGTTTGTCGGCAAATGGGACATGGAAACCCCCCTTGAGCACAATATCTAGCGACGAGCCTGTCAGCAGGCATCGAATCGGATCCAAAAACTTTTAAGCTCTTTGAAGCCCTTAAGTATTTCTTTTTTAAGACCTCCTTGTTTGAGCTTTTGATTTTTCATTGAAGGAGCAAAGTTGAGAAAGAAGCTAGGAAGAAAACCCAAGAGATTGTCCTTTACAGAATTGACCCGCCTGAGGTACATGGTAAATTCTATCCCATATGTTGCCCAATTGGATATGAGCTATTATATTAATTGATTTTAGCAATATTGAACTCTAGTAATTTTAGCAATACTTTCCATTAAGGCGTTTTTATGATTCATAATGACACAGATCTGGGTTAGGCTGTTTGGAAAAGAGTCCTGTCCCAGTCGGCCGTAATGTTTTCAGCATAATTTTATCGATTTCTAAGACAGCCCATATTACCTTAATTTTTGGTACAGATATTACTGTAATATCCCGTCGATATTATCAGATAATCAAATCTCTTAATTTTAAATTGTAGTGTACAACCTGGATCAAAAACATGTTACCAACGATATTATGCTTTTCATCAGTTGTATTTGATTTTTCTTTCAATAATCTTCTCAAAATATGGTATTCATAAGTGGATAAGCAAACTGGGTGCTATTTGTGAACATCTGTAAAAAATAGTGACACGTTGAGGCGTTTTCATGATACTTTTTCGGTTTAACTTAGGCCATCTCCTCAGTACCATATTTATCAGCATCTCCAATAGCCAGAATAGCCGTGCTAAGATAGCCAGTTGCATTCATTCAATTTTGATTGAAGCCATTCATACCGTAAATCCTCGATTTGGCCCCCCCTCGAAAAAGCCCCCCTCGAATAAGTCCCCGCCCCATCCTAGAACTGCAAATTGTCAATAAGCCCCCCCCCCTTCGAATAAGGTCCCACTGCTACCGTATATTCTCGATTTGGACCCCTCAATTTGACGGTTTTTGCCGTCTGAGGTTGCCTATGGCGTTTTGTTGAATTACCACGACAAATATGTACTTTTGGTAGTAAGTAATTAAATGCTCATAAAGAAATTCCTACTAAAATAAACAATGTCTTTTAATAATGTCTTCTTATTGTCTACAATAATTTTATAAGCCCCCTCCTCGTATAAGCCTCCCCTCCAATAAGCACCCGTCCAAGAATATCAAAAATAAATAAGCCCCCATAGGGCTAATTCGAGGATTTACGGTATATCAAGTTTTAGGTTCTTAGTTCTGCCATCAATTGGTTATAGTAAGTTCGTTGATTTCCGAAGAAAGGCGTTTTCTTTTAGCCATTTTCTTTTAGGCCTCAGAGGAAACAGGAAAAGAACGAAAAATGTTTATGTATCAAACATGTGAGGTAATTTTCTTAATTTTTTGGTCCTTTTTGATGACCTACAATCAGTTTATTTTTGCATCTTTTTTTTCTCTTGACAACGACAGAAACATTTTTCTCAGCCTTATAAAATTCATTAAAACATATGCATGTACGTAACAAGCCATGCTCTTTCAAATTAAATCTGTACACTGTCTCATAAACTATTTACTTCATTCCAAATTGAAAACCCTTTCGCCTTAAGCTTTCAAGTATTCTACATCTCTCATATCTTTCTTGTTATCCATTTCCCTTAGTTTTTTAAATTCGCTGTTGTGAATAGAGTTCCAAGGAAATGACGTCATTAAGTCAATGAATTTTATAACTTTTTAATTTGGAGCGCATAATTGAAAGAGGAACATGAATTACCCGATACAGTGCAAAATCAGTTAAACGTGTTACAAATATTTTGGATTTTGTCACACTTTTGCTACTTTTGGTATCGTTGTCCTATTGTTGTCCCTTAGGTTTTTTTATAATTCTTTGTTTGAACTGAATTTTAGGTAACCCCAATTCTCCTCCACTGTTCGTTTTGAATCTACTTCGATAACATTGATAACAATCGTTCTCTTGAACTAAGCTTCCTTCAGTTTTTTCATTTTGAAATTTGTATCGTGTGCCTTTCTTGCTTTTAAACATGCCTCAATTTCATTTCACTTTTATAGTCTGCTTTTTTGGTGGCATTTCTTTTAAACTGAACTTCCGATCATTTTAATTGTCGGTTGATAATTGTTTTCATTTTCTATCAAAATTACGCTCCATTTTCCATTTAATAGTCCGGCTCTGGCATTGGTCTCATTACTCTCAAATTAACCTTCTGTATTTATTCTGGAAATCTTCATACTTGTTGTGCTATCTCTGATTTGAAGCACAATTTGACTTCTGGAGTCCTCTATTTTCCATAGTTTTACTTTGAGATTCTCTCATTACTGTTTTAGATCCAGTTATGTAACTAGACCTTGTAATCTAAACTGCTCTCCAGTTGACCTATTTTCACCTAAACTTTTCGCAGAGTATTTTCCAACCCCTTCATACTCCTAGGCTTGGTTTTCTGCCAAAGCGTGCTGACCTAGGTTAAATTTTTGCACTTTATAGTATGTATCTTTACTTTTTTGATATTTACACTTATAGTACTTGATAAAGGCGAATGAAGTCAAAATCAAAAAAGGAGTTGAACTGGTTCAGCATTTGATCGAATATTACCACGCACAGTTACAGTAAGTTGTCTTTATATGAATGTTATTTCATAGAAGTTGCGTAAGCGTATATTATTTTGAAGCAGCTGCATTAGATCTACGTTTGTGAGTCTACCAAAGCCCAAAAAGCTCAAGAAATTGTCAGTCTCACTGCTGATTTTCTTGTCTAACGTCTATGAAAACAACAGCTTTTCACTTTCCACGGCTTGTTTACATTGTTTCAGGAATATTAAAATTTTTGCTCTATTGGCCTAAGACTTATTTTATTTAGTTTCCAATCAATTTGTCTATTGGCCTAGTGGCCTAAGGCTATCAAAAAGTCATTATTTTCAAACTAAGTCGTCGCTCGTTTTTCTTCCGAAAAAGAACAGCTTTCGACACCTTTTAGCAACATATGTTTTACCAACCACGCTAACATTTTAACAGCCAGTCTTCTTTAAGTTAAATGCTTGTTTACAAAGTCAACCAAAATGATAGGTAGGTCACGTAGATGGAGTCATATATAAGGAATCGCGCAGTAAATGCCAGGGCTAAAGTTTATTCCCGTAAAGAAAAACCCATAATTTTAATTGTTGGCTGTCGAAAGCCTTTTCTAGCCTGACCAATCGCAACGTTTTTATGACAAAAGGCATTGTTTTTGAAATTGCAGGTTGTTCTTCATACCAAATGTAAAAAGTCTTTAGGAAGTATTTTGTAACAAAAAACAAGAAATCTGAAGCCTTCTATGATGACTTACTTGTTCTATGTTAGTTTCTATATATCTTTGGGTCGCGTCGTTATGTTTTTTAGATTAAGTTGTTTGTACATTATTTAACCTTTTTGCCTATCGATTCACCTAGATATACCGCTGTATCTAAATCTAGCCGATCAACTGGCGGCAGTTCTGATGAAACTTTTACCTGTTGTCGGGATATTTTCTTGTATTGTTCAGAGATCTCCATAAAAACTTGAATTATTTTGATAGCTTTATGAAGGTCCGCTTCAAAGCGTGATTTTTCCTTTCCAGAGTGAATGTATGGGACCTGTAACTAGTTTCAGCTTGTTCTTTCATTGGGCTATAATTATCTCTGATTATTCAATATGTTTCAAGCAACACCTTATTATCGGCTGTACATTGAGACCAAACGGTACCAAGGCCTACACATTGATCATCAATTTTTTATTGCAATCTATTAAGCGAGAATTAATCCACTTCTTTAATGCTCATAAAATTTACATGTCCATAATCGCTTGAATTACAGCCTTGGTGTTGATCGAGCGTTGTTGCCACGCGCGAGGAAGATTGTTTTTCTTCAAAAAAGCATATCCCAGTCTTTTTGTGGGATCGCTTACAGATGTCTAGAAATAATTCCCTGTCATGTGCTATCAACGTGTTTCCGCCACCAGAGCAGCATTTGTGAAGACCAAATTGATAACTGATGTGAGCTGAATGTGGAATGACGTTCATCATAGTTTATTGTACTTACATGAATTATATATATAGAACTTCTTTTATAATGCTTCTTACAACACCTCATATCTAAACCCAGCAAGATTATTGATCTGTTCAAAGAGCAAAACAAAAGCAGACCCCCAAGCAAATACTTTCCAGGTGATATTTTAGTACAAAATCCCCTCCTCTAGATACAAGTTTTATTTAGTTAATTTACTTCATAAAAAGAGCTTTCCAATAGCAAAGCTGCTTCTTGCAAATTTTTTTTCACTGCGGCAGTATTGATATTATTGACCCGTTTAAAACATCAACATTCTTAAGTTTTTATTCCCATAAAATGTTCCTTATAACATACGTAGGTTACAAGACGATGCTGCAGGGAACATGGAAATACATAGCAACCCTGCGACTATACCTTTTAACGTAACAATTCAACACTAAATTTAAATTTAAACATTGAAGTTCACATATTACAAATGAAAATTACAGACAGCAACAGACACAATTGAACATGCTTTCAACAACAACTAATCAAAATCGTTGTGAGGCACAAAAGTCGCCAAGAGAATCTACGTATCTCAAAGTCGCCTCGAGAATCTTCGGACCTCAAAGTCGCCTCGAGAATCTTCGTATCTCAAAGTCGCCAAGAGAATCTACGTATCTCAAAGTCGCCTCGAGAATCTTCGGACCTCAAAGTCGCCTCGAGAATCTTCGTATCTCAAAGTCGCCAAGAGAATCTACGTATCTCAAAGTCGCCTCGAGAATCTTCGGACCTCAAAGTCGCCTCGAGAATCTTCGGACCTCAAAGTTGCCTCGAGAATCTTCGTATCTCAAAGTCGCCAAGAGAATCTACGTATCTCAAAGTCGCCTCGAGAATCTTCGGACCTCAAAGTCGCCTCGAGAATCTTCGGACCTCAAGTCGCCTCGAGAACATTCTTAGTTCAATATCAAGGATAAGCAAGTCGATTGGCTCTTGGGTGATACGTTTTCTGACAGCTCTTATTTGTATTCAAGATCTTCTCGTAATAGAAAGCATTTCCAGTCTAGGATCATGCTTGAATTCTAGTTTACACTCATCATAACTAAGAACAAAGTTGGGAAATCACTTCTATTACTTTCTCGCTCTTAACATGCTCTATATCATGAGGGAGTATTTAAAAATAAAGATCTCACAAATCTTAAGGTAAAGAAAGTTATTTTTGAAAATGTGAAACAAGGTGTCATGAAGATCACAAAGCTCCGGTATTTATTGACTCTAGAATGTAACAGCTTTTCACGAATTATAGCTGAGAGCCACCTGGGACAGCTAACTTAATATGCTAGAATTGTAACAAGAGATTGCATTGGAAGAACCTACAGTTACAGAGATGACAATGTGGGTACAAATGTTTCCTGATTTTCGTTTGTCTCCTGTTTAAGATGGGGTAATCAAGTTTCCAGGCAGTGTCCCTTTAGGGAAGGCTTTGAAAACGGACAAGGCGTTACGTAATTACCTACATTTGCCCTGTATCGTGGGTGATTTCTTACTAGTCCCTGCTTGTTTTGCAAAGCCACTGGTTCAATGAAGAGAAAGATGCTAGCTGTTCTGCTTTATTTTTGCATTTTTACCTTTTCTGTCTGAAAATTCTGCTTCTGCGTGAATTTTTTATTAGCTATGTTTACAATTCGGACACCTCGATGCTTCCTTCAATTAGTATGAAAACTATTCAAAATCTTAAGTGTTTTCTACAAATTTCGGAAGTGTTCAGTAGAGAAACGAACAGATTTTGTGTATTTTCATCTTATTTTGATATTTTGGAACAAAAATACACTCGAGCACTGTATCAGTATCTTCAATTAACCATGATCAACCTTGTAAATGAGGAAAGATGAAACTTAGCTCTTTTTAATAATTTGCTTGAAATGCATCAGCGTAAATAATCGTACGTTCTTATTGTACATTGGCGCCCTATTCCCACCGCTAATTTGAAGAGTCCGTGAGCCTTCTGCTAAAACACTGCTGTGTTCAACGTTAACTGCACATCATAAGACCAACCTCCCCAAGTCAAGTCAAACAGTGTTTCGCCCTTAATCAGTTCTTAAAAGCTTTGTAATACTTTATTTTTTGATAGAAATATAGAGAGCACAGTCAGTTTTCGACAATCTTTCTGTATGATATGCCGAACACATGCTTTGTTTTGTAGCGGATTGCTCAGGAAGATTGCCCAACTATTAAACGCGATATGGTTTGAAAAGCTTTTCGCCCATGCTTTCTGTTTTAAAGTTTGATGTGGCATGGTTCTCCAATGTGGCTTCCTTTAAACTGTTTTTTCTCGTAACGTGGACGAGCAGCTGGTCACAGTTTCTTCACAAGCAGACTCGATTCTTTGCACTTAGAATTTGATTGCTGTTAATTTCTTAGGCGTAGGAAAAAAGACACTTCCTTTTACTTTAATTACGGGAAATCAGAATTATCTTCTTTCTTCCCAAATAAATGTTGGTTTTTTAGTTCCACTATCTGTGAACCAGTCGTAGAAAATCAACACGATACGAGAGGATGTCTTAGGCTCTATTTGCAAATTTGGAAAAAACTACGTTTCATTTTCAAATTTATTTATATGGGACAAAACTGAAAAAATGCAACTTTGATTGAGTTTGAATTACCCGAAATCAGTAGTTGCCCCCGTGATCTAGAAAATGACAAAAGAAATCTAAAAATGGAAAAGGGGTGAAAACGATCCTTAGTATGTGGAGAGGCTCGTCTTTAAACGCTCTCCAACATGTTACCGAAATTAGATGTGGATAGAACGAAATATAATCTCGTATAAAACGTGTCTTATCATGTAAATTCAGTAAACTTTTAGTCTTCAGTCTTTGTGCAGAAGGTGTGTTTTGTGGTAGATTCTCCTAAAAACCAAATCTTCAGTCTTCAGGTTTTTGCATCAATACTACTGAAAGGAGTGATCTTAAAAGACTTGGTTTTTTATCAACAAATCTGTTTCGGCATCAAATATTCACATTAAATATGCCGAAACGTTATATTTTGCTTTTCGTATTGCTGAATATCTAGGTGCATGTGCTAATGACATGTAAAATCGATCTTTGTACACGTGCCTACAAAGATAAGAAAATTGTAATGAAGAAAACAACGACGAAACATTCTATAGAATTTATTTATTGGTCGAATTGAAAAAAGCGATAAAAATGGCGATAAAAATGGCGATAAAGATGGCGATAAAAATGGAAGATAGCAGTGTTAAATGGGCCTTCTTTTTTCGATCATGTTTGTGCTCGACATTCAGTTTATGCATATCCTCCCCCAGCCTCTCCCCCCCCTCCTCGAAGTGTTAAATATTTACGTTTGTAAAAATGGTTATACAAAGATAATCGCAATGTCTTTGTACAGTGCTGCTTTTTGTCTTTTAAAGCTTGATTCGGATTGCGCATGTGTAAATTTCGTTTATAATTCTTCAGGTATTTTCATTGTGGAATGGAGTTACTTGAAAACATGCGTGGCTATTTCGATGGACTTGCTGGAGAGCTGCAGCAGGTAGAAATCATTATTTTCAAAAATGTTCGCCACCCTATCACTCCTAAATTTGAAAATTTTCGTTATACCTAAACAATTATAATCTAAACTTCATCATATTTAATCATACCTGATTTTAACAAATTTTCACCATAACTAATTTTAAGACATTCTGTCATTTCTGATGTGAAGAAATGTCATTTTATCTAAACGTACCAGATTTTAAGAAGTTCCGTCAAAACTTGTTTTAGAAATTTTTATCATACTTGATTTTAAGCAATTTTTATCAAACCTCATTTTTAAAATTTTTCGTCAAATTTTATTTTAAAGAATTTCCACATAACTAGAAATTTTCATTATAAGTAGTTTTAAGAAGTTCCGTCTTGTCAAATCTAAAGAAGTTTCATCATATCTAATCATACCTAATTTTAAAGAGTTTCTTCATAACTTAATTTGACTATTTTTCATCACAACCCTTTCTCACTGCATAAGTTGGTTTTCATAAAATAATAACATCAGGAATCGTCAAAGTGACGACCTAATCAGATTGTTATAAATTTCGGTATGCTGAGTTATCGTTTGTTCTTACTTAGCTAAAATAACATTTATTGTCTTCAGTATTCAGCCGAAGAATAGAATTCAATAATATTTTAAATCGACAAAAGGGAATTAGATTAAACATATTAACGAATACTAAGTCCTGGCACTATCCTTTAACAAAAATAGGAGCAAAAGGGATTTTTCTTTGGAAACAGTAACCTATATCATTTCTGAGGGCACTAGCCCCCCTGCCTCCCCTTGAGAACAACAGTTGTATGATCTTAAATTGCTAAGCAATTGCATTTACTGTTATTACAAACAGTAATAAGCAAAAGTTAGCATTTCAAAGATAGTTTTGTTATGCTACTGTAGAAAGTTTCAAAATATTCTACCAATTAGAGCTATAAAAATGCATTGCCAATTTTCTTTGATATTCACGAAAACATTTTAAACAATGTCATTCTTTCTAGCTTCGATCGCAGCAAGATGAGGAGCGAAAAGTTTTACTGGAATTAAAAACACTGCTAAAAGGCTCTATGCAGGCTGAAAAATCTGAGGTAAGGCGCAAGGAAATTGTTCGTTTTTTCTTTTAATTTCCCCCAAGTAACTACAATAATACTTTAAAAAAACTCCTTAAGAAAATTAAAAGTTTGAATTCTTATCCAAAAAATAACTTTGGATTTCAAACTGTCGGATGTCAAACTGTTGGATGAAATATTTTATGCAAGACAATGGATCTTTCCTTTTTTCCTTGAAATCTCACAAGTTTACGAAATTCTTCATTTATTTGCGTGGAAGATAACGTCTTGTTGTCTTGATTTAGAGAAAAACGACAAGATTCTTGAATTGTCCAAAATTTTAGGTTGTTTTTTCAAAACGTAAAATAACGAGATTAAGAGTGTGTAATCATTTTTTCATATGATAGGCAAAGTCATAATTATTCAGTGATGTTATCGACCTAACAAAAAGAGTTCTCAAGTGTGACGTCACAAAAAACTATTTTTAGAATTTTCAAATTTTGACCACATAACATGAAAGAACGCCAAAAAATAGTCCCATGTTTGCAAATCAGTTAAATGCGTCAAAAATCGGGTGAGCTATGGCCAATAGAAGATTTGAAGTTTGCTAACGGATCACTGTTATTTAGGCTCAGTTCATAACGTTATGAACTGAGACCAAATTACATAGGTTTGATGGGGCCAAAGCTTGTGCTCATCAGGACATATCTCGGCCAGTTTGTAATACCTTGAACTGATTTTGCAGATTTCGAGGTATTTCTTGATGCATTTTCAGGTTAAGGGAAGAAATTTCACAAATTCTAAAAATAGATTTTTGTGATGTCATCACTTGAAAACTCTATTCAAATAGAAGCTCTTTTCAGTGACAGGGATTTCCCAGAGACTTCCCTTCGTTTGTATCGATTACATGACCGCGGTGGTTCAATCAAGAATTTATATTTCTCTTTTGGCGCCAAAAAAGAAAGTATGAGACTCCATGGACTGTGTATGCCACAACCTAGCAAGGGTAAATGGGAGCATTCTCCAGACATTCAGCTGGGTATAATACGATGGGCAATTAGAGTGGCAAAAACTGATCTGGGCAAAAATTTACGAAGACCCCTATATCTGCAATAATTTTTGGCCAATTTTTTGTTACCTATATTGAGCATCAGAAGTTTTCTATTGTAACAAATGGCTGGCAGCAAAGTTTCATATCTGCATTGAGGTTTTTACCAAAAACGGCTTGTGTACGCATCTGGTAAAAGAAAATATTGTCTTAACAGGGCGACAAAAAAACTGTTTACAATCTTCATGGACAGCAAGGGGATCGAGATCACGGGACAGAGAAAACAGGAACTCTGTTTAAAAGGAGCGAAGGGTTTGTGTCTTTTATCTAAGCTTTGCAAGATTGAAAAGGGGAAATGTTTACCACCTTTGCTAATTTTTTTCCCTTTTGGCGAACTTTTGCTTTAAAAGTAAGCGGTATCCAAAGCAACCTTTAGATAAGGATTATCTAAGCTTTAGAAATTGCTTTCTAAATTCTGTTCCCAAGCCGAGAAAGCCTGTTAAAGATTTTCATTTGCAAAACCAGGGTTAGAAAGCAGTGGCAAAAACGATACGTCGTGGTGAAGAATGGACAGTTTTCAATGTCACACACTTCGGTATGTGGAGAACTTTTCAATCCCTTACTGAAACTCTTGTTTAACTGAATTTGTATCTTTTAGGTAGTATGTGCAAAGTATCAGGTTAAAAAGTCATGGCACGGTTTTTATGCCTTTTCCTTCAAAGTGGATCTCCTTTCGTCCTTATGTTTGAAAACAAATCTTAGGATTTGTAATTATTTGCCTGCAGGAGAATTGCATATCATATTGTAGAGGAAACTGTTCCGAGTTCACCTGTCCACATGTCCATGTTTCTGCAGTCCTTTTCTTACTGGCATTATTCGTTAGGACTGAGACGGTTTGTTTTTAGCATGGGAAAGCAGAAAGATGGCATACTAAAGTACTTTTAGTAGTTGTTTTGCTTGCAGAAGCTTTTCACAAATTCCACGTCCATTTACGTCATCATTCTACTTTGAAAAAGCCAACATTTCCACTCAAGTTGATATAATTTAGCATAAGGTCATCACCTCAATACCTCTTACAATATGACACAAGTAGGTAACTATTTAGCTATCTTTACGATTCGCAATCAAATTAATGACAGTGTTGTATGCAACTTTGAAATGTAATGTCTTTTATTGAAATATATACAGCATGTCTAGCCTGGAAATTTATCCTAGCTTATTCGCGGGAACATAGTCACTCAAATCATTCAAGCAGCCCCCTAATCATACAAAATTTATGGCATTTCAGGCTCCATTTGACCAGTTTCAATTCTATTCAGTAAAAATCTTCAGGCAAGATCCACGCTAAGCCGCCCTAAACGTTGGACATCCAATACGGCTATGTATCATATACACATGTTTAGTCATATTGGTCCTACACCCTGAGCCTGCCATATATATTGGCTCAGCTATTCATTTATTCCTTAATAAAAGACGTGTTCTGTTGCAGACAAGTGCACGAACAGTTACCCTGAATCTGATGACTTGCCAAGCAAAGGTAGGATTGCTGAGTTTCTTCAAAGACAGTTTTTCATGTCTTTCAGATTCGAAAACTGTAACTAGTTGATCAAATACAAACTTGTATGAGAGGTTTCACGCTAATACCACCAACATTTCGTTTGTATGATGTTATTAGGTTTTGTAACGTGGCCCATAAAATCTATTTCCAAATTTGCCCCTATTTGGATCTAAAGTTCCTGATAATTTCTTCTTTATTAATGGAAATGTATTTGGGAAAATTAATGCATTTTTGCTCAAACCGAATGTTTTCTGTTGTTTCAAAGCAATTGCTCTTTCTATATTCCGTTTTACTATGACATCACACTAAAGCACTTCTCGTTTTACACTTTTGGGTCATACGTAAAATTCAGGAATTTGTTGTATAATGTTTGTAGCAATCCTTCGCTTGTTAACTTCTTGAAGTATACAATAGAAGTAAAAAAAATTGCTTCCAGAATATATATCTCAGATGCAAAAGGCGGTCATTCTATTTTCTTCGAAGTGCTGTTGCTAGATCACAATTTTTTATCGTTGTTTAGAGTAAGCCGCACGAACATACTATGTTAAATATCGAGTGTTTTAGTATAGTCTTCGAAGTGAGGAGTTGCTTCTCGCGTCGAAAATCACTGAACACCTAGCCACAATGAAAATCTCACATCTGTTTAAGACGACAAATTTGTAATAGGCAATATATCTTCGGGTGATTGTAGGCATATCATGGATAATCCATTTAACAAGTTCCCTCTTTTTGTTACAGTATTCAACAGAGAAAGATACAAAGAAAAACGTTTTTGCTCTCGTCGCTCGTACGTGCACAAAGATTTTTTAATTGCTTTTAAACCTGGATTTATTTCTCCCTAAAAGACTCGTAAACGTGGATAAATTTGACGAAGGTTTACAAAACCTATGAGTTATTCCTTTTTTATTCTTGTTTTTTTAGATTCTTATTCTAAATTCAAATTTAGATTTAACAGAATTGAACATTTATTTAATAAATTATTGTTTGATATTATTTGTTTGGTATACATGTTATTTGATTGCTTTGCTTTTTTAGAGAACAGAACATATCTTTTTCAAGCTGAGGATGAGAGCGATTGTGAAGCGTGAGTATTAAGAAGAATCGACGAATATTATCTCTGAAGAAATTTGTGAATATTGTAGTACATTCTGCCATGGCTCGCTCTGTAATGGTCAGTCAGTATGAAAGTATGTTGTACCCATTCCCTGTAAAAATTCCAAGTAACTAGGGTCTTTGAATTCCTACAGTCATTGTACATTTTTATACACTTAAAAGTACAATAATTTCTTGTAGTTCTTGCATAATTTAATCAAATGCTACAAGTTATAATGCCAGATATAAAAAGAGCAACATGCCTTTTGTACCCTAAGAATTGTGCCCAAGTTCACTTCAATTCTTGTTTTTTGTGTGAATATATTTGCTTAGATTAGCAAACGGTAGGGAGCTTTTTGAGTACAAAGCTCTTAAGTGTGTCCAAATTTCATTTTTAGGTGGATATCAGTGATAACCAACGCACGAGACGAAGCTTTGAACAAAGCATTTGGTGATGGCGATGAATCATTGGTAGGTACATTTTCAAAAGAAATTGTTCTATTCCCGTATTCTTGTTAAGGCTGTGTTATTGTTGAGTCTCAAATTTCAAAATGCAGTATTATGTTATGCAGCAAAGAATATTGAACGACAAGAAACTCATTCGTTGGCATTTTGCTGCGGTTTGATAGGGGAAAATATATTTCTGTGCGATCGATACAGCTATTAACCCTGATGTCTCAGTATTAGTACAAAATTATACAGTAACACTTATCGCTGTACGATTTGAAGCAATACTGCATGATTTGATAATATATATGTAGTGTTTTGCCAGGCTATATTGTGCAGTTTAATACTATGCATTAATGAAATAAGGATGGTTCCATTATTAATTGAACTTACATTCTATTTAATTTCGCCTATTCTTGAACAGTCCAAAGATACCAGCTCTGTGGCAAGAAGTCTTAAAGAGGTAAGTTTGATTTTTTTGTAGATTAACTGGTTTAAAAGACGACCATTTATTAAAAGAAGTATTTTATTGCTCAGCTAATTTTCCTAGTTTTAATTTTCAGATCGTTTTTAACTTGGCTAATCTTTAGTATATTATTCTGTAAAGCATTAAGTATTCCACTTCGGAGATTGATTCCTAGTTAATTTTTAAGCAGGCGTTGACATATAAGGTTACTAAGTAATGCCGATTTGCTTTCGTGGTATATTATAAAAAATATGAAATACAAAATAGGTGATTTCATAGAATTTCATTTGTGAGCCAAACTTGCCTTCTTTATGTAATTCGTCATTTTAATCTATAGCTTTAACTTTCTTAAGACTTCTAAAATGTAATTTTACTCTGTTTTAATGTTTACTTGTCTGTCACAGCTTACCGAAAACATTGTAGCAGAAGTTAAAAAGGTAGCCGAAAATGATATTTGTGTCGACTGTGGTGCGGCAGGTAAAACATCTAATTCATTGTTATCTGTTAGTTCTTTTTAAAAGAAACATCTACACATGTTAGTTCTTCTTTTCTTTAACTGACTCAAAATTAATTTTCGCAAAAGTGATTATCCTTAATTCTCAATTATCTTCGGTACGTGCCTCATCGGTTTCTTTTATTATAGATATTTCTTTATTTCTTTAATCAGACCCAACATGGTTTTCCACAAATCTTGGCGTGCTAGTATGCATAGAATGTTCTGGGATCCATCGAGAGATGGGCGTCCATATTTCAAGAATCAGATCTTTAACACTGGATAAGTTAGGAACTTCAGAATTGCTGGTAATGTATTACTTTTTGATGATACTCAAATTTTAAAAGCTAAGATAAATCCTGGAGCGTTTGTAGGAAAGTTGTCATGTCTTAAAGTAAATCTATCGCTCGTTTGAAGATGGATAGCGTTCATAAATATTTCACTCTTGATGTTTTCACTTAATTAATTAAATATTTTTAGATCATCAAACCTTTGAAATCGCTTAGTGTTAAAATCAAATCAGAAGAAGCGGTAGATACCCTTATTAAGCGGTAGATATTTGCCCGCGCTTTGTATACGCTCTCTGTCTCTGGTGCAAAGTCTGATATTTTTTTCTTACAATTGTTTAGTGCTTGCTCTGTCAAAAAATAACATTTGCTGAAAAATTCATCAATAGGAATCCTGTTCTAATGACTGAATGGTTATATTGTGCCTCATCAGTTTCTTGTTTTGGTTACTCAAAGTTTGGCCTAGGCCTTAAAAATGGTGACGGATTTGTACCGCAAGTGGAATTTTACAGTGACATGGTTTTTACCATAAATACAGAGTTAAAGTTCACCGAGTTTACAACCCATACTGTTTCTGCTCTCGTGAAAAGATTTAATATATCCCTAATTGAATATATCCCTAAAAATTCAAGTCCTAGTTCCTTTTCTGCCCATCATTGTTTGTTTCATGAACGCTCATGCGACAGTCCAGTCTCTATGATCGGAAGCGATTGAACTATTCGAAATCATCAAGAAAGATTCAGACAAGTGTGAAATAAAGAAAAATGATGAATTTTTGACCCTGTGAGCACTTTAATGCCTAATCCTTTACAAAAAATAAGAAAGTTCTCGCAGTGAAAGAAAGAATCGAAAGGATTTGTTCTATTTTCTGTTACTCGGTGACATTTTGCAAGTGGATTCTTCAGTCTTTCTGACGTAATTCTTTTTCTTGCGCTGCAAATAACAACGTTTAGTAATATTTGGTGTTTTTTCCAGCTGACGAAAGCCGTTGGAAATGGTGGTTTTAACGAGATTATGGAAGCCGATTTAGATTTTGTTTTGAAGCCAACACCTACTAGTAAAATGTAAGTGTAAAAGTAGAATTATCCCTCACTTCAGAGTTTTTAATCACTTGAGTCTTGTAATAGAACGACAGTTTTTACAAATTTTGTAGTATTTTATTGGATTGAGACTGATTTGAATTGGATATTTAGCGTTTTTGTTTCAACTTTCCGAATAACCTGCTGTTAGCAACTTGAAAATAGATTTAGCTAAGACTTGATTTGCTCAGTTTGAATTTAAACAGCGAAGAAACAAAAGATCTGCTTACCGAGTATCGAAATTTTCACGCTTGTTTTCTCGTTTATTTGCAACTTTTTATGTTATTGCACCCATGGAAGGATCTGTTCCGTATTATCAAGAAGCTCTGTATTGAATACCCAGCGTCTTTTCCACTAAAATGATCCCATTACTGTTGGAGTTTACAAATCATACACAGTTTTACAGTTTTTTGCTTCAGATCGAATGTCACTCTTTTACGTGCCTACACATTCATATCAAATATAGTCTATTAGATTTTGTTCTTTTGTAGAATTCATTGCATTACTATCTTGTACAGATTTTGATTCTGCTTTTTATGGTCGATGTGGAAAAATCTAATTTTATCTACATTGATTTTTGTCTTGGTGTAAACAAATCCTGAACTCCTTTTTAAAAAACATCCTTGTAGGAACTAGGCTACTGTTTAATTTTGCCTATTTAATTTTGATTATAAGGGTGTATTCAAGGACCGTTTAAGCAGTATTGACGATGGTTCTAGGCTTAACTGGTTCTCTTTTTATCCGCATTTTTATCCGTTTTGCTGATTTTAAGTTGCACTTTGTTTCACATCAGGGAGCAAAGAAAAGAGTTTATTCATGCTAAATATATTCAAAAGAAATTTGTACACAAAACTGAGAGCCCGCCCGAAGTCTTACTACAGGTATCAGAAGTATTTTTCATCTTCCTCTCCTTAGAATCATACATTTTTTGTCTATCTTTCATCAGCGTCGATTTTGAATTGAAAATCATTATTGTCTTCACCTCTTTATAATTACTGTCTAAGCCTGTATTTGTCTCATTTTTCTTCCAGCCTTATTCCATTTAATCGTGTTTTAATTCGAAGAATGAGACATTATTCTTCCAGCAACTGTGATAATGCTTCTTACCTTCCGGGTGTCCTGTTAATTATAAGGCGACTTGAGAGGAAGCAAGATTGATACCACTGAATCTTTTATCCAATGTCCCCTTTTGTGTACTTTTAGGATTTGAACCAGGCTGTTGGGAATAGAGATATCCTTGCTGTCTTACAGTTATACGCACAAGGGGTTGAACTGTCGAAACCTTTGCCAGATTATGTAGGTATTCACGCACTGATAGAAAGATGCATTTATTATTTACACGTTTATGTAGCTTCATAATTATTTTAGCTTAAATTATAATCTTCATTCTATATATCTTGTTGCTTTGCCATCTTCAAATGTTGCTACTCCGTTCGTATGTCTAACCTTCTGCGCTTGCAGTCTCTATAAGAATTTTATTACTGTAGTTTACATCTAAAAACCATCTTTTCTTGTTTTAAATATGTCATTAATAGCTCCTACCTTTTTTCCTCTTTCAAGACTTTTCAAACTCTTCTACCATCGCTAAATGTTCTTGAAAATATGCTAAACATAAACAAATGGAAACAACAAAAATTGATTTGAAGAAAACGCCAATATTTCATTCTAGAATTTTTGCTGATTCTTCTGCTGATTTTTGCTGATATATAATCTACTGCTGATTCTATTCGAGAAACTTCCAGTAGTTTTGCAAAATTTCTTGCCAAAATTTTGAGTAAAATTTGTATGCTGCTTGCTTTCAGATAACTCATGCACTTTTTTGAAAAGCTCTCAGGGTTTTTGTATTTTCCCTTTTTAAAATTGTTTTTAGAGTTTCTATCCTTGGTATCAGATCATTGTTTCTTCTGGCTTTAGGAGGCACTAAGTGTGTAGAACATTTGTGGTGAATTCATATGCAGCAAAATTTCTCTAAACGGTCTCTTTGAATTCAATCAAAAAAACTATTTCTATTCCGCCATTAAACTGAGATGAGTGTAGTTAACATGATACTTTCTTGTAGAAACATAATGGCACTGCTTTACACCGTGCTGTTGAACAGGAGGATCTTACATCACTTCACTTAGTCGACTTTCTTACCCAAAACAGGTAAAAATCATTGCGAGATAGCTCTAAGCAACTCTTGTATACCGGGGCGAAATGTCAGTTAAAGTTCATTTCAATTTATCGTGTTTGTTGTTGTCTGTTCTCGGTGCGTTGTGACGTTCCTTGTTTTCATCTATTTATATACGTTGCTGCAAGTATTTCGGAGTCTGTCAAGCAGTTTTGGTTCCGTGACCTTTTCATTTCATTCATGCAAATAAGTTAGTTTTATCTTCACATCCATCATTCTTACATGCAATTTACTATTTATGGTTATCTTTTCATGGAATTTTGAAATGCAGGACAAGAAGTATATGTGATCAGGTAATGGCCAATTTGGCTACTTTCTACGAACTAACTTTATTTTCAAAAGCATTTATTTTCTCCCTATCCAGTAGTAAGATCGATGTTCAGAATACGGAGGGGAACACAGCACTTCATATTGCGACTATTCTAGATAAACCAGAATGTGTGAAGCTTCTGCTTCGTGGTGGCTGTAAAAGCAGTATAGGTAAGTGATTTGCCTAGATTCTTGGCTTAAGGGTTGACATCGCTTTTGGGATTGGTTCCTTGCATTTCATTGGAAAAAACAGAATATCTACTTTTTAATAACATTTATCTGTATGCCACGTCTAATTAAGCTATCATCGTTTGGCGCCAGCTTCCTGATATGCATGCATTTTGATGTTCTTTTGAGTGGGCCAGCCCACCCGATCGCATTGACATGTAGATTTTTCATTGAGCCTTCCGCGGATCCCACCTGTCATTTGAACGCATCTCTGCTAATTTGGCAGACAGTCTTAAATCAACTTTGGTTGATACATAGAAGTTTATCACCATTGTTTGGATCGTCGCCTGGACCATTTGCCACGCAAAGGCTCATTGTTTGCAACGAGTCTTTAAAATGGAATGTATACAATCAACGAATCTAATTTTAGGCAAGCTAACCCGTATTTTGAACTCACATCATATCATTTGACTTTTGACTAAGTTGATAATACGATAACGTCGTTAATATTTGCAATCGATCAAACCGATACCGCAATTTTTCATATTAGCCCCCTGAGGGCTTGTTTGATTAGGCAAGTTTTAGATGAGGGCTTATTCGAGGGGGCTTATTCCAGGTTGAGGCAAATCAAAAATGTTTATTTTCAGAGTCGGGGTATATTCAAGGGGGCGGTAGGGCTATTTCTCGGATTTTCTGGTTTGTTTATTTGCTGTTCTGTATTCTAGATTAATTTAATTTAGTCAGTTTCTCTATAGCTGTGTGATATATAAGATTGTTGTGGCTTCGCTTGAGCATAGAAAGTTTGATATTCAGCTACTGGTTGTGTAATTTCATTAAAATTGCATTTCTTTTTTTAGTTAATAACGAAGGAAAGGTTTGTCTGTCAATCGCCACTGAGAGAGGATCAAAAGAAATAATTGAACTTGTGAGTACAATTGCTTGCTACTTTTCAAAACATTTCGTATCAAGATAGGATCTACCTGATGTGAGTCTATATTTTGCCATCTTTCAGAAAAATTATCGTTTAAGAGTTGGTAGCCATTATGGGCCCTATCCACTGACTTATTTTTAGAATTTCTGAATTTTGATCCCAGAACCTGAAGAGTATCATGAAATACCTCTAATTATGCAAAATCAGTTAAAGGCATTACGAAATTGGCTGAGATATGGCCATATGAGCACAGGCTCTTGCCCCGTCAAACCTCTGTAATTTGGTCTTGGTTCATAACTTTATGAACCAGGCCAGAATAACAGTAATCCGTTAGCAAGCTTGAAATCTTTCATCGGCCAGATCTCGCCCAATTTGGAACATATCTAACTAACTTTGCACAGTGAGAGGTATTTTATGCCGTTCTTTCAGATTATGTGGCCAAATTTAAGAAATTCTAAAAATAGATTTTTGATGACGTCACACTTCAGTACTCTATAGGTCATATGGAAAGCACTTTTTATTGCTTCCCATCTTTTAACTGAATTGTTATGAATTTCGTTTTTAGCTAAAGGATGTCCAAGAAGGGAAAATACAGAGGCTCGATAATGTAAAAATAGACTGGGGAATTAATCAGGTCTGTAGATTTATGTCTTCATGGCATTTGCATGATATGTAATTTCATAGTATAACTCTTCATGGCATAGTATAACTTCATTGTCATTTCTTGGTATGTAGTTGCCTTCATCCTAATATGATAGAAATGTTGTATAATATTGATTGATTTCCGAGCACATGAAGACTGGTGAAATATTTAAATTTTGATGCTTTGCGTCACAGGCAGATGATATTTACGAAGATCCTCTCGATCTAATGAATGACATCAACCGGGTTAAATCAGAGCTGGAAAATGAGAAAAATGCCGAGGTGGCAGAGAAGGTAAAGTGCGCTTAATACAGTTTCTAGTTGCCATTATATTTAGACGTTTTATCAGACTTGAAGATGAACGATGTCTTAAAGAGAGTCGATAGTAGAGTACCAGTACCAAGAAAATTATAGTTGGCTCTTTTCAACTGATAATGAACCCGATATCATTGAAAAATAGTTCAAGGTACGATATGCTGAAAGATTGCAACATGAAAGATACTTAGAGGATAGATGTTGATGTTAACTGAAAAAAGAAGTGGTCCGAGTCATAATCTTTGTGTTACAGCATAAATAGTTATCTATATTTCTTAAACCTTTCCATTTATAATGCAGAGATGGCTGCTATTATTTTTGTGTCTGGAAAATTACAAAGGCATATAAACTCAAATTATCGTATGTTAGCTTACACATGAACAGCTTTGGCTTGGCTGCTAATATGCTATAAACTAGGTGATGATAATAATGTATATAGGTTTTCTTGTAATGATATTAGAACATTTGATTAACAGATCCTTTTTGCGCGTAGGGAGTGCCAGTTTTGCCGGTCGTTCCAGTTCCTTTGCAAAGCTCTAAATCGCAAAAGGGAAAGTCTGGTGGTCCGGTGAGACGATCTGAGAGTCTGAGTAGCCCTCCAAAGTCAATGATGAACTCGAAAACGAGTAATGTAAGTGCAGAACGTTTCTTGTTGAGATTCCGAAAAAGCTCGAACTATGACGAACTTTCATAATCAAGTTTCAAGCACACAAAATGGTACCAATAAATTGAGAAATGTGCATTTTTGTGTCAATTCTTGAAATTCTCTCACAGTTTACTTACATTTAAAGTTCAATAATTCGAATGACCTTGGATTTTTCCAATTCGAATGAAATTATTTTCCTTGTTATTCCTCTTAAGCCAAACCTTTTGTTATTCGAAATAGGAATAATTTGAACTAATTTCCTTTAGAAGCTTGTTTTGTCTAAGGTTGAGTGTATTTTAATCTTGACAACATTAAATATATTACAACGTTTCTCTCCTTTCACTTTTGATCCTTACTGTTTTTTTCTAGGCGTCTTCACCAACAATAGACAAGACCTTCGTCTACCCTGATGCAGGTGACAAAATGCCCGCCCGGCCACCACCCCCGCCCAGAAAAAGCGTCAAAGTGAAAGGAACGCCTGTTCTTCCAACAGCTGCTCCTACTCTACCTGCTAAAGAGCAGAAAGCAGAACCACCAGGTGCAATTACAGCAGCAACGCTATCCACTTTTGCTCCAAGATCTTCGCAGACACAACCGAATTCAATACAGGATAAAAGGTATCTCTAATAAAGTCAGTTCAATTGCTAGTAACTATTTGCACGAATCTGTCTTCTCTGAAGACAGTACAGAGGCGTGTCTGACGGGGGTTTTATGGATGTTACCCCCCTCGAATTTTAGGCTTTCTAGTAGAAGTTCTTAAATTGATAGCTGAAATTACCCAAAGGGCTCTTCCATCTACTCTTTTGACAAGACCTTTAAAAAGTACTCCATTTAAACCTTTTCTCAAATCTATCCTTGACCCAGCTGTTGAAACAAACGGCTAAATGCACACCTGGCATTGGGCATACGTACTACAACGTGATCACTGTTTCACCTATAGGCTGGACGTATTCTGTGTCATAGCATGGGTATCAACATTGACCTGGGAAGAAGGGTGGGAAAAAACTGGGGGGAAGGGTGCAATATCTCAAACTGTCTGTTAAGGGTTGTAGTTTGGATATTTAAAGACTCTTGCGCAACCGGCATGCTTAGCGGCAGGTGTCTTGAGAAATTGAATGTGTTTTGTTTTTTCATGCAGTACGATATTAGGCCGGTTTTGAAAATATTGTCGCAAAGCATGCCGGTTGCACAAGAGCCTTTAACTGAACACAGCCTAATAAGAATTCAATGAACTGCGTTAACTTTTCCTACACCAGTTAACTGCAATGTTGCATCTGTTTCAGTCCGCCACCTCCAATGCCTCCAGCGCGCACGTCCTCTTCTTTGCCACGCCCGGACAGACCAGTTGCTCCTCCGCAAGTTCATCGTCGACACCAAAGGAATGCCTCCGATGGTGGTATTATTGATGCTTTGAATACCGTACTTGGACAGCAACAGCAACAACAACAAATAAAAGTGAAGCAAAAAGAAACATACGAAGAGATTCCTGAATTGAAGCCCGTGCCATCCTCAACACCGTGAGTTTCTTATTTTTGTTTCTTAAATAGCAAGCTTAAAATGGCTTCTGTTCGGTTGAAATAACACCAGATCAGAAGGAGCTTTAGAAAGAGGAACGGAGGATAGAAATGGGAAGAAAGCGGGGTGGTGAGTAGGAAAGGAAACAGAAAAAAGAAGGGTTAAGGAAATTGAGAAAAGAAAGTGCAAGTGAAATAGGCAGAAGGGAAGGAAGAATCTTGGAGAGAGAAAGAAAAGTCGAGAGACGAGAAACGGTAAAGGAAGGGAGAAAAAGAATTAGAAGGGATATGAGAGTTGAGTGAGGGGTAGAAGTTTTATTTTTTTGGAAATCATGGTTTATGAGGTTGAAGAGGTAGGGTGTATCATGAAGAGCTTTACTTTTCATCATCTTGTTTATCAAACGCGATCTAATTTTTACAAATATTCAAGAAACCTGTACCCCTTTTTGATCGAAAATATTACAAATTGAAAACAGATTTCCAGGTTAAAAGTTATTAGCTATTATTTTTGTTTTGATAAAGGAGTGCGAAAGTTGATTTGCCACCACCGCGTCCACCACCTCGTCAGAAGCCAAGTACCCTACCCGGTAGGTGATTTCTTTCATAACTTTCTTTTCATTTTCATGTATTTATGATAGCGGGTGACGGGTCATGCAATATTAGGCTGTTATTGACATTTTTGCCTTACCATTGCGGATTCACCGAAATTTGAAACTTTAGTATTATTCTTTGATTTAGATTTTTGGAAACATAAAATGGTTAATCTCGTTTTTTAACTTTGGTTTTGGTACTTAGGTTTTAAATCAAATTCAACGATGTTCATTAATGGATCGAAATTATTTTGCTTTGTATCATATTCATTAAACATGATAGGGCTTGTTCGCTGGATTTGCTAAAAGTTAGAAATTTGTGTAATATTGAAATATCTTTCTACTGTAAGCAATAGGTAGGTTATTATTCACAGGCTTCGTGTGATTTGAACTGTTCGAATTCAAAAATTCACATTGTTTCTTCAAAAATTTTTATTATAGAAATTCACTTATCAAAAAAAATTTAGAGCTTCTTAGACTAATGTAAGCAATGCTCACAATTGGAAGTGCACACCCAAGTAAGCTTTGGTAACGATGCGACAAAGCAGTCAAACTTTACCTGCTAATTGATGACGCCTGAATAGCTCAAAACATTATATGATATCTGCCACAAGAGTAGGTGATCACAGCCACCCTAGAGTTAACGAAAACCTGCAAATTAAGCAACCGATAGGACCAGATGGCGACGATATTAGGGGAAAGGCTATCCATGTACAGTAGGCCAGTACTCTTAATTTTTATCGCGTTGTACTCCTTTGTATCTTTGATTTATATATTTTTCAATCCAGTGATCTGTTTTGATTTTAGCTCCTGAGCCCAAAGAAGCAAAGCCGTCTGAGGCCTCTCCTCCTAGTTCAGGCCAAGCACCCGAGGTCACTCCAGCCACACCTCCGCGTGAACCGATGATGGATAAAAAACAGGTAAATTCATGAAAGTTTTGCCAAAAGGCTGACTTGTCTTGTTCTCAACATTCTTTGTTGACTAGAAGGATTATAAATTTGAAAATTGACGATAGGTCAAAGACCACTGGTCGCATAAATGTGAATTGATCCCGAATTTCCAATGAGAATTACTTGCACAATGCTGTACAAAAGCTCGAAGTTTATGCGAGTAAATCGCAATGAGATATATATTTAAATATGATTCCTCGAGCTAAAGATGTAACGATTTCTTTACCGACAGGACAGTAAGTCTAAACAAAAAAGAGCAAGAGCTTTATATGATTGTGAGGCTGATCATGATGATGAACTGGAATTCGTCGAAGGAGATACGATAATAATCATAGGCGAAGCCGACCCGGAGTGGCTGGTAAGTACTTGATGTCAAATAACTCTCTATTACAGTAGCTGGATGTTTTTTTTGTCGAGTGATATGCGAGTTCTTTGGTTTTGGCTTTGGTATCTTATAGAGCCAGGGAAAACCACGAATTATGAACCTCCTCTGTTTTTACGTATCCAAATATTCAAGATTTTGAAACGATTCAACGAGACGAAAGAATGTTGTTTTTGGGAATTTAATGAAAAATGAAATTTTAAATTCAAAGGTATTTCCTTGAGTGTACTACTCGAATGTACTAAGTCATTGTGTTGAATTCGGAGAGGCTTTAAAATATATCTTCATAATACTTGTGTTGTTTTTCGTCAGTCGTTTTATTTTGCATATAGCTCGTATTTCGTGGATCTCTGCAGCCAAAACAACGAGGCTACAGTATTTTACGTACTCAATAATAATGATTACCTGGGTCATCATGGTTGTCGAATATTCTATTGCATTTTACCCAAAACATCGACTCCTTTCCCTTTCTTTTCACAGTATGGTGAAGTTGAAGGAAAGCCAGGCCGAAGGGGAGTGTTTCCAATAAATTTTGTTCATATATTGACTAACTGAGGCTAAATTAGACTTATGCCCAGGAGCATGTCACACTTCTAGATTCAAAAATTTGAAAAATGTATATTTAATCAACACAAGGCAAGCTCAAAATTTTCGATTGTCTTACCCATGGCTATTTAAGATGTTTAACGAAAAGCAACCCACTTTTTAATTCAAGTCAATTGCAAATTTGGTATGGGCTTTTGCATTGTAATTGAAGACAGTATCGCATGGAATAGTATGCTTATTTTGACTATCTTGGATTTCGTTAGTTTAATGTCCCATGACTGATCGTTAGAAATAAGAAGCCCTGGCAGAGTTGTCTTGATTAATGGCAGCGAAGCAATTTGCTATTTATTTCAATCTGATAAAGTTCTTCATTTGCGCTACGATAAAGTCGACTGTATCCAACTCTTCTAAATTTTTTCTTTTAGAAGCAATTTTAAAAATTGCCTTAATTCTAATTTTGAGCTTGTCTCTTCAAATAAATTGATAAAATTTTTAGATAAATGTCGTGAATTATAACAGTCAAAGACTCACTTTCTTCTACGAACGTAAAGAGAAAATCACCATAAAGTCATGGTGGATGCATCCTGCGATTTGTGAAAATTTCCCTTAACGAATCACTCACCTTATGACGTCATGGCCACCAATGATGCATTACCTTAGCTTTGTTTATATCCACACATTTCGATTTCTAGGACATTTAGAATGCTAATAGCTAAGGCTTAATTTAGTTTTAAAGATATCATTTTTCTTCTTGATTTAAGATCAAGTAAAAACATTGGAAACTTTGAAGCCATTCTGCATTATAGTTGTCTGTTTTCACCTTTTGTAGATTGTTAAAATTCGTTTTTATAGCTCATTTTTTAGTTTTTCAGTGCTCGTGTATACGTTTTTGCTATCAAAATTCCTTGATCGATCACTTAGTTATCATAATAGTTTAGTCAATGATATCAATCGATCAATCACTTCATATCGATTAATCAGCTAATCGGTTATTTACTTCGATTTTCATACAGAATTCAGAAAGATTCGAAAAGCTATTTTCAGACTTAAAGCTTGAATGTGTTTTGCATTCAGTAGTTTGTCCTGTTCTTTAACAAATTTTTGTCACTTTTTGCCTTGTAACTGGAAAAAGTTATATGAATGGAACAGTTTGTATATGCCGGTCGATCAATGTAAATAAATATATTATTTGGTTACTCTAATGATAAGAAACTAGAGAAAAAGAGGAACAATGAATTGAACAAGATTATGTCGAAAAAACACTTTAATTACCCTGATCCCATCAATTAGACTTGTTTCATATGAGTTAAAGTTTGTAACTGCCTCTTGTAAATGCCACCAGTTTCTGAGGCATAAAATTATCCTTGAATAAGCGTCCTTCTAATTTAATTATCATCTGCAGACCCATTTAAACTGCAGTTAATTATTTCTTTGATTGTCACCCAACCAATCCCCCCGCCCCCCCCCCACCCCATATTTTTTATTCTCAGTTTTTCTTGTTAGGTTTCAGTTTGTTTCAAAGGCTTCGTATATCAAACAGGTTTTCGAATCACGATTAAGGGCAAGAGGATAAGAGAAACTTATTTGTCAGCTGGAAATTATTTTTCTACCGCGTTTATGTGTATGTTAAGCTCTCGATATATCTCTATCATTCGTCAATCAATATTTGTTTCTCTTTGTAAATATGACATCGTAATAATTTTATAAAGAGTTGTTTGTTTCTCAGTGAGCTGATTGATGTAATTGCATGCAGAATACAAGTAGCTATGATTCTCTTGAATGTCAGCATGAAGCTCAGTCGACGAGTCTCTTTTTCAAAGGATATTGCGCTAAGCACGATTGATTTCTTAAAGTTAAAATAGTTTCTGTCTAACCTTTCAAAACATGCAACACTTTTGAATAACAGATTTCCAGGGACGTCAAAATAGACAGCACCTCGACTCTGGCCAACATTTAGGCCCAAACGCTTCATATAAACTTGGGCTAGCAAACAAACCTGTTGTTGTTCCTGCTTGCTTGTTTGCTTGCTTAGTTTGCTCCCAAAATTCAGCCTTTTTCTACAATCGTGTTCTCTCTAGCCAGTGGTCCTCAAGCTTCGAACCCACACTCACACTTGTATTCAAAACGGCATAACACAAGAATGTTGGAAGATTACTTATACTTCAGTGTCATACATTATACTACCGCTTTTTACTCCAATACAAAAACAGAAGGCAGCTATTTCTTTTGGGTTTTCGGTCTACAGCTTGCTTTAAAATGGCCTTTCAGTAAGTTGCAAGATTAATCTCTTATTTAGTATGTATCTAGTAGTTTTTATTTTGTATATGAAACTGAGATTGAAGCACGTTGGCATGAAGGCTGCTAAGTGATATTTGGTTGTATGGCAAAACGATGATACCACAGTCTTAAAAATGATTTTACAGAGACCATGTTCATCAATCGTGTTAATGCTTGTTATTTGCCTCTTCAGTCGGTATTGTATTTTAGAACATCATTTAAAATTTGAATGATACTGTTTTCGAAGTTCATTTTTGCATATTGGCATAATATTGACTTGGAATATATGCCACCCCTCTCGATTAAATAGCAATTACTGACAGCTGCAACTGAGTACCCAGATCTTCTTATTAACACAGCCTTCCCCTAAATCGCCAATATTATTTCTACATCTAGCATTTTTTACACCTATTAATTGTTCTAAAAATTCCGTGTATTGAGCTGCTCAGCTGTGTTTTGTTCGTTGGCATCAAATTAACAAATGGGAAGAGTGGTAACAACCCATGTTTAAATCGAACAGGAGAACAACTTCCTTCATTAGTTCAAGACCGAAAATAGGTGTTTCACAATGGGGAGGTACCGCAAATCTTCGTATTGCCTCCCCCTCAATAAACATCTTAATAACCACCTATCCTTATATCAGCCTCCATCCTGTAATAGCTGACTTTAATTTTTGGTAAAACACATATTCAACGCAGTATGACAATTTTAAGTTTCAAAACGAAGCATTTCAAAATGTTTCGTTTCTCGAAGTTAACTCGAAGGTGATGAATATATCATGGAATCAAGCTATTTATATGGCGATGCCCAGATAATGTCATACCCTGCCCATTTTGATATCCTCTACTTTGATTTTTGTATTAATCTGATCAGCACCCCATTAATCCTAGAAGGTACGTTCACCGAATCACTCTTGCCAGAAAATTCAATTTTTCACAAAAGGATTTCGATCTAAAAATCTAAAAGAGTTTCAGGAAAACCGTTGAAAAATTATCTGTTCATAAAGACTGATGAAAAGCTATATGTTTCACAAATATTTTTAGTTAAATTATAAATTTATATATTTTCCCTATTGTATTTACTTTTAGACTTGTCTTATTATGTTAACAGTTTGTTAATTCGTATTGGTGTATATTTTAGCATTGCCGCTTGTTAACTAGTCCTTTAACCAAGGCGCTTCATGGGTGAAGAAGATGAAATAAACTGAAAATAAAATATGATTGAGGATGGCCCCTTGATTTTTGCGAAGCAAATAGCTTTGAAGTTGCAGTAAAATGGAAAATATGCCTTTGCCCCCAACTTTTGCTATCCTTGCCCCCCCCCACTTTCAAATTCGTGGCGTGGGCCCTGGGATGCTATAGTAATCTTTTTCCATCGAATAGTTATTGATAGTGTTAGTTGTACGGGACCATACACCACGTTGGAAAATGCCGAAGGCGTATGAGATGGTTGTCCTCTCTTCCATGTCTTTGCTTGAATTGGATAGCTTGAAGTCTCATTGCTAACAACGGGCCTTTGCGAGCGTTGCGACGGTCCAAACAATGGCAGTAAACTTCTACGGACTAACCAATTAACCAAAATTGATTTCAGACAGTCTAAAAATGCGTTATGGGATGCTTAGGTAGCGCAATGGCTCATTGTTAGCAGTGAGTCTGTAAGGGTCATAAGGAACAGGGATATGGTCTGCATTGAAGAGGAAAGTCATGTTCAGGCCTGAATGGATCATGTTCTATTACAAAATCATGTGACAGAAGAGACTTTTCCTTTGATACAATCAAGCTTCAATTGAATTAGAACCCAGGCCATTCAGTTTCCCTAGTTTTCGTCATCAGAATGCCGTTTGTTGATACTATCCATAACAGAGCAAACAGGATCTTCCCTCTGAACAGTGCCTCCTTACAATAATTTCCCCTTTCTGATTGTTTAATCGCTCAACAAAGATTAAGTGATAGATCTTCTGTTTGCTCAACCTGTTCCCATTAAACGTTTTGCAATTCGCTGTTAATAAAGGAGACCTGCATTTGAATCTACTGGGATCTTGTCTCAAAGTTCTCTCTTACCAGCTACTCGAAGGAAGATGTTTTTCAGGTTCCCAGCTCTCGCTGTTCTCTTGCTCGCTGCTTTGGCTTCCGGACAACAACGAGGACTACAGCTTCGTTTAACAGCCAAAGGACTGGAATATGGTAAGATTCTACCCCATTTTATAAAACATCTCCAATAGTAAGCTGTAGTAGCTTCAAAGCTTGTTTCGTATTATTTCATAAAGTTGGCTTTTTTGAAGTGATTTTAAAGTTTTGAAACAAATAATTACCTTGAATATCATTACAGATTAATTATTACGTAAAGCTTAAGATATTTCTTTATGTTTAACATAGTCAAATCACATAAAATGGTCCCCGATTCAACTGAAGTTTTCGAAGCACAAATGATAGAACTTTTGATCCAACATCGATTCGGGGGAAACAGGGGGGGGGGTCATATTTACAGGGGCAAAAAAGTAAAAAATTAAAAAATTCCATTTTGTCCCAGCAATTTGTGCCCGGGATTGTAGAAGCAATTTGCTGCTGAATTTTGCAACCAGATTCGTATCTCTTTACTATTGAAAGCTAGATACCGACGCTCTTTGATGCTTATTGCAACTTAATCGCCATTCAACAGTTTTCTTTTTCGTTCAAAGGAATGCGTCAGGCTATGCAAACCTTGGAGACTGATCTTTCGGGAAAAAGACTTGGCGATTTTCAGGGCAATGGGGGAGGATTTCAGATCAGTGTCACAAAGTAAATCCCGAAAAATTCACTTGTTAAAAATATTCTTGTTTTTAAATATAAGATCTTGCTTTTCAAAGCAGTGCTCTTTATGTTGGGATGTAGCATGCTTTTCAATCTATAATACATGCATTGGCCATTTGTTCTCTTTTTAGCCTAGTGCTTCCTCTTTTGCTACCTTTTGAGTGGCCGTACCGTACAATTTCTTGAAGTTCTGATATGAATTTACTCCAATGCCTAGATTCCCTTTTACTTGACGAATAACAGCTTTTTGCCACCTGGTGGATACAATCGACTATCAGGCTTTAGAAAAGATTTCTAGTTTAGGAAGGATTTACAAGGTCTCAGTTTGAGCAACAAAATGACCCACTACGCATAGATTTAGGAACGGGAAGCGGGCAAGAGGCACGTGTCCCTACTTTTCAGAGTAAGAGGTAAAGTACCTATGTGCAGCCTAGGGAGATGCACCCTTTTTCTTACATGTGCTCCCAAACTGTAAATGCTTCATATTCCTTGTTTTATTGTAGAGATGTTTAGTGTCAATCTTTCCGGGTAGAGAAAAAATTTTCCAAAATTTTGTTGTGATTCAGCATTAACCAGCTCAGCATTTTGTAGCTTGGTTATGAACAATCTTGTGATTGGCAATGAAAGATTGGTGCCTGGTAATGCTGCTTTGACGGCAGCTGTTTCTTCGGTAACGGCCGTAGTGTCAGGACGGTTCAGTTACAGGAAGAAAATTGGGTAAGAATTTCATGTTTTCTTCATGTGGCTTCTAATCAGGGGCGGATCCAGAGCAAATGAAGGAGGGGCAGTTGGTAGTGGGGGCGCTGAAAATTTTTCAAAAATTGGTGACGAGAGTACGCTGTATACAACAATTTCAGATCCATTTTAAGAAAAACAACATAACTTTGAGGTAATCCTTGAAACAAATTAACCTATCGGTCTCAGAAACTTTTTCACCTGATTCTCATTCTTCAAAAGGGGCGCACAATTTCCAAAAAGGGGCGCCAGACTTGCTTCAACTCGTCGAAGGAGGGGCAACTGCCCTTAGTTGCCCCCCCTTTTAATCCGCCACTGCTTCAATAAAACCTTTTGAGCAAGTTTGTGAATCAGCTGGTTTGATATGACGTAATTATAAAGTTCTGCCACTCTGGGCCTAAAGCTTGGAACGAAATACCTATAGAACTAAGGAAAATCCCCTTGCTCTATAGTTTAAACGAAAATTAAAAGACTCATTTGAAGAGCGCAGGAAACCCGAAATAAAACGACTCCTAGGAAGATCAGATGTCTACTTGAATTCAATCATAGCATTATTAGCTTTTTACTTTATCATAACTTATATTCAAATTTCTGATAGGATGTCGTGTAGAAATAAGAACTTAAAAAAATCATAGAAAATAGAGAAAGATAAAACACAAACCCGGCTTCTTTCTGTGAGTGCAGGATACACGTAAGGTCTAGCGAGTAAATTAGCAGGCACATAGAGGCTACTACTGTATACAAAATCTTGCGAAAGTTGATCTAATCGTTAGCCTATAGTGAAATCTGTTTGGCGGCCGATACACGCAAGGAAGGTCAAGGAATACCAAGCCCTTATGTTTATTGGTCTTAGGAAGGTTTGGAAAGTCTTAGCTCTTTGGTCGGACTGGACTCTTCTATATTATTATTCTGTCCTCGATACGATTTCTATCTTTTTTCTACTCTCGATAAGCAAATAATAGTCCCCGCTTATTAATTTTTGAAAAATTGTCCAGCCGCTCCGCTTATAGTCCAACCCTCCTTTTCTCAATTCTTAAAAATTTAGATTATCGTGAACATAATTCTAGAAGAATCCCTTCTAAACAAATTTACTTGTATAAACTTATTAACTTGACTCTCCGTTTATTTTTCTGATCTGAACGCGAGAAAGGCAGTGAGTACCACATTGGCGTCATTTTTTGAAATCAAATCAAAGCATTTCCAGCCTCACCATTTATTTTAACCCCCCCCCCCTTCCAGTTATTCGGTACTCAATAGCAAAGTTGATTCTACATAACATCTTTCAGATGGGTTACCATTCGAGATTCAATGAATATTCGAGTCAGGGCATCTGGAGTCAGTTTCTCCTTATCTGCACGATTCGGTAATTATCTTGCAGAATGTTTTTTGCCATTATTATCAAAATTTCATTATTTTACCATTCTGTTTAACACTTCTGTTTAACTGCCCTTCATGTCAACTTTCAAAAATCAAATAACTAACTGTTTACTGTAATCGCAAAATAATCTGCGAGATCGATTTATTCAATAGAAAATTCAAAGCATTTTTCTTTAATAATACATTGAATTGCTTGACAGGGCACATTTTAATAGCAATAAAGATACTTATCTTGCTGAAATATTCTTAATGATAACAATTGCAATTTCATTTTCATAAAACAGTTAAACTTCTATATGTTTGTCATAAGCGTGACCACTGTTGAAGTAAGTCATTGCATCTGTAAGTTTCTACAAAGTCCTGCCAGCAGAAAATAATTTAGGGTAAAACTTTTTTGTCCGTTGTTCAGGATGTTCACAATCAAGAATTGTCGGTTCCCCGGGCTTCTCTCTTTGACAAGAAATTGTAAACGACGTCTGCTGTAGAAAGGCGACTCATAGTAACCCAGTAACCCTGCAATCGTACCAATCCCCCTTATCATCCCTTAAAAGGAAAAGGCGAGCTGACTTAAAATAATCCTTGGTACTGTTACATTTCTGTTGTTTTAAAATAACGACGCAAATAACGTCAATATTTTATCCAGTTTTTATAACAAATTTAGATACACGTTCATGAGTACTCTTCCTATTTGGTGCTTGAAAAGTAAAGCATTACATAAATGCTGACGTCCCCCTTTAACTAATCTAGAAATTTCTCGATAAACCCATAAAAAAAGGTTCTCGGTTATTCTGTTTCTATTTATGTTTGTTTCTACCTTGTATCCGAAGGTAGCTTTTTTGGACACTTAGATGCTATGCTTACCGTGCAGTGTCCTGGTTCTTTCTCTCGATGTGACCACACCTCGTGATCCCTACACCTTAAATTGAACAGAACTGGTGCATCTCCTCACTCTTAGTGAATGTTTGTTCATGGCAGGGATGGTTTTGATTAGGCCTTTTAGCAATGATGATGTAGCATATATCACGATAACTTAGACACATTTTATAATAAATGTTGTAATGATAATTTCCACAACATAGAATCCTTTTATTTGTGATATTAATTTTGGCAGAGCTGTTGGTAATTGACTTTGCAATGAAAATCTTGCATAGCACGGATGCCAGAACCAGGAGTGTAGCGAGGGTACTTGCCCCCTCCCCCAATTTTTAGGAGAATTTCTTTTTTTAAGAAGACAAACTCTTTCAAAAGTTTCCCAGTTTTCTGTAACATGGTGTCGCTTCCTACCGGTGTCCGCAAACTTTCGAATGGTCCTACGTTCCAAGCTTTTCCCCAATTGATTTTTGCTTTCATTCTTGTCTTCCTCCTCTTGAAATTCAGGCAGTCAAAGTGGTGGTCGCCCAACAATTGGAGTCAATTCGTGTTCCGCTCACATCGGAAGCTTCAAAGCAGATGTTTCGGGCTCAAGGGCAAGGTATCAAAAAGTTTTTTTATTTGAAGATGGCTTTGAAAAAGACAATTTTTTTACAAAATAGCTTTAACTTTTCGCCCAACACTCTTCAGAGTATAAAGCATAAGAATAAGGGCAGAAAAATGAAGAAAAAATATCCGGTTGTGGATCGAAATACACAAATCAGAAAAACGCGAGCATATGACCGTTATAGTTGACCAATCAGTATCGCATGTCTAGAAAGGTTATCATAAGAGATAAAGAGTGAATAAAAAGATTAAGGGAGAAAAGTCCTTCTGTATTGATTCAAAACCTGGTAGGTGAGAAGAAGGACGACCGGGCTTTGCCTATTATCGGAAACATTTCCAAAGAAACAGAAAAAACTGCATGTTTTTTGCTTTGTTGACTAGAATAACTTCTGACTTTAAAGTTTGGAATCAATCTTTCTCTTATTTATTTAGTTCTTCCTCATCTTCCGAGATTTACCATGATATGTGAAGATGCCTCTTTCAAGAGAAACAAAAAAGCTATTAGATAACCCCTTCAAGGCCCTTTCTGAAAGCATTTATAAACTGCATTTCTAAAAGGATGATAATGCATTGTACAAAAGTGCCTACCCAACCGTCCTTCTCAAAAAACTAACTTAACAATATTATAAACATTTTTATGTAGAATGCTTGCCTATATGTTTTTATAACGATATATTCACTTATCTTTATATTGAATTTATTCTCTTTTCCATTTCAGCTGGCTTTACAAGATAATCGCGTCTCTCTTTGAGAGTAAGCTGAGATCAGAAATCGCTAAAGCCGTACGTTAGCAGCCATTGGTCATTTTGGTGTAGTTTAGCACTTTTATTTGGAAAGATGTAGTCTTAATCATTTTTTCACGCAATAAGAATATCTCACTTCAAGAGAAAGTTACCCAAAAGTTCTTGACAAGAAGTCATGGGAGGGGAGAGGGGGAATGTAGAATTTTTCAAAAAGGTTTATATTTTATTTTTTTTCTCGCAGAGGGAAATTTCATTTGATCAATTAATAAGAACCTTTTGTTTTTATTTCCCTATGGAATGCTAGCCAATGTAATTACGCTCTTTCTTCTGATTGATTGTTTTGTCTAATCATCTTGTATCCTAAAATCAATATCTTTGTTTTTGACGACTTAAATATCATAACATTATTTTTAAAGATCTGCAAAGGAGCAACAGATGTAATAAACACCAAAGGCTCACGGGCTCTGTCCCAGTTCCCTGGTATGTAAACTTAAATATATCGTCAACTGTAATCACTGTTGTTTCCTGTCTTCAATTACCCCAATATTAGAAGCCCATCTAGATTCTGTCTTCTCTAATCAACTTCAATTCAAATCTCATTTCTAACGCATACTTCAAGCGTACATTTAATGATGACAACAGCAACAACTACTGTAGTACGTCATACCATGCAATTTCTTACAAGATCTCCCAAAGTTTGAATTACGGTGGAAATCTCAACAATACTTATCATTAATTAGAGCATTTTAAGGGAAAGTTATAGGTTTGAATCTTCGAGTTATTATGTTATTTTTTTCAACATTTCTGTTAAGAATTAAATATATGCTAAAGGCATGGAGTATATATATTGACAATCCAAACCATCATGCGGATTAAAAATACCACTACCTATACTCTAGCAGGAGTTCTTTTTAAAGTCATATGGAAGCTTCACTTTTACCCTCTGATAAGATCTTTCAAAAGAATGCTCATAGCCAACCAAACCATTAAAAAATGTGTCGTTAATTCTTTATGTTGCATAGGACTGAGATTTTTTATTAGAAAATCCTTTTTTCAGTTCAAGTACCAATATCCGATTTTGGCAAACTCGATTACCGACTTACTGCAGCGCCGGTGCTCAACAATCAGTACATGGATGTCTTCGTAAAGGTGCCTCCTTGATTTAATTTTCTATAGACTATTTGGTGTAAAGAACAGGGCGATTCCATGTTGCTGCTCCGAGTTTCACGTTTAATTTTGATTGAGTTAATAATAATAATAATAACGGATGTTAACAGATCCACATAACATGGCTATTCTCTGTTAAATAATAAGTAAGATATTGTTATTAGATTAAGAAATGTTGTCCTGAAAAGATGTTAAAAAAGTGTCTATTAAATACGTTAAAATAAAGGGAAAAACAATTGCCTAAACTAACTTAATGCATTGTACAATTAAAAACGGTTTATTTAATTTACTAAAAACATTGTGAACGTGATACGTGAAACGAATTAAACGTGAAACTTGGAGTTAAAGCGTGAAACAACTTAAAACTGTCCTGTTTGATACAACAATGCGTTTACAGCTTTGCTTATACTACATCGAGCACTTTATCACAGCCCGGTAAACAGAAATTTTTATCAATTTGATAAAGATATAGGTATTAATACAGTGAAGTCAGTTTCTTGAGGCTGCTTCTCCAAAACTTTCTATCGTAGAATTAGAAAAATGTGCAGACAAATATGTGTACCTTTTATGCGAGTGTCCAGCATTTGGCATGTGTTGGCAAATCGAGGGTTCTTAGAATAAGGTTTTCATTCAGAACATTGAATGTACTTCTCCAAGTGATTGATACACACATTAGAAAATAATAATAGTTCTTAATATTTCCATCCAATAAAGATGTCCACCCACCAAATTTCTTTAAATTGCTGTTTTGGGAGTTTTCAAACTTCTTGTTTTTGGCTATTTTGGTCTAAGCTTCCAATTCACTTAAAAAAGTTAGCATTATACGAAATCAAGACTAATATATGAAACCTAAATTTGTAACAAATTCATTATAGTCAAATATACTCTATGCTAAACAGAGTTCTTAAAAATTCTTGCTCCTCGGCTTATTAAATCTATTGATAAAATGAAATTGTGAGATAAAGAAAATGAAAAGAGTATATTTACCTTTATATGAAAAGTTTGCTTCATTTCTTTTAGGGTGAATTTTTACCACTTAGCGGAGGGGTTAGTGCGCCAGCTCCTGTCTTCCAAGCTTCGTCTGACAACAGCAAAATGCTGTACTTCTGGGTATCCGATTACACGCTCAACTCAGCCGCTGACGTTGTCCAAAAAACTGGAAAGCTGTCGAAGAAGCTGGATGCCCAAGAAGATGTAATACATTTTTAAAGACTTTTGCTATGTTCTGTTTAATACTTTTTCTTTAACGAGTTTGAATACAAAATTGTATGCGAAGACAGTGGTAAGACAAATGGAACACAACGTTGGCTGCTCCTTAGAAAGAGACAGAGAAGAAATGGGTGAAGCTGTTTAAAGATTTTTGAGACTATCCTCTTTCCTGCTACAGAAATGTAATGTTTCACTGTTTTAGTAATACTATTTTCTATTATATATAAATATCTATTGTCCCAATACGGCCCCCCCTCCTAATCGATAAATTCTTACCACTTTTAGAAAGGTTTGTTTGGGGCAGATTCCAGGGAGAAATTAACCACACATGGCCTTTTTGCACCTCTACTGATTGGGCCCTCGATTGAAGGATCAGTTTAAACCTGCATCATGCCTTTTTCTAAATACAGAAAACAATGAACAGTTTTAATTTCATTCTCAGCTTCCAAAAGTTGTCAAAGATCTTCTGAACACCAACACTCTTGCTGCTGTTGTGCCACAGGTGAGAGATAGCTTGCTGTCTCTCTTTCTCATTGATTTATATCTACATTTTTAATAGCGCCTGTAGCAGGGGCGATTTTATTTTGCCTGCAATGTGAGCAGAGAGTGGAAAAACTTGTCTTCTCTATGGCGTGGCATTAGGTTTAGACTGCATTAACTCTATTCATGTTATTTTAGAAAAAATAAGAATTGAAAGGTGCTGCAGTTTTGATTTAAGATATATCTTAGGCTCTACCTATGAATATGGTTCACTGGTCCACACTTGATGCAGAAGTCTTCCCCTCTCTTATTCTCCTCTTTTTGCACTAAGCTACTCATGACTTTGTTTTTTATTATAAAAAGAACATAAATCAACAATATAATCTCATGATACCGCGTTAAGTCAGAGAGCAACAGTAGTGTATTTTATTATCCTTTTTTGCTTTACCAAAGAAGTTTAAATGCACATGAAGTTTTTTGAAAAATTTAAACCATTATAATCGTGACAATTCATTTCAGTTAGCTGCTCAGTTTCCAAACAGACCCCTTATAGTCGCATTGCACTCATACAAGGCTCCGAAGTTTGTCATTGAAGATGGCGCGATTCGAGTACTTCTCTATGCATCTGCTGGCCTAATGGTGTTGAAGAATGATAGCACCTTATTCGATGCATTCACTATACAGTTGGTAAGAAATATTTCTTTCAATATTATTCAGCCTTTTGTTTTTACATCACATACCTTACATTTATTATTTGGTACTACTATAATGGATATTAGAAATTTTTGCTGCCCTATGATATCCTAAGAATCAAATTTTCTTTCTCGTACAAATATCAAAATATCAATTAGCACTTTTATGTTGATATACATTCATGTATATTGGTGTATAAAGTTTATATGGAATGTGAAGCTTGATAAACAAAGGTAAAAAGCAACATCAAATTAAGAACTCCCTTTACAAAATTTATCAACACATTGGACATACACAAAAATCTGTTGGAATGTTGTGGTGAAAGAAGAAAAAAGTTTCAACAAAAGACTTTTCAATATTTGGAAACTTTCACAAATGAAGCTTGATCATAGTTTTTTCAACATTTCACGTAATATAGTACGAGTTTTAAGTTATCGTTCTAACGCACTGAGATTCATGCCCATTCCTGTTGGAAACAGATGAAATATTCCCCGTGTTAACTTGATTAATTGTGTAACGAAAGCTTACGTTCAAAAAATTCATTTCTTTAAAACATTTATTTCTTTAAAAGATCCATTTCTTGCTTTCTCTTCAGGACATCAACGCTGCTGGCAGTGTGGGCTTATCAGGCACAACCATCCATGGGAGTTTGAACAGTTTCAGGTAAAATAATTTGCCATTTGTTCCTGTGCTGTTTAGTCCTAGTTAATAGACATGACTCTCCTATGAAAATTCAAGTTTGATTGAAATTGTTCTTAAACTTTTTATGCTATTTAAGAGCACAGCGAAGTAATTTTCGAGTGAAACATGCTACGTATGAAACTAGTGTAGAAAAGAACATTTGTTTCGTATTAAGAGATTATTAAAGGTACCCAGTTTGTTCTTATATGACGATTGAATGCCTTCAAATACTTATAGTATTTGCGATTTGCAAGCATTTTAATCTAAAAAAGGTTTTTGGTCCTGTATCCATACTAGTTTTATAATCATTTGCTTTGATTTTATTAAATGGCCTATCAATCTTGCTTCGACCAAAGTCATATGCTTTATCCTAGATGTAAATTTGGTCAAAAGTTACACCTTGGTTTAATGGGAGTTTTTTTAAAACCACTTTAATTTTTTTAGAAAATGGGCTGATAAAAATGAGAAAAATTTAGAATTTGTTTTGGTTTCTCATTTGAAATGTTATCATATTACTTGATTACTCCATAATCCAACGTACATAATCCAACTTCCACTTCAGTTTTGGTTTGAAAATCATTGCTTCTCACATCGGGACAGTGAACGTAAGTGCTTTGATTTTCCAAATAATCTGTATAATGACACAAAAACCCTCTGTGACACAATGAAGCAAACTGGATTTTAACAGTGGACAAGACCCTTTGTTCCCACATGTGATAAGTTCCTCAAGAAATCTTCTTTTAATGATTTAATTCCGTAAAGCTCATTCAAAACTATGGTTCGAATAGAAAGTGAAGTCTCAAAATTAAGCTTTTATCAATGTTTGGAAAGAATCGAAAGTTGTTGTTTCTCAAGGATCGGTATTTGAACCTCTGTTGTTCAATTATTTTATTAAAGATATCTTTTTTATGTAAAAAACACAACAGTTTGTAAGTATGCTGGTGGCACTACGTTCTAAGCATGACGTACAAATCTCGAAACTATCGACAGAAATTTATAAGTAGATGGCTCCGTAGTAGTTAATTGGTTTTGCAACAATATAGGACAGTGAATGACTGCAAATGAATTTAATGATATTTGGCAATAAAGATACTGACGTAACGATCACTGTTGGAAGCCAAAGAACAACTGTGAAAAATAGCTTAGTATCATATTTGAAAAGATCTCTTTGAAGAATAACGGACGAAGCTAACAAGGGTGTTCGCTTTCAAGAAAAGAATTGCGCCCGGATATCTATTTAGTGGGTCCAGTCAGGATAGAGATTGTAACAAACTCCATTATGGAGGCACAATTTACTATTGATCATTATTATGCGTATTTCATGACAGATATTGATTCTTAATGAGTCGAATTCAGGAAAGATCATTAAGGCTGGTGATGCAATGATAACTGGTGTGGAACTAGAAGAAGCAACACAAAGAATCAAATTAATCGCCAGTACAATCTGTTATTTTAAGAGAAATTATATATCCCCACATCTTATCTGTATACAGGCAAAAATCAACTGTGGAGTAGAAATATTTGCGACTGCAGGTTGTGTAGTACTGTTTTATTTAGACAATTTCGATAATTCTATTTCTAATCACTTATTTAAACATTTTTACTAGCTTTTATTAGACATACATGCCGTTACTTAGCTGTATTATTAAGCTATTCTGTTTACCTGCTGTCTTAAAAGGGATTGTTAGTAGCAATAAAAATTATGTTTTCCATCAATTTTCATTTTGAAACAGATCCCAACCGATGATAAGTTTGTCAATACTATCGTAAAAGAAGTATTGATTCCAGCAGCAAATGGTAAGCAATCGCTACAAGAAAAGTTATTAACTTCAATGGGGGTGATTGGGGGAGGGGGGGGAGAAATGTCTGCCTCTGATTCAAAATTCTGAAATTCAGATTTAAAAGCAAGCGTATAGGGGGGGGGGCTCGCCTTTTTCTCGTCATTTGTCGGCAAATTTGTTTGCTTTTGGAGACTCCCCCAACCTTAAACCACAAAATGAATTTCCGCTTCTGATATTAGATTCGAAATTTCAGATTTAAAAGCAAATATATAAGGGGGCTCGCTTCCAGGGGTGTAGTGCTAGGGGGCTTAGGAGGGCTGAGTCCCCTGTTAATGCCAAAAGCGGCAAATTTATACCTTTGCAATTGTTTTTAGCAACATTCTGTGCAAGAACCTCCCTTGTTATTTTGATAGCACTACACTACTGCTCGCTTCTCGCTAGTCAGCCTTCTTTGAGAGTCATGAAGAAGAATTTTATTGAAACTTTAAATTGATTGTAGTGTTTGTGGGGTTGGTATTACTAAAACAGTGGAGTTATTCTCAAGAATTATGCTTATAATACAAATGCTTATTTTCATGAATGTTTACAGTTTATAAATATCCACACTCTCCCGTACCAAATTAACTTTATCTTTTCATTTGTCCCTGTAGTCTTCCTTGTCACTGGATTCCGCCTTCCTACAATTCCTTATGTCGCGTTGCAAAGGCCAGCTATCACTTTCCACAAGGTAAGATGTTACAAGAAACTCTCCTTTTTTCCTTTTTCATTTTGGATGCTAGTAAATTTATTGGCCCTTGGCCCCCATTGAGGTCTGGTTATTTATTGCATGATTTACTTTAAGAAAGGGGGGATATCATGCTTCCGTTTAACTTAATTTTAAACTGCATTGCAATTTAAGGGTGCATTTAAACTAACCTTTGTTTCTGCTTAGTTCTTAGTTCGACCTTTTTTCACCATGCTCTTTTATTTTTCCAAATGAAAACTTTTTGAATACGATGAACGATCATACTCTTACATTTTTCAGTTCTCGGTGTTCACGTTTTCAATTTGCGTTTCATTTTGCTGTGTTTTTCACGGTTTTCAAAGTTGCATTTCAAACGAATCGATTTTCGATGAGCAGAGGAGTACAGATAGAAATCAGATATTGACACCCGTTTTCTTATGGAAATGGAGCAGGACGATCAGAGACAGGGGCGTTGTGGCGTATACCGGGAGATTTCCTGGTGGGCCCTTTTTAAGTGAGTTTGTAAAACCCAGGAGAATATTTTTTGTGAACAAAATCATTGATGGTAAAATCGCTCACTTACATGTACAAGTCCATAGTTTAGAACTCGAGTCTTGGAGGTGAACATATACAAACAGGGCGACCTTTGGTCTTTGGAAAAATTGGAGATCCACGCCTCTTTGAACGCCAGAAAGCACCCCTTTTCAAAGAGATTTTTGCCATTGGGAGGGGGGCGTCCGTTCCCTCTTGCCTCCCCCTCGCTTCGCCACTGTCTTGAACATAATAAAATTATACTGTAAAATAATTCCCATTTGTTCTTGCAGGGTGTCATTCGTGTTGGCGTGGATTGTTTGTATGCTCCCAACCTTTATTTGTGAGCCAATACGCAAGCGATTTGTAGACCATAACAATTAATTAATAAACTTTCTTAATAAAGATTTCTGTGTTAAAATTGAACTTCCAAGGATAATGATTTAATCAACTGTTGTAGAATGGTCTTAGTTATTGAAATGTGCATTATTGATTACATTAGAGAAAATATAGGAGTTACTTTAGCTTTTTTTGTCAATTCTTTATCAGCTTTTTAATTGCCAGTGCTGTAAACAGCATACTTGTGATTTCGAGCACATTGAATTATGACGTAGCCAAGTGGAAGCAGCTACTCATCACAATGAACATGTAAAACAGTCTGTCATATCTTATTATTGGGATTTGAGGAGGGGCACGAACCCCTTACCTCATGTACCCACTGGCCCCATTTTTGCTGAATATCCTTATTCTGGAATCTAAGCTTTAGGATGGCCTTAAGCACACAGACAGTAAAAAATTTCTTCTACCATCACATGTGCAGTCTTTTAACATCAGGGGAGAGACCAAGCCAGGCAAAAGACACACACAAAGCAAAATACTACAATATGGTTTAATTCAACTATTTGTTCAAAAGTTACCTAAATAAATATAATCATCTTTCTACAAATAACAATTATAGTTATAAATAATTAAAAGTCGTAACACTAATCATCTTTGTCCTTTTCCCTTAATTTTTCATTTGGAGCATCTTTGACTATTAATAGCTGCCTTCTCTTGGTTTTTATCAAAAGTTTTCCAGCTTCAAGAAGCCAAATAATCTGTGGTTAAAAAGACATTTGATATTTCAAACAATATCTCATTAATACAGAAAATATTATTAAAAGAAATGTCTCCTATCATTGGGATTGATGGCACCTGTCACTAGTCTGAGAGGGGGATGTAGGCCACTCTTTTTACAGTAAGCTAACACCCTTTTACCAGAAGGAACACAAATTGTACTATTAGGCCATTGCCCAACACTGACTTTAAGATATGTAAAGGCAGTTTTAAAATCTCTGACAAAGGATAATTTGATAAAACGCTATCCCTACCCAATATTTTCACATCAAATTTAAACAAATACAATGCCAAAAACTTGGGGAAGTGCCCCCCCCCCTTGGCAGGCATATGTTTTGGGAATTATTGAATGCCTCAAGAGTATATTTTATTTCATTTTCCTTAAAACTTACAAAGCTCCCAAATATCAGGACATGATTCTATATTGTAACCCATAATAATCTAGCTGAAACAAAAAATCTCAGCTCTAAACACAAGAGAATAACACTAAATGCATACATACCACTAGAACAAGACAATTGAACATTATTGGTCCTGAGAATGTCACCATTATGAAAAGGCCATGAGAATCAAAGTATTGCTCCTTGGCAAAAGCTCTAGAAACACAAAACAAGACATGATATCTCTCACTTAAAATTCAAATTGCATGATGAAAGAAAGATTCACATAACCCAAAAAACTTTCTAAGCCCTCGCCTAACATCAAAGTATTCTGTTGCAATATTTGTTTGCATAAACTTGCACAGATTTGTCGCAGATTGGAAAATCTGATGCTATGCCAAACAATACTACAACTTGTACAACAATTTCCGACATCTTGGAAAATGTTCTCAAAAAGAGAATTATTTGATGCAAATGGCAATGTTGATGCAGCAAATTTTGGAGCACATGACCAGGCAATGCAGAATTACTAGCAGTTACTGATGCTAAATTTTGAGCAACACTGTAAGGCACCAACCATGGTGGGTAACCAAAAATGGCAACACTGACTTTAAACATCGATCACTGCATCAAAGGTTTCCCAAGGCTTTAGAGACTTCTTTAGACCTTTTTAGCTTAACCAAAATATGACCCATGTATAAATCAACAAACGATAATTGCATTCTCAAGATGTCTATGCAATAGATTACAATGGAAGGAGAAAAATGCAACCTACTTCCAGTATTTTGCAGCTAGTTCATTTATTTTCTGAGATGATAAAGCTAAAGCACCTAGGTAAAAAAGATTATTAATTAATCAAAAAGAGTAACAGGCTGGAGAAAAATAAGGGAAAAGACAGTGAAAGCCTGTAAAGGATAGAAAGATATATTTGCAATACAACTTGAAGTTAAAATGCAAGTAACCTTTAAATTCTGACATAGAGATTTTGGCAAGTTTAAGAGAAAATATATGTTATACAATGTAGCATTAAATTATGATAAATTTATATTGTTTAGCATTAAATTAAATAAACAATAGTGGAAATCATAGTGAATAAATCTTGGGCATGTTAGGAATCTACTGCCAGTGGCACTTCCAGGATGACCAGAGTGGAGAAGGCACCAAGGGACAATGGTGACTAGAAGAGCTTGATGGAAGGGGGCCTGATGGTTTCCCTGGACAATCTTGTGGCAATGGTTTATAAAGTTTAAAATCCCAATTTTTGTAATATAATTGAGAACAAGCTAATTCATTGGCTTGACAATAATTGTAGATTTTCACTTTTCTTAGGTACCAAATTCTTAACATTGGTGGGGAGGTACATGTTTCCATATATTTACTGGGATTAAAAATTCTTAAAGATTTAAGATAAAATGGGCAAATTACAAGACTTGATTTCCCACCATTTATTAACTAAAAATATCACTTACACAAGCAACAAAAAATTGCTAGTTGAATATTTGTATGTTTTCTTGTGCATAATATTCCAATCAAACAGATAAAATGGAACACAAGTAAAGCAAGCAACCAATTCTCTCTCCAGTTAATCTGCAACAAGAAAACAAAGTTGTTTGTAAGGTTGCATAAATCATATTAATTTTAATTGGGATAGTTTGCAGTGTCAAAAACTAGACGATATTACATGATGGAGTCAATTAGAGTAAAATACTGAAATAAATAAATTTCTAAATCTATTTCATAAATATTACACATAGCACTAAATATCTAAAGGAGGGGGAATGCATAAACATACCTCATACTTACATTGATTTGTATGTTTAGAGTTTAGATAAATGAAAGGAGATTTTATATTAAAGTGGAGTGTAATTAAAAGAACAAGGGGGCCCTCACCAGGCCTGGGCATTTGAGGAGAGCCATAGTTCTTATTCCCCTCCATGCTCCCCTTCATGCTCCTCTCCATGCTCCCCTTCATGCTCCCCTCCATGCTCCCCTCCATGCCCCCTCCATGCTCCCCTTCATGCTCCCCTCCATGCTCCCCTCCATGCTCCCCTCCATGCTCCCCTCCAGGCTCCCCTCTATGCTTGGCAGAACCTGCTGATTGCTCTCCTAAACTGTTCAAAAAAAGCAAATTTTCCTCCTTAAAAATAATTTTATGTGATTCCTGCCTAGCGCACTGTCTGCTAATCCCCTTCTAAAATTCTTATAGCCAGGCCTGACCTTCGCAACAAAATATCTCATAAACAATAAAAGAAACTAGAGAAGGGTTATTCCTGAGCCCCCAGCCCCTAGCTTTTTACACCTATTATACTCCATTTCATAATCTCCTTACTGATTACTGATTGTTGTAAAATTTAAGGTTGATAACTATGGGCAGTTGGAACTATAATATCTTAGACTCGAAATCAAAAATTTTTAAGAATATTGAGGCTCAGCAAAAAATTAGGTATTCTTTTAAAAAAGTGTGTATGCTGTAAGCTGATCTTTAATAAATGCACAGCTCTTTTAGCCTGGCTGGAGAACTTGCATATGTTCACAGATACGCTTTAGATGGACAACAACATGTTGCAGATAGGAAATCATGTGCTGCACCTAGCCCATCATGTCACTCATGTCATGTTTTGATAAGCTCAAGACTGTGAACCTGATTTTGAACAATGCTGTTGGTTGTCACTCTGTAAAATGAATTTCAACACAATTTTGTGTGTCACTCTCAAAATTTGCACAATTAACAAGCATATGGGAGATCTGGAGGCAACGTTGGGCCTCTGGACGGAAAATACATATACATTCATGATACCTTAAAACCTGCCTAAATGAACTCCTAAATGACAATTCCATCCCTCTGTCAAGAAAAAAAAATTGTATGATCTTTTTGACCTTCTATAGTTCTAAAGTTGTACTAGGAAGGTTTTCTAAATCGTCGAAGCTTTCTAAACCCTCTCTTTCTTTGGCAAAAAGCGACTCTGGGTCAAATACAATGGCTCTCTTTAGTTTATAATAGGACAATGGGGATCAAACTGATCTGATGTAGAAATAATAACATCAACTGTGCTTGCATGTAAAATGTGATCAATGTGACTAATACAGTATAAACATACCACTGATATAAAATCCCATAAGTCAGTTATTTGTTTTTCCTTAATCCAGAATGTCCCATCCTCTAAGCCCATCTTTCGTGTTGGAAAATTTTCGTAAACTTCGCGTGGAATGATCCTCCATTGACAGAATTGATAAAAGAGGCTTCCCTTGTAACCGAGGCTGCAGGTAATTGTTAGATTTGTGTTGCTAAGAAAATATCAATCCGTCAAACAAAAATCATCGTCTATGTAAGGCAAAACAAACTTTGCATTCAATAAGATGCCATGACAGTTATGACTGAGGGTTCTTTACAATTCAAACGCATTTGTAGAAGCCCTAAGCTAAAATTGACTGTCGACAACCGGTTTAAAGATATTTTGCCTGCAGTAGGTGAGATTTATGATTGCTTTCTTGCAACTTACGTCGTCTCATGAAATTATGTATATTTAGGAAGTAAAGTCGGCAAAATGGAGTTAGTAGGCATTTTGTAAAGCAGATATGAACAATACATTGCTCACGTTAAATCAGTTAGATATTAACTGATGGGAATATAAAGTGTTTTGTCGATTAGAGCTAGCGGCATTGGAAAGCAATGCATTTCTATCGCTCACTCAAAGACATTTATATTGATATTTACAGTAGGACCTTAGAAATCAAAAGAATCAGACAATAGGCGTCAAACCTATTGTATAAGAACTTATTTTGTGAATAGTTGGGATAATCGATAGGAGGTTAATGTATTCTTCAGGGCAGCTCTTCTTTGTAATATCTTCCAAAATGTCTGCGTTTTTGTTATTTAAAAACTTTTACGCAGCTTTGATTGACAAAAATCAATTACGTCTGTCTTCATTATTTTTCTGCTTGCTCAATAACACAGTTATATCAAATTTTGTAAATAAGATACATGATAATGAAATGTACTGTCAGTGTTCTATGAAAACTTCATAATCAAAGCAATTTTCACAAGGGGTGCCATCCTTAAAAACTTAGCCATTCCTGAACTCCTCCACACGTAGTCTGAATACTTTTCCACAAATACTTGTTAATAACTCTTTCATCCTGAATAGATGAGGGGTCTTAATAAGAAGGGGGCTGGAAAACTCACCAACATGAACAAAGCAAGGGGGCAGGAATTAGCTTGGGTTATTTTTGTTTATTTAGCAGACAGCAAGACAACACAGCTATAACATGATATATCAAGCACAACTGTTGAAGTAAGGTAAATGATTTCTCCTCCAGGTTTACCTGGGAAAAAATAAAAGTTACCCGGGAGGGGGGGATCAGAAATATTTGTGGAAATAAATAAGCGTCTATTTGGAACCTGAGAGTAGAGTTTTGAAAAGACTATAAATGGGTACTCTTTCAAATGCATTCACCTTTCGCTGCCTTAGAAAATTTCACTATGGTGACGATATTCTATTGTATGTATTTTTATATTTTTGCCTATTTTACCGAAATAGTCATACCATTGATTATACAGATAAAATCTATTTTCATAATTGATTATTATTTTAGCATTTATAGACTGTAGTTAATGTTTCAGATCTCTCAAAATGTTTGCAAACTCAACTAACACCAATATCGAAAACTACAACTGGGCATCGGTCCAGCTCAATATCATTATGTTGCCTGTTGGCCTGTCACTGTTGCTGATTGTCAGTTTGTCTGCATGCATATGTCACTGGTTAAGGTAATATTTTTATTCTGTTGTAAATTATCTCCAAGTCATTTTGATGTGAGCATGAATTTGCTAAGATTGTGCCAAGAAATTTATCAACTGAAACTTCAAGGCCAAAAATCCTCTCTTTCCCAGTATCCTGCTGTTTGTTTTCACAAAATAGACTTTCTCACCATTTCATACCAGACAGGAACAAATAAATATTTGGCTGTACACTTAATACCTTGATTCTTAGCTTGTTTTGACAGCATTTTTAAGTCATCAGTTTTAGAGGAAACATATAAATTTCAGTTAAAATTTGTCTTGATGAAAAATGATAAGGTACATGTAGGTGGGGCTATCTGTAAAGAAATACTTTTGTATATCTATTTAGCATGTGAGTTTTCTCACAGATGGCCACTTAATTGACACCAAATCCCCAAATTTTCTATTCAGTGGTTGATAAAGGTTGCATTCCATCATGATTAGACATATGTCATTTCTGTGTAAAAGTGTGAAGTATTTTGATAATGGGTTAAGCTCTCAGCAAATTACCAAAGCTATGCTTTTTTGTATATAAAAGGTATCTGTATAAGTTAATTGCTACACACTATGGAGTGTTAGTCTCCATAGGTTAATGCCTGAAATTGTGAACTTGCCAGAGAGAATTGGGCAGAGAATTGTGACAAAAGCAGGGATGGGTTGTAATAGCCCTTAACCCCCTCAGTGCATTATCAACTAATACTGTAACAAAGTTTTAGGCAGTCAGTAAATTTGTATACCATCCATCAATTTATACCATCAGTCGTTTGTACAATCTTTCCATGTTCTTTCAAATGTACAATGAAGATGGGATTTTAGCAACATCATTTGGATCTCAAGTGATTTTCCCAGCTTTTTAGCTGTTTCAAGTAAAATAGCAGAATTGCCGATTTTTGCTAAGAAAGACTCAATACTTTATGCCACATAAATTCTGTTATGTCAAGTGCTGTGCGTTTGACTAAATGGGCCGTTTGACTAAGTTTTATTTTCACTATTTTACATTGATGTTGTAAGAAATGAATTATCGGACCCTTTGAAGAGAGGGATCAAATCAACAACCAAAATCATGAGCTTTTGTTAAGGACATGGTTTTGAACTTTGTTGTAAAAGGTGACTGTAAAAATCTACTTTTTATATGCAGAAAAAGGCGTTTAAAGATGTTGGCTAGACAACACAAGCGTCAGCAAAGAAATGCCAGGGTGAATCAAAATCCAGAAAGAGTAGTAAGTTTTGCGTACTTTGAGCGCTCGCCAACCCGTACGAACTCGGTCAATACACCAAGGGACCGCTCCTTCTCACCAACACATCCAGCTACGCTTAGAAAGGAAAAGATAAAAAAGAAAAGGGAGAAAATGACTCACTCTTTAATTATAGAAAATGGACACCATTACGCTGATAAAAATCCAAAAATTACATCAGAAAATCATGAAAATGCATTAAACGGCAATGCAAATGTAACGAAAACACGGAACGGTAAGGTTGCTCCGGAAAGACGTGCGTCCGGAATTCCTGTGCCTGTCAAACACAATACTAGAGTTAAAAGGAAGACATCTGTCGGGAATGGTAGTTCATCATCAGGTGGTAGTTTTCTTGAAGGGAGACCTCATACTGTAGATACTAGTAAACCATATACAATTGATATGGATACGATAAAAACACCTGCCAAAGACCGTCGAAAATGGGTTATCCCGGACACACCGAGAGTAGATTATGATCACAAAGGCAGTCTACGTCTTCCACCCTTATCTGAAATACGAACGGCAAGTACAGCTTGAAAAAGCGTTTCTGCAGCGTTGCCTGGTTGTGTGTAGCTTTCTCTATGAACGAAGATTTTTCATATCAGATTGTTTCAACCTACAGGGATTAATCGCTTGAATGCCAGTTCTATTATTGCCAAGGGTGTTCAATGAAGTTGCAGTATGCTTTCCGCCCAGATCAGTGAATGTAAAATAAAAAGGCCTGAAGCATCGTTTTTATTATTAAGTATGGTCTTCTTTAGCATACCCTGATGTAGCAAACACCACAGAAGGGAACGATTGGTCAATATTGCTATAGCTAAAGAAAAATACAGTAAATGAATTAAAGAAAGCTCCATTTTATGGCTTGATGCTGAGGTTAGCCTGCAGGTTTTACGTCATACTAGAAAGCACTTAAAAATACCCTTTTTTATAAAAAAAATCCTTAAGAACACGAGCCTCAAAAAGTGGTGAAAAGTTAAGAACAATTGAAGAAAAAGCTGGGGCTGAGTTACTTAAGATGTCATTTTCAACAATGTTTCATCTCAAAAACGAGAATGTGGGTGCTTTTACGATGAATTTTCAAACCTGTAGGCAAATGAAAGATGTCTCACTCAATTTGTTGGCAAATGAGGCTTGATCAACTCCCTTAAGCGATAAAGGTAGCAATTGCACTGCTTATACCCTGTTGATCTCAGAACAAATTAAGAACAATCAACCTCAAATTTTTTAAAAAATTAAGAACGGTCAGCCTGAACATAAATTTACTGGTTCATATGAAGAAAAAGTGAATTAGACATCGCTCGGCCAAATTCATTTACCAAATAGCCATTGCGCAAGGTACTCTGTTTCTAGAATCTTAAAAAAACGCAAATCGCGTGTAATTTGTTCAACAACAAGGACAATAAACTCGAACGATGAAGGCTCAGCTGTTCGCAAATACTTGGATGAAACAGGTATCCAATTTCTTAAAAGTTATTCTCCTTTTGAGAAACAGTTCTGCGTACGTCAAAAGACCCTTGGACCTGTGCTCGTTTTTGTGTTGGAACTTAGGATACAAATAAGCTGTGTACAATTCGATTTGTATTACAAGACTTGCTTTTCCTTAAAATGAAGACTGAAAATGAAGCCTCAGTGAATGATTCTTGTATCGGTAAGTTCACCGTTGTTTAATTTGGTAATGAGTTTAATCAGCTGAAATTCAGTTTTTCAATTGTATGGCAAACTTTTTGAAACCAGAATCATATCTAACAGAAGCCTGTCGGTTTAGCATGAATTGGGAAAGGGTGGAGAGCCCCAGGCACAACTTAGTTCCGCCTGATTATCATCTCCTGGTCACTTCAGGTAAACTAAAGAACAACTCCAGATAAAACCTAGGACAACCCCAAATCTACTCCAGCCCAAAACAACTCCAGCCCAGAACAACCCCAGATCAGCCAAAGGTCGACCCTAGGGAAAACCAAGTTTTACCAAAGTTTCCATCAAAACATTTGTTTCTTGTACTCACCAGTAGCTCAAAGATCGTTTAACGACGCTAAATGCTAAAACTGCATCCACTGCTGAAAACTGATAAAAATGCTGCATTTCAAATGCTAGAAAGTGGCGCAGACTCATTTGAATAGCAGAATTGTATTTGATCGTGGTTGTTTAATTTGCAATTCTGTTAAAAGGCCCTCTCAGCTTGAAAATATAATTCCAGTTAGTCTCAAGCATATCTTGATTTACAGTTATGTAGAATTAGCTTTGTAAATATTTTAAAGCAAATTTGAAGTAAAATTTTATTATCTATGAAATAGATTTTTTAATCGTTTATCGTAATTATTTGTTCATAGCCCACGCATTGAATTTTTAGTCTTTAAAAGCTTGATTTTTAATGTATGATTTTATTCCACGCACTTGAAAGTTCGTTCGAAACGATTTAGTGTCGAGTGATTCAAATTGCGAATGATTTAGTGTCCTTGATGTTTATATCATTTATTGGCAATGTTGCATTTTACATCATATTCAATTATGTTATCAAACCCGCATTGGAGAATTTAGTATAAACCTATACTTGGTGGCAACTTATAAGCAGGGACGTTGCTAGCTATTGTGCTCAACAAGGGGTTCCACCTTTTTTAGGTCTTATATTCCGGCAATAAATGGAGGGGTTTACTTTCATTGCGGACAAGTTTGAAAATGAGCCGACGCAAAATACCTTATAGTAGCAGCTCTTCTTATAAACATATTTCTTGTGATTTCGCTACATTGATAATAATAATAATAATAATGATAATAATATATCTCGCCAAATCTCCGTTTCGGAGCAGTTACTATACCACAAACACAGAATTGCCAGAAAAGACGTCATGTACAGTATATTGCACACAGGCATGTAGAGTATCATACTTCAAGAGTCGTTATAATCAGAGTGTTTTCAAACTTACGCAGACACTTTTCAATTACTGTTTTCCATACAGGTAAGGGATGATACCCCGTCGTCCCTATATTCATACTTCCCTTTATAACATACCACAGACTGGCTTACCCGAAGAGAAATGCTCAAAGTCCATATACAAACAGTGGCGATTCGCTATTTGATATGGCCTTATTGCCACTAATTCAGTCCTTTTGCTGTATATGTAACACCGTGTCCCATATGTTGTGTAAGCCCTGAATCTCTAAAAGAAGGCCTTATTTAATTGTCGTCCTTACTTCATTTCATAATTGAAAAAGCGAATATGTACATTATTATATGTCAATTAGACAGACGACTATAATCACACATGATTGTACGCTCGAAGGGAAATATCAGAAAAATTGCAATGATTTTGTAGAAATACCTGCATTTGTTTCTGATATATAATGAAAAGCCAGAGAATTGCTGCACTGTTTTTGCTCTATTGGTATGAAAAGTCTTGACGATGATAGTACTTTTTCAAGTGGCAGATCGTTTTCCAATGTATGATTTTAAGGTATTTTATCACTGTGTGCTTGATAAGGTTTTGGTCTACACTCTCCATGACAACAGATTGTACCAAAAATAATACGAAATTCACATACGAATAAAAGTAACTATGATTGCATTTAAAATCTGGCTTTTTTCAATTAAACAGAGAATCTAGGCACATGGTGACACGGGAAAAGAGTTTAACATCTTTCCTAAAAAATACACAATGATTGGATAAAAAATGGTCAATGACAGCTGGTCAAATGTCTTGAAGATTGGTCATTTTTCCTTGAAGTCTCCCAAAGTCATAACCTTGGTCAAGTCCCCGAGGGAATCAGTTCTGCAATGCGCATCTATAACCTCTGGTTTTTCAGGGGCAAAGTCTATCTCATATGAATATTCAGTCTCCCTTCCACGATCTTTGATGAATGGCAATGCAAACAAATCGCTACACTTCGTTTTTTCTCAACATAACACTCATGACCTGTGCCAACATAACTCAAGAACTAGCCAACTACTGTATCAATAAAGTCTTGAGCCTTTAACGATTTACAACATAACGTTGGATTAAAATTGTCCTTCTTCGGATATTTTAAGAATAGTTTGTAGTGTCACGACACTTAATTTGTTTATAGTCTACAGGGTGTTAAGCGGGAGAACCCTACACATCTATATACATATTACTCGATGTTTTTGATTTAAATTTTTATACTACCATCTCAAGTTTTCTCAAACCCTACTCAAGTCCTATTTCCACGAAGGATGTACAGTTTTAAGAGCATCAGATAACAAGAAATTACTTTAAAAAGAGTTGTAACCAAAGCTAAAAGTTAATATGTTGCTAAGAAAGAATACATGCAATATAAGACAATTGTTTAAAAAGACACTGCCCGCCTAGTAAAAACTTTGCGGACCTTTCAAAGTAAACAATTAACAATTAAATTATACTTGTATAATTTAATAAAACATATCAAATTTTGCCATTTCACTTTGTCATAATTTTGTGTGCCCCCCCCCCCCTGAGGGGAAGGAGGCGCGTAGAAGGCAAACGGATTTTGAGCACTGAAAAGTGATTTCGGGTCTTGCTTTCTCTGTTTTATACGACCTCGCTTGGGATACGAGAGAGAGGTATATTGAAGATAGCACCTTCATTCAAAAGCAAAATTCTATGGAAAGCTAAGTCGAACAGCTGGAGAGAATTTGTTCCTAGATTTCAACAAAAAATGACAGAAATTGCGGGAAAAGAGAAGCCAGAGATAGATCTTGATACGAAGTATCTTGCTCATGACTTGTTCGTCCATGAACCAACTTTTCATGGTAGGTGGTTGTAATTCAAATTGCACGAACATGATGATATGACCCTTGATCCTCCAATCGATCCCCCAACTTTTTCAAATAGTCATTAATGACAATCCTTTTCCTCATAGGCCTAGATCTTCTTATGAAAAGTAACTTTTGGGCAGATATCTGAATGGCGTCTGCCAAATGTCTTTGCAGAAATCTTTACACAAAATAGAAAAGGATAGAAAGCCTTTTTTGACTTTGAACTCTAGCTTTTTCCTGTAAAAGGAAGGATTTTACTTCAGTTTCATTGCAATTTCTAGGCATATTAAGTTATTTGGTGGCTTATCGCGTAAACAAGTCAATCTCCTTGCTTGCTTTTTTGCAATTTGAGATGCCCATAAGTCCATCACTAAGTAACCTCGTCATTCCGAAGTCCGAGTATCACAAAATTTACCAAGTTCTTGTTAGGCCAACTGGTCATTCAATTATGGAAACAAGTTGTGGCCAAGTCAAGAACAGACAAGTCTCTAAATATTTTAATAATGCAGTTAAGTCAGATGATATCCGTTGGAATGAGTCAGGTAATTGTAGACTTGCACCAGGTTTTGTGAAGAAAATAATTTCTACTCGCTGCTGTCAGTGTGTCACTGGAGCCCTTGGCATTTTGTTTCAACTTACTCTCCCCTATACTCCACAGCCAGTTTTGATGAAACTCTCTAGCACAAACCATTAAGAGAAACTATGAAAATAGCAATACTCTATTGGACAGATCCTCTTTTTTCTCCTCACAAGGTTTGATATAAAATACCTCTGCTTAACAAATTCCTTCTCTCATTTTGTTTTCCATACCCACTTGGCTGAAAAAGTTCTATTCACCTTTCTCCATGTATTATACAAAGTTAATAATCTGAGCAGTGTGCGATGATATGTACTGCAATATATTTAATTCATATTTTCATTTTTTTATCCTTAAGATATTTTCCTTTCATTTTGTGAGCAGATGAAACGGAGAAAGAAATCAAGATATGTGGCATGAAAGAGTCAGTAGTGAGGATCGTATTTGGAATTATCATTGTCTTAGTTATATCAATATCATGGGTTGCCGCCACACAGTTTGCAATGAGGACATACACATCAAGTTTTTCAGCACCATATTTCACAACATGGTTCACAACATGTTTCATGGCAATAGTCTTTCCACTCTTCAGCCTTTCACAGTTTTTCAAGAAAGAGCCATGGAGGTTTAAAGTATTTTGCAGGTAAAAATTTTGTATATTTCTCAGTTCCCATGTTTTACATTAATGCCATCATCAGGGAACTGCTCTGGACCATTAAGCATGAAACTCTGCCTATACAGCAACAACCAGTAATTTGCTTTAATTAACTCATATTTGTAGCTGATCGAGTAGCCCTTATTTCAGCAAACACTAAAACAGACTACGGAAAAACATGATAGGAACATTGGTATGCTAGTTAGGAAACGTTTTGGCGGCTTGATGAGCGATTCGAAAAAACAGTTTTTTAATTTGTCAGACTATTCTCTCTCTGAAACGAAAGCATTTGTCTTAGGTAATGGTCTTGAGTTTTGTATCCCACCACAACGAATAAACAGAGAGGAACTTTTTGCTGAATTTCAAAATTTTACACGCTCAACTTGCCAGGCACAATATTTCTGATGCTTTGGAATTTAACAAATTACGAGCACGACTAAGCGATTTGGCGTACGCTTACAGCAGCTCTTCCATCGACCACTCAGATTTTCTTTTGCATAGAGAAAATTTCCAAGCATTAAAATCTCTACGGTCTAATAATGACATCTTTATCACTAAGCCTGATAAAGGGTTAGGAGTGGTTGTTTTGAACAAAAAGGACTACATCCAAAAAATGGAGAATATTCTCCTCGACAAAGAAAAGTTCGAAAAACTGGGTGACTTCGAAACACAGGATATAACGGCCAAGCTAGAGCGGAAACTTCAAAAACGCCTTTTGGAGCTGGTTAACTCAAAAGTGTTGATCAACGAAGTTTATGATAAGATAAGACCCACAGGTTCACAGCGTCCACAAATGTATGGCCTCCCTAGAATACACAAGCCAAATGTTCCACTTAGACCCATCTTGTCTATGATTGGCTCAGCACAACACAAACTGGTAAAGTGGCTTTCTGAAGTTTTGGACCCTGTTCTTCAAAAATATTCAAAACATTGTATCAAGGACTCTTTTACGTTCGCTGAGTTCATGCAAAACTTGAACATCAAAAACGAAACATCTTTCATGTGTTCTTTTGACATTAGCAGTCTTTTCACAAATGTCCCTTTGAGTGAGACCATCAAAATATGTCCGGACGCTTTGTACCAGAGTGAGCTTAATAGCCCACCATTCCCAGAGGAAATATCCATTGAGCTGATGGAAACTGCAACACGTTCAGTTGAACTCAGCTTTAACAATGAAATGCACCAACAAAAGGATGGTGTCGCTATGGGTAGCCCTCTGGGACCTGTCTTGGCCAATATCTTTGTCGGCTTTCATGAAGAGCGTTTGTTTGACTGCGACCAAAAGCTAGGTGTTTATTTTCGGTATGTGGATGACACATATACCATTTTCAAAACAGAGACTGAGTGTGATACTTTTCTAAAACGCCTTAATGGCCTTCACACAGCCCTACAGTTTACATTTGAAAAGGAAGAAAATAACTCCTTGCCATTTCTAGATGTTTTGGTTGAAAAATCTGACACTGGATTTCTCACTAGCGTATACCGTAAACCCACATTTTCGGGGTTATACACTCGATGGAGTTCGTTTTGCCCAAAACAAAGAAAAATCAGCCTCATCAAAACGCTTAAACATAGGGCACTGATGATTTTCTCCAAGTCTAAACTCAACTCGGAGCTTGAAAAACTAACTAAGATCTTTCTGGAGAACGGCTATCCAGAGGATGTTATTTCAGTTTACATTTAGAAGAAGATCGGAAATTTCTCGGCTGACGTAAAATTTGGTCCTCAAAAATGCCCGGTCTATCTAAAACTACCCTGGATCGGTGACAGTTTTCCTGCGTTTCGAAAGCCAAATAAAACAGGCCATTACAAATTGTTTCTTTGCAGTCAACCCACGTATTGTATATAGTACCAAAAAGGCCCTTCCGTCCAATCAAAAGGACTGCGTTCCTGCCACACAAAAAAGTTCCGTTGTTTATGAATTTACGTGCCAGTGTGATTCTGGCTATGTAGGACGCACTTCCCAAAGATTGGAGGATAGAATAAAACAACATGTTCCGCCTAGTATTAGAAAAAAACTTGTCCCCAAAGAGAACAGCCACCTCGGTCTTGCAAATCTAAAATTACAACTAAAACCTGCGATTCTGCTATCGGGCAGCATTTGCTAGAAAACCCAGATTGTGCAAAAAACTATAATGGCGACATGTTTCGGATTATTAGTAAAGCCCGATCGTCGTTCCACCTAGCAGTTTTGGAATCTATCTACATAAGCACGAAAAAAACCGCTACTGTGTAGACAAAAGAAGTTCGTTTTCACCTTAGAATATTCTCAATAGGCAAACGGCACTGATTGGTCAACCTCAACAGTCATGTGCTCGTGTTTCTGATTGGCCTATTTCGATCCACAACTGGGTATGTATATTTCCTAGCGCAGAGTTTTCGATCTATGTTCTGACGTTTTAAACTCTGAAGAGTGTCAGACGAAAAGCTTTAGTTTACTAAATGTTTGCTTTTTTCAAAGCCATTTTCAAGCCCTTATTTCGTGTTTTGTAGACTCAGAGTTGCAGAATGCCAAGTTGTAACTCTTTGCTTAAACAAGAACTTTGTGACTGTCAAACTGGAGTTGCCTGTTAATAACATGGAATTTAGATTCTGTTAGGACTTGCGATTTATACTGTTTATGTCTGCAACTTCAGTGAGTGCTAATGACCTTGGTATTAATGTTCCAAGAGAAATTATATATTATTGACTATCGGTTTAATTTATATATCAGCCTATCATTGACCCACTATCTTTCAGATTTAATTTGAGACAATGATATTCTTTTGTATACTTACATTTGAATTTCTTCTTAATTTCTTTTATTTCTCTTTAATTACTTAGGTTTTAAATCAACTTTTTAAATTTCTTTCTAGGGACAGTGCAAAAATATTTGGGCCACGTGGTGTTTGCCTTATAAGCCTCATTAAATACACACTACCGTTTTGTATTTTGTGGCTCATTACCAACTACCTCTACATCCGTGCTCTCAAAGAACTCAATCCAGCTGATGTGACAGCTCTTTTCTCATCAGTCAGTGCATTTGTTTACATTTTTTCCATTGCGCTTTTAAAAGAGAAGTTTTTCATAACCCGGGTAAGTGGACGTTGTTACATGGTGTTACCATTTTTACTTACTTAATATCTCTAATATTAATCTCATTCAATTTGGCTTATGCAGAAAATACACAAATGACCTTTACTTAACAAAGGTTCTGGTCATATCGTATCTTGTATGAAAATGATCATATCATATTGTATCTTTTGCTTGTGACAATGTCAGGCAAGAAATGAGAATACATTAGAAGATGTTTACAAGTTTTGGGCAAGTAAATCATGAATAAAGCCCTACATTCAGAGTTTCACAGGAATCCCTTTAGTAATAACAAAAGGCCGATGTCAAGGGTACTTTCACAGGAATCCCTCCTATCAAAATGCAACAGGGGCGTGTGACCCCCTCATGCCACCTTCTCCGGCGTCCCTAAGCCTTCTTCCTCATTCTGCTATTTTTTCGTTTTTTTTGTAGGCCTTTGCCCCCCCCCAACTACCTTGATTGCAAACCTTTCTAATGACAGGTGCCTAAATTATGAAAAGAAGCAACTAGAGATCTTTTTTAGGAGCACAGCATGCAAGTCATCTTACTTTGACGTGTATCATGTTGCTGTATTGGTTTCTATTTCATTATCTTGTAGCTCACAGCTGTGTTAATGTCAATTGGCGGCATTGTATTATTTGCCTCAACCTATGGCTTCAAAGGACCCACAGCAGAGGGCATTGTGTTGACTGTTATAGCAGCGTCAGGATCAGCATTGTATCAGGTGACGAATTCCTCTAATTTTTAGTGGCTAATTATTATTTGAACATATTCTTTGCCCCACTTTTTTCAGAATTTCAAAAAGTGCATTATCATCTTGCTTGTATTATTTGAGTGTTGTTTGATGATGTTGGAGAGAGATGCTCGGAGTCATTATCGTGATTTAGACCCCGTTTGCACTGCTACAGATCAGTTTTGATACAGATATCCTTTCCGTTTAAACCAGTACGGATTCATGAGTACGGGTACTTGGTAAAATTTGTATGCAGTAAAATAAAATCCTATAATTTTTCAAAGTCCTCCTCTTTGAGGTGCGAAAAAATTCCCTGCCACCTTCCCTATGGCTGTTTGACATCACTCATAACATAGATTCATGAGACCGTTCTTCGACCTTCAAAAATTCTCAACCCATTCGTCTGGCGATACAACATTATTGATAAAGTTTTCTCCACGAAGTTCCAACCTACCAGGCATTCCCAAAATCGAGTCCAATTGAGTCTGTTGGTGCCAAATGGTCTCGCTTACGTGCTGATTTAAGGCCTCGTTGTTAATCCGTATCAAAAGTTATACGGATTGCCCCGTTTACACTTGGGTTTTCACGAGTCCGGATCACTCGCGATCCTTTTGCTAAAAGGATCAAGAGTGATACGGCTAAGCATATCAGGCCTCGTTGTTAATCCGTATCAAAAGTTATACGGATTGCCCCGTTTACACTTGGGTCTTCACGAGTCCGGATCACTCGCGATCCTTTTGCTAAAAGGATCAAGAGTGATACGGCTAAGCATATCAGGCCTCGTTGTTAATCCGTATCAAAAGTTATACGGATTGCCCCGTTTACACTTGGGTCTTCACGAGTCCGGATCACTCGCGATCCTTTTGCTAAAAGGATCAAGAGTGATACGGCTAAGCATATCAGGCCCCGTTGTTAATCCGTATCAAAAGTTATACGGATTGCCCCGTTTACACTTGGGTCTTCACGAGTCCGGATCACTCGCGATCCTTTTGCTAAAAGGATCAAGAGTGATACGGCTAAGCATATCAGGCCTCGTTGTTAATCCGTATCAAAAGTTATACGGATTGCCCCGTTTACACTTGGGTCTTCACGAGTCCGGATCACTCGCGATCCTTTTGCTAAAAGGATCAAGAGTGATACGGCTAAGCATATCAGTTTGCTACGGATAGCTACGAGTGGTATAAACGGAAGGCCAATCCGTATCGCTTTTGATACTTATCAAAAAGTGATCCGTAGCAGTGTAAACGGGACCTAAGTAAATGTAGATGTTCTTTGACCTCCAGAAGTAGGCTGCCTAACACATTGGAAACCTTTGCTTGTTCGTATCCCCAACAATGTACAGATTTATGTATCATTTATGTTCGTTTTTAGGTATCGGAAAATTTTTTCCAGAAATTAGCTCTCCTTAAGCTATTTGCCCACCAAAAGTCGAGTCTGTCTGCTTATATGGGAATTAAGCTGCATATGTGTCTGAATGACGTAAAACCATGAAAAGTTACCCTTAACTGTTTTAATAAGTGTGCTATATTGTATCGATGTTAGATGGATCAAATGATAATTTTACACAAAAATTGCTACGCAGATGTAGTTAGATTGAGTCAGATTTATCGTAGCATTGTCTCATTTAGAGTTGTAATCTATTTACTATTTATTATGTTTTTTATATATGATAAACATATTGCTTTCTTTTTAGGTCATGTTCAAAGTCGTTGTCAAAACTGCAACTGGTTCTCAAGTGGCATTATTTCTTTCACTGTTAGGCCTCTGCAACATTCTTGTGTTTTGGATCGTTATCTTGCCCTTCCATTTTACAAAGTACGAAAGTCTCGATTCTTCTGACTTTCCATGGGTTTACTTGATCGGCAGTGGCCTTCTAATACTCGTGTTTAACTACATGGTTAACTTTGGTATTGCCTTCACTTCGCCGTTATTTATTGCACTTGGAACGCTGTTGGGTACACCACTGAACGCCGCGACTGATTACATTTTCAACAGGCAGTCGTTCGGTTACCTTAAAATCATAGCAACGTGTCTGATACTCGGTGGTTTCTCGTTAATGCTTATTCCCAATAACACCTTGCGTTCATTTGAGCGAAAGCTTGTGTGTGCTAAAGATGAGATTGAGGAATCAGAACCAATCGAGGCTAGTGACAAAATGTTCGAAGGCGGTAAATCTACAAGCATGTAAATCTAGAGAAGACAAGTAATCAAGGTAATGAGTTTTTATTATTTGATATTGCAAACTAAATTATCAGAAGTTTTGATGCTATAGAACTGATTGTTGTCTGCAATAGTAATTAACACTGACATGTTAGCGAATTCTTGCAGAAATTATATTTTGTAGCAAAATTCAGCAAAGATTCCAAGCTTACATCAAGCTGATAGCGTTTTTATATTCAGTTTTGTTTAATATATCACTAGGGTTTTATGATATGGAGTTTGATTGTTCGATGTAGAATAAATAACAGCCAGGTAGGATGTTTCTTGTAAACACTATAACAGTGCTGTTTTAATGTATTGTCTGTTTTTTGTCAAATATGGTTAATTGTGCAGCAAACTAGTATATATTGCCACTATCGATTAAATAGAACGTACAAGAGTCATGCATCAAGCGCTGCCCATAAAGATGGCATTTCTGACCCCATGTTGAATGGCTTGCCCTTCTCAGGGACATGACTATGTACTGAACATTCAGTACTAGATTTGATTGAAAACAGCGCTTTTTGTCTCATAATTCTTCAAATTTGCACTTGATCACTCATACTGGTTCACTGCCATTATAATCCTTTATAATACGTGTGTCGACCTTGAAATATTTGTTTGGTCCTTTATGAATATTCGGTTACAAGTCTTTGAGAAGTTATAAGAGCCTCTCTACAGCTTCCAATTCAAATTTGTTTCCCACAAGAAACTCAGTTTTAGTCAGTAAACTGACGCACAGCGTAGCTGCAGAAGACATCGAGCCTACAGACTATTCTGCTTAGGAACATTATTGTTTATGTTCGAATCTTTTAGAATGTATATTTGAAAATCCATTCATGGATTCTACAGTTGAAATCAGTTTTATTGCCACTTAGTATGTGATGTTTTTAATCTAAATACATGATTGTTTTAACTTAATCAGCGAAAAGCGAAATCCATATTACTTTATGCAAATTAGTTATTGTGTCAAATTAAAAGTCGCTCCTCCGTGATAGTCATAACCCATGTGTGCTTTCCAAGATACTTTGCAAGATTGATGTCAAAATCAAAATAAATATCTAGAAATGTGTGTGACCTCCCTTTGGCTAATGTGTGAAGATTTTTCTCAGAAAAACCGTATTTGAAATTAACAGTAGTGTTTGGAAAGTAGCTTATAAAGGTTTAGGTTTCTTTTTCTGCCCGACCTTACTCGCCATTTTAGGCATGCAGACATCAATTTTCTGGATAAGCCGTAAATGACTATTAAAAGAAATTGTGATAAGTTTTAATTTGTTGAACAAGTGAGTTATTTTGATACAATGGAGAACTTTGCTTGAGGCCACCATCAAGTCAAAAATATCTTTTGTTGCAATTTGACACCTACAATGCCTACAAAAAGTCTTTTTACACCAATAGCATTTGTGATTCATATTTGCAGTTTCCCGTTTCTTCTCAAACATTGTTGAATTGCACTCCATAGAAATACACTCTTCGAATAAAGGCTGTAGTTTGGGAACTATCAAGGACGAGGTGCAATGCTCACATTTATTTTGAAAATAGAGGGGGACTTTGCTACAGGGGCGGACACTTGGTCAAATATTGGGGGGAAGCCTATTGTTTTTATAACACGACATCACATTTCCCATTGTTTTAAAACAAAGGACCATTGTCCTCTAAAGTATTGGGGGGGGGGCGGTCGCCCCCTCGCCCCCCCAAGTGTCCGCCACTGCTTCGCTATTTCTATTGACGAAGTCCCCCCTCTATTTAAAATAGAATAAAAAAAAATTCAAATTTTAAAATAGATCAAGAATTGACTGAAATTGCTTGGGTATTCCAATCACTTTTCGCGTGGATAGCACCTGCATCTTAGATTGATACCCCTAATCTCGCATGTATTGTTCTTTGCAATATTTTGGCGAGTGTCATGCATATTTCGCAATATTCTGCATATTCTGCGAATTTTGACAATGTTGTTATGTAGTTAGCATCATTGTTAATGACCAGTCCATCATATCGAAGAATATTTAGCATTTTTATTTCATAGAAGTAATAGTTAATGCATGATGTTGTGTGTTTGAAAGTCGAGGTAGAGTTATATTATGATGTCGTTGGACTAGATTTCTGCCAAGTTGAATTGAGTTGAAGTGACAGTAAGTTTTCTAATTCCAGTTTTCGTTTTATATCATTCTCATGCATATCGTTACTAGTTACGTTGTTTGTAGTAAATTTAATCCATCGGTATTACATTTACGCATGTTTTCGTCTCTTTTTGTCCTTGTTTAACTTCCAACCTCCAACAAGAATAAAAAGGCTTTCGTTGCTTTATTATAAAACTTGTATATTGATCCTAGATATAGAATTGCTGCCATCTTCAAATAAAATTGCCGTTCGAAGAGGCTTGAAATTAGGAAACAGATGATTTCTAGTATGTAAATAAATAAAAGGAATGCATGCCACGAAAAGTCGATAAAAATGTAGAAAAAAGGGACACCGCAATACGCCAAGAACAACAACAAAAACCAGAAACAAATTTAAAGTAGCTGAACAACTTTTCTTCTGGCTTCCAATAAATCTCTCAAGGACCTAACTCTGTTCTGAGAGAGAATTCAAATTTTGTATTTCGAAAGTTTTAGTAGAAATTAGCCACCCTCAAAAACTTTGTCTTCTCGTTAAAGAATTTATATTTTTTTATTCACAGAAGATTTCTTGCTACTTTTATATCAATATTTGAAAGCCCTAACTTGTTTACGGGAAAAAGTTCAACATTCATAATTTTGATATTTTCATAAGCCTCTTTGTGAAAGCTTACGTTGATTTTGAGACTGTTTTTCTAAAAAGAATGAAAGAAGCATTTATTACTGGTTTTTTTGGTTATTTCTAGTATCTAGGCAAAGCTTTCAACCCAGTTTTTTAAGAAAATTCGGGTCTAACTTTTTGACCATTTAGATAAACCTATGTTCTCTATAGGACCAGAACAAACAAGAGTTTATATTAGTTCTGGAATGAAAGTAGTTTTCTTAAAATGATGACGACTTTTTGGACGGGTCGATTTTTCATAAGAAAAGGAAGACTTCAGACTTATAATAATCTTCAAAACTTTTTCGAAAGGTTTTCTTATAGAACAGGTTAACTTGCATCCATATGATCAGCTTGAACCAGAATTATATTTGGTTCTAGAATGAATGGCTTACGAAATACGAAGATGACACCTTTTAGACAGGTCAAATATTCATTTAAAGAATGAGTATAGGCTAACGTTAAGTAAAGAATGAAGAAATAGAGAGCGTTGAATTCAAGTGCTACAGACAGATGCTGCAGATTCCATATACTGCGCACGTCACAAATGAAAGTATTAAAAATAAAAAAGATGCAACAACTGGCACACCAGAAAGGTTAGTGGGAACTGGAAACCTTTGAATTCAAGTGCTACATGCAGATGTTACAGATTCCATATACTGCGCATGTCCCAAATGAAAGTATTGAAAATCAAATAGATGCAACAACTGGCACACCAGAAAGGTTACTGGGAACTGTAAGGAAAAGGAAGCTCCAATGCAGAGTCCAGAAATATTGTTAACCTTCCTCCAGACAAAACATCCCAAAAGGCAAACCTTCCTCACAACACAATAAAAGTGGACGTGCTTTGGGTGTGTCGTAGGAGCTTCTATTGTTTTTCGTGGATCTTTCTCCGGTCAATGGCCGTGCGACCGTAATGTTTTCCTGACTCTACTCCAATGGTTTGGGCACCTTGTTAGGCAGTACAACAGCTTGGCAAAAATGATCATGGAAGGGATGGTAGAAGGAAAAGGAAGAAAAGGCAGACCAGAGAAACAGTGGATAGATAACATAAAAGAGTGGACAATGCTGGAGATTGGTGAAATTATGAAGAAAGCCAGAGACAGAAAGCAGTGGGGGCTGATTGTGAGGAAAGCATCTATATGCCCTTACGGTCGTGAGACTACGGGTTCATGATGATGATGATGATGATGATGATGATGATGATGATGATGATGATGATGATGATGATGATGATGATGATGATGATGATGATGATGATGATGATGATGATGATGATGCTGATGATGATGATGATGATGATGATGATGATGATGATGATGATGATGATGATGATTATGATTATGATGATGATGATATGATGGTGAGACTACGGGTTAATGATGATGATAAGAATTTTGAAAAATTTTTCTATTTTGAAAGCAGTTTAATTGGCATTTATATAATCTAATAAAACAGGAATTGAACTTAGTTATCAAATTAGAGTGTTTATTTTGAAATATTCGCAACTTTTTAGACAGGGTAATTTTTGAGAGAAAAGTAATTGTATAGCCTTACAAAAATTGTCAGGTTTTTTGAAATTTTTTGTTGATTGAAAGCAGTTTAATTGGCATTTATATGATCTAATAAAAGAGGAATTGAACTTAGTTTTCAAATTAGAGTTTGATTTTTGAACAATTCACAACTTTTTAGACGGCGTAATTTTTGAGAGAAAAGTAAGCCTATAGCCTTACAAAAATCGTAAATTCTTTGAAATTTTTTTTGGATTGAAAGCAGATTAATTGGCATTTATATGATCTAATAAAAGAGGAATTGAACTTAGTTTTCAAATTAGAGTGTTTATTTTGAAAAATTCGCAACTTTTTAGACAGCGTAGTTTTTGAGAAAAAAGTAAGTCTATAGCCTTACAAAAATCGCTAGATTTTTTGAAAATCTTATTTGATTGAAAGCAGTTTAATTGGCATTTATATAATCTAATAAATAAGAGGAATTGAACTTAGTTTTCAAATTAGAGTGTTTATTTTGAAAAATTAGCAACTTTTTAGACAGCGTAGTTTTTGAGAAAAAAGTAAGTGTATAGCCTTACAAAAATCGCCAGATTTTTTGAAAATTTTATTTGATTGAAAGCAGTTTAATTGGCATTTATATGATCTAATTAAAGAGGAATTGAACTTAGTTTTCAAATAAGAGTGTTTATTTTGAAAAATTCGCAATTTTTTAGACAGCATAATATTTGAGAGAAAAGTAAGTGTATAGCCTTACAAAAATCACTAGATTTTTTGAAATTTTTTTTTGATTGAAAGCAGTTTAATTGGCATTTATATGATCTAATAAAAGAGGAATTGAATTTAGTTTTCAAATGGGAATGTTTTTTTTTGAAAAATTTGTAACTTTTTAGACAGCGTATTTTTAGACAGAAATGTAAGTGTATAGCCTTACAATAATCGTCAGATTTTTTGACATTTTTTTTTGATTGAAAGCAGTTTAATTGGCATTTATATGATCTAATAAAAGAGGAATTGAACTTAGTTTTCAAATTAGAGTTCTATTTTTGGGAAATTTGCAACTTTTCAGACAGCATATAATTTGAGAGAAAAGGAAGTGTATAGCCTTACAAAAATCGTAAATTTTTTGAAAATATTTTTCGATTGAAAGCAGTTTAATTGGCATTTATCTGATCTAATAAAAGAGGAATTGAACTTATTTTTCAAATTAGAGTGTTATTTTTGAAAAATTTGCAACTTTTTAGACAGCGTAATTTTTGAGAGAAAAGTAAGTCTATAGCCTTACAACAATCGCCAGATTTTTTGAATTTTTTTTTTGATTGAAAGCAGTTTAATTGGCATTTATATGATCTAATAAAAGAGGAATTGAACTTTTTTCTCAAATTAGAGTTCTATTTTGAAAAATTCGCAACTTTTTAGACAGCGTAATTTTTGAGAGAAAAGTAAGCCTATAGCCTTACAAAAATCGTAAATTCTTTGAAATTTTTTTTCGATTGAAAGTAGTTTAATTGGCATTTATATGATCAAGTAAAAGAGGAATTGAACTTAGTTTTCAAATTAGAGTGTTTTTTTTTGAAAAATTCGCAACTTTTTAGACAGCGTAATTTTGAGAGAAAAGTAAGTGTATAGCCTTACAAAAATCGTAAATTTTTTGAATATTTTTCTCGATTGAAAGCAGTTTAATTGGCATTTATATAATCTAATAAAAGAGGAATTGAACTTATTTTTCAAATTAGAGTGTTATTTTTGGGAAATTTGCAACTTTTCAGACAGCGTAATTTTTGAGAGAAAAGTAAGTCTATAGCCTTACAAAAATCGTTAGATTTTTTGAAAAAATTTTTTTGATTGAAAGCAGTTTAATTGGCATTGATATGATCAAGTAAAAGAGGAATTGAATTTAGTTTTCAAATTAGAATGTTATCTTTGAAAATGCACAACTTTTTAGACGGGATAATTTTTGAAATTGGAAAGCATTTTAATTGGGATTCATATGATCAAAAGAGAGAGGAACGATTCTTTTTCTGGTCAACTTTGGATAAGAAAAGTAAGGCACTATAATCAGAAAAATCATCAAATTATTGCAAAAATATATTTTTCCTCAAACAATTTTACTTGGCCTCCACATGGTCAGAATGAACAAGAACGGAGTTAGTTCTGGAAAGAATGTCTTACTTTTTTGAAAAAACACCAGCTATTTTGACGGGATTTTATCATAGTGTTGCGAAAATCCAAAAATTTTCCAAAACTTATCTCTTCTAAAACAGGTTGAATTTTTTTGTCAAATATAAAAATTGCAGCTTGTACACTAAAAACCGCCAAAGTTGGTCTCCATGTTAAAAATTATCCGAGTAGAAACTTAAGCGATATTTTTGATAGCATCGTAAAATGCCTTTACGATAAGTATTTCTCAAAGAATTTTACGCTAACATCCTTCAGTACAAATTCCTGTTTTCTCTGTTTATTGTACGTAAGCTGCTGAACCGCATCGTTATGACGAGAGCCGTTTACCCTGCATGCAAAATAAAGCTTTTCATTTCTTTGTATGTTGTAACTATAGTCTTTGTTGCAATATAATTGAGTCAGTAAAGTAACAGGTTGAGATGTATAAGCAAGACAATTTAGGAAGATGGTTCTGACAAAAAAGTTAAAACTTCTTGAAACAAAATGCTGTTGTCCGTTAGATCAATTGATAAACTGCATCAAATAGTTTGTTTGATGACGCAATGTCATTATTCTCACTGTTTTCGATACTGACTATGGTGAATGCCTGGCAAATCTACAGGTATAGGTAGGATATGAGTGATCATGGCAAAACTCTACAGAAAATTTAAAATCAGGTGCATTCAACATGTGTATTGTCAGACAACAGAGACAATGATTGACATTTCACAACATTTGGCAACTAGTTAGTTTGATTTTTCAAACTATTACCTAACAGTCCTTGTTAGCTTTAAATTGAGCAGAAATTGCTTAAAATTTTCATGCAAATTTAATGAGGTATTCCATTTTTATTAAGTCAATTTGTTTGAGAAGGCAGTATACCGGGGTTCAAGTAATCATATCCACATTTTCTCTTTTTGTTGTGCATATTAATTCTCGAGGCTACTTCCCGCAATGAGCCCAAAAATCTGCAAAAAACAATGAATGAAGACTTGCAAACATAACCTGCTCTAAAAGTAAACTTCAGCATATCTCGCTCGTTGAAAACGGAGCCATATCTAACTGTAAATAGAATGCTTAGTAAAATTTTGTGTAACAACCTTACTTGTTCACAAAAATAACTTTGAAATGAAAGTTTATAGTGTTGAGGGAGCAAATATACTGAAAGAAACTTCCAGAACCACGGAACATTGAGAAAAGCCCCCATTGGAGAAAATGGGTTGTAAACAGATGCCCACTCCTCTCTTTAGGCATTTCCCAATGTTCTGCATAGAGCACTGGAAAATTGTCGCAACTGATTTTTTCAAAACTTTAAATAATGAAGAGCCATTTTAGTATCCATAGATGCATGTTCATGCCTTGGTTTATCGTAGAAGCCGAATAATTCAATTTTCAACATAGAGGTTTGGCTGGAATGCCTCCATCAAAAGGTTCCTCAAACATTAGCCGGCAGAGACATTGAAAATGAGACCACAAAAAGGAGGCAAGCGTACCTGTGCTTTGCTGCAACCGAGATTGGATCATGTTGAAACTGCGACTTTGTGTCAGCCAATCCGCTCGTTTCCCTCTCACTGACAAGCTTATTTACCACTATAATCTCTGCAGTTGTGTGTTTCATAGGCAGACAGTCGATAATGTAGGGCATGCTCAAGGGCTCCTGTTTAAAAAAGTCTACTCATAGCGATAATGCTTCGATAAGTTACATGAAAAGGAAGTCGAGTTGTAAAGACAATGGGGAGGGGGAGCGTTTGATCAGGGATACAATGAGTGGGCCAATGAACTTCTTTTCGTTTTAAAGTATTTTCGAACCGATATTTATTAGTATATAACAGGACACTTTTAAACCCTCGATATAATAGGACGCTTTTGAATAAGCCGTCGACAACCAGGCCATTTGCAAAAACTGCAACCACTTAACAAGCTAAACCACGTTTAGACATCGAGAAAAATATAGCAAAAATTCCAGAACATCTCATACCTTGGAATTAGGCGGTGCTCCGCGAAGAGCCATGGGATAATTTGGTATGAAGGCACATTCATCGTATGTTGGTAGATTAACGGCAGCATTTTCAACTGTGCTCAAGAATATGATCGATGTCAGCGTCTCAACAAGCTGGCTAGTATTGCTGAATTTGCCGTCACCAGGAACACCCTACGTTGAACAGAACTTTTTCTAAGAAATGTTGCTATTTATGATTAAACACTAAAGCTTTGCTTACAATAGAACTATTACACTATTAATCGTAAATCCTCAAATAATTCCCCTCCTTCGAATAAGACCCCCCTCTCGAATGTTCGCCCTCCCTAAAAAAATCTTTGTGAAATAGGCCTCCGCTTTCAAACAAGCCCCTGAGGTGTTGCCACGACAGCAATAGGCTCATCCCAATACATTTACACTGATAGGCATAATATATTTGTTTGATAAAACCCCATAAAACCAATCATATAACCACATTTTAATGACAAGGTGTTTGTACATAGAAACATTTAAAATTACATTACAAAGTAAAGTAAAGTTACTATTCACCTTTAGACCACATCCATCTTGACTAATCAATTCTTCAGCCCAATTTTGTATTTCGTAATCATTGGCTAACTTTTCTGGCTCATCTAAAAGCATTATAGTACAGAACATGAAAGCGGTCATGTACCAAGATATAAAAAAAACTACAATAAGATTACAATTGTACATATCAATAAAGGAAATATTGCAATATACACTTTGATAAAGAATACATGGATGCGTATTCCTGAGTCCAGTAGGTAGGTATTGTGACTTAAAGGTAAGCTGGTTTGGTTTGCTAAGAAAATGAAATATGCGATATTTAAAGATAGGGATATCATCAAAATTCAGTCTAAAAATATCACTTAACAGGTGGTCAGTGACTTTAAACTAAGCTTAGTTATATTTCATTACGCAAATATTTTTAGCTTTGCTCTCTAGAAAAAAGGGTGGAACAGCTTTCATTCAACGCATGATAAAAACAAAATAAAATTAATGATAAAAATGATAAAAGACGCTTCATATTGAGTCTAGCAATGAAATTGCGACCATACGAGAACGGTTATCTACCATAGTTTCCATAAACAATGCTTGTGACATATTTCTCCATAACTTCATGCAGCAGCAGGCCGTCGTCTCTGTAGGGGTATTCTGGGATAGTTTCAGGGTCAGATACCTTCAGAAAAGAAAAGTACTTGCGTCACTTTACTGTAAAGGCAAATTGAACTAACCAGACCAGGTTTTACCTGCAATGATTATATTGAAAATAATTAAAAGAAAGTGAATGCAGTGTTTTCAGGATTCTAATTTCAAATAATTTTAGCATTCATAATTTTTGCTTGCTCGAGGTCTTCATTAACAGAGCTTTACTTAGCAGGATTCATCAGAATTTACAGAATAATGTATAAATTTTCAAGGTATATAGACTTACGCCATTTTCCTTGAGAAATTTGGGGAGACATCCGTGTAGATCTAAACGCCAGTCTGCCATGCTTGAAATAAAAATAGTTTTAAAATAAGAATTTCTACATGGACTAAGCTTTCAAGATAAAGTGACATGCAGTTGTCTGATTCACCTAAAACTCCATATCATAAAGATCGATTTTCTGTTTATTGCACTGAGAAAATTGAGATAACACTAAACTCTGCTTTGAAGGGAGAAACTCGCTTAGAATGCCACTAGACATTAAGAAACAAGGGACCACTTCTAGCTTGGGCTTTAGCGGTTCGGTTAATCAGAGGTATAGCGGTATTGAATCTAGAGCTAAAGAATTTCTTCACTTTAAATCGAAGAAAAACTTAGTGTATCTCTTGAAAGTCTTCCAATATGAAATTTCTAGGTTGACCCAAGTTCCATTACTCTAAGAACATTCAAGAAGAAGTACCCCTATAGTTTTTAAAATTTGGTACTACAATGGCCGCACTACAGACAAACAAAATGGCAGATTCGGGAGCATTTGCCTTCTGCATTAAAGAGTCAAGGCTTATCAGGTTGCTTCGTAAAGAGAAACATCATCAAACCTACAAAACACCAGTAAGTTAGCTTCTTTCTGAAAAGACTTACTATCGCTTTATCAGTTCGTTCATCCCATTAACACCGATGTTAGTTGCATAGTCCATCCAACCTCCAGGGGCGGTTAGGAAGCTCATTTCAAAACTGCAATTAAAATGAATGGTCAGAGTCATGATAAAAGATATTTTTAAAAAAGATAAGTGGTTATAGAAGCAAACATGAAGTCCATGAATAAAGTGTGTTGAGCACAACTGATAACACTAATGCACAAATTAGGAAACAAGAAATACAGATTAGCTCTACAGGGCTGTCGCTACGGTGGGGCGTGGTGGATGTGACACACCTTTTTTGAAAAAAAATCATTGCAAAGCCGAGGAATTGTTTGCAATGTAGGGGTGGCAAATAAAAGATGGGTCGCCTATGGTGCATAATAGCTAGTGGAGGCCCTGTTGGTCTAAGCGATTTACACAATTGTTTGCTAAACTCTATGATCTGCTCTAAACACAAGAGAGTTTTTTAGGTTTTTCTATGAATGATGTAGCAGCAAAAATAATTTTAATTTCTTTTCAGAGCGAATTTATAATACAAACACGATACAATAAAAACTTTTAGATATAAACACTGGAGAAGACAAAACTGGAGAACTTCGAAAACACCACAATTTTTCAAAATATGTGGAAATTCCCCCCCCCCTTCCAGTCCTCTATGGTAAAGCTGTTTGAAATGCTCTTAGATGCTGTGGCTACAACTCCAACTTTGATTGGGGAGGGGGTGGGAAATAGGAGGTAAGGCTATTTCTGTTACATTTTCTTTACTTTCAGAAATTTATGTTTATATCAAACAAAATTACCTGATACTTTGTAATTAATTGTTTAGAAGGAAACCGAATCGAAGGGAATACTTAGACGTGTAACATACTTGTTGATCGAAAGAACAAAACGGAGATATGGTCCAAGCAAACGGAAAATTGGATGTGATGGTGATAGATGGCGGTGAACGGAAATCGCTATCATTTCTAAGACCATGTGAGTTCCAGCTGAAAGAAAAAGATTGACTAAGTTGATCAGCAAATTTAAAAAAAATGATATATAAGAAAACCGAGACCAGAATATAAATGACAGTTCATCATCGACTTTTTAAATAGTCATTGACTGAGTGGGAAAATAGGGAGAGGAAAGGAGAGTTAAAGACAAGGAAGAGGTGAGTGGGGAGGGAGAAGAGGTGAAGAAGGAATGGAGAGTAAAAATCTATCTTTCTTGTAAATGTTTGCATAGTAATTCTCTGTTTATACTCTGAAGTTCCATTAAAAACAGTTTCTGTATGCTAGCATGTATATACAAATCATTTGAAGCTCTTCTGCATATAGAAAAAGATGGTCGTCTCACTTAGAATCTCTTAACCGGGAACCACCTGATCGCGTGTATTCTTTTCTCACAAGTAATTTTCGATCCGCACTTGGATATGAGTTTTTAGGCAATCATTGGTCATCAATCGAGTCTCATGCTCTGAGGAGTGTCGGAGAAAATTTGAAGATTGTAGTGCCACGAGCTTATTCAGATAGTTATATGTTACAAGGCCATTGAAGAGAAAAGGAATTTCCTACCAAAGAGCAGGCAGGATCGGTGGAAGGCCGAATCGGCACAATTAAACCACATCTTAGCAGCCAGCCAGACGTATTCTTGATCAGTTGGAAAGAAAACCTAAAAAAAGAAAATACAATAAATTCTTCTTTCGACTCCTCGTAGAAATAGATAAATTCCTTAGCTGAAAAAAGATAAATTGAAGGCAATTGTGCTTTGCTATCTATACCGTTTCAGAAACCGTGCAGTAGAATGAAAATCAAGCAAGCAAAATACTGTTCTTTACCGGGTTGCTCTCTGACTTTTCCTGATACAACTGGATTGCAATTGGGACAAACTGGCTTTCTGTGTTCAAATAGAAAAGTGCAATAGGACTTGGTATCTAAAATAAGAACTATTGAATTAATGGAAATGATGGCTAGAATTTATATGACTTCGGAAAGAAACAAATTGAGAGCTATGGAAAGAAATATAGAGGAAAGTGTGAAGTTTGTCAACTATAGAAGTTTGCAAACTTTCTCTCATAAATACACTTGATTTCCAAAGATCAAGTCAGCAACTGCCGCAACTCTGAATCCTTTTCTGCCTCCCTCTCTTTCTTCATTTTTACTTAATCACTTCTTGTGAATTCAACTAGTAAAATCAATTATGATTTTGAATACAGTAAAAAGCGGAATAAAAGAAATTCATCATTTCGGATTAGACAGTACAGTTTCATGCAAAAGGAACAAATTTAAAGAAAAAAGGTTGATGAGATTTTCAAAAAAAAGTTTTTTGTGAGATGAAGAAAAAAACAGGACTAGCCTGGAAATCAATCATTATTATACTTTTTTGAAGGAAAATGTTTTTAATTCAGTAAGTTGAAAGCTAGTGTAAATCTGGAAATCTGCTTCTTGCATTTGTTTTACTTTCAGAGACATTTTACTTTTTACGTTTTACTTTCATAAACAAGGACAAGAAACTATGAAAAATTCAGGCTCAACAGTTTCTTATATCTTGGTACAGAGCTTTGAAAAAGTCAGCTTGCAGTTTTATTTATAAGCGAGTTTCATTTGTGCAGGCTTTTACTGTGTGGTAGAACATTTCTTCTTGTTTCATCTAAAAGCAAATACCTTCGAAGAATCGAAGTCGAATCTTTGATGCACATTTGCCTACCTTATTATTGTTCTGGATGTCGGCCAATCCGTCCAGAATTTTGTGATTGACAATGAATATCTTCTTCTTCTCCATCGCTTCCTCAAATGTCTTTTCTTCTAGAAACTGCTCCAGGTCACTACCATTCGCACCAAAACTATAGCACAAAATTAATAAAAGGTCATTGTTAATCAACATCGCCAAATCATCTATGCGTTTTCTATATGAAAAATTTGCAAAGAAGCTAGCCTCCTGAGCAAAGAAGCGTAACTTTACTAAAAGAATTAATATGTGTACACACAAACTTCGGAATCGGGGGAAGGGGGCACAGGGAAAACCGGCCTATTTTGGAAACAGATATTAAGTACCTATTTGCAGCTCATTAAGGTATTCCTATTTTGCTTACATGTTAGAATAAGGACATTGGGGTAAAACTTCGTAATTATTTAAAGTTTAAAATAGACAACAGAGTCTTTGGCGGGTAATCAAAGCATCTGTTTTGCACCTTTAAAAATAATAATCAATTCATTGATAACAACATACGATGTAAAAGCTACGGCCTGAAGATATCGTAACATCATCTTCGCAAAAATACTTCACAGTGGAAAATACTTGAAGGGGTGTCAGCAATATTTGAAGGTCAGTATTTCAAAATGAAGTAAATTGGAAGCAATTTAAGCAATATTTGGGCAAGAATATTTCACAATAAAAAAATATCAGAAGGTGTTTCGGCAATATTTAGGCAAGAATATTTCACAACCCACAATAGAAGGAGTCATCAGATAAAAGGAATTCGAGATGGAATTCAAGCTATGGTAGTTTCTTTTAATTACATTTTGTGATTACATTTTGCTGTAAAAGAAAAGACTTACTTCTCAGGTAACTCAGTACAAAGTTGAATAGATTTTGGGTTGCATCCGATTATTCTTTGTTTACCAAAGTGAATATCTGACTTCCATGCATCCATACACTAGAGAATTGCAATGACTTCATCAATGATAACGAAAAAGCCTCAAATTATAGGCATTGGTCAAAGAGCTACAAAACATAGAAAATAAAGTGAACATTCATCTACCGAACGTCCTTTTATAGCAAATATTCAAAGTTTTGTCCTTTCTATTCCACAGCCAACGATTTGCCAGAATAACACGGAAACCTTACATTAACGGACAGAAACTCCATAATCTTATTTGAAATGAGTCTTGGTGCCGCAATTTGAAGACAGTACGAACAAGAGGAAACAAAGCATACTTCAAAAATGTTCCTCTGGCACACCTCAGAGCATAAATATCGGATAATGGCAAAAAGTGAGCAAAACTTTATAGTCATTATCCGATGATTATACTTTGAGGAGTGTCGGAAGAAATGCTGCTTCCTCTTTTCGTGGTGTCCTCAAACAGAGATTTTACTGTTCATATACTTGGAGATATCAAACAGAGCAATCTTGGGCCATGATTTGAATTATAACTGAAACATGGCAGACAAGCTCCCAGGTTTCCAATTCTTTGGTGCAATGTCAATATCTATTTACCACATTGAAAATGCATGAATTAAATTATAGTTCTGTTGTGAACTGATGCTGGTACAAACAACAGATTGGTCAGAAGAAGGTTGAAACAAAACAGATCGAAAAGTCAGCTTTAAAACGAAGGAAATGTTAATGAGATTCTAAAAAACTTACGGATGGACGTGATAATTTTCCCTTTTCTTTGAAAAGACATTGCAATTCCTCGATTGACTCCCAGGCAATTGGTTCAACTATGAGCTGCCGATTTGAGTTGAGAAAGTGAGCTTTCTTTGATTTTATGTCAAGCTGTGAAAAAGTAGAAAATAGTTAATGTATAACACAAATATAATTTTTATTCAAAAGTATCCAGGATCTCACAAAAACAATTGCTGCATGATGTACGACGAGCAAGGAAGGTTTTCGAGGCATCTTCATCAAGAATTGAGTACGTAGACCTAACTCAATAATGTACACATTTGTCTCAAGGACAAATAATATTTAAAGAATCATTTGTGACTTTCTTACCTTGTGGAAATTGCTGTAGATTTCTTCCCTTGGAAGCATCCTTATCTAAAATAGATGCACAAAAAACAGCTTCGTTAGGAAAACAATTCTATAATGGCTCAATGCAAGGTCATATTATGAAGGTAATCGCTACTGGGTAACCATACTTCGCTGTTAGCCCTCAAATGATTCAACCCCCATTTTTTCTTACGAGAACTGTATATCCATTATCGTCAATTTGTCGATTTTATCAATATTATCATTCAATGTATCTAGTGTCTTCCTTTCGAGCAAATAGATAGCTCTGGCCCCCAAAATGCCAGCGAGTTACTATTTGCCAGTGCTTGGATTTAAATTCCCCAACTACTCCTTACCCTCTAGCCCTTTCCCACCCTAAAAGGTCCAGCTGACACAATATTAATTTATATTTCCACAGCTCAGGGCATTTCTTATAAAATGTTGACATGTTACAGAAACCTGACTGTACGCTATTGAGGATCCTGCAGATTGTAATGTAACGGGAAGGAGAATCCCTTAAGTCGGACCTTCAATGAGTGTAAGGAAATGATCGGACTTTGCCAATGTCTGAAATACCCAGGGTACGACTTTTGACTTGAATAAGGTAGGAGAATCCAGAGGGAATTGAAAATCGGTCCGACTCTGTAAAAGCCGGATCTACCTGGGATGCGACTTTACGGCATTCAGCTGTACAAAATTTAACTGACTTTTCTACTGATGCATCGGAACATTTTCACAATCATGGTATTTGTCATTGATTTTTTTAAATCAAATTTTGGAAATTCACAAACTACTTCAAAGGATCACCTGTGCTGGCAGATCTCTGATCCGGTGATATCCATATGCGGCTTGCTTTCTGATTAGCTCGCATTTTCGTTGGTCCGGGTGTTCATCGTGTTGCGGCAACGAGCTGTCGAACGCACTGATTGCCAGCGGTTTATTGGGTCGCATCCATCGGTTCACTGGAAACACTGTTACTTTGCCATTCCCGTCATCATGAGTATGGCGGATGGTCACTTTATCAACATACCAGTCTACATCCCCTTGTTCTTCGTGCTGCTGTAGAATAATGCTCTTTATTTGTCCGAACCCAGACAATCGTGAGACGTTGAATTCGTCCGTACGGCCTTTCTTGAAAACAGTTACACAGCAACCATTCAAATGTATTTCTCTCGACTTCACTCCCTCCTCGTTGATAAAAGTAACGTATACTGCATTATGCAACCCGGCCCCTTTTGTGTCACCGGTTTTAATACCGACTATAAAATCCGGAACATCAAAACATTCAAGACAAGACGACTTTCCTTGACCCATAGTAAATTGCTGCACCAAAATGCTAGAAATAGTTCCAAATAAAGTTTAGAAATCTAAACAAAGCAATCTACTGCAAATCTATTAAGATTTTAAAACATGTGAAAGTTCATTGAACCAAGTTAGTGAAACCGCGAAGATTCTTTCCAAAACCCGTGAACGATCATACAGTTGAAATTCAAGTGCGAACGATCATAAAGTTAAAATTCAAGTGTATTTTTCAGTTTTTGAAATTGGTTCTTTGTAAGACTGTTCCTTGCATAATTCCACGTTTGGCTGCATAAATTCTTGACTCTGAAGGATTGCTGTTCACGATACCAGTAGGCCAGTTTTTTTCCATTCTTATCTCTACGCAAAGAGCTGCAGCATTAGCCTTCCTGCCAGAGCTGGACAATGAGCACGAAATGATGATAGCGTCTATACAGCACTGCTCTTTCCACCATATGCAGAATATTCGAGCCATATATTAATTATGCACAGCTATTCAATCACGAATCAAGTAGAAAACATCAAGCCAATGCATTATTAGCATAATTAATTCTACGAACATAAATATATGCAGGCGGTATCAATATTAATTCACAATTCAAACGAAGGTGTATTGAGCACCAGAATGGCCTACTCTACAGATAAGAGATAGTAACGTTGTAAATTGGGGCGGGGATGTGCCATTTGTAGGGCTCATTTTCATTACACAGTATGTATAGTTAGTTATTAGTAGACATATTCACACAAAGGAGAAGTACCCAGAATTATTGGTATACACATTCCAGGCTGGATCTTGCAACTTTTTATGAAATGTAAGGCCCCACGAACAAAAAGTCACAAATTTTCCTTTTTAGAAATAAAAAACGGCTCACACTTATGCATGTCTTGTATTTCACATTAAACCTGAAATCGTGACCCCTATATTCACCAGCATGGCAAATCGCCACTTCTTAGAAGCCAAAGTTATATCCACCTCCTCTTGAAAACGAAAAAAAGAATTACGAAATGATTAATGTTCAATAAGAGAGTTTATTTTCCTTCAGCTCTATGAAAATTTACAAATCTCACTTATACTGCTCTCAATAACCTAGAACTGGTCTTGGTCTACGCGAATATTCATTGGCCTAAGAACAATGGGTTTGATATTACATCCCGTATAGATTACAGAAAAACTTTCCTTAAAAGCTATTCAGTATGCATAAAAGCGACGAGTTTGGTTGAAAATGGAACACAGTGAAACCTGCATGGACGGACAACTACTTACAGCGGACACCCCCTTAGTGAGGAAAAGGGACAAAAAGTTACATTACGGTTAAAGCCCTGAAAAAAAAGCCTCCGGACAATGGACATTTGATTACAGACAGAAAATTTAAAATATGCAATAATCGTTAAATGCAAATCAGTAGTAAAATGCTAGCAGGTTGAAATGCCCCTCATAACAATGGCTGGCAAGGAGGGTAAAAGACAAAAGTGCTGAGACATCAAAGTCAAGTCAAAGCAAAAACGTACAACAAGTTTAAAACATTAATTTTGTAATAAGTTATGTCAGGTCAAAGCCATAACGTTTACGAAGACATCAAATGCTTTTCATGCCAAGTCACGGAGAATCAGAAACAGGATACTGGAGAAGCATGACACTTAAACTGACAAAAGCAAGATTCGTCAGCTATTAACAATTAAATGTAGTAAATCACAATGAAGGTTTTAGAATTGACGGTATATCATGTTAATATTAATCGTGTAGCTTAAAGGAATTGATAAACATGTTATGAAATGTGACGGCTGCTATGAGCTTTGGCGATCTGAAAAACTTAGGCAGGTTGCGTTGGTATTGACTCGGAAAGCATTGGGTCACGGCGTTTATTCACGGTATATTCTCTACCGTTGGTATAGCACATTGATTAGAGTTTCACGGGATTCTTTGCTCAAGATACTCTTATTTGAGTCTCCAAATTCTGATTTTTAATACGAATACAACACTATGAATGCCCGCGGAAAATATTTCTCAGTTTGTATACATCCATAAAAACTGAAACCCGCTTATAAAATGAAACATGAAATATTCATGACACGATGGGAGGTAACGAAATCGCCAGTGACATTTACTGCCTGCGGTTTGAACGGGCGAAGTTTGGAATAGAGAAATTATCAACACTGTCTTGAATATCAGGTTATACCGCTTAAACAAGCTAAATAACAACTTATACTGCCAAGCTTAACGTCAGCGTTACCATAGGCAAATTCAATAGGCTGAGGTAGATTTTTAAGCAAATTTTGATTTTTCGAGAAAATAGGGTACTAATCCAAAAATTAAAGTAATATTTTTACCATTTGCCCTAAAAAGAACACCAAGTTATAATGTTTTACTAGCTTAATTATGCTACAAGTTCAGTATACTTTAAGCGTTTAGCTTGGTGAAAAATGAATCCGACTAGTCAAATAACATAACAAAGGCTAGATAAACTGAAAAATCATATATTATTCCCTCCGTGAAAACCTTCAGTAGTCTTTCCTCAAAACGAAAAGGGCCAATGATAAAGAACTTCTATATCAGCGAAAGGGCAATAAATCATGAATGCGAGGCTAGGATGTTTTCGCTGATTTGACTACGAGGCATAAGATCCAAAGAAAGGTCGAAATTTGACCTTCCAAAAAAACTTCGAAATTTAACGTCCAAAAATAACGTCGAAATTTAGGATCCAGAAATAACGTCGAAATTTAAGGTCCAAAAAAATGTCGAAATTTAAGGTCCAAAAATAATGTCGAAATTTAACGTCTAAATATATTGTTTTAATTCAACGCACAAAATTAACGCTAAAATTCAACATCTCAAGATATACTTCAAAATTCGTCAAGACTGGAAAAATCTTGAACACGCAAAAGCACAAAACTCCGATCAGGTAAATTATTGTAAACAATTCTGACCAGAAAAACGGCTTATCGCAATACGACCAGCCAAAATCTTTAGAGAAAAAGATTAAATCCACTTAAGATTATTTACCTTTTATAATAGATAAATTTCATCCCAAACCCATGGACAGATAAATTAGTTTACAACCCTTACATAAAATATTTACAAAAGAATAAAATGTTACACTCATTGAAATGTTAAAACGTCTTTAGGATTAGATTTCTTTTCATGGTTATCTTTTTGAACTCGACCTGAAGAGGGTAATAAAATTATCTGGTGTTAAATCGAGCAGTTCTCACAAAATCATAACAATTAAATTTTTCAAACAACTATTCCAAAGTATCTGATTCCAAGAACTGTTAAGGTCAGCAACAGAACCTTTGAAAAATAATCTTATTACGGTAAATGTCTTTCGGTACACTTTGTATCGACTTTCACATTAAGCAGATGGAAGAACAAGCCAACATGAATTGGTCACACATCGATGTAAAGAAAAAGCACAAAAACAACGTCCCACCCATTTAACCCACAACCTACTTTTCTTGGTTACTGTTGTCCTGACGACCGCCCGACTTCCGACTACCATTCGCCTGGTTTCTGCGACCGCTCTTTTGTCCTGTAATGAAGAATATGTCTGGCTACATAACCGACAATCAGGATCAATTGAAGCACAGAGATGCGATACCCCATGCCGATGAACAGATTGTAAGTTGTGGAGATCTGAAGGGGGTTACCCTTTTTAAAGAGTATTTAGAAAAATATAGAAGTGCAAAGTGACTGACAGAGAGATGTTTCAAGTTCTACAATAAAATCGCCACTGTCATGGGGAATCTATGAAATTTTTGTTTGAAAGAAACCATTGAGCATTCTTAATTGATGTTTTTCATCAGATCGTTTTTTGTATGGCTTGCGAATGCCTTTGGAAAAGCTTTTAGTAAACCACGATTAGAAAATTGGGCAATTAGCATCCAAAAACATTTGCTACAATTAGCTAAGAAAGATATATTTAAATGCATGGGAGAGTAGGCGTCCTGCAAAACTGTGGATTCAGCGAATTTTTAAAACTCTCATGGTATGAAACAAAGCAAACAGCCCAACTAACCCACTCAAAATTTAGGGTTTTGTAATATTTGGTATGAAGCTACCTTGGATTAGATTCTATTTTTTTGCTAAGGTATGAAAATTGTAAGTGTCATCCAAAGTAGGGACCAGATGACCTTGTGTCCTTTCCTGCTTTGGATGGCACAGTAGAATGTACCAAACCTTTGTGTTTTAACTTTTTAATATTGATAGAAAAAAACTGACCCACAGATACTTGCAATTTTACACTACCGTCCCAGATGTAGCCTACTACCTTGCATACATCGAATAGAGAAATTTCCTCTCAAAAAAGGATAATTTCAACCTAGGATACAAGGAAATTGACCAACCTTTGCTGTAATCACAATTATCACTACCAAGGTAGGGTGGAGGGGTGGTGTTTTGTAATCGATCAAGACTGTAAATTCGCTGCCCGAGCTGATACGCTAAATCTGGGTTATTTCCACTCAGCTGAACTTGGGTAACCTGTAGAAAAAGAAGCAAAGATAAAAGAGCATTTTAATATTCTATGATTTCTAAGTGACGACATAACAAAGTTCTATCACAAGCATTTGTGGTTTCACACAACCTAAAAGAGCACAATGCAATACCTCAAAATAGGGAAAAAAGCTAAATCTGTGGCGAATTGACCGAGACATGGCCAGTGAAGAACCTTGATTACTACTTTCTTGATATGGTTCAAAAACCAAATTACAGTGATTGACAGGAAAGGGCTCATTATTCCATAATAGCAAACCTTCAAGGGAACCTGTCCGGTTGATTTTGTTGAGGCAGCGTTGATTCCCGGTAGGGAGACATTAGCAGCGCCAGCTAGTGTTTGCAACAGTTGAACGCCGCCCTAAAGAGGTAACCACAGATAGAATCATAATGATGTGCAGGTTTGGGACAGATAATATAAGTTCATGGCTAGATATGGTATCCATTTGTCAAAAAATTATTATCTATAAGATTATTTCACCAAAAAAAGACTAAGTGATTAAATGAGATAACCAACAAAATTTACACAGAATCGATGTTGAGATTGCGCTGAAAGTTATAAAAATCTAAGTTGAGATCAATGAGAAAATATTTGCTCCAATTCAGTTTTGAAACATGAACAATTCAGAAAGCATAAACGTAATCATTTTCATAAAAAAATAAGCTTTCGTCGTAAAAGAACTAAAAAATTTAACCATTTATGGAGCGTCAAACAAACACAAGATATGAATATTTAGAATATCAACAAGGAAATAGCCCACAGTAACAGCCCCATTACAGGTTAAAATTAACATTTGTACTTGTCAGTTTATTGCTTGAATCGTTAATAATACTTTTATCTGTTAGGGTGTCATTTTGCTGTCAAAACCTCCGGATTTTACCTAGGACTAAAGGGGTAGTTTTCTCACCCCATACCAGCGAAATGGGACATGTCGTAAAAGAGGCAATAAGAAGCAATAGGCTAGCCATTCTGCCTTGCCATTCCAGGCCACAGTCTTCTAGCGGCGCAGTTTATATACAAAAATAGCTTGATCAATAGCATACCTCAAGTGAGGAATACAATCCTGAGAGTAACATATACATTGGGCAACCAAGAAAGTTGTCAGATTGACATATATTTCGTAAATGCTTACCTGTTGCTCCAAGAAGTAAAGCTCAGCCTTCGTTCGTTCTTCATTTGTAACCGGCATACCATCAATGCTGATAAGATTCGGCTGGCGAAACACGAGCATCGGTCGGTGCATCAAGCGACGAGAAACCTGCGTGGAAATGCGACACTATGGCAACGTGTATTTATTATTGCTAATTCTCTTCACATCGCGGTGTTTCTTATTTGCTACATTTTCGTCACTTATACTTGTTGATTAAGTTGCATTATATTTGATAAGATGGATCGTAACTGGTCATAAGCGGCACTGCATTCATAAATTTTTTTTGGAATTCATCGATTTTTTTCGCAGTTTGTTGAAATAATATTGGAAATATTAAGATTTGTCACTGTCAGTTTGGATTTTTTCGTAAAGAACTAGTAGATATTTAAATTTATTGTTAATTAAGAAATGTTTCCCACCTATACAAAAGTTTTATATATGCTATAAAAAGAAACGAGTAGCTTTCTTGAATACTTACTGGGTTGCCTATGACGGACAGCTCAATGAGATTTGACAGTCTTTCCAGTCGCTCAATTTCCGCACTTTCCTAAATACGGAAAATATGGGCATTAGTGGGTTATCAAGGAAAATTAGTCAAACGTTATGAAAAGCTTTTGCTCCAAATCTCTTAAAACCCTAATCTCTATTTTCATGTCGAATATCAATATCTGCAGGGTATCATTTAAAAGAACCAGGTTATCATCGAAAGTTTGTGATTTGAAAACATAGTCACAACGTCTCGACAACAAAGTCTTCTTATCATATTGAGTCTTTTGTAAATCTAAGCTTCTAATTCACTGCCTTCTTTAAAATAAAGGAAGTATTCACAGCCTCAATGCACCCCTTGGCCAGCTACACTTGCCTACAAAAACCATGGAAATAACAAAATCATAAAATTATTACCTGTATTCTGTTAAGACCGATGAACAGCCTCTGCAGATTTGAAAGATGCTCCAAATTCGCGAGTTCTCGAAGCCTGTACAGATAACAAAGTGTCTTAATAACAAACATTCAACCCAAAAACCAAATCTCTCTGAAAAACAATTAATCAGCTACTTATTCCAATGCTTGAACAACAAAAAGAAACAATGATTCTTCTTAAAAAACAAAAGTCTGATGAACGATCAGAAAACAAAAATACATTTTACATAAAGAATGAATGACATAAACAGTAACAAATGACACAGGGTAACATTGTTAGCTTACCCTAGAAATATTTACTCCATGATTTTTCTTTTAACAAATATTTTCTTTTTTTCTGTCTACCTTAGCAAAATATTCCACTTGTTCATAAATTTTTGTGAAGAAACTTAATGAGAATTTTGGTATCTCGTTATAACTGTTTAAATCAACCTATCTGTTTTTCTTTCACCTGTTTTCCTCGCAGTGCAGTTCTGTAAGCTTCCATTGGCTTGCGAAAGAATATTCTCCAAAGTTCTAAGGATATCAGATATAAAAACGTAAGATTTAAATCTAAAACTTTTGCTAGTCAACCCAATGCAAGTTTTCCTCGAATGTGACAATCACAGGGGTACTTTGCTATCAGATGCCGTGGCTTCGAGATTTCGCAAAGGTATGTTGGTTACTTTGTATAAAAAGCGACGTATATAAAGAGGTATGACAAAAAGAGAAAAAACATTTGATTCATTCAACAGCCAAGACGATACGATATTTTTAATGGACACAGAAAGAGAATGGGACACACTTGAATACGTAATAAAAAGGACATTTTGAAGAAAACATGAATAGTAGATTAATGCTTGCAGTGAAATGCTACAAAGGTTGATGTTCTCAAAATGGTTGCAATTTTTACAAAACAAACCATTTTTAAAGTAGGGGAGAGGAGAGGGGATAGGAGTCCTTGGTCTATAGCTAGACCATAGAAATTCCTGCTTTAGAGGAAAAATTTATTCAGCTAAAGCTAAGTATAGCTATTCATTATTCATTATAAATTATCTTTATTATATGTACTAATTGTGGCTTCTTCCTACATGAGCAGCCTTCAGTTAACTTTGCTCTACCACCTGTTGGTTGGCAAAGTACAGTTGAGCAACTGACACACAATACAACTACCTGGGCATGGCTGAACACGTGATTTAACTGTATAGAAACACCTTGTTACACCTAAAATAGCCGGAATATATGTAGAAGATATTCTGGTGCCAATCGAATGCATGATATAGTGAGGTTCTTGGATATGAGTGAGTAAAGATGAGCTTTCTATCAATTGATTGCAAGTTGTGCTACCTTTATTTTGTTTTTATCAAGGACAAGTTCGCGCAGTTCTGTAAGTCCTTCAATGCCATCTACCTTTGTGATATCATTTCCTAAAGCCGGTAAAAGAAATATAAAAAATGAGCTCCGTAATAGACATTGACTAGTCTATGGTAAGAGAAAAAAAAGTATGTCAGGATATTTTGCATGGCTTTGCACCTTAGTAACATAAAACATGAAACAACGGTGATTGACATTTCAAGCTTCCGCTCAAAATTAATGGCTAGAACTAAATTGTTATCTTCCTGCCTTAAAAGCCCTTATAGTAGTTGAGAGTTAGTGATCGGAACCTTAACTAATGACACTCCAATAGAATTTTTCAAGTTATGACGTCTTAAAACCCTATTTTTAAAATGTTTGAAGTTCGAGAAATACTACTAAATGTGCAGTCGCAGTTAGAGGTATTAGAAATTGGCTGGGATATCGCCACTGTAATATAAGTAAGCTCACTGTAATCTGGTCTTTGCTCCATACTTTATAAACGAAAGCAAAAACAGAAATACTTTAGCAACACAGAAATACAAAAATGCATTCCGCAGTATTTAATGATGTCTTTTTAGGCAACGGGGTCAAAAGTAAAAAAAAAAAATTAAAAATAGACTTTTTATAGCATCGCACTTAAGAACTCCATGATAAACATTGCATGGAAATCACATCAAGTTTCGTTCAAATGAAGACCTGAAAGAAGTAACCTTGTAGAAAGAGTGTCTTCAAGTTTCTTAGTCTGCCAAGCTGAAGAGTTGGTATACTGCTTATTCCGTTAAACCTGAGCAGAAATATAAGATATTGATGAGAAAAGGATAGCCAATATGTTAATTAAAGATATAGATGCCTAAATAGTGGGGTATAACAATATCATGCAAAGATACATCTGCCTTCACAGGTTGTACATAAACAAAGTAATTATAAAAATATCAGCTATGAGTTTTTTTAAGGGCTCATTTCTATGCAAAAAAGAATAACTGGATATTATCATACCACAATGCACTTACCCTAAATGGAGTACTTCCAAAGTATCCAACACAGGAGTGTTGTATTCTTGGCTGGTGAGCTCGCTTATAACCTTGCTGTGAGAAGGGCTGCTTGGCACCTGAGGTCCCTTGGCCTTCCCTATGATACTTTCTATGTGATTGAAATTGAGGCACAAAACCTAGACACAAAGAGAGGTTACATAGTAGTCTTGCTAAAAAGTAGTAAATAACGATAAAAACGGTAGAAAAGAGTCTGTTTCTATAGAGTCCCGAAAACATGATCATCAGACTGTCAGGGACCGCGAAAAGGGGCACATAGAAGAATCAAGGTACCACGCCCAAAGCAAGCCTTGTTTTCTTCGAGGTTCTCTTTGCATTCTTGAAAAGGTTATCAAGCTGGAACAAATCAAAGAATGACGTAGATGTGAAGGTCAACAAACCTTTAAATTGGAAAGGTGAATGAGTCCTCCAAAGTTTGTTAAACTGTTATGCTCCAAATTAACGCTGAAGGAAATAACATCATCATCGTTCATTTCAGATGCTTCAAGAAGAAATAAAAATGAACTACACAACACAATACTGATATTTGATGTAATGTTGGTTGCAGGCAAAGGTGATTTCAACGTAAATAGACATTCATTTGACAAATGCACCAAGATTAAGCAAACAAGAATTTTCATAGGTATCTTTTCAAAAATAAAAATCATTTTAGAATATCGATAAAGTTGTTGGTAGAAGTAAAAAGAAATGTGTAATAGCGGAGGTTTTTAGAGGTTTGCGAGGTTTAATTGGTTGATATCGATATCACCACTTCAGCATATCTAAAGAGGTTAGGAGTGACATCATAACTTCAAATATACTGCAAATGGTTGATCCTAAAATTGCCCGTAAGATTAGTGGATTACAATACAATCTCAGCATAACCAACCTTGTTAAATAGCTGAAAGACTCCCCATTTCCAAGGTCGATGCTTCTAAGTCCTTGACTGGGCAAGTCAAGCTCACAAACTTCAACAAAGTTTGAATGACCGAGTCTTTCAGCTACGAAGTCCTGCGTCAAACGACCGCCATACGTATCCTTAGCAATCGTCTCTTCCATTTGATCAATCGCCTTACCATCCAATGCCCTCAGAGACTGGATGTGGTATATGATGAAAATTCGGTAATCTGAAGACTCGCCTGTTATCGGGTTACCGATTAGGTCGAGGATAGCCAGGCTCTGGATATTCTGTAAATGATAGAGATAAGATAAAGTTTTTTATACAATGATAAGATAGTTCAAGTGAGGGGTATTCCTGAAAATGGGATTTCAGCATTCAAGAATATGACAACAAATGTGTCTCGCAGCTAGATTTAGGCCTATTTCGGACGTTTTTACCACTATCTACAAATAAATAAACTTAACCTTACCTAATTTAAGATAACCTAATTTTTTAAAAAAAAATTGAAACTTTAATAACTTTATGAAAAAATTGTACAATCGTAGTTATTGTGAGAGAAGATGGACTGCATTTTCTCTCCGTGGAATTTAGCGACTTTTTCCGTCAGTAACACAATGATCAATGCCGACAAGAAATAATCTTAACAGTGGCTTGTAAAGGTAAGTTCATATTTGTTAATAAACTGGATAAAACAACTTTTAAGGATTGAAAACTGTAATTTCTATGTTCTCCCTCCCCCTAATTACTATAAGGGTTTGAAAGGGACAGTTTCAAGCCTTTGTAACTAACGATCGCAGAAGAATTTCGACTGAGTACAACGGCAGTTTTTTTCATGAATTTATTAAAGTTTCAACTTTTTAAAAAAATGTAGGTTATCTTTCAGCATATTTTACACGTTTATTTTTTTGTGGGTAGTGTAATGGTAAAAACGTCCAAAATAGGCCTAAATCTAGCTGCGAGACACGTTTAATGTCATATTCTTGAATTCTGATTGGCTAATGGGGTATGGAAAATTTAGGTCGCTTAGCCGATCAAAGATTAGGAATCTATGCTGGCATGGATAAAAAGAACTGGAACATAAGTTTACGCTCTTCATAAATTATTTGCATTCGCAACAAATTCTGCTCAGCGAGATCTGCTGGTAATAGAATTGAAAAATAAATATGTCTTCAATAGTGCAAATAAGTTGTCGTGAGCTATAAATAGTGCAAAATATAAAATACTCACTTTTAAATGGAATATTTCACGCATGTTTGTAATTTTGTTGTTACCAATGAAAAGATCATAGAGGGACACTGCTTTCTGAAACAAATATAGGTGGCAATTGGAATAATAACTAAGTAGCCAAACAATTTTTGAAAGTGATATTTTACAAGTATTATGGGATATGAAGATATTTGAATAAAGTTAGGAGCTTAAATGATCTTAAGATAAATATTGTAACAATTAACTGAGTATGAAAGAGTCTTTTCCCTTTTTTATCCAACCTATATAGAAGTTGCCAAACAATGGTCTAAAATTTTGGAGAAACTCAGAAAGAACTTTTAAACTGTTCTTAATGCCTGTTTTTGAAAAAGCTACAAATATATCGAGTTTTGCTTTATTTAGTGATTATTTGATCTCGAGTGCCATACATCAAGCGATTTCTAAAAAACGTCTCCAAGCTTCAATGCTGTACAAAAGAATTTGAATGCCGAAATTTTCAAGTTCACAATTTCACAGTATCACAACTGCCGATTAATTTTCCATATATCTTGCAACCGTAAAAGGCATATCCCTTCAGCAAAGGGGTTTACATAACACAATCTGTACAAGTCGGACTGGGTTTACATAACACAATCTGTGCAACTCGGACTCTCAGTACCACCGAATCGTATTTTAATTTATCAGCATTGTAACCGTGAGGCAGTGGAGGGAGGATGCATGGAACAACTTTGTAAAGCTGTTCAAATTTTGTGCAGGTGTTCCAACAGTTTTGCGAAGAATTGTAGCTCTAAAGCGCATCCGGCATTAACCTGTGTCACAGACCATGGTTTGTGACGGAGGCTAATCTAACAGGCAGTGAGGCATACTCCCAAAATATGTGGACTATCGCACTAAAAACAGCATAAGCTAGAAGTAAGAATACTCTTTATATTATATATGGAAATCACTAGAAGAATCCATGCTTCTAAAACGGCGCTAGCTATTTCATACCTGAAGGCCTTTGATTCGTGCAATGGAATTATTCTCAAGAGACAGATGTCTGAGTTCGCTCAGTTTTTCAAAATTTGTGGCATCAATCGACATCAGATTGTTGTTATCCAAGTTTAGAGATTTCAGCTTTAGCAGATGATCAATGCCTTCCAACTTTGAAATGCAGTTGCCAGCTAGAGATAGTTCTTCGATTCGCGGACAACTCTCTAGGCCCTATTAAAGAAATAAATATGCATTACCTTAATTGCCACAATTTATAAAACGAGTTTAATGTTGTTTTCTGAGAGAAAAACAATGACAGACAAGCATTTCACATTTAGCAAGCAAGCAAAACACGAAGATACATATACAGTACGTGGATTCTTAATTTATGATGAGAAGAGAGTCCTGGGTAGAAAATCACGTACATGTCATTGCTTTCAAATTCATAAACACTATAACGAGGTTATCAGAAATTAAAGCATCAATGAGAATTTTCATCATATTTTGTCGTCAGTTTGTTTGTAACTTTTTGCAAGACGTTGGTCTGATTCGAAACCCTCCAAAATATTTCACACAAATCTACTGAAGTAATTTAAGTTGAATAGGGAGAAAAAAATCTTATAGCTACAAAAATCTGGACCTCTAAAGCATGATAAGAGTGCTTTTCTGCAAGAAAAAAAACAAAAACAATTACGGGTTAAAGACATGGTCAATACCTCTATCTTTGTGATGTCGTTATCATTAAAAGAAACAAATTTCAAATTATCCAGATGCTCTAAATTTGAAATTTTGCTCAAATGTTGGTTATCCAATTGCAAACATGTGACCTGTTTGATGATAAAATTATAAGTCAAATAAACGGCAAAAAAATTCTATAATCATAGCATGATATAAGATAATTGCATGTCTGAAATTCTAAAAATATAAAAAAATAGGGAAAGATAAGTTTACATAAACAAGCTTGATATTCATTTAAAAATTTCATGATTGAGAAAAGCTAGATTCGAATCCTTCAAAGACAAGCTCAGGCTGGATTCCTTGACTAGAAAATGAATAAAAAAGTCGTCTTGGTGTGAAAATTTTAAAACATCTTTTAACTGTAAACGCATTGTAAAATTTAATCTTTTTTTAATCGTCAATTTAATTTCTTTCATTTAATAACTAATTGTTTCATATGTGTAATTATTAATTATTCATCCATAATTGCTTTTTATTCTAAATTTTTGTAAAGTAGGCCTAAATTAGCTTATACACAAATTGTACATAGACAGCTATATAATACCCGCCTACTGTAAATAAATTGATTATCAATATTATTTTTATTATAAGGCAAATATACTTTCCGGAGAGCACAGGGAAATGCGAGTTTACTTAACTAAGTTGAAATATAATTATAAAACAATCCAGTTTTTAAAGCAGCAGCGCTATTACGTTCGCAAAGCTCAAATCGAAATCCTAATGACAAAGATTATTACACTGGATTTGTGTTGTCTTTTTTAGTCTGCTTTATCAAAGGGACATTCAAAGCAGAATATTAGAAACAAACAGCCATGAGTTAACATAGATAGACGTAACTAAATTTTTAAGTAGCGTATATTCTGAGCAGCACCCCTCGGGGCAGCACGCCTTCAAAGAAACCACCCGTCCAAGGATGTCATTTTTTTGTCTCTGTTTAAAGTTCGACTGAGTAATAATAAGTTCCCCTGGATGTTGGCATGTCAAAAGCTGTCAACTAAAATGCAATTGTTTAAGTTTAAATGGACCTTTTCATTTAATTGAATAATAAGTCTGAGACAGAACCTTGTAAAACCATTTTTTATCGTCTTCGTAGAGTTTTACTGGTTTGTGTTTACTCCTTGCCATAATAACACTGCAGGTGGATTCCAAGCTTAGGGTTCGGGGTTTGCACACATCTGTCCTTGAATGGGCGAGAACAGTGACGTAAGCGATTCGAGAGCAGGCTGCCATTCTGATTGCTAATGTTGTCTCCTCCTCAGCTACCTCTTCGTTATCAAGCGTTATCAGATTTCGCAATCTACCTATGCATCTCAGTCGTAGAGTTTCGGGCTGTAAAGCGTTACAGATGAATATGTAAAACACCATAGAAGCACTGACGGTAAGGGTGACTTGGTGAAGTTTTCAAGTTCACTTTGAAAATAGAGTTGATGATTTCAAATCTACTCAGTTGACAAAACATCGTTAATGTTCAATTAAAAGAACACGACGGCATCACTTTGTTGCCTCGAGACCAACAAAACCACGGATCCTTAATTAAAATTTGCAAATTAAACCCTTCTAATTATAAAGATGTTTGCTCTCCTGTTTAGCTTAAATGCATTTCGTTAACATCTTAGGCAATCAGGCGGCACAGCAAAGTAACTCAAGAATTCGTGGTCATAAATTCCAAATACCTGAAGGTAACATAAAGAGGGACAGTGAGGCTATATCTACTAGATTGCTATTGCAAAATACACAGTCATGTTGACAATGAAAGTCGAGGAAAAATGTACAATACAGCTGGTGACTGACTTTACATTCAATAAATACGAATTAATATACAAATAACTTAAAGAGAATAAAAACGAACCTTTAAAAACGGATTGTGTTTCAAATTCAATGTTTTTATTGCTGGCAGGTATTTTCTAATCAAACCAACTTCTTCACGGGTGTAGTGCAGTCGATTCCAACTTAGATCTAGATGAGCAAGGTGAATGCATCCCTATGAACAAACAAGAAGCCAAATTAACTTAGAGACATTGCTTGCATTATAATTTTGAATCTACTTTCGAAATGTACCCAACTTCCTTACTTAAAGGTGCACCTCCTTTAAAGACATACCCCCTTCAAAGATGCACCCCCTTTTAAAGGTGCATCTCCTTCAAATGCGCACCTCCTTTAAAGACGCACCTCCTTTAAAGGCACATGCTATTGTATATTGGTTTAGTGCTTCTTTAAGCGGACCATTTTCCATTCATGAAGTAAAGTCAGACCTTCGGACCACCGATAATTATTCTTTCTTTAATTAACTCATTGCACTGTTAATTATACTTTTAACTCAAAGAGACTCGCTACTTCCGAACTCTGTCTTATTTAAGTTCTTAAAACCGAAATTTTCCTGCCGTTAAATAACACCTACATTAATAAATATTGTTGCCACATGTCTTTGGATTGGACAGAAAAGTCCAGATATTAATCTTCGTCTAGTCGCACATTCAAGCTGGCAAATAATGTTACCCAAACAAATATTTTACTATTTGATAAACATACACAAGATATGGTTTCAGACTACAGATCTATCATTCAATTGGATAGTAACGACACTTTTTTCGAAGTGAATAACCTTATCTGCATTCTCGTGTTCTGTTCTTTCCAAAATTAACAGATTGGTAAAGAAATTTAACTTAATAATCAAGATTATAAAAAGAAAACCCAAATTACAAAATGTGTCAGAACTTCAAAGTTTTAACCCACTAAAAATCTGTGATAGCTTCCTTTTAACGTGGTTAACTTGAGGCTTATAACAATTTGATCTGCAATATGCCTATGAATCTATTTCTAATGGTACGTCAAAGATTTAACCCAGAATTATGTACGTGTCTTGTACGATAACATTGATAAAATCAAGTTTGCATAACTGAATGACGAGAACTCAAATGAATAGTCTACATTTCAAACCTTAAATCCATCAACTGATGATATCTTGTTGAAACTAGCGTCCAAGTATTCTAGATTGCTCTGAAAGATTTAAAGGAAAAAGTACATTGGTCTTTGCATTGGGTTGTGTAATGAGGATCCTGGTAGCGAAATAGAAAAGGAGGCAATGAATAAAGGACTCAAAAGAGCAAAGGCAGAACAATTCAACTGAAAGGCATATAAAAAAGCTTTTATCTCGAAAGAAAGAAGATGTGACTAACAAAGGTTGATTTTCAACGGTTATAAATTGCAATGAATGAACAGCAGTGTGAATGGCAGCAGGTTTCAGACACCAATACTAGATGAGCGAATACCTTTTTATATTGCCTAAATTCACAATAATCACAATTGGCCAACTTCGCGGTGATTAGTTCACATAAATTGTAACATAACACAGAAAATAAACGAAGTTATCAGAAAGCGTCAAAACATTAATAAATATTGAGCAGCAACAAAAGAAAAGAGTTATCTTTTTATATGTAAGATTATTTATAGTTATTTACCCCAAACAATACAGCAAACAATCTAAGTAATTTGGTCAAAGTGGCAGACCTACAAAACGATGCTTCAAGAAAGCTACCACATTCTTACCATTCCAGAGAGATCTTGAAGTGATGTAAGATCGTTGAAACTGACAATCAATTTCTTCAGATTTGAAAGTGTGGATAAAAGCTTCAGTTTGGTTAAGCCACTCCCATTAAGGTTTAGAGTCTGAAATAAATTGAATAAGATTCTCAAACTCAATAAATACCCAAGAAGGAAGGAAAAGAAAGTTATGCTAAGAAATCGATGGCAGTGATTAGGGATTAGCTTCGATCAAGACTTACAGAGATCCTGCTAATATACGAAGCCCCAGTATGCTTCAGTAGAAGATCTTCGGTAAGAATGGTTAACCTATAAAAAATAAAACCATGGTTATTAATAACAAATTTTGCATGTGAAACTCGGTGTTAGAGCTTAGAACCGTCCTGCCATTTACTCAAAGCTATCCTTTCTCGTACGTGTATCGTGTGCAGGGAAGGATCGCTAGTTAGGATCACCGACTACAGATCAAAGGGTCTGGAGTTCGAGTCCACGCCATAACTTAGCTCTCACTTAGAGTGAGGGAAGTCGCCAGCTCTCTGTAATTCCAGGACACTGCTCGATAAGCATAGCCTCTAATATCCTGAAACTACCTTCGGACGCTAGGTAGAAACAAATACAAAAATCACGCATTTTATTTGTAATATTTGACAAAAGGGGCACCAAAGAAGATACACTAAGTAAAAAGCAGTTCATAACATCGCAAGTACCCATTTTCAAACAAAGTTCCGAGTTGTCAATGACTTGTCGATGATTTTCAAGTCAAATTGCAATTGCAGATGCTTTACTATTAAGTGTTACAATACTTAGCTGCAACATCACATAAGACGTCAGCCTACGAATGTTAGTGTTAAATCTTGGTACAATAAGGTCGACGTCATAAACACAGGCCTGTACAGTGTACACGATTGGGTGTGTGGAACAGGATAACTGTAAGTTGCAAATCAGGTCAGAATGGGATCATTCTTCAAATGTTTTCCCTAAATAGGCCATAATATTTATTTGATTGATAAACCGTGAAGAAAGAGTTTTAAAATGCTATGAGCTACATTGAAATCATAAGAAAATGAGTGATACCTAGGCCTAGTTTTAACCATTGGGTCCATGTTTATGATATTCTGGTCCATGTCTGCGTGTTTTTCGTCCGTTGCAGTAGCATTTTCGATCAGCGGATTGGCTGAGTTTGCTTTGCTGCCTTCTAGCAAGATTTCACTTAGCTTTGCTTGCAATGGTTCTGCATTCTGATCGAAAGAAATGACAAGAATGTTAAATGAAAGCTCATACCTAACGTTTAGAGTCAGAACACAAACACCATAAACAACGAAAGAAAAAAAATCTTTAAATGAATGTAATATTTTGCTACGAAACTACAAAAAGCATTCTACAGCAAGACTTATTCAATGTGCTGAGAATGACCAACTCTGAAAGCGTTGCCATCATAACTTTTGGGCTTGATGACATTGCTATAAGGCCAATTTCTCCTGAAAAGATGTTGAATAGGTTTAATAATAAGTTCAAAAGATCACAGTTGAGGGTCAAGAAGGGTCTGGACGTAAAGAGTTATCATATTGTGAAAATATAGAAAAGTATGTATGATTACAAGCAATGATAGTACAAAGCTACTGTAATTCATTCAACCATTGCAAGACGCATCTAAAAACTGCACTAAATTGTCTTAGAGGTCGCTTTAATTCAAACAAATTACTCAAAAATATGCATATGAATAACGAAATAACCAACCGATATATCATTTATCGGATCTAGAAGTAGCCCAACATTTAAGAATGCAGTATTATAGACAACTGAGACGGTCCTAAGATATCTAAGGTCTAAGAGATAGTTAGACCTGCATAGGCTTAAACTTACAGTAACTGGTATGAATAAAAAGTAATTGTTTCGTCTAATATTACTATATTTTCATCTTTTGATGATTGTTGTGCATTGCTTTACCGAGCAATTATACAATACAAGCTAAACGAGTTTGCTATTCAACTTTTTTAACTGTTTTGAGAGATGATATTTACGTGCATAAAGTTCAATAACAGCTTGTCCTATAACAAATTGAACACGTGCGCAAACTTCGACGCGTTTCCCTTAAACAAGACGGAGCCACTTGGAGAATAAAAACCCAGATAATAGAGAAATGATGCCTATATTAACGGTGAATAATAAATAGTTCGAGATGAGGTCGTAAGAATATAACAACATCAAGTACGACGAGTCAACAGTACAGAGATTGTCAATACATGCTTACCCTCGTAACATATTCGAACTCGACCATATATTCTGGAAGCACCAGCTCAGCGTTAAACACGTGCCAAGTGCACCTCCGCAGCGTGCAATCACAGAGCTCAGCTATTCCAACAGTGCTCTTACTTCTGGCTTTGGTCGGACATATGGCGTGTCTTCTTGTCTGGTAGGCAGTGTCGTAATTCTGATATTGTTGCTTGTTGATTCTTAAAAGAAGTTGTAATAGGTACAAATAATAGCAGTGAACTGATAACAATGAGTATCGCTGGAATAAAAAAGAATAAATCTTTAGTAACGATGAGAACTATCGTTGTTACAACGAGTACCATTGTAGTTAAAACAGGAGCCATCGTAGCAACAACGAGAAGTATTGTAGTAACAACGAGAAGTATTGTATTAACGCTGAGAGCCATCGTAGTAACAACGAGAACCATTATGGTAACAACGAGAAACAATGTGGTAAAAATGAGAACCATTGTGGTAAAAATGAGAAGAATGGTAGTAACAACGAGAACCATTGTTTAACAACGAGAAGAATTGTAATAGCAACGAGAACCATTGTTGTAACAACGAGCACCATTGTTCAACCACGAGAAGAATTGTAATAACGATAAGAACCCTCACAGTAACAAGGATAGCAATTGTAGTAAAAACGGGAACCATGGTAGTAATAATGAGCACCATCGTAGTAACAAGGTGGATCCCTGAAGTGTGGACAAGACATAGGACTGAAACTCCATTGCACCATTGATTTAGGAAGAATAATATTTTCTTTCTTTCGAGCCCTTGGTGAGAATGAATACTATGAAAATGATGCAAAGAGTTTCTGTAGCTTCGCTTTCTGATTTAGTTTGAATCTTCCAATGTAGAAAATTCTTTTAGAATTCAAACATTATTTTGAGACAAAACTTGCTGCCTCCTGTCCGATTATTTTCAAACGAAAAAAGAACATGAACATTGTTTACTTTGCTGATATGATTTGAAATGACGTACTTTTTGTCACTTTTGGTCACCTTACACGTTTTTCCAAGGAATGTTTTGCACACCAGGATTCGACCTGTCGAACAAAACAAAACATGTAAAACAAAAAACTGAATCGATCAGACTCTTTCGGAATTTTTCGCAAAAATCTCTTGAATAAATCTACAAATATACGAAAAAACCTTAAAAATTTGATAAAAAGTACAGGTCTTCGCCTGAATAAGAGTAAAAATATGCACTGGCTGAACAGCATATTGTGATACATCCCACTCATTTTTTTGCGATAGAAATAGAAATCCTATTAACCATCCCACAAGCAAACAAGATTATTTAGGCATCCAAGATCAGTCAGAAAACATCATCTCCTAATTTCAGTCACTTAACAAAAATCATCAAGACAAAACATAGTGAAATCAAAAAGACACAAACGGCAAATATTCTAAGAGCCTCTAACCGTATCGAAAGTCTTGTTTTTCAGCATCTTTATCTGAGTTTTTTTTCAAAATGTATTTGATTCTCGATTTATCAGCCACACCCAGACTGTTGGTGAGGTGGACAGCAGCGTTGGAATTCTAAAATAAAAATAGGAAACAGCTTATAAACCTAGGGAATACACGTTAGTACGATTCAGTACGAAAAACCATTAAGCAGTCATCCACTTAATAGGCATTTCAAAGGCATAAATGCCCTTGAAAGACACTACATCATTACCCCCACATGCATGATTGTCGCAGGACTAACCACAGATGATTTTATAAAATTGTAATCTCGATCACGTTTCTAATATAAACCATTTACCTCCAATTCAGTCAATTACTACTCTTATCTCGAGTCGTTGTCTTCATCTCGTGAGTTACTCTAAAGTAGCGGAGTTTCATCCCCGTAACATAAAATATATCTATCCTATTTAACATATAACAGACATCACTACAACCGCACAGGGTACAGCATTTCTCATCATATCCTCATATAACGAACAAAATATGCCACTGCCGTGAATACGCTAAGTCAACTGTTAACGCTTGATATTTGGTTCTCGTAGCGTCATTCACATTTGTTACTAACTAGCCCAAACTGTAAAACATGCGCTTGTGATTGGATTGTTTTGACCTTGCAGCATAACGACGCAGAGTGTCCAGATCATTTCCTTATTGCCTTCAACCTTCTTTATGCTGCGTT